GTCGCTAATTTTAGTTCCATGGTTGGTTACGTTCCAGACATTTTTGCGGCCAGCTCTCTTGCTTTTTCGCCGTAATACCTCCTGTTTTACGATCGAAAGGAAAACTGAGAAAAGAAAGGATAAGTTGGCCATGTGTTTATGATTCTGAATGGATGAGCGTTTTTCAAAAGGCGTTTTTTATCGTCAGATTTTCAAAAGACTCGCTATTGTATTATTGGAAGTCAGAAGACCATCGGGCAATTAAGAAGAAAGTTTTTAAGCTCCTAGATATGAGCCAAATAAAAAGAGAAATAAATAAAAGTCCGCCGCCTGCAGACCTTCCCGGACAAGTCCCTAATGGCATTATGTCAACTCCTTCAGAATCGACGATTCCTTCACCAAAAATGGAATATCCGTCAGGAGTTATTAGTCCTCTGCCTGATATTCCTGAGGATATCAAAGAATATGTCAATTCCTATGTGGAAGTTGTCTGTAAAAACATTGAGAATTCATATGGGAATTTGTCGAAGCGAGTTGATCAGATCGAAGAACGGCAAGGGAAGATTGAATCGGAAATCAGACAATATATAAATGACACAAATCAACTTTTCATGAGCTGTCAGAGGAAAATCATCGCCAACAGAAGTAAGTTCGACAAAAAAATTTCGCTATTTGGTGAAGATATCCAGAGTAAAATCTCATCGATTCATGAAATGCTGGAGATACAATATGAGAATATTGATGGAAGAATAAATTGCTTCGAAGAGAAAATCAACGAATTGGTTGAACTGGATGATTTTCTTGAACTGAAGCATAACGCCTGGAAAAGCCAAAAAGGATTGTTTTAGTAGAGCTGCATTATGATATTAAACCTGTTTTCGAATCCTTCAAAAAGATGTTTATGAATTGAATCAACTCATAAAGGATCAGGCTGACAAAATTTCCCAACTTGAGCAACAAATTGATGAAACCGCCGGCGAAAATTTTCATAGTCGAAAACCGCCATCTCCGATGTTAAAATTGAGCATTCAAAAGCTTCTTGACAATCTTGGAAAAAAGACTTCAAAGTTTGATAGAAATCTACTCTTCAAAAATATTGAGATTGAGCGGAAAGAAGAAGAACAATTGTATGCAACACAATTAATTTCAAACGAAAAGCTGATTATAAACAAAATCAAAGAGAGAGAAAACAACCTGTCGTCATATAGAGTCGCAGTTGTTATGCCTGATGAAGGAGGGACAATTAATAAGAATAATCTGCTCAATAAAGAAATGAAACCAAGTGAGTTGCAATTTTCAGGAAAAGATTTAAAAGATATGAAATATTTATTTTATATAAATTATTTACCAACGAAAAGGTAAAATTGATCTTGAAAAAGAACCATCGATTGGGGATCGAGTGAGAATCATGCAAAATTCTTCAGGTTGCCCAGCGTTTCCAATTCAGGAAGGAATACTCTTCCATGTTTGCGATGGAGAATGCAAAATTCTCATCGATGCCCGAAGTGTCTCTACGGCACCGCTAGAAAATCTCGGGAAAGTCTACATACGTTGATTTTACTAAAAGTAAGCAAAAGTTTACAAGTTTTATCCTGACGATGATAACGAATTTCTCTACATTCAACTCTCACATGTAACTAACCTATTTTTCAATTATCCGAAGTTTTTTTTACTCATACTCGAATAAAAAGAAAGAAAAATATTTCAAGCGCTTAAAAATGAGTTTTGATGAAATTTGAAATCAAGGAGGAAAACCTATTTTTATAAGTTTGTTTATTTACACTTGCATACATTTTTTATCATCTGTACAGGAAGAATTTTTTTGGGCTTTAGTAGTTTGGCTCAAATGCCTTCAAGAATGGCTCGCTGTAGTACTTCATTACTGGTCGATCATCTCTGTAGGTTTTCTTTCCGTCGACTTCACCAGTGAAGACGAGCTTATGCTCTGTCTTTTGATTGCTTCCGCCGGTGTTGTCGTTGGTATTATAATAGCCCATCAGGTTCATTTCCATGTCATACTCGGGCTTAAATTGTCGATCAAAGGTTTGAAAATTTTTAAAAGTAATCTACCTTGATGTTGTAAGGTTTCTCCTCATCATCGGGCAAGAAAGCAGCGCATCGAGAGACGAGTGATCCGACACCACTTGTTGGCTCGATAAAGCGACTTCCAGCGCCGTGGTATCGCAGTGACTCGGCTTCAGATGCATTCATGACGTTTTGAAGGAGAGCTTGTTGTCGAGCCTGAAAGAAAAAGAAAGTTACTTCATGCGTTGAGATTTGTTCTCTTACCGAAGCAAGCTTTGATGCTCCAATCGCCTGGCCCGAGAGAACGACATCCTTAGATGATTCATTTCCTTCCTCAGTTCCATCATCAGCGTGTGGCTTTTCATCCCACTTGAGATCTTGACTGTATCCAATTTTGCCGTTCCAGCTCTTGACATTCTTGGCCTCTGGGAAGAAGGCTTGACCCTCGATGATGTTCAAAACTGATTTGAGGCAGTTTGCGAAGTCAAACCATTTTCCGAAGTTGTCTGGGTCGAGATCTCCGTCGGCGACGTGCGGTTTATGGCGGGATGGAGTGTCAGAGTGGTATTTTGAGTTTCCTTCAAATCCTGATAGCGGGTTCAGAATCGTTTTTTTTGGACAATTAATAAATACGAATATAAATCCAATTAATTGAATGATCACTTAAAAAAGCAAATTAGAACCCTGTCCTTCACCAAGAGGACCATTATGAGCTGGAACCTTGCAGCCAAGAGTAAAATTGTCCAAAACATCACCCTCAAGTTCTTCATCGCTCCAGTTGGTACCATCCTTGCCTTTGTAGCAAAGTCGATCAGCATGAGTGATGGTTCGCCATTTGTCTTCTCCTTCCAAGTTTTCGTCCCAAATCAGTCGATTAACTTGTCTATCCGTTCCTTTCATCAAGCCGGGAAGCATGTTTGAACAGCCGTATCCGGGTGTCCATTCTCCTTCCTTTGGCCATTTGAAGTAAATTTCCGGAGTCCAACCGTAGTCTTCCGCATAGTTGAGTTGAGGCCGAGTCGGGGTTCCCAGCATTCGACGCTGGACACGGTCAAAGTAGCTTTGCTGTCCTTCCCAAGATCCGTCCTCTAGAAATGGAAATTAAGCTTATTTGTTCTAGACTTTAAAAACAAGAGAAAATAAAACGAGTCTTACGAAGTCCAAATCGGGTCGCGCCAGGCACATAGGCTGGAATTTCTTTGCAATCTCCTCCGTCCATCTCTACACCGTACATCTTGATCTTTGCTGTAGCACAATTCCATCTTGGCTTGCCATTGTTGCCAATCATCACAATTGCTTGCATGAATTTCTGTCTCTCATCCAAGTTCAGAATACAGCAGTCGTTCAAGTCTCGTCCAGCTGGAGTCGATTCAACGCCAAGTCCAATGCCGAAAGGATCCGTTGGCTTTTCGGGCTCTTTTTCTTCACTTCCAACTTGAAACTTTCGCTCTTGAATTCCACCCAAGATGGCGGCTTCGATTTCCATATTTGGATTCGTTCGATCTGGACGGTCATCATGGCAGAATGTCTTTTCGCCAAAGTTTTCTTCCAAATCCCAGAGCTGGTAGTAATGATCTCTCATGCAGAAAGTGCTGCCCCACGTCGTGTGCTCTCGGCATTCCGCTTCGACCGTGCAAGACGGGTTGATTTTACTTCCATCAGCATTGTATAGACACTGAGCATCAGTACCCTCAGCTGCGTGCCAGGCATCACCTTCGTTGGGGATCATTCCGTGTTGTCTTGTGATACCAGTTCTCAGATCTTTCGGCGCGTTGAATCGAACGAATTTGTATCTTCCGAATCGAAGTGAAAGATCACCAAGTTTACCAGCGAAGATCTTGGCGGGCATCTCTTGCTGGTCGTTCATGAAATGATGCACTTTCTCGCCATTCTCATTGGTCGTTGTTCGAACTCGAGTTGCTCGGAAAGCAGCGGCGAAGGACTGAGAATCTTCAGCCATGCATCCGTCCCAACCAACGAGAAATCCGGTTCCGGATTCCATGGTAAGCCAAGTCTCGGAAGTTCGATAGCCAAAGTTTTGTTTCTCCTCCAAATAACCGGTCAAGCCATTATGTTGGATTTCCGCGGAGTAGCCAGTATCTGGCCCGACGTATTTTCCATCAACGATTTGAGTGCTCACTCGTCGGTTGTATCGCCAAGGAGTTTCACTTGAAAGTCGCTTTGGTCGGCCAATTCGCTTCATTTGCTCTTCAGTAGCGGTTTCCTCGGTGTATGCGTAGGTGCACTTGTCGCCACCAGGTAGTGGGTAGTTCATGATGTCGGCGAAAGTAGCGAAGAGATCGATCTGGCTGACAGGTAGGTCATAGTTGGTACCCCAAAGAGATCGATGAGTTCCAAGTGGCCACCAGGAAAGGAACGGGACTCGATGTCCGCCTTCATAGACAGAAGCCTTCTTGCCACGAAGAGTTCCCATTCGAACATGGCCGAATCGGTTGAGAAGATTGAATGCTCCTTGATCTGGTCCGTTATCAGAAGTGAAGAAGATCAGCGTGTTATCAGCAACTTCCATATCATGAAGAGTTTTCATCACGTTTCCAACGAGTTTGTCGAATTGCCAGAACTGTTCTCCTTGTTTTCCTTGGGCTGCGTGAGGGTAGTATTCCATCGGATTGTTTTCGTCGAAAGTCAAGTTGTGGGAACTTGGACGATGAGGGGCACGGAAAGAAAGATACATGAAGAATGGTCGGTTGGATTCTTTCATTTGTCCTTCTGGAGTGATTGGATTCATTTCAGAGACGGATTCGGTGATGTATTCTCGAGCTTTGGAGTGGAAAGTGTACATGATTTCTTTCGAGTCGAAGCCGATTTGAGTACGTTTTGGTCCAGCTCGCTTCATGTCTTTGTAAAGAGGATCGGTAGTGGACATGCCATTGGCAACGAGCTCAGCAAGGACTTGGTCTTTGTATTCTCTCGCTTCTTCAGGACTGTCAAACATGATCTGGTTCACAGCAAACTCGTAATTTGCCCGTTCTTGATCAAGAGTTTTCATCGTTTTCTTCGCTTTTTCGCTAATTTTGTATTCTGCAGTGACGACTTTTCCATTTTTTACGTTTCGGAATCGGAGGAAATTCTTTCTTCCGAGCTCTCGGGGCTTTTGACCCTCGTTGATTTTTTCTGCGTTTCTTCTTCTTCGATGATTTCGGTGGTCTCGAACGGCGAGGGTGCCATTCGCGAATCGTCTTCGGCGTTTTCGCGACGGCTGTTCATCATCATTAAGGCCAGAGGTGAGCCCTTGATCTATTGCGCTCCAGTACGCCTTGTAGGCGTTTTGGATACGGCCGTTCTCTTCCTGACCATCCTTGTAGTATCCATCGAGGAAGTGCCAGTTCTCTGGCTGTCGGAAAAACTCCCACTCGGCTTCTTCGTCCTGGACCCAGAGAGAATCTTCATTTTCATCTCTGAACTCAGTGAAAATCGCCCACTTATCGAATGGAGAAAGAGGGTAGTCATTTTCGAAGTACCCTCCTCCGGGGAGGCAGCAATACGATCGAGAGGTAAACGACTTGTCGTAGCCCCAGAATCGTGTTCCTTCGACAAAGAACCAGCCGTTTCTCTCGAGTTTTTCTTCGACTGGCTGAGGTTTTCCGACAACCATCGTGTGGTAGTTGTTTCGTTTGAAAAGCTGAGGGAGGATTTTTCGACCATACTCGAGCTTCATTGGTTTGTAATGATAGTCACCACGGCGGAAGTGGTACCGACCAGTCATGAGACAGTATCGGGATGGGGCGCATCGGGAAGTACAGGAATGGCCGTCGCGAAAGTTAATTCCCTTCGAAACGAGTTTATCAATATTCGGTGTCGGGACGAGTTTCGAAGGATTGTTGATGGTCACATCCGCCCAGGACATGTCGTCGGTATTGATGACGATGACATTCGGACAGTTGATGTCGTTTCTTTGATCATTGGCCGATCCAGCAATCGCTGCTTGACCACATCTGTCTTCTAGAGTCCAATTAGCAGCCTTTTCTGTTTCTGTCTCTGGAAAATCAAAAGTATAGTCAGGATCGTCGTAGTAAATGGGCTTTGGAAATTTCAAGCCCACGGCCGAGCCGGCTAAGGCAAGACCAGCGACTCTCATTTCTTTTTCTGCAAAAGTATGAGAGGCAAATTTTTTGAAAGTAAAATAGTCGAAAAATCGTTACTTTTATACGCGCTGTATTTTTTGCGCGGTGGCGTTCGAGAGCCGCGCGCGGCGGGTGCTTATCATCAGTACGCGCTCACCGTCGCTCAAATTTTTGCTGAATCAGGTGGAGTCAGAGAGACCACCACTTTTGTAGGAAAGCATTGCCATTCATAAAAGATAAATTGGGTCGAAAATGATGACGCAGCTTTGATGATGCTTGTTTAATTTGCAATTATAAAAAAGATTTTCTAGTTTTTCAGAAAAAAATTTTGATAATAGAAAAAACAAAAAGATATTTTTTTTATTTTTTCATTATCTTACCGTGAAAGGGTATTTCAGGTAAAGATAAGATTGAGTAACTTTTTACATGTTTCTTGTAAATTAATACCCCTTCTGTCATTTATTCTCTTTAGAGAATGATTAAGGGTGTCAACATCGATAATCGTTTTCTCTTTTGTCATGACAAATAGGTCTTTTTTAGTTAATTTGTTTCAGCTTCTAAAAACATCTTGTTTGCACCACTGTCACATTTATTACATCATCTACTTCGATTCCAAGCCCAAAAATAAACGTGTCTTGTTGAATGAAAATAAAATGGAGGTGACTTTCACATGCACTTCCTTTTCGATAAGCTGTTGGTTCTACAAACTCAATCCATGATCAAATTTTACGTCAAACCTTACCGTATTTATGATCGCTACACGCAACCGAAAATTTAGAGGGAGATTTATTTTATGAAATTGCTGTTCAAGGAAGTCGTACATTCATTTAATCTAGAAAAATGACGTCCCAGTCGGATAGAAACCGGATTTTATCTTGACGGGATTAGACCATTGAAGGTATTTTTTGTTAAAACAGGAGAAAAAATAAGGATCGTGACGATTTTTAAAAGAATTTACGCAACGGGGCCAATTAAACTTGTTTTTTCAAAACAAATGTGTTCGATAAAGATGATTAAATTTGCATATATTAACACCTTTTAACATCAATGAGTCCAGTAAATTGACTATCAAAATATATTTCAGAAATGAGAAATAAAGAGAAATAGAACGATTCAATGAAGGATTTTATGTCTGGCAGGGGCAGTTGGATTCTTTCGTTCGGCGGTTGAAATCTTCATCAACTAGAAATACATATTTTAGCAGCTAAGGAAATCCACGTGATAATGAACACGCGGCGGTTTCGGCAGGGTACAATTTCGAGCTCGATAAGTATTATCATTTTTATATCTGCCCGCAAAAATGAACTCCAAAGGACCATATGGTAATCTCAAGATACCATTTTCTCTCGAAAACGAGTTCTTTTTTAGAAAATAAGCGAAAAAAATCTTTTTCTGAGATTGAACGACAAATTTAGACATAACTGTCTACCAGACAGTGTCTGGCAGACATTCCTCGAAAAAAAACTTACTTAAAATCTTCTTTGGTCCAATATTCATAGTCGTTTTCTTTGGCTAAAAATTTGGTTCATCAATTTGCTCTATCGGTGATTTGAAAACTCACCGTTGAAATTCCGTCTTCTTTAGATAAAACTTTATCGAAACAAACGCTGCCGATTCTAGCAAACATCTCCGCCACGTTTTGGTTTTGTTTGGAACTCACGCTCCAGTATTCTGCGTTCATGCTGTTTGCGATCTTGGTGGCTTCAACTTCGATTTCTCTCGCGACTGATGCTGTTTTGGAATGTTCATTCTTGCGTTTTTCTAGCTCCGAAATAAATATTTACCTTTTAATGACACGTTTTCATCAATCCAAAAAGCGGTTTTATGAACACCTTTCCTGAGACCAAATCAGCCTTCGTCCCGACCAGGAATAAACAAAACTAGAGCAGAATGAAAATGATTGAATAAAAATTTGCAATACGCGGAAAAAACTGTATAAGACAACGAGGAGAAAATTACCGCACTCTCTCGTGATCTGTGATTTTTTACCAAAAGCACCTCGAGTGGGTAAGAAGGTAATTTGAGTTCAAAATTAAGAGAATCATCGAAATAGAGTGAGGGAGAGATTTTCGAGTTTTTAGATACCTTTTGAGTTGGATTTTCGGAAATTGCGTTGTCGAGCCATTTTCTAACGGTTTGAAGAGTCTGAAAACGAGAATTAAAAATTGCGGGAAAAAGGAAAGAAGAAAGATTTTCATCAAAAGTTCCCTTTCGTTGTTATGCTTGTTCCGACCATAAATTAACATTTTATCAGTTCCCTGCTGCCTTCTTTTGATTATCATTTATTATTTATTCAAAGCTTACGTTACGGTACTCCTACAAGACCTCACGTTTTCCCCAAGTATCTTTTGTATGGAAAAAAGCTTGACATTATCGCTATTCAAGTATTCTTGCTTATCTTCAACTTGAGATTGACGTACGTCAAAGTATGCAATAGCTTAGACTCAAATATTTTGACGAGAGAAATTTTCGATTTGAACCTGGATTTTTGAGTAGTCAAAGCAAATCACCACCGCCGCCGCTCCTCGATAATAGCTCGCCGCAATTGCTTGAAATCGCTCGGAGCCGGCAGTGTCCCACATTTGCAACGTGAAGGGAATTCCCAAAATGTCGAACTTCTCCACTTCGAAATCCACTCCGATTGTGGCCTCACAAGGGTCTTGTTTATTCAGTTGTTCGTCGGTAGACTGAGGTGTTTTTTCTACCTCAAGAGCTAAATTATAGCTACACAGCCCATTCAAGCTCAAGTTGAGAAAATACAAAATGAGCTGTTAAAACTTTTAAGAAAATATTTTACTACGTATCTGTTTAGAGAATCTAACAAGACCCTTTCCTTGTAATCCAAGTCAAAAACATCCTGGGTGTACCTCATCACAAGTGACGTTTTGCCGACCCCAGCATCTCTAAAGCCCTTTATTATGATCCGATTGTTACGAGTTGTAATCGCATATTTTCGCGATTTCTAGCGAGAATTGATCAAGAATGATTTTAATAAGTTTTTACCCGATGACGATGACTTTTGCCAATCGAAGAGTAGAAGATGCTCTCCCTTCACGAGCAGCCCTTTTTGCACTGTTTTTGGAGTGAAAAATTTTCAGAGCCGTTTTTTTTTCAAAGCTGAGAAAACAAGAATCGTCATGGAATAAAACTGAAACCGCAAGAAAATGATACGTAAAACTCGTGGCCTCCTCCTCGAAAGTTTATCTTATCACTAGGTGCTTTTGCCAAATTCTAGAGGACAATCCTTTTAGAGCACTTTTGAGTTACTTTCAGGTACTTGTGATAGAGCGTATTTATTGACCTTATACTTCAGGAATTTTTTTTATAGAATCATAATTTCAAAAAAAATGTGTAACAGAGAAGGTTTCAAAAGATCACTCGAAAGATCAAAGTAGTAAAAAATAATTCACAGCTTCGGAACTTAGCTCAGAAACTATAATTTATCGTCTATAAATGATAAAAAGAAAGCATGGCGAGAATAATACCCGAAAATGAATCTTTTGATGGCCGTACTACTGATAAGACCTGTATTCAGAAGGGTAAATTTCATAAAACAATTCTGATCATCAGCTTTCTTCCTATTTCTTATGAAAAAATCATTTTAGAGCCTGAAAAACAAGCGGAAAAGCCGAGAACTGACACTTCCATTCCCATTTCTAACGCTGAAAAAGAGATAAATGAAGAGGAGACCACGGAACAATGCTGTTTCTTCCGCCACATCAAAATTTTCATAATCCTTATTTTCACATCAATCGCTGGTCTAATCTTTTCCTGCTTTCATTTCTGTATTCAATTGATTGAGTCTGGAGCTGATTTTTAGCTGAAATAAACTTGACGAAATTGACAGCACTTTAATGGTCACTGTAAAAATTCAGTTCGAGTCAGAACGCCTGAAATTTGAGCGTTTACAATTCAATCTCAGTCGCATAAAAGAGGGCGTAGAATTCGAAAATTCTTGGTTTGATTAACCAAAAACCGCACAGGTGTCGAAGAATGGCTAATAAGACTGACGTGAGTAAAGTTTAACAAGATAAGCAATACTCGGCAGCTACTCATGCAGCTTTTTTGCGGTCCGAGCTCAAGAAATAGTGAAATTAAATTTTGGCTTCTTTTTTCCTCCTTTCCTTTCTGAAAAATCTTCGATCGGGATTTGGGCGTTTTTCGAATATGCTTTTGGAAATTCGTGAATTTGCCGCATTTTTTTTTCTTTTCTCTCTTTTTCAAATTCAATCAATGGATTTTTTTCTTCGTCTAAATTCCAGTATCCGTTTCTTTCCAATCGATCACGTGACTCACAAAAGCCAGCTGACCAGTTTCCCTTTTCTCTCACAGAAAAAGAGGGAGACACTCTTTTTCAAAAAGAACAATAAAGATTACAAGCCGAGCAAGCACACTTTGCTTAGCCATGCGTCATCAGTTCCATTCGCTCAAGAGCAGCGAGTTTATGACTCAATTACCATCTCCCATGATTTTATGACTGGTTATTTGGGGCAAATTATGAAGCGAAATATATCATAAAATGAACAGCTGGCTTTTGATTTGTTGAACTTTGAACATAAAATCCGGTTTTTGAGTTTATGAAAAACTTAATTTTGAAAATAAACTCTTGCACCATGAATTTTTTCTGGTTATACGATGACTCCAATACCGCTAATCTAATAAACATAACAGCTAGCTAGCAATTCCAACATGGAAATGTAACAAGACTAGGTCTTTCGTGCCAAGTGGCTTATTCGCTGTATACATAGAATTAGGACTTGTGGAACCGTTCCTTCGGGGAGCTCTTAAACTTGACGTACCATAAGCTGAAAAACACGATTGGTTCTATGAATAATTTATTCAAATAATAATAATCAGGCAATTCAAGAAATTGTACAGGAAAAACAGGTTTTGTTCGAAATCTTTGTTCTTATAAATATTGCACTTATTGTCAACTCTGGCTGGTCTGAAGAATTGGGGAAGGAAGATACTAAATGGCAGTGTTATTGAAAGGAATCTCACGGTACTCGAGAAATGATTCGATTGGAAGGAGCCACTTAGTGTTCCAAAAGTACTAAAGTAGGTTAAGCTTGCTACTTCGAAATTTGACGCGTTTCTTACCTAATTTGGCAGCGGTTTTTATCGTTTCAAGCTCGATTGTTCATCTTCTCTTAGAGCTCGTCTTTTGGACTGTCCTCTGTTTCCTCTGTTTTTTCTTCTTTCTTTTCCGCTCCGGCTTTATTCTCCTCGATAAAAGTGATGAAATCGGCAATTTCTCGACCTTTGTCATAAATCATTGGCTTTCCACCAGCTGGCTTGAAATAGATCGTCGGGAAGCCCTCGACGATGTATTCTGGATTGGTGATGTCGTTGGCGACGGCGTCCATTTTCGCGATGACAGTAGATTCGTCGGCTTTGAACTCGTCACCGAGCTCGTCATAAATTGGAGCCAATTGCTGAAAATCCGATTATCTTTTTGTCGGACCACGCCTCTTTTTTGGACTGAAAGCGATGAAAAATGAAAGCTTGTCAAGTCAAAAGTTTACAGTCTAAACTTTGGACTGCAAAAAGGACAAAAGATGCAGCGAACTTTGTCTTCAAAAAATATTCTTTATCTTACTGTTGTTTAAAAAGTAAGATTACGCAAGTACTTGTTCGTTTTGGACAATCTTTCATGTACGCGAATCTTGAACAAGCTCGAAGCTGACGTACAAAACCACGTTCAAATGACAATTTAATTCGTAAGCACACGAAGAATTTGTTCATACCTTGCAATGGCCACACCAAGGAGCATAAAATTCAATCATGACATTTTTCGAGTCGTCGTCGATGATTTGCTTGAAGGTTTTTCCCACGACTTTAATGACGTTCCCTTGGGTTTTTGGCACTTTTTCGGACTTGATGAAGGGCTTGGCTTTTCCCTTTTTGAGTTTAATAAAATTCTACGCAATTTAACCGCTTATGGCAAAATAAAACTCTTTCCTTGAGAACAGATTTGACAAAATCGCTGATTTCGTCGTGATCCCACTCATCGAATTCCTCCATCGGGTAGTAAAGTTTATCCGCTCCAATGTAGCCAATATTCAGCTCCTCACCAGAATCGTGCAAGTTGAACTTTTTCAAAAGCTCCTTATTCTGATCCTCGTCCGCGACGGCAAAGATGACGTTTTCGCCTCTTTTCACAAAGTCGATTGCGATCTTGAGCACCTAAAGAAAAGCATCAATGCTGGTTCGAGGAAAAAAGGGATGAACTCTTGAAAAAGTCTTGTTTGCGATCCCTGACTTAGAATAAATTAATGGATAAATAAGGTCACTAATTGCCCCTTTTGAGTTTCAGGCTCGTTTTTCAGCTTCTTTGTTATGATTGATAAAAATAAGCATGACCAATAACATATGACCGAATACTTATTTCATTAGGAGGAAATAATGAGTCCCAGACACGAAAAAGGTTGATCACCTGTCGGGTTACAACTGGAACTCTCTCGAACGAGACATAATCCGCTTCTCGCGAGCAATGCCCCGGGGGAATGAAGAGCACGCACCCGTGGTGTCTATTCAGATAAAGTGAAAATAATATTTTGAGTGTTTTCGGAGATAAAAAGCAGAGAGCACTGACCTTCTCGCGCCATAATTGCGTGTTCTTGATGTACGCGTGAGAGAAATCCACCGAGTAGAATACCAAGCAGCGGGGATATTGGTGCTCGTAGAATTTGCTGAAAAGGGATAAAGGTAAGATCAACTGATTTAATTTGAAAATTTGCTCATACATAGGGTAAATCACTAATAATTGAGCATTTTTTTGGGCTTAGTAGGGTAGGCATATAATACCGTTTTAGAAAGCCCAAAAGCTGGGGATCATTTTGACTATTGATACCGGGGGGTGATCTTGTACCCTGAGGGCATTTAGGTACCTCCAAAGTCCTAAAATCAGGCCAATTTCAGAAATTTGAATTTTTGAATGCCTGGACTGGCCTTTCAGAGCCAGCGACTATGCTAGAATTGTAGCCCAGGCTCTGACGTTCATTTTGAGATACAGAAAAGTACTGACACCCGGGGGTTCCTGAGGAGCTAGAGGCTCTTGAAGTTGGGGAACTCCACAAAAAGTTAGTAATTTTTCATAAAAAGTACACCATTTGTGTCACAAATGCCTTCCAAACACTTTTTATCTATGTTACTTCATTGAAAAATGTTAAAGAAATCATTTGGGGTCATCAGAGGTCAAATTAGGTCACTCATGACAGTTTTCTAAATTTTTCAAAATTTCTGACCTAAAGTGACCTCAGATGATCCCAAATGATTTCTTTAACATTTTTCAATGAAGAAACATAGATAAAAAGTGTTTGGAAGGCATTTGTGACACAAATGGTGAACTTTTTATGAAAAAGTACTCACTTTTTGTCGAGTTTCCCAACTTCAAGAGCCTCTAGCTCCTTAGGAACCCCCGGGTGTCAGTACTTTTCTGTATCTCAAAATGACCGTCAGAGCCTGGGCTACAATTCTAGCATAGTCACTGGCTCTGAAAGGCCAGTCCAGGCACTCAAAAATTCAAATTTCTGAAATTGGCCAGATTTTGGGACTTTGGAGGTACCTAAATGCCCTCAGGGTACAAGATCACCCCCCGGTATCAATAGTCAAAATGATCCCCAGCTTTTGGGCTTTCTAAAACTGTATTATATGCCTACCCTTCTTAGCCCAAAAAAAAGCTCAATTATTAGTGATTTACCCTACTCATACACAAGAGAGGACCTTAATACGTAGAGAGCGGTTATCATTCGAGCCTATGACTCGAGCCATCCAATATCCCTAGAATCTGGGCTAGTGGTTAGGATTAGGGACTGGGGGGGTCCGGGGGGCGAAGCCCCTTGGCTTGGGCGTTTGGTGGGGGGTCCCGGGGGCGTAGCCCCCTGGGTTACGTTTAGGGTTAGGGATAGCTCGAATGATAACCGCCTACTACCCTTTAATATGGTCTCCTTTTTGACGGTTTTTTTGTACTGTAAGTCTATCACATCGATTTATTTTAATAATACTGAAGCATTGAACTGTCTGATTATTCCCGCTAGACTTTAAGTTAACTTTTTTCAACCCAACGACGATACCCAAGGGGATCACGCGAAAGACACAGGTAAGTGTAAGTGCTGCAGATTGAACTCAGCCATGATCTTGCGTGTTTCACTTTGATCATTTCGCGGTTGAATTTACGTCGAAAATGACGTTCATTCCGCCGAGTACATCAGCAACGATTATCGATAATTTTTACCTTGTGGCGGGAGTAACGGCTCCGACGAGAGGAAGAGTGTGCTCAATCACCCAGTTTTTGATGTCTTCTGCGCTTTTGCCGGACAAGTCCAAATCCAAGAACTGAAAAAAGAACAATTAAGATTTTCCCCTCTGATTTTCAATTATCGATTTTCATTTTGAAAGGAGTAATTATTGATGATTTTTGACAATATGCTTGCTTTCGGAGCCCAAATTCTCCATTGCGAAACATCTGCTTTTTGAAAATTACAATAATAAGAATAATTTTAAGGAGCTAAGAAGACAGAAAGACGAATAAAAGATGACCTGGTTCTCCCTTGTAAGAGGATTAGAAAAGGGAACAGACTTGAACGGCCCTGCAATTCCGCCCGTCGATGCGAATATTTATGCAGGTGAGATTAAATTGCTGAGTCACGTATTTAATCTATGCATAATTTTTGCTTCTTCTAAAAAGAAGGGTCTCATAACCGAGCAATTAAAAACCCCCTTTCATTTCAATTTTCCCGCTTCGAAAAAGAGCTCTTTTTTCTTCGAAATCGGATTTAATCTCCGATCTTAGCGAAAACTTTTGCCATTTAGAAAATCAAAGAAGGTGAGCGTTGTTGACCTCTAGAATCACAAGTCGCTCGCGATCGATCCTTTTGTTGATGCAGAGTTTCCCGAACCCCAACTTACTAGTTAACATTTGATGGCTCAAAACCTTGGTTTCAATAAACACGATGTTAAATTGAACAAGAAAAATGTATCTTTTCGTGGGATAACATCGCTCGTTCAAAAAACGTGGATTTTACGCAGCTTACGGGGCCAAAAAAGATGAAGAAATGATGAGCTTTTTGTGCTCTAAGAGCTTTGCACACAAAATGAGCAAGAAAAAGTGGCGTTTGAAGTGATCCACGATAAAGTTCGCAATATGTCCTCGCTGGATAATCCGAGGCTGAGGATCAGGAAAATATTGACAGCGAGGATTACTTTCTGTGGTCGGCAGACTGACGAGGAATTTAATTTTCAATAAGTCTATTTGGAAAAAATAAAGAGAAAAAACAACAATCGAGAATCTTTTTAAAGAATGACAACGGAAAAGTTATGGATTAAAAATATTGTTCATAGAAAATTCTAGCGCTACTTTTATGTGGTAAACTTACAATTTCGATTGATTTTAAATGATAAAAATGAGATTTTGAGTCAGAAAAGGGGAGTTTTTACAGAATATAGGCTCGAAAAAGAACAGTAAGGGGCATCTAGGTTCATTTTGTCTCGAATTAATCCGACATAAATACTCACAAATCGAAGCAAAAAGGAGCTCCAAAGCAAAACCCTAATCAGGTGTCAATTTACGACTTCGTCCCCGAGGATGATTTGAAATACAAACGCCCTAAATGTGAGCCCAAACCCTCAAAAACACCATAATATAAAAATAACCAAAACACAAGCGAAAAATGAATGGAAACTTTAAAGAATTTTCAGACGCAGAAGAGCAGGAAAGCTGGTCTGGTTATGAAAGATGCATGACCTATACGATTTTCGCGCTGTTTGTCATTTTTATACTAGGTAAGCAGAAATTCAAAGCTCTTTTCCCCCAAAATTGTATTATTATAGCGTTTGTTTACTATCTTGCAATGATTGCTGGTTAAATTTGACGCTCTAACAACTGCTAAGTACTCCTCTTTACTGTTAACACTCCTTCTGTTTGAAATTCATTGATCAATAAACGATAAAGCTTCAAGAATAACTAAAGTTATACTAAGGTAAATACCTTTTGCTCATATTTTGACTGAAGATGAGTAGGCTGGCTGAGTCGGAGGTGTCCGTTCTTGCCTCCGAAAGCGGCGACGTTTTCGCCATTGACGTGGTAGAAAGCGAAGTCTTCGCGGAGATCGTTGGCGGCATCGGCATAATTGTTGATCAGTTCGTCTTCGGGGTTTTCGAAGAAGGCAATTAAGCCCAATCCTAGAAGCCAAAGTGACGGATTAAGACAGAGAAAAGCCTACCTGGACCCTTCTTAGTGCCTTTCTCCAAAATCTTCTTGTATTCTTTCTTCACCTCCACTTCCTTGCTCGGCGGGGAGACCTGATCCAAGACATAAGAAATGATTCCCTTTCGCTCTCTCGGCCCATTGTAGTCGAATTCCTTGCCTCTTCTGAAAATCTTCAAAGTAGGGTAACCGCTGACGCCGTATTGCTGACCGAGCTCAGTGTACTTGTTCGCATCGATCTTGGCAAGCTTGATTCCGTCTTTGGCAAGTGCAGCTGCGGCGGCTTCGTATTCTGGAATGAGCTTTTTGCAATGGCCGCACCAGGGGGCGTAGAATTCGACGACTGTGAATTCTTCTCCGTTGACATAGTCTTCAAAGTTTTCGTCTGTCAATTCAACGACGAGCTCTTCTGGCTTCTTCCACTTGGAACTTCGCATGTCCAAAAGATGCTGCTTGATTGTAGCGACGTCTCGGATGTCGTTGTAGAGCATGAGTTCGCCTTTTCTGACGGAAAAGATGGTTGGGTACTCGGTCACTTCCATTTCGTCGATTTTTTGTTTCAGCTTTGTTTTTGGGTCGAAATTTTTTCAAAAAACTTATTGATATTCTTGGTACTACCAAGTTAGTAGAGAATTTTTTTCAGCTTTTATAAGATTTCGAACCCTAGCCTTGAATTCAGTTATGTCAACTTTAGCCACTCGGATGTCGTGCTCCAACAATTCCGCGGCAACTTCTTCGTAAATTGGCTTGAATTGTTGGCATTCGCCGCTCCAGGGCTGGTAGAACTCGATCATGCCGACCTTGTTGTTGGCTGGATCGATGTACTTGTCCCAAGTTTCATCGTCTTTGAGGACGACGACTCCTGCTTCGGTCAACAGGGCCGAAACCGATGCCAGAAAGCCGAGACCCAAGAGCCGCAACATTCTAGAGCAAAATTTCTTAACCCAAATTGTTAAAAATGAACAGTTTATAGATTTTTTCTCTCCAAATCTTCGCATAAGTATCTCTGTTAAAAAAATACAGCTTTTCTAGGGCGTTGTTGAGGAAGAAAGTTTCTCTCACGGCGTTGCTGACGTAATGGTGCGAGTATTACACGTGTTCAACTGCGCGCTCCTCGGAGGACGATCCCCTTTTTATTGAAAAACTAACAGAAAAGTTATGTTCACATTACAGTTTTCTCGATTTTCAGCTAGGCGAAAAATGGAGACTCATTGCAAGCTTGTAAGCTCCGGGCTATTCTCAAGGTCATCCGGAGGACCCATCCTTTCGGAAGATCACTGATTTGATGGAAGACTCTAAAAATGAAAAAAAATAGGTTTTCAGTCTCAAACTTCGAGATCTAATGAATGATAATAAACAATTTATCTTCTTTTGAGTTTTTAAACAAAGATACATGAGATAATTTGTCAACGAATTTCGCCTTTTATTTAAAATTTTAAGTTGCGCAAGTTCCAGTTGGAATTTCAACAAAGTGAGCATAGTACAAATCGAGGCTGCAGCCTCCATTTCCACCATAAATCGTTGTGGTATTAAAGCTTCCATCTTCATACGTAGTCCTTTCGATCGCGCAGTTTCCGACGTACCAGTTGTATCCGAACTGGAAGGCGGAGCTGATTGTCGCGCCAGTTTCATTCAGCGCGCCGAGGGTGCTCCAGACGTTGTCTTTGTACATCAACACGTCTAAAAAATGGATACAGAGAGATGCGAAGACATTTTGCTTACTTTTCTGAGTTCCAGTGACAGTTCTGCCGCCCATGAGATAAACAGCTGCGCCATCAGCTGTCATGGTATGTCCTCGAATGTATCCAGAGAAAGGCGCTGGAGCTTTAGTTACCCAACTGTCGCTTCCGGTGTACAGAACCTCAGTGTTGCTGTTACAGTTGTTGACGAGAGTAGAATCGCAGCCTCCAACAGTGACAAGTTCGTTCTTGAAGGTAACCATTTCGGCCCAATCGTGGCCGAAAGAAGAACTTGGAAGCTGGGTCTGCTCTTCCCCTGGCTGATAAGTCCAACATGCCTGGTGACATTTTTAGAATTTCCGAAAAACGAAAGAGGAAATACCTTGTTGTCATCAGAGTTTTCGTAGAAGCATAAAGCGACCGCTCCGTCAAAAACGCCACAGGAGCCGTACATACCATCCATGTGTTCAACAGTTAGGATTTCATTCTATAAATTCTCTAACTATGATTGACCAACCGTGTTTTCAAAAAAGCGCGATCATCAGACAAAAATTAAAAATTCTTTACGGAGGAAAACCCCTTATTAATGCCGACATGAGTTTTGTTTACTGTGATCACCAAAAAATAGTGAGGCTCACTAAGTGAGCTATCCTAGAATATCCACCCTTAGGACTTTTTTGTTCAAAAGAATCGGCATCAAGATAATCTTTTTATCTATAAATCTTAGAAAAAAATTACAAAAATGATTCTTAGAAAATAATTTCTAGAAAAAAAATATAAAAAACTTCACAAAATGAATCTTTAGACTATAAATTATAGCGTATTTTCCCTTTCACCATGTAACTTGTAATTACCATGTGAGTGATGCCGCAAGTTCCGGATTCATTGAGCTTCGAAATTTGCCTTGGTCGTTGGTAACCACCGATGATCCAGGCTTCGCCTCTGAAGACAACAGAGCAGGAGTCCTCAATGTCTAAACGAGTTTTCATTGGCACCTATCGATCTTCGATTACCAAGAACATTATAGTCAAACGCCGCTCCCTTGACACTATCATCTTCCGTGTTGATGACGAAAGCAGCAGCTACCCACTCGTGATTGATCAGAAGAACGCTTCTGTAGGAGCAGAAACTGTTGAGAGCGCAACCATCGCTTGAACTGCACCCGAGAGGACAAGCAGGGCCACAAGGACAGGTGTTCGTGCAATCGAGGTGGGTCGATTGGCACCGAGTTTGGCAGCTAGAAAAATAAGCCATGAACTTGTTGGAAGAAAAAGAAACAAACTTACGTGTAGTCATCGGGATCACAAGCAGAATCGCAAGTGAAGAGAGCGCCATTGCATTCGGATTTGCATCGTTGACCAAGATTGTAATCTACACATCGTTGGTCGGCCAAATCTTGAGCCGAAGCAGCGAGAAAAAATGTCATGGAAAGTTTCATTTTCGGGCGTTTTGATGATTTGAAACGACTTGGCACCAAAAGCTATAAATATAATGAACTATCGACCAGATGGTCATAATCTCACAGGAAAATAAGTTTTATAATTAAAGCATAATAGATTTTTTTTCGCTCAGATGGCAAAAAAAGGAAAGAAAATAAACGTGCTTTTCTGAAGAACGACGATCAAGGGCGAGGTCGGTTTTGGAGAATGCGACGTTCAGACCGACTAAAGATGATTTTGGTCAAGTTCCAAAAGGATTCGTGGCACGAGAGCTGGCAACGTTTGAATATTTTGAAGTGCGGAAGCAAAAATGGAAAGATTTCTAGTGCTGGCTGCTTATCAGCGGATGCACTTGATAAAAATAATGAAAAACGTTCAATAAATGAAAATGAAACTAATTGAATTTTGCTACTTGTGTTTATTTTATTCAGAGCTGTTCATATTTTCGCACAAAAGAAAATTTCTTAAGCTTGTCGTTCTTCGTAGAAGAGAGAAGTTGAATTTCAGCATTGTCGAATTTTTGATGCTTGAAAGATTCCTTCATTGCTTTTTCTTCAGTCCCGAATCGTTCGTGTTTGTTGCTGGAGAAGATGTTCTTGATGGTTGTTTTGGAGATCATTGCTGGTTTTTCTGTTGATTGTTGTTTTTTGATTATGACTTTTAGGCCTCTTCTCTTCGTATTTATTTGCATCCGGTGGTGTAATGCCGCCTCGTGTGACAGGGGAAGTGAAACAGATGCATATCAATTTCCAGCTTGTCGGAAAATCTGCCAGCTGGCAGTCCATTGATCTTGGCGTGGGACAACATTCTTTTTCGAGAAATTCAAAGAAGCGCTTGATTGAAATCAGCTGTCAGATCCTTTTCTTGCTTGATTTTCATCTTGAATTTCCTGTTTTTTGTATTCGTGGTTTTTCTTCGGCAAAGATATTTTGGTATTAATTTTATGATCGAAAAGTTCGATGAATTCGCATTGGAAATTTCTGGATAGAGTGCTTTTCTGGGTCTTATCATCAATTTATCGAGTAATTTATCGAGTAATTCTGATCCCAAGTCCCTCTTCTTTGAGAAAAAATTGTCTTAGAGTTGTACGTAAGTTACATATTGTGCGGTATCATTATCCACATACCGCTTCCCCCACTCTTATTCAACTGAAATTCCTCAATCTTCCAACAAGCTGTATTCATTCTTTCCCTTCCACCTGCACTTCGGTCAACTAGGTTTTAGAGTCTGTTTCTAGCGTCGAAAACAAAGGGCGGAATACAAAGTAGAACGAACTTATTTCATCTGAGAGCGCGGCACGTGTTTTTGCTTCATTTTCCAAAATTGAAAATGATCCGCTCCGAACTTCTCCCAAAAATTACTCAAAAATGAGAACTGGATATTTACTCCCCGCCCTTATTGCAAAGTCATTAGCTGACGTTTGCCCGTAAGAAGCCCCAAGCCTACAGTCATTACTGTAATGAAAATTTTTAGAGATTTGAGCAAAGGAGAGAGGTGCCAATCAAAGTGTTCAGGCGACCTTCATTACTGCTCTAGAAACTGCCAAGATGGTGATTTTTCGTAAGCTTCGTGAGAGAGAAAATGTAAAAATTTTAACGCGCTTTAAGATGTGTTACACGATGCCAGGGCGAATTCCTGGATTGTACTCAAAATTGTCCGTGTGGGCCGAATTGTCCAACATGCGACTCGTGCCCAGAAAATGAATTTTGTTCTTACACAGGAAAAGACACAGAAGCAATTCAGAATTCAATAGCTACGTAACTGTTGATTTTGTTCAAATAGAAAACACTCAGTAAAAGCGTGTTACCGCAAACTGGTCGAACACCTAACCACACGAGCTTTTTGATACAGCTTGTGGGGCTAGAGTTAGGTGACTTTTAGAGGTGCTCTTGGATTCAAAAGATCATCCGAAATTTAGTAGCAGTCAATAGCATATTTTTTCTGAACTATTTTCTATTGAACTTGAGCTGATTTTCTGGTCCCTTTTAGACCTCCTTATCCTGAATCCAAGACAGGCTGGCATTGGCAAAGGCCTTCTTATCGACACACTCTCCCAAACATACACGGCCGTGGATTATGATTACGCTTATCCGGCGAGTAAGTAATCTTTCTTTGTTGACACTTTATGAACCAGAGCTGAACGAACTTGGTTGCTAATCCGCCTTGCTTTTGGTTAAAAGGATTTTAGACATCGAGGACTCCTGCTCCGTCGTGTTTCGAGGAGTTCCATACGTTTTGGGAAGCTATTTCCAGTACCGACAAATTGCGATCGTCGGCAGAAACGCTCTAGAAGTACAGGACGAAGAGCTCTCGATTCCGCATGTTGATGGATACTATGGATCTTGCAGTACATACCATCCATGTGTTCGACTGTAAGGATTAAGATGTTCCTTTTATCTATAAATCTTAGAAAAAAAATTGCAAAAATGATTCTTAAAAAAACAATTTCTAGAAAAAAAATATATATTTCTTCTCAAAATGAATCTTTATAGACTAAAAATTATAGTGTATTTTTCCCTTTCACCATGAAACTTATAATTACCATGTGAGAGATGCCGCACGTTCCCGACTCATTGAGCTTCGAAATTTGCCTTGGTCGTTGATAACCACCGATGATCAAGGCTTCGCCTCTGAACACAACAGAGCAGGAGTCCTCAATGTCTAAACAAGTTTTCATTGGCACCTATCGATCTTCGATTACCGAGAACATTATAGTCGAATGCCGCCCCCTTGACACTATCATCTTCCGTGTTGATGACGAAAGCAGCAGCTACACACTCGTGATTGATCAACAGAACGCTTCTGTAGGAGCAGAAACTGTTAAGAGCGCAGCCATCGCTAGAACTACACCCGAGAGGACAAGCAGGGCCACAAGGACAGGTGTTGGTGCAATCGAGGTGGGTTGATTGGCACCGAGTTTGGCAGCTAGAAAAATAAGCCATGAACTTGTCGAAAGAAAAAAAAACGAACTCACGTGTAGTCATTGGGATCACAAGCAGACTCGCAAGTGAAGAGAGCGCCATTGCATTCGGATTTGCATCGTTGACCAAGATTGTAATCTACACATCGTTGGTCGGCCAAATCTTGAGCCGAAGCAGCGAGAAATAAGGTCAAAGAAAGTTTCATTTTTGGGCTGCTTGATGATTTGAAACGACTTGGCACTACAAACTTTAAATATAATGTACGATCAAACAGATGTTTATAATCTCAAAGGAGAGATCAATTATTATAGGTAAACTTGACTCAAAAGTGCAAGAAAGGGAAAAATAAATAAGATTTACTGAAAATGACTTCCAAGGACGAGGTCGGCTTTGGGGAATGCCACGTTCAGGCCGACCTAAAGTGATTTTGGTTTAATATCCAGTCAAGTTCTAAAAGGATTCGTGGCAACGTTTGATTATTTTGAAGTCCGGAAGTAAATATGGAAAGATTTCTAGTGCTGACTGCTTATCAGCGGATGCACTTGATAAAAATATTGAAAACCGTTCAATAATTGAAAATGAAAGAATTTGATTTTGCTTTTTGTGTTTTTTATTTATTTATAGCTGTTCATATTTTCGCACAAAAGAGAACTTCTTGAGCTTGTCGTTCTTCGTAGCAGAAGCAAGTTGAATTTCAGTATTGTCGAATTTCTGGTGCTTGAAAGATTCCTTCATTGCTTTTTCTTCAGTCCCGAATCGTTCGTGTTTCTTGCTGGAGAAGATGTTCTTGATGGTTGTTTTGGAGATCATTGCTGGTGATTTTGTTGATTTGTGTTTTAATTATGACTTTTGAGCCTCTTCTCCTCGTATTTATTCGCTTCCACTGGAATGATACAGCCCTCGAGTGGCAGGGGAAGTGAAACAGATGCATATCAATTTCCAGCTTGTCGGAAAATCTGCCAGCTGGCAGTCCATTGATCTTGGCGTGGGACAACACTTTTTTTCTAGAATTTCAAAGAAGCGCTTGATTAGAATCAGCTGTCAAATCGTACTCTTGCTCGATTTTTATCTTGAATTTCCTGTCGTTTTCGTGTTTATTTTTTTGCCAAAGTTTAAATTAATTTTTGATAGGGTATTTTTCTCGGTCTTATAATCCTTTTATCGCATAATTTCTTATCTCAAGCCCCTCTTCTTTGAGGAAAAATCGTCTTAGAGTTGTACGTAAGTTACATATTGTGCGGTATCATTATCCACATACCGCTTCCCCCACTCTTATTCAACTAAAATTCCTCAACTTTCCAATAAGCTGTATTCATTCTTTCCTTTCACCTGCACTTCGGTCAACTAGGTTTTAGAGTCTGTTTCTAGCGTCGAACACAAAGAGCGGAATACAAAGTAGAACGAACTTATTTTCATCTGAGAGCGCGGCACGTGTTTTTGCTTCATTATCCAAAATTGAAAATGGTCCGCTCCGAACTTCTCCCAAAAATTACTCAAAAATGAGAACTGGATATTTACTCCCCGCCCTTATTGCAAAGTCATTAGCTGACGTTTGCCCGTAAGAAGTCCCAAGCTCACAGTCATTACTGTAATGAAAAATATTTTTAAGAGATTTGAGCAAAGGAGAGAGGTGCCAATCAAAGTGTTCAGGCGATCTAGATTACTGCTCTAGAAACTGCCAAGATGGTGATTTTTCGTAAGCTTCGTGAGAGAGAAAAAGTATATAAGTGTCTTAGATGTGTTACAAGATGCCAGGGCGAATTCCTCGATTGTACTCAAAATTGTCCGTGTGGGCCGAATTGTCCAATATGCGACTCGTGTCCAGAAAATGAATTTTGTTCTTACAGAGGAAAAGACACAGAAGCAATTCAGAATTCAATAGCTACGTAACTGTTGATTTTGTTCAAATAGAAAACACTCAGTAAGAGCGTGTTACCGCAAACTGGTCGAACACCTTACCACAAGAGCTTTTTGATACAGCTTGTGGGGCTTGAATTAGGTGACTTTTAGAGGTGCTATTGGATTCAAAAGATCTTCCGAAATTAAGTAGCAGTCAATAGCATATTTTTTCTGGAACATTTTCTATTGAACTTGAGCGAATTTTTCTGGTCCCTTTTAGACCTCCTTATCCTGAACCCAAGACAGGCCGGCATTGGCAAAGGCCTTCTTATCGACACATTTTCCCAAACATACACGGCCGTGGATTATGATTACGCTTATCCGGCGAGTAAGTAATCTTTCTTTGTTGACACTTTACGAACCAAAGCTGAACGAACTTGGTTGCTAATCCGCCTTGCTTTTGGTTAAAAGGATTTTAGACATCGAGGACTCCTGCTCTGTCGTTTTCAGAGGAGTGCCATACGTTTTGGGAAGCTATTTCCAGTACCGACAAATCGCGATCGTCGGCAGAAACGCTCTAGAAGTACAGGACGAAGAGCTCTCGATTCCGCATGTTGATGGATACTATGGATCTTGCAGCGTTTTTGCCGACGCAGTGAGCCTCTGTTTCTATACAGGATTGAGCAAGTCTTGCAACTCTTGGCGGCCAGGAGAGGTTCAAGAAGAATTTGAAAACGATTCGCAGATTGCTCATGATTGGGCAAGTATGGTCACGTTTCAGGTATAAGCTTTTTTGAAATGCTTCGCAAAAGATTTTTTAAGAACCAATTGGTCACTGTTGGTGGTTGTGCTGGCGGCATTTGTCATAATAAGATGGAGTTTTTTGACGGAAGGAATTGATTCTTGATTTTGAGAAGGGTTTTTGCAATATATCTTCTTCTTTCGAATCATTAAATAGCTCTTGGACTTATGGGCCGGATCTTTCGGTGGCTGAAATCTCCGGACATGTTCTAACCACCGATCAAGAATCTATATTCCTCTTTGGCGGACAACGAAGATCTCCCGAAAATGTATTACGATATCAAAGCGGCCGGTGGACCACGCTTGGGAAGCTAAACGAGTCACGTGTCTGGCTCAGCTCGGCGATACAACTCGGCCACTTTGTCTACACAGGAAGCTGTCGCTTAGAAAAGGTTGATGTTATTGGAAAGTTTTCAACAACGGTTGTCGTTCCCGATGAAAATGGAAAATGTGATTTGGATCTGTATTATGCGACGATTTTCGAATTTCCTTCACAGATGATGCAATAAAGCTTATCATACAGATTTTGAGTATTCTTATCATCATAAGCAACATTTTTAAGCTCTTTTCTTTTATTTAAAAAGGAAAAAAAAATAATAAAAAAATCAGAATAAGTATCAAATTATTTCTTCATTGTTATATTCCATCTAATAAACGTATGCCTTCCTTCAATTCGTACAATACCGTTTTTGTCCGGAGTCAAATATTGTTTCAAGTTTTCGCTCCTCCCAGTTCCACGGCGAATGTCCTCTCCACTTGCTTCGAATTCCTTTCGTCTGCCTTAAGGAAAATTGATAATTTAAATCAAATACAGTATTATATTGAAAAGTTGGCTAAGCAAACCATTGTGAGTAAGCAACAACTTCCAAAAGCCGCTGTCTCTTCCTCTTATATTTGTTGAATGTTCGAGTCTCCATCCAGATTCTGTTACTTTCAATTCTCTGTCGTATTTAAACTTTATCATTAGGATAAATAAAGTGCGATAATATCAAGAAAAGTATGTTTTCACTGAAAAAGTGACATGTATCCCATTCCAAAAAATTGAAATTGATCGCCCCTGCTGCCATCGCCCTTAAAATTCGTCGCACGACTTCAGTATCATGAGGACGTCGACGCCTTTCGGTTCCAGTAAGATGGCCAAGTCCCTCTGTCTCTGTATGTAGCATCTGTCGTGTTTCTGCGAGCTCGTTTCTTAATTGTTCGATTTCCCCGCGTTGCCACTCGATCGTGTTTAAAAGTGGGTCTTCTCGTGACGATGGAAAAATCAAATCGGCCGGTCGAACTCCTGCTTCTAGCTGTTGTATAAGGCTAGATAGAGAAGGATGAGCCATCAATGCAGAAGCACTTTCGGCTCTTTCGCTTATATCGACAACCAAGCATCGTTGAATGAGGGCTTCCATCTCTGGGAAATCAACTTCCGCGGGTTCTCGATTATTATTTATGATATTCGTCATCGTCTGATAGTGATTTCCAAACGCAAACGGATGTCTTATGAAAACTAACAAGTTGAATTTAATTTTGGATCGAAGAAAAGTTAGCTCATTCCTAAAAGTACACAACATTTGAAAAATGATCCCAAGCGGCCACATGTCTTGACTGAAGGTGACTGGAACTGAATTTCCTTGAACATTGATTTCTTCTGGTGACAAGTACTCCATCGATCCGGCGACGCCTGTCTCAATCGTTTCCTCGGATGTTCGAGAGATGTTGAAATCAGCAATTTTAACCTGCAGCCTATCAGCTGTAAGAAGAATATTTTCAGGCTTGAGATCTCTATGCTTGATATTTTTGCCATGAATATAACCTATCAAGGAATTGAGTGAACAACAAGTACAGTTGCATCGCAAAATTTTTACTTACTCAGACCAAAAACTAGTTAGGCAGCAATTCGCAAAGCACCCTTTTGAGTCCAGAGCATTTCCGTTTGTTCATCTTTTCAATATTTATGCGATTTAATTTTAAAGGGCTTACCATAATTCTGCATTCGCTGAAAAAAATGGGCTAAATCTCCACCAGGAAGGTATTCAAGTATCATGGCATAATATCGGAATCCGTTAGTAGCAGAGAATTCGAAATGGTCAAGCATTTTTATAACGTTCTCGTGATCTTTTTTCGGTTTCCCGTTATTATTTTCAGCTAAGATTCTCAATTTTCAAATTTTCCAGAAAAAAAAAATCCATTTCTAGTTCTTGAAGAGTATCTCTTTCTAAAATCGCATCATTTTCTTCTCTTGGTCCAAGAAGTGCAATTCCCTTCAACATCTTCCTTTTATTTTCTGAAAATATGATTTGATATTCAATAATCAAGTTCTAATGCCTAGTTAGAAGGTTTATGGGGGGGGTCGACGAGAATTTTTTCAGGATTGATCGTAATTTCGCGTATACACACAGTCTGCATATGAAATTCAAATTTTTGGAATCTACAGATCCTCCTTAATCTTTTGAGCCTATAATCACTTGATAAAAATAAAAATTAGGGGCTGAAAATTGTCAAAAAATGGTCATTTTTGGTGGATTTTTGCGAAAATGGCTCTACTTTGACAAGATTTTTCACAGACTTTTTCTGGCCGAAATATTTTCTAGCCCTCGCCGATAGATTGTTTCAACCCTTTTTTATTCACCAGTTTTTTCATATTTTACCTATCTAATCAGGTTTTCCTGGATTTTTGGTTACAAAAATCCCGATTCTCTTCGACCCCCCCCCCTCCCTCAATAAGAAGGAAGCCCACTCCGAATTTTAGATTAACAGCATCTTATTTAGCACTTTTACAGTCTGCTCACCATCCTGTCGGTCCTCAAGGATATGATAAAGCTTTCCTTCTCTCGTTTCTCTCAGCTCATGCATCACTTCATAGTGGCCTTCCAGAACCTGGCCGATCATACTGATAATCACAATTTTCGTAAGCTAACTGTAGCTCATAGATGCTCGAGCTGATTGTGCAGTTATACAGTGGCCTTATGAATTCATGCGGATCGGATCCGCCCGATCCTTTTTCAAATTTACTCTTCAGGACTACTGTCAATAAGTCAAATATTTTCAAGATAAGAATAAAGTTTGCAGTTGAGTTCATTTTCCCTTTTCAAATACTGTTATTTCTTTGTGTGACAAAAATTTTATTGATGATGAGAGACGTTACATATTTGATTTGCGAGAAGATCTGTAACATGTAAGCATGCACCGAATATGTTTATGAAAAATTTAATAAAGATAGAATAGCAAATAATATAAATGATTTGAATTACTGAAGGTCGGTAACGAAAATCAAGGTCAAATAGATTGGGTGTATCTGTTCGTAAAACATGGTGATATTTGCCGAGGCGAAAAGTTTTTGGTAAATCGTTATTTGCGTAAAATATTTACCTTCTTGATTTTTGCCGGGAAGAGTTGGTTCTTTCTTCATTCTGACTTTGATAGAGTTGAGAAAAGGAGAGTCAAGATGTCGCTCGCTGGAAAATGGAAGCTCGATAAAAAGTAAAACCTTGATTTTTAATTCAGAAGATAAAACAGTTATTCAGTGAGAACTTCGACGAGTACATGAAGAAGGTCGGGGTTAGCTGGGTGCTTCGAAAAGCCGGTGCTACTGTCAGCTCTACCACTGAAATCACTCAGGAAGGCGATGGAATCCGAGTCAACACCCAGTCGACCGTCAAGTCCGCCAACGAGCTCTTCATGCCTGGCGTCGAAAAGGACGTCACCACCATGGACGGGCGCAAGGTCAAGTCCACCCTTGTCGGTGATTTGAACGGCTTCACCATCACCGAGAAGTGGGACGGTCGAGAGACCACTCTCAAGTGGGAACTGATCAACGGCGAAGTTGTCCTCACTCTCAACTGCGAAGGCGTCATTTGCAAACGAACTCACAAGAAATGTTGATTTGAAAAAACTGATTAAAATAAAAACCTCGATCAAGCAAAGATTATACTCGTTCTTCTTCTAAATTTATAATTGTAGCTCCGGAAGTCTTATTACCACTACATTCCAACAACAACATCAATTTCGATTGAATTGAGCTCAATTTTTTAGACATATAAAATAAAACGTGGTCAAAAAATAAATAACAATCTTTCAATTATATCTCTAGTTGACCATTGGCATTTTTCTCGTTTATTTGTTAACTACCGGTTTCGGATAAAATCCTTCATCAGGCTTAACAGACAATAAACAATTATTCCGATGTAAAGTAAGTTACCGTGAGGCGGCAAAAAGCACGACTGAGTTAGCAGTGTAAAAAGCGAAAACAACAAAGATCTAATCGTAACAGAAACGGCAAAAGGGGCGCCAAGAATGGATTGAAAATGAAAGACAACAGACTTCCATTTTTAGATTGTGAAATAAGATATGTAAATAATAAACTCGATCTTTATCATTATATAAAACCATCAAATTCCAATTGTGTTCCCCACTTTACAGAAAATATTTCACCACAATCACAGAAAATCGCACTACTTACTGGAGAGTTAAATCGTATCAATAATGCCTGTACCTGCACCGAGGCGCTCGAAGAGGGCCTTGAGCGAGCTAAAAGTAAATTTATAGATAATGGTTATCCTCCGAGTTTGGTAAATGAGAAAGTAAGATACATGCGAAGTAATAATTTTACTAAGCCATCTCAATCAAATGAATCGGAGGTCGTCCATTATTTCAAAGCTACTTTTACTGAAGCAAGGTGCGATTCTATTGGCAAAAAGATTCAAAAGATTATTAGGGAAGTGACACCGTCATTTCGCATAGTTATGGCCTGGCGAACAGTTCGCCTCGAATCTGTTATTTACCCAAAGTTGAAACGAGAAATTCCACTTCGAAAGAAATCTTGCGTAATCTATGAGTACAAATGTTTTTGTGGCATAAGATATCAAGGAGAAACTATGAGACCTTTAGAAAAAAGATTCCATGAACATTTCGATTTACCTGCAGTTAATTTGCCTGTTAGGTCACACTCGATGGGTTGTAAGAAATTTATGGACAAATTTAATAATTTTCAAAGTGATCCAAGCACTCTGGCTAAATTCAGAAGAAAAAACACTTCCCTCGCTACACTTCTTTGTGAATTCGCATTTCAATCTGATCTCATTTCTATCACTGAAACTTCCCTCGATAATTATCATGAACGAAAAACTGGCGAAGCTTTCCACATTAAGCTGTCAGACCCGATCTTAAACCGTCAAATTCAGAGCAAAAGTGTCAATTTTCTGTAAAAGGGGCATACATCAATCCATTCTTGGCGCCCCTTTTGCCGTTTCTGTTACGATTAGATCTTTGTTGTTTTCGCTTTTTACACTGCTAACTCAGTCGTGCTTTTTGCCGCCTCACGGTAACTTACTTTACATCGGAATAATTGTTTATTGTCTGTTAAGCCTGATGAAGGATTTTATCCGAAACCGGTAGTTATCAAATAAACGAGAAAAAAAATCTTTCAATTATTGACAATTAGGCCCTTTATCGTTGTTACGAGAATTAATTAGTCCATTTCTTTGATGATACGGCTTCATTTTTTCAAAAAGCCTCATCTTATCCAAAGAATTCATATTAGCAAATTTTTATTACGATCCCCGTCGAGCAAAACTCTTCAATCGCTGAATTGAAGTAAGGCTTTGCAGGGCAGCAGGAGCTTGCTCAACTCAACTCATAATTCAAGCAACTGCGGCAGAATCAATTAGCAGCAGTGAAGCTTGGCTTTTCAAACATTGAGCAAGAAGAGATTGAATCGACTGATTCTTAAGCCGAAGAAAATGACTTTTGCGGAGCAAAATCGGGACCCCAATGTTTTTTGTGCTCATCTTGTAGCGCAGGTTCTGAGGAGTCGAATGGTACAATTTTTCGTATTACGATCGGCAGTAACGCGAAATCCCCGAAATTGCAAATCTTTTCCGAACAGTAAAATCCAAAGCCCACGAGATCTCAGACACAAGTCCTCCTCAAGAAATCAACATTCTTCAAGAGCGGATCAAAAAGTCAAAACAAAAACTTGACAAGTAAAATTTTTAATACCAGCATTCAATTATAATAAGCATACAAGCCAATGCAGCGAAAAAAGCGGAGATGACAGAGAAACTCATCACTTCCCGCCGCGAGTACGAGCGAACAACTGGCCATGTCGAAGCTTTCTTATTAGAAGTAGCCGCCAGACAGTCCTCAGCGAAGGAGATGAGTGACTTGCTGGACATAAGCCGACCTGATATCGAAGAACTTCGTTCGATGAAAGAGTCGCTCAAGCGGGAGAAAAGAACATCTCATCACGAATCAGCTGTTGAACCAAGTTTCTGGAATGAAAACAGGCATCAGCGATGCTGCCGCTGCCTGGAAGAGCTGCGACAAAGTCATCAATAAAATTCGAGAGGAGCTAAAAATGACGGATCAGTTCTGCAACAACTACAAAGACGCCAATTCTCATGATGCAACGGAAGCGACGAACCCTGCTACATCTGATCAAGCGAAGATTATTTTCGTTCTTCTAACTTATGATTTATAATTGTAGCTCCGGAAGTCTTATTTCCACTACATTCCAACAACAACATCAATTTCGATTGAATTGAGCTCAATTTTTTAGACATATGAAATATAACGTGGTCAGAAAATAATTGAGAATTATTCAATTATTGGCAATTTGGCCCTTAATCGTTGAAACGAGAATTTATCCGTCTATTTCTTTGGCGCTTCGGCTTTATTTTTCAAAGAGCCTCATCTTATCCGAAGAATTGATTTTATCAATTTTTGTTTGATGAAACACATGTACAGGTACTTCTTTACGAAGGAGCTTGCCGTGGATCACCCATCACTGATGGGCCATCAGCATCAGCGATAGCCGTGAAGATCAGCTTGTTTTACTTTTCTCCACTGTACTTTTCTACACTCTTATCATCTCTGTGCCTAAAAGACTTGAGAGCGAAGCTTATGGATAAAAAGATTTTTTTTCTCCATCAAATAATATAAATAGTAATTTTAAACCCTTGAAAATACAGCGGCGACAATAAAAAGAGGGATGCTTTTCTTGAAATTCCTATAATTTTCTATAAATTAAAGAGGGGTGGCGTCTGGAATCGACAAAAAATCTCGACAAAAAGTTTTGAAAAAAGACGCTTCAGAAAAAAAATTCTAGAAATTTTTTGAGAAAAATTTTTTCTTAGAACTGTACAGAAATGGCTTTGGAAATTGGACATTTCTAGGCAGTTTTGGGAAAGTTTTGTCAGCCAAGAAGATAATGGACCATTATTAATTTAATTAATAATTAAAAATTTTTGTCGGGATTTTTTGTCGGTATCAGACACCTCCCCATTAAAAATGAGATTTTCCTTAAAATCGTCATTTTTGCTTATTTTTCATAGAGAATTTTACCGAAGTCGAGGGTGTTGGGATTAGTCTATAAGACGAACCCAATGTACTCTCGTCCTGGGCCACCACCCTTGATCTATTTTATGATGGAAATTTTCAACCAATCAGAAGCCTGGATTCTACAAACCGGCCAACTAGGAGCCGAGTAGCCGCCTACGCAAAATTTGTCCATTTTTTTTCTGTTCCAGACACCATCACGATCAAAAACGCTCCATTTTTATTAAGGAATCCAAAAATATAACTGAAGTTTTGAAAAAGCAAACAAAATTTCTCGTCGACCGCCTTTTTAAGGTGACCGATCGCGTTTAAGTTGCAAAGCGCAGAGATAGCTTTAAATTTGAGTAATATCCATATTATATAATTATTATATAATTATATATAATTTATCATATAAACCATACTTAATTATCTTCAGTCCTGAACTTCTCCTTCGGCGCCCTTTGGTCAACTATATAACGAGCAGACTGGCTTCCAATTTCTCATCTCCCAACTAGGGGTCTCCGATAAAGGAGCTCCGAAAGAAAATCGCAGCAAGAGAAGGCTCAAAAGAAAAAAATATGAAGATTTCAATCATTTGGCCAGGTAACTTCCAAAAAAGTTTTCTATTTTTAACTCTTTTTTTAAGCTTTTGCTATCAGCGAGAAAGCCCGAAAAACAGGCTGCAAATTAGAAGGAATGCAGCCAGACGAAGAGCTTTTGTGGGATTATACCGGATGCAGAATTCCGGGATCTTCCGAAAAGCTTTCATTTAAAAGCTCCGTCAGTTTTTCGAGACAAAGATATGTCCCGGAAGTGTTTTGAATTTAGCTCAGGTGGTCGATAGGCAAAATGATTATTTTTTTATCTCGCATATATAAAATTTATTTGATGTTAATCTAAAAATTTTCAAAACACAGAAAAAGTGTTCAAAAGTTCGATGCCACAAGCAGCCAAGCATCAGCACCCCGACGAACTTTAGAGTAGGATGCTTCGAAGGAGGGTGGAGAGAAGTGCGCTTTGTGCCTCATGGCGTTGGATGGGTGCCACAGGGAGGTGGTCACAATTTTTGCTTTATTGAGCTAAACTCGAATTAATTGTTTTTTAATAATATTGTTCTTAAAAAATTGTGACCCATATCAGTTCGAAGCATCAGTAGACTACCCTGTGTGCAAATCTCAGGGAAGTTTTCAATTGGGAATTGATTACAACTTCGAATGCCAGAAAAGCGGAATCCTGGTCACATCAAACGACTCCGTGTTTGAACTCACTGATCGCGCGGAAAATATCGAAGAAGACTGCAAAGGAAAGGTTCATATTTATACTTGATTCGCGAGTCTTCTCATCCTTGAGCCTTTTTGAGCGATTTCGCATTGGAGCAATCCTGGGGGTTCCATTTTCCTGCCAAAATGCATGCAAATTAAAGAAAACACAAGAAATTGGTAATTACTCGACGTTTTTAACGATTTATCGTTAACCTTTTTTCTTTAGGAATCGGGTTATCATATCGCGGAAAGAAGGACCTCGCAAGTGGAAGTCAAAAACGATCATGATCGAATGTAGCGATGAAGATTAACTGCCGAAATAGCGGCAAATTTACCTGTAGATAATGTATAATCACGTTTCCGATTTTTCCTGTATGTAAAAATTCTGAGAGCTGAAACCAAAAAATAAACAAATTCGCTCAACCTTACCCCGCCAAATTGTCATTTTTAGCCTACCCGCCAGGGCTGCTGAATTCGGAGCGTTTGCATTTAGCCGCGATTTTTTCAGCGGAGAATCCTGACCAATCAGAAATTTTATATGATAGCAGGTATCTTCGGAAATTTGGTTGAAAAATCCCGATTCTCGTCGACTCCCTCCTTAAGCGATTTCTTTATGAAATTTATTATTGTAGCTCCGTGAGACGGAGAAAAAGCCTAATGCGGCCTAGGTCAACGAAGGCTTACGCGGAGACCTAGTTAATGCGTGCAGGAAGGAAGAAACGTGCAAAAAAAGGATTTCTATTGAAATACGATTTTTGTCAAAAAAGGAAAGTGAGTTAATGCGGCATTAAAAACCGTCATTCGGTCTTATAAGAACATCTTTTTTTTAACCGCAACCGGATTCTAAATCTCGCGACGTATCTTCCTGACGAAAAACACGGATAATCGAAAGAGTCGTGCCGAAAATCGCACTGAAACTACCGCAAGAGTCTTACGCTGACCGTGATAAGTCTTGGAAAACAAACTGTTATGTTGTTCGTTTTTTTTCGAGAATACTAGGCATTTTTGCGCAACCTCACGTGCTTCTCTAAGTTGATAAAGAATTACTTTTGCATTGCTGAATTCCGGCGTTTTCCCAGCTGCATTACTGTAAATTTGAATTTCTGAAACTAGGGCATGACTCAGAGGAAGCTATTTAACAGTTTTCTTCTTTACCTTTTTATTAAAAAATTTTTTCGTAAAAACTCGATTTTATTAGATTTTTTTGAGAAGAAAAAAATAAAAAATTAAAATTTTTCATTCATGAACTTTGCTTTGAATCATCAAAAAAGCAAGAAGAGGAAGTTCCAAAATAGTCTTTTACTAAAGTTTGTGATTTTGGTTGGCATTGAGTATGCTTTATCAAGATTATGTCAACTCTTCGGGTGACCAACTGTCGGCTTTGGTTTTTATAAATTAATGGATTGGCGCATATATTTCGCCAGCGAGCCGCCCGACAAGCTGCAATTTACTATTCAAAAATAGAGGATTTATTCACGCGAACTCTGTTTTCGCTTTGACCTCCCTTTCAACCCATTTTCAATTACAAAATCGAAAAAATATCGTTGTTCTGAATCTACCTTTTTTATTTTTTAATCAAAGAAAGTACAGTGCGACCGAGCCGCGCTCGAGGTGAAATTGAGTGGAGAAAAAACCGATGAAAAGCAATAATCACCTAGTTTAATCATGTTACACGAGGAACGAGATTAATATTTTGAAGAAGAAAAATCGGGCACAGAGAAAAATTGAAAAAGAAGAAGAAAAGAAGTAAAAAATGCTCTGGTTTCTGCGAAAGGGATGAAATTTTTTCAACAAGAGCGAGTTTTTTTTGATTATTTTTCAATCTATACCAATTTATTATAATTAAATAAGGGGCCTCAATTTAAAAAAAAAGGAATTCATAAGCTTTAAATCTATTTAAAAAATTATTTGCGAACTGAAAATCAAATGGCTTAAAATATCCAGTCTGTATTAAAAATTCTTTTGGGATGCCAAAATTGTCTGTTAGACAAAAAGTCGAGAATAAAGGCTTTCAATAAGTAATATTCGATTTTTAATAAAAGAGTCAATAAGAAAGTCAAAGACTATTAATTTTGTTGCTTTTCCCTTGCTTGACCTCTAAGGCAAGGAAATGAAAACACTTTTTCTTGAAAGAGCAGCTGATTAATTATTCCATCAACTATTGACAAGTGCTATTTTTTGCGTTTGGCAATCATTTGCTCGTTTTTGAAAGATAAAAAATGCATCCCATCTACAGATTCTTGATGGAATTCGCTCTGTTGGCGCCCAGTCGCTTGATTGTGGAAATTCTTTTATCAACAATTATGGGGTTTGTCTGGCTAGAAATCAATCCAAACTGGATTTTTCTAGGACCCAACAGAGTTCATCTACGCAAAGCTAAAAGACCCGACATGTTATGACAGGAGAATACGGCCTAATGCTGGTGGCACTCCGACTAATGTAAGTGCACTTTCCTTTGCACTGAAGTAACTGTACATTTGTAATAACTCTGTATTTCGTTGAACATTTGAAAGATTAGATGTTGCATAATTAAACTGGTTTCAGGTAAATGTATCGCTCTACGTGTCCTCGATCGACAGTATTACGGAGACGACGATGGACTATCGACTGACTGTTTTTCTTCGCATGCGATGGATCGACCCTCGGTAAAAAATGCACTTAATTACTTTCGGTGAACTTGCAACATCTCAAACACGATCAACAGGGGATTACTATCGATTCAAAGGATAATTAGAATTTTAAGCCTCGCCCACCAGGGAACTACAAGTTTGACAGTTCATCCAGATTTGCTTGACGGAAAGTCTTCGTAAGTAAATTTAGCGATTTTAAAAATTAACAAAAAGATAAGGCACGGTATTTGGATTCCAGACCTCTTCTTCTTCAACGAGAAGAAAGCAGCTTTTCACGAAATCATCACGCAAAGTATATTCTAAAGAAAGGCCTGATGTCAAATTTATGGACTAATTTCTAGACAGGCTGCTACGAATCTCTCCAAATGGATCGATTTACGTGTCAATTAGGATTTCTATTGTACTTTCCTGCCATATGCAGCTTGAAAAGGTCGAGAATTTACGTAAAAGACTGAACTTAACATTTGTTTGTCTAGTTTCCGATGGATATGCAGCAGTGTTACATACAGGCAGAGTCCTTCGGCTACAATATGAATGATTTAGCCTTCAAGGTAACTGACCTATTTTTTTGTCGTTTTCCTTCCCCATTGACCACGAACTTTTCAATAATCAATTATACTAGTGGTCAGAGGAAAAACCAATCGACATGCCAGGAGGAATAGCCCTGCCGCAGTTCAAGATTATGGGCCACAAATTGGCCGACTGTACCAAATCATATACCTCCGGGCAATACACGTGCCTGCGGGCGACGTTTGTCCTCAAGCGAGAGATTGGATACTACATGATTCAAATATATATTCCCAGCTTTTTAATCGTCGTTCTCAGGAAAAAGTTGAAATCAAGGAAGAAAATATAGAACTAAGAGAATGGTTAGGCCTTAGGGGGAAAAAGAATATAGATTTCAACTTAAGGAAAGCTGGGTTTCTTTTTGGATAGCAGTTGAAGCGACGCCAGCTCGCGTCTCGTGACGGGCTCATTCTTTCGATCTTCAGGTCTCCATATATTAGCTGTGATTTAGTAACTTGACGGAACTGTCGTCATATTTGTCGATAGAACGGCTGAATCGAAAATGAGCCCGTAAAAAGCTCGGCATCACAACGGTGCTGACGATAACATCGATGCGTAGCGAGGCCGGCAGTTCATTGCCAAAGGTCTCGTACGTTAAAGCTATCGATATTTGGCTCTCTTTATGTATGGGTAAGTTTTTCAAGTGCGAAGAGCTCGAATGAGGCTTTATTTCAGCTTTCGTTTTCGCGGCATTGCTAGAATACGCCGTGGCGAATTATCTCAGTCGCCAGCGAAATGGAATTCTTTATAAAAACTCGATCCGTACTTATGAACTCAAGCAGTTGCTGCATAAGATTGTCAGTCGATCAAATGGAGGGAAGGATTCACAAGCGGTGAATGTATGTTTATCGAATGAAAAATTGTTCAATGCTTGTTACAGAAGCATTGGCTTATTTATCGAGCAACTGCCAAATTTATCCATATTTTATCATGAGAAAATTCACATTTGACATTTTTCTAAGCGGCGAAGGAAAAACCACCGAAAACAAGAGCGGAACAACTACAAGCACCGATCTGATCTCTATTCGAATGGACATATCGACAAGTATTCTTTGAACAACCAAATGGATCCGTATTATGACAACAAGGAAGAGTACTACGTAGAATACAGTCCAGAGGAAAATAAACAGTCGATCGAAGCTGAACTCGCAAAGGTCACATCAACAATTCATAGTTGTATCAGTAATCAATCTAAATTCAGGCAAAAAAGGAGAATAAAGAAGCCCAGGAGTACTACAAGAAGCTGTCAACAAAATTAGAAATCGAATGTCGAATTCTCTTCCCCTTGTCTTTCTTCGGATTTCTCATCTGCTACATTGTCTATTACTATTACATCACGGATGATTCCGTGGAAGTCATGCAAGGAATGACAGCTTATAATGAAACTGCAGATGAATAAAAGAAAATACGCAATTTTGAACAAAAAAAGAGTCTGTTTTTCCGCGCGGAGGGGGAGCTTTTTACCATAGCAACGGGGAATCATAATAAAGATTGAGAAAATATGGTGAGAATAGTAGTCTCAGGGAAAAATAACTGTCATGGATTCACAAAGGTAATGAGTGATTTAGGAATACATCCGGTAAACGGGAAAAGTCCCGGAAACCATAATAAATTGTAAAATATCGTTTTTAAAGAATTAAAATACAAAAACATAAACCGTTTACTTACAAAATATATTTCGCCAAAAGCTGATGAACTTAAGAATTTAATTATCATATTTTAAAGTGTGAGCTCTTGGCAGAACTTGTCCGAGCGGATAACCCAAATTTTACCGTGGAGAAAAAATCATGCTCCCCCGAGTCATGGTCTCAGCTGGTAAATTCCGTCTGTAAGAAAAATCGGTTTACTTGGGCAGAATCACCACTGGTTTATCGAGAACTTGCGGATACCGGAGGTCGAGCGGATCTGATTGGCAATTATTCTGACTTCGCCGAATATGCCAATCTTTACTATGGAAAGAATCTGAAGATGAGCTCAGAAATGATTAAAAAGATTACACAAGAAAATCAAGTATCTGCCGAAGAATCAGAAAAAAGAGAAAGACAGCGAGTAAATGAAGAGCGCCCTCTGAGAATCGCGATTTTTAACGCCGACTCAAAATTTGCCTATCAATTCTGCAACTTCCTCATCGCCGAAAATTTTCATCAGGAAAAGCTAAAAAATGGTTTGGGAATTACTTTGATTGGGGAAACTTGCGAGGGCTTGGCTTTGGAGCTTTTCGATACGGCTGATGGAAAGCTGAAGATGGTACATTGCGGCAGAATCTTAGATGATGTCAAAATCAAGGAGGACGAGCTAGAATTCGCTGTTATTTTCGATAAGGAAGAAGGTGATGGTACTGATGGAATTCTCGGGTGAGTGATTTCCTTAATAATATCCATTTTACCACCAAAATAAGCTGGCTTGGGAAGAATAAAGATCACTACGTCAATATCGCGAATTCGCTCAAAAATCATTCTCGCTGTAAAGTTCTCCTCTCCAGCGTTTATCCAACTGTCGTTGCCGCAATTCTAGACTCTGAAGGATTCAAGGGAACGATAATTGCATCTGCTTCTGATTTACAGAACTCAATTCGCGCAATGATTGCGAGGGAAAGCGAGGGCAAAATTTCAACAAACCAAGTCAAGAATATCAAAGTCTTCGGTTCGCTTCAATTTCTGGTAATAAGTGATAGAATGTTTAAGGCTCCACGAGCGCAAGTGAAGCATACGTTGGTGTGAATTCAATCCAACTTGACGACATTGACAGTTCCATAAATGGACCCTCAGGATTCAGACGAGTTTTGAGGCCAATTATTTACAAGAAACAATTTCTCGAGGTTATCACATTTTGTTATCTCTTTGTTCTTGAAGTCTTTTTAGAATTTTGAGAGCGCAATCGCTTCGAAAAAGCTAGGTATCCTAGCAAGAACAAAAGGACTTGTCGAGACCCTCAAAGTTTTCATCGACAATGACGAGGAGAAAATTCTCAGTCTTGTCCAGCCGACTCCGGATTTGCCAGATGAATATGCTGAACTTGATCTCAGGTACCTAATCATGGATTCACGACAAATCAATTCTGATTTTAAAGCATGCGATTTTTCGCTGTTCCCGGTTCTTTCAAACAAGGCAAGTTCGAAGTCAGTAAAATGGAGCTGCAAAAAGAAGATAAGGAAAAAATCCGTAAAATTTCGGCAAAATTGATGCTTTTTGAAACACTTATCGACACTCCTACAGAAGAACGGCTCGATATCTTAAACGAGTTCTATTCCAAATGCTGATCTTTTCAATTTTACAAATATATTTCTTTAAAAAAAAGCTTGATTCATTGCTTTGACATAATTCTAGCATGCTGTCATCTGATTTGTCCTCGAGCAACAAAACAGGTCCTTGCTTGATTAAATTGCATTCTTCTTCAAATGAAATCGGTCAGGCTAGAACGAAAATTGCTGGTGCCAGCGCCGGCAAGTTTCACATTTCGAAATTTGTGCAAGTCTGTCCGAGAAGCAAATATTTGCGACATGCAAAAAAGCTTAGTCCCCTTGTAATCAAGGCTACTATTTCAGAGACGAGAGAATTTTCTTCACGACTGAAAGAAAAAACGATTCAACTTTTAAAATCTTCATAAAAAATTAATTTTGATATTTTAGAACGTGGCCATTATCGAAAAGTTTTAAAAAAGATAGCTTTTTTCGGCGGTTTATGCGCCTCAGGCGGGCTCTAGAAATTCTTTTCACTATCAAATGACCGTAGTAACCTAACAGCTCTCTTTTCAAGCGTGTATCCGCTCTATTGGGCTCTTTCATTTTTTCTTTTTGCTTTCATTAGCAAGATTTAGTTATTTTATAAACGACCTTTCAACCGCAAAATAATAGTGTTTCCTTTCATTAATCATCTGGTTCCGAAGAAAAAGGACGCCATAATCGTCATATCTTCGGAAATCATCAATCCTTGATTGACAATCTTGCGGTCACGGATCCAGAGAAAAAGGGAACTTCCTTCTCCGAGTTTATTATTTTTTTCTGACAAAATCTAGAGCCAACCAAAAAGAACACCAATAATTCTCATTTTCTACAATCTCCGCAAACCCAGATGACAGGCAAAATCGCTCCATGTAAGAACTTTTCTTTTTTGAATCTTCTAACAAAGTTCATTCTAGCGCCTGTTAGTGCGTCATCCGTGAGCTTCACGAAAGACGATACTGATTTTACTGCTGAAAGCTATGCTACTGACAAGTGCAAGCGAACTCTGACGATTATTTCTTACTTTCTCACGGCTGGCATCAGTTTCTTAAGTAAATCAGCCAGCTGTTCATTGTTCCATATTTCATTTTCTAGCGCTGCATTGGAAACCAAACTGGTGGATCAAATGCAACAAGAAACGAGTCGACCTGCTCTCTGCCGATACAATCTTTATCCACGAAAAAACTGGATCGTATGACGAGTACTTTATCCACAGCGCTCATTACTGGGATACGAACAAGATCAAGCGTCATTTTTCCGTCGAAAATGCCCTCGTCGAAGTACCAAATCTTCTTTCTTTCCGGCACAAGGCCCAACGATTCTTTCTGACTGGCGAAAAGACCCTCACACAAGTTGACTCCCTTCAAGTTTCAAAAACATCTGACTTGACCAACGGACAAGAAATCAACAATACTGAAGAATCGCGTGAGATCTTCGGTCGAAACGAGATCATCGTAAAAGTACCAAGCGTCATCGAGATTTTCTACAAAGAAGTCTTCAACTTCTTCTACGTCTTTCAGCTCTTCAGCGTCATCTTGTGGAGCATCGATGAGTACCTCGCCTATGCAATGTCGATTTTGATCTTGACGCTCATCTCCGTCGTGATTTTGATTTATAACATCAAGACGAATCGAACCCGGTTATCTGAAATGGTCCAGAAAAACAATGCTGACAGAGTGACAAAAATCATCAACGGGAAGGAAGTTTCCACTTCAGCCGGCGACCTTGTTCCAGGCGACAAAATAGCACTGTCTGTGGGTGACGTCATCCCAGCCGACCTGGTTTTGATAAGTGGTGAAGTCGTCCTTGACGAAGCAATGCTTACTGGCGAATCGGTTCCTGTCGTGAAATTGCCACTTCCCGCGGGGGATAGTTACTTTACTCCCGACCTCTTCAAGAATTCGATGCTTTCCTCAGGCACAATCGTTCTCCAGACCAGGGGATCTGTAGAAGCTGTGGTCTACCGCACCGGGTTTTTAACCACCAGAGGGAACTTGGTCCGATCGATTTTGTTCCCGAAACCGGTAAAGGTTAAATTCGAGTCTGATGCATTTTGGTTCGTGATTGGAATGTTTCTCGTCGCCCTGCTTGGATTTGTCTACACCGTTATCACCCACTACTACGGCTGTATTCCAGGAGGTGAAATTGTTGTCAAAGGTCTTGATTTGGTCACAATTTCTGTCCCACCAGCCTTGCCGATGGCAATGGCGATTGGCTCTATTCACGCGCAAAGAAGGCTTGTTCAGAAGAAAATCTTCACTTTGACACCGAATCGGATTAATTTGGGCGGCGGAATCAACATTTGCTTGTTTGACAAGACGGGTACGCTGACAGAAGACGGGTTGAATTTTGCTGGAGTTGTTCCAAAAGGAACAGATGGAAGAATTTTGAGCACGGAGGCGATTATGATGCCGCTTTTAGCTTTATGCCACACTTTAACAATCATAAAGAAGAAGCTCTCCGGCGACCCCCTGGAAGTCGCGCTCTTCGAAGCCACAGGGTGGGAACTCCCATCTTCTCAATCAACAAACTTGGTTGTCAAAGACCCTAAATCTTCTGAAGAATGGACTCATATCAACACCTTTCCTTTTACTTCCGAAACGGCGAGGCAAACAGTGATCGCGAAAAACAAAGCGACAGGAGAAGTAAAAATTGTGGTAAAAGGCGCGCCGGAAGTAATAAAAGGTCTTTGCGATGAAACGAGTCTGCCGGAGAATTTCGATGAAGTTCTGGAAAAGTTCACGTCTGAAGGATTGAGAATCATTGCTTATGCACAAAAGGAAGGTAGCGAAGAAGACGCGGGAAAAGATAGATTTATCGTGGAGGACAAGGTGAATTTTGAAGGATTCGCGATTTTGAGAAATGACTTGAAGCCGGAAACAGCTGGCGTTTTGAAGAACCTTCAAGAAGCAGGAATAAGAACTTTGATGGTTACTGGTGACAATATTAACACGGCAATCGCTGTGGCCAAGAAATGCAATCTCTTCGATGAGAAATTAGAAGTGATCAAGCCAAGCTTTGACAGCAAAGAAGAATACAAAGGAAACCGGCTCATTTGGAGAAAAGCGTCTAATGAAGAAGAATATGTCCAGAGCATTGATGTTACTCAATCATCTTCATTTACTGTCGCCATGACTGGAAAGGACTTGGAAAAGCTACTTGCAGAGTATCCTCATCTCGTCGAATCGATTTTTGCAAAGACTTCAATTTTCGCAAGAGTGTCACCGAATCAAAAAGCTGAAATTGTCGCAAAATACGAGGATATGGATCAAATTGCGAGCTTCTGCGGAGACGGGGCGAATGATGTCGCGGCGCTGAAGCGGGCAAGTGTTGGAATTTCTTTGTCAGAGCTTGAAGCCAGTGTTGCTGCGCCATTTACATCTCAGGTAGCAGATATCAGATGTGTGGAGGAGTTGATAAAGGAGGGGAGATGCAGCTTGGTCACAACGGTCGGAATGTTTAAGGTACAGTTTCTTTTGTTTTCTGTTCTCAGACTTTCAGTGGATCGCGCTTTATTCCTTCATCCAAATGATCACCATCCTCATCTCCTACTGGAACCTCTCCAACCTATCAGACTGGAGTTACCTCTACATTGACCTGTTTATGCTTGAACCGCTTGCGCTGACCTTTGGTCTGACAGCAGCTTATGACACCATATCGAAAAGAATTCCAGACGCCCGTCTTTTGACAGCGCGCACAATGACCTCGACAGCAGTACACATTCTGCTCGTTGCAATTGCGCAAGCAGCCGTCTATGTGTACACAGTCAATCAGGAACGGTTCAAAAGTTTAACTGCGAACAGGGTCAAACAGCGCCCGGTACAGGAACTGTATCAAATGATAGTAGCTCTCAATGAGGTTCTACGTCATTTTCTCCATGGTTGTTGAAGGTCAACTTTTATTGAACCAAATAAAAGGAATGGTACTGCAGTATTTCTTCTGATCAGCCAGACTGCTTCATTCGGGATAACGATGGCGATATCTTGGGCATCTATGAAAGAATAAACGGTGACCCGGTATGCGAAAGGGCTGGAAGTTGCGAACATATTTCGTTGAATACGGACATGGAAAGATGCGAAGATTTTGACCCGGAAGATTATGACTACGAGATGAGAAATGCTAATTACATCACTCAATGTGAGTTTCTTTTTCTTTTTATTATTTAAATACCTCTCCTTCAGCTCTTTTCTACATGACCTGCTTCCAATACCTCTTCTACATCATCATTTTCTCCCGTGGCGCCCCCTTCCGGAAGCCCGTTTTTACGAACTGGATCCTTATTCTCGTCTGTATCGGGCTCCTCGCAGCTACTTTCTGCCTCCTGCTGATTGATTCTAAGGGAATTTACGAAACATTCGCGATGGATTTCACCGTCGATGAGGAATCTGGGTTTTTGTCAGCCAATGCGACGGGTGACATTTACTATCCGCCGATTCCGACGATTGGTGATGACTTTTATGGTGGATTTAGATGGATGTAAGTTTGAAAAAATATCTTAAAAATGATTTGACCAACGAAATATTCAGATTGGTAGTCATTGCTGCGATTCAAATCGTCATTGCTTACTTTTTCGAGGAAGTTTTCATTTCGCGCGACTGGCTCTGGAATTTCGTCAAGCGATGCCAGCGAAAACGGCACAAAGGAAAGCGATTCCGGCGAATCGACGAAGATGTTGCAGCTGCCAAAAATTGGCCATATTTGACTGAGAAGAATGAAACGAAGATTTAGATTTTTACAACTTATGCTTACTTACAGAATATATTTTACTAACACTTACTTTTTCAATAGCAGCGGTTTATTGTTAGCGGATTTAGACAGTGATGTACAAAAATTAGCAAAGCTAGAGTGAAAAATGAAACATACTGTATGTTACATACAAGATCAAGGACTAGAGATCTAAGCAGCAGGCTGTTGGAGTTTTTATCGGAAAGGAGACATGTTTTCGCGCACCGTTGTATAATGAGATGTATCTGAAGATATTTTGGTCAATTTGGGTTTCAAAACAAAAAATAAACTCATGGACGAGACCTATCGTTTACTTACAGATTCATGTTTATGGTTCTGTATTGGCTCGGATAGCATCTTATTGGTCGTTCCAACTCATGAACTTCTGTTTTGCAGCATTCGTACAAGACCAGATGCTTCGCTCGATGATCTGAGTCTCATTTTAAGCACAAGATTTCTAACCTCATTTCTTACCAAAAAGATCAGACAGCAAGAAATTTGGGCATCGTGGCGAATTCATTAGCTGCTGCGGGCCTGAGCAGAGACCCCATGAATGAGCTTGAGTATTGTCATGGCAAAGGTACTTCGAGGCCATTCGATCAAATTTGTTGATTACTGGAGAAATGCATGTGTTCAGATCGAGTCCGTTTTCGGCTAGTGGGATGCGTATACTTGAACTATCGCATTTGAAACAATCTCTTTTTCCAGGGCAAACCTTAACAAAGGAAATCATTTTAAGACTCGAAGGTTGAAAGAAAGAATCAATCAAGAAAATGAAGAGTTAAAAATCTTCTCCTTACCTTCCGCTCGAGCCACATTTTCGCAACTGCGTTTCCACACAGAAGGTCTTCTACGATTTGATTTTCCGTGTATCTGTCTTTTTCTAGACGACATCCTTCGTGGTTGTTTCTTGAAGTGCGTATCAGTATGTAACCGTCTGAATTTTGCGATTTGCTGGATGAAGTTAGAAGATAGTTTGAAATGATGTCCGAAATTGAGGGTTCTTCATTTAGTCTTAGAGGACTTCTGACAGCTGCTACTAAGGCGAATCCTTGAATGCAAATAAATCTCATGTTTCTTTTTGAGAAGATAACAAGTCTGATTGCTCCGTAACTAGCATTGACTGGTTAAATACTTGATTTTACAGCGCCATCTCTGGCGGATTTTCTAGTCAAGCCGGAGTTATTCCTCCGCCGATTTTCTTGAAAATGTCAAAAAGAAAGGTGCTTAGATACGAGGGAGTTATGGTGGGATTTTCGCAGAAAAGTCATTGTGACTGACAGCAATCATCGATTTACCGTAAATGATGAAAGGAAACATTTAGTGGAGGAAGAAAAAGGCTGACCCTTTAAAATCAGCCGGCACGATCAGATTAGATTTTCAACGCTGACAAGGTCGTGCGCTCAGAATTCATACAACAACCTTTGTCGCTGGTTTTATTTGAATCTGATTTCGCGTGGATTTGGAGACGAAATATCATAATATCCGCTGAAAGTGCTGACTTCCAAGATTAGCTATCTTATATAATTGTCTATTTTATTTGTTGGGAAATTTCTCGAATAACGATTTCTCGAGAATTTTCGAAAAAATAGCGATTATCATCATCCTAAAATCATCGAAAAAAAAAATTGTCAAGCAAGGTTGAGATAAAATCAAAAACGTTAGCCTTAAAAGTCCTTACTCTCGATCGGTTGGGTTCAAGGATGGCGAGTGGCGATTCTCGGCAGAATTGGGAGCATATTTGGTTTGTCTTTATAAACGAAAATATTCAAACGTCTGATGACCAAGCATGTCATGAACATAATTTCAGCATATGACAAAGATTTTACAGCTCTGAATCATGAGAAACAAATAATCCCACAGATATGATAATTCCACCTGGATTCAGGACGATACACGAGAACGCAAAAGACCTTTATGTTCTTTGTAAATATACAGAACATCTTTACGTCGAAGCGATCTATTTTTAGAATATGACTTACAACTCGATCCCCACGAGATTAGTCGGCAGATACTTTTAAGACTGTTTCATAATGTCAGATTCTCTCCTCATTCATTTCTTCATGTGTCATTATTTTACTTACTCATGACTGAAATCCAGTTGAACTTTTCGATTCGTGTTACCATATCCTTCGATAATCTGAAAACCTTTCGAGACATTTTCTAACATACCAAGTAACGAGTAACTAGGTAATCAACGATGTTTTGTGCAACTTTCAAGCTTCTTCCAGATAAAAAGAAGAATGATTTCCAGCCAGGATTAAATTTAATCGCACCTTTTCGGTATCTGACTTTTTGGAAATATCGCTCGCTAACCGCAAATTCGAAAAACTGCGATTCGAAATGCTGAATTTGACCTAAACTTTGCGCATAAAAAGAAACGCGCGGCGAGAGAGGATTAATCTTTGAGTCGGTGCGTCCAGCAAGTAAGTGAATTTTCGAGAGATATTTAATTCGAATATCGAGATAAAAAATTTGTATTTATTAATAAAAATATTCTTCAGTCGAAGTCAAAGATGCTGCTGTCAGCACTACTCATTGGGCTTGCCCATGGGTACGCCGGTACCTGTCGTACTATTGACCAATCTCGATGGTCAACCGGAATCACCACTGCTTGGGGAGGAGCCGAACAGGCCCAGCTCGCGATTGATTTCGATAACAGCAATAAATTCGAAAACTTCGTCCTCAACGATGAGACCTACATTCTGGTCCATTTCCTTGTCGACGTCAACATGTTGACCGTCAACCCTCACTACCCAACCAACCAGGATTGTCTCCAGGGCGTCCCAGCTGGCCAAGAGAACACTAACGGTTGTACCGACTGCGTTTGCGCTACGTGCTCATGTGGATACGGTTTCACCGAGTCCAAGGTTCTCTACATGGAAGTCGATGATGACGAGTCAGGTCGAGATATCCAGAATGGCAACCCATCTCAATACTTCGAGTTCCAGCTCCTCAACAAGCCCGTCAGTTGGTTTTACATCGATGCTGTCGACTTTGTCGAGGTCTGCCAGGGTATTTCTCCAACCATCACTGGTACTACCGCCACCAACTCTCCCGAAGATATCGCCACCCCAGAAGACATCAAGGCCGAGCTCAATCCCGGCTACGCTCAGGGCAACGTCCACTCTCTTGCCACCTGGCGACGATCTATGACCCTCCACTTTGCCGTCGAGGGCGCTACTCCCGTCCGAGAGAACGATTACGTCCTTGTTTCTTTCGATGGTGAAATCAGTATCATTGACTTCTGGTCTCCCTTCAAGGAAGTCGTTCAGGTCGGAGATCTTGCCAACGAGAACGTCTGGCTCTTCCGATTTGATGCCGACTACAACATTGTCAAATCAGGCGGCGGCGGAAACTGGTATGGTAACATGCATCTCGGCTTTACTGGTTCCAACTGGCAGCGACCAGCCGTCAACTGGGTTTGCGTTGTCGAAGATCCTTCAAACAAGGGTGGTGCCACAACGACCACTACTACCACTACAACCACCACTACACCACCAACAACGACCACTACAGTTGCTGCTGATCCGATCAAATACCCTCTTTACTCTGGAACCTGCTACTCAGGAAACTGGACCTGGTGGGAGAACACCGACACTGTCGATGACGGAATCGATCAGGAACTCTATTCTAACTCAATCATGCAATGCCCGTACCCACAGATTGCCGCAATGAAGATGATGGATCTCGAAGACCCTGATCTCACCGAGACCTTCCAAGTCATTGATATCGACTATGAAGCCGGATCTGGAACTTGTGATAACGCCAACCAAGATCCTTCTGATCTCTGTCACGAGTACATGGTCAGCTTCTGCTGCGAAGACTGCTGCCCACTCCTCGAAGTCACCGCCCGAGACGACAACCCACCAGAGCTCATTGAATACTATGAGAACTACCCAGGTCTGTACAAGCTCCAGACCGACCTTTTCAACGACGCCATTACCTACCGACAAGTTCTCGGCAAGGACGACAGCGGCAATGACGTCTTCGGCGAGGGTATCATCTACTACTGGGAAGATGTTGGATGGCTCTTGGGCGCCAACACTTTCACATACTCCTACTACTCTGACGGAATTGGTGAGCGATGCCCACAATTCGCTCCAAAGAACTGGACCAACCGTGTCTACGGTACCGAGCTCAATGTTGAGTGTATCCCAGTTGTCCCATCTTGCAATGACGTCGAATGTGTCGAGAATGCTTTCTGTGTTATGACTGGCTGGGGCCCAGAGTGCATGTGCATTCCTGGCTACACCAAATACGAAGATGGATCCTGCCTCAACACCACTACCGACTCTGTTCTCTACGACGGTCTCTGCACTGACGGATACGAATGGGGAGATTGGCTTAACATGGATGACCCACAAAATGACGGTGATTGGGAAACTCTCCGAATGGCTGATATGACCCAGGCTTGTATCAACCCCAAGGCTGTGGAAGCTCAGCGAGTCGACGCTTCCGATACCACCCCAATGGTCGCACATATTTCCCGAGAACTCGGATTCTGGTGCATCAACAACGAGCAAGCTGGTGGTCAATGCATTGACTACGAGGTCCGATTCTGCTGCGAGAAATACTCCGCTGGAAGCGACTGCACTGAAGATGGTTATGCCTGGACTGAATTCCTTAACCAAGATATTCCATTCGATTTCGGTGATTTCGAAACACCAACCTACTGGGGAGAAGCTGATGTCTGCGCCAAGCCTGTCGGTGTTGAAGCTCGACCAGTTGCTGGAACTACTGGCTCTACTGAAATCACTCACATCGACGCCGAAGAAGGTTTCTGGTGCATCAACGAGGAGAACCCAACTGATTGCGCCGATTTCGAGGCTCGATTCTGCTGCCCAGCTGTCAGCACTGAAGCTGATGCTGATGGTTGGTACGTTGTCAATGAAGGTGAGTGCACTGACCGAACTATGAGCTGGTCAAACTGGCTCAACGCTGACGATCCAGCTGGTGAGGGTGATTACGAAACACTTGCCAAGTTCAACCGATTGGATGTCTGCGGAAACCCAACTGGTGTCCAGGCCCGAACTAAATCTAACGAGACCGATGCCATTCATCTCAACTTGGAGTCTGGCTTCTGGTGCGTGAATGACGAAAACACTGATGATGGCTGTGCTGACTATGAAGTCCGATTCTGCTGCCCACGATTCCGAGTTGGAACTTGTGAAGGCCCACAGGCTTCCTGGACTGGCTGGTACAACGACGAATGGAACAAGAAGAACGAGCGTCTCTGGGTTTCCAACAAGCAGGAACTCGAACTCAACCAGATCTACGGTGATGGTGGAGCTTGCAAGTCACCAACTGGCGCTGAAGTCCGAGTCCGACCAACTGGATCAACTTCTTTCCAGAACACCATGTGGGACTACTCCTTGAACCTCATCCAGCATCTTGACCTCGATGGATACCGATGTTACAACGACGAGCAGCTCGACACCGCAGCTGGTGGCAAATACAAATGTGTCGATATGGAGATAAGATTCTGCTGTGAACAGTTTGGGGTTAACGGAGAGGGCAGGGTCAATAGATATTTCTATCATGAAAAAATAATTTAAAGATATGATACCTTTTGACCTGATTTTAACTTTTTCAAATCATTTTCATGGGCTCACTAGATCTGCTTCTGCTAAGTTACAAAAAACAGCGTTAGATTTTTTATTGCCGCTTTGTAACTGGTTTTAGATCGTAATTTTGCTTTACGCTATATTGGTGGCTATCGCTATATTGTCGCTATAAAATGGGGTTTTCTGATCCATTCATTCTAAATACGCTCATAAATCCAGTCCGTGAACCCAAAAACAGAGTCTTGTCTACGGATCCTGCGATCAAGATGGCTATGAATGGTCCGACTGGCTTAACGATGACACTCCATCTGGAGCTGGTGATTATGAAACACTCTCCAAGTACTCCGGCAACGAAGCTTGCGCCAACCCAATCGCTGCTCAGGCACAAGCTACTGATGATGGCTCTGTTGAGTACACTCATATCGACACTACCATTGGTTTCTACTGTCTCAACGATGAGCAGAGCACTGGACAATGTGCTGATTTCGAAGTCCGATATTGCTGCCCCAAGATGCAGGTCGGTACTTGTAACGTCAAGGGATGGGAATGGACTCCCTTCTACAACGTTGATGATGCTTCTGGAACTGGTGACTGGGAAATGCTCCACAACCTTGAGCCAAACCAGGCTTGCCTTAACCCAATGGGAGCAAAGGTCCGAGATACACAGGCCGGCTACTACGGTACTTCCGATGCTGTCACTCATCTTTCTCTTGAAGGATTCTACTGCTTGAACGAGGAACAGCCAAGTGGTATGCCATGCGCTGACTTCGAAATCTCTTTCTGCTGCCCAACCGACGAGACCATGACTTGTGAGACTGCCGAAGAAGAATGGTGCTCTGAGAACGAGTGGTGCCTCGAAACCAAAGACGGCCCAGTCTGCAAATGTGGTGATGATGATTTCTCCGTCGACCCAGACAGCGAAGATTTCACCAAGTACGAGGATGGCGAGTGTCTTGCCAATGTCTCTCCTTACCCAGCAATCAATGGCAACTTCACTATGGAATGGGGTTCCTGCACTCAGTACGGTCACGCCTGGTCCAGCTGGTTCTCTCTTGACACTGCTGATGCTGAGGGTGACTTTGAGCTCCTCTCTAGCTTCGATGCCCATCAGATCTGCGCTAATCCAACTGGTCTCCGAGCTCAGGCTCTCGATACTGGTCTTGGTGCCTGGCCAGTCCATGCCGATCTTGACATCGGTTTCTGGTGCGTCAACAGCGAGCAGGACGGTGGCGCTTGCGAGGACTTCTCTATCCAGGTCTGCTGCCCAGTCTTTGCCACTGGCGATTGCCCAACTGGCTACAACTGGACCGACTGGTACAACAATGACGATCCTCTTGAATCTGGTGACTGGGAAATGCGAAGCGACGATATGTGCGCCAAGCCAGCTGCTCTCCAGGTCCGAACTCTTGATGGAAGCCCACTTAACAGCATTATCCACATGGACAATGATGTTGGATTCTGGTGCATCAATGAGGAAAATATGCCAGAAGCTTGCAACGACTACCAGGTCTCTTTCTGCTGCCCAGAGCTTGACCAGGGCGAGTGCACTGAATACGGTCACACTTGGGGATCATGGCTCGATTCTGATGATCCAGATGGACAGGGTGACTTCGAGACCCTTAACGGCTTCACCGGATACCAAGTCTGCGACGCTCCAACTGGCATTATTGCTCAGGGCATCAACGGTACTGACTCCCCCGACGAGATGAAACGAGTTTCTGTCTCTGAAGGATTTGTTTGCATGAACGACGAGTTCGATACTTGCTCTGACTTTGAGGTCCAATGGTGCTGCCCTAAATGGGGACACTCTTCCAACGGCGATGATCACTGCATGCTCAAGGGCTTCGAATGGACTCCGTGGATGAACGAAGATTCTCCACTTACCGGAACTGGTGATTGGGAAACTATTCAGTCTCAGTCCGAACTCAAGGTTTGTAGCAACCCAACTGCCATCCAGGCCTACCCAGCCAGTGCTGGTGCCACTGCCAACACTCACATCGATGTCGAAATTGGTTTCTGGTGCCTCAATGAGGAGAACGCTGCCGACTGTGCCGACTTCGAGGTCCGATGGTGCTGTCCAACTTATGACGACTTTGAGTGTGACGAAGAGGGTTACGAGTGGACTGAATGGCTTGATCGAGATGATCCAATCGGAGAAGGAGACTACGAAACACGATTCTCTTACCCACAAGGATCCGTCTGCGAAGATCCAATTGCCATCCAGTCTCAAGCACGAACTGCTGGTTCTACCGCTTTCACTCACGTCGACCTTGCCTACGGTTTCTGGTGCGATAACTCTGAGCAGCCAAATGGTGCTCAATGCGCTGATTTCGAGGTCCGATACTGCTGCCCTAAGATGAAGGAGGTCGCTTGCGACGCTGAAGGTTATGGATGGACTGTCTGGCTTGATCGAGATGATCCAATTGAATCTGGTGACTGGGAGAACAAGGATGGTTTCCCAGCTTACATTGTCTGCAAGGACCCACTCGCTGTTGAGGCCGCTGTCGTCACTGGCTCCACCGGCTCCACTGCTGTCACTCATCTTGATAACGACCAAGGTTTCTGGTGCATCAATGATGAACAGCCAAAGGATGAGGTCTGCGCCGACTTCGAGGTCCGATTCTGCTGCCCAATCGAATACACCAACCCATGCCCCAAGCCAGAGGCTCTCGTGTCCCCCAACTCTCATATCAAGTACAACCCAAGCACCTACGCCTGTGAGTGCGTTTGCGATTACGGCTACACTCGAGACTGGTCTGCTGGTCCACCAATTGACACTTCCTGGGCTTGCGAGAACGACGAACAGACTTGCATCAAGATGTTTGCTCCAGATACCTATGCTAATGCCGAAGCTCACTGTCAGCTCCTGACTGGTCGAATCGTCGAAGTTCCTAATGGCGACTACATGCAATGGCTTGATAACCTCGGTCTTACCGGCTACTTTGTCAACCCCGCCAATGTTGACTACTCTCGATGGGGACCAGGTCATCCAAATGACGCCGCTGGCTTCGAATGCCAGATTGTCGATACTGATGGATTCTGGCGATCTGTTGATTGCGCTACCGCCACTCATGCCTACGCCTGCCAGGTCGATCAGGAGCCAATTGTCTGTGTCAAGGATGTCGATCCATGCGTCGCTACTTCTACTTCCTGTGTTGACTTCAACATTTGCCTCAACGCTGACGGATTCCTCACCAACCTTGCCACTCTCGGTCCCTTCGCTGGTGAGCCAGAGAAGGTTAAATCCTACCAAGTTGGATGTGCTGACCCAGATGCCATCCCAGCCACCAACGCTGGAGGAACTGATGGAGCTATCCACGTAAGAATTTATTTCAAAACGAAAATTAGTTTGACTTTCAGTGCATCTGTGACGGTAAATCCGACTGTTACTGGGAATCACCTGACTTCCTCGGAGAACTCACCGAAGAAGAGATGTGCATTACGGATACAACATGCCCAGTCAGGTACTTATTCATTCTTATGTATTCTTTCGATTCTCAATTATCTCTTTCAGCATGTTCAAGACTTACACCGGTGAACTCCAATTCCTCCGAAACAGCTTCATCAACGATCCTCTCCACAACACTCTCCAGGCCGATCTCTGGGACTTCGAGATGGCTGAGGTTCTTGGCCGAATCGAGACCACTGCTCTTGCCAACTTCGAGTCTGCTGACTGGGACTGGAGCCAGGGTCACTACTTGGTCGTTGTCTGGCCTTCCACTCTTGAGGTAAATTATATATATCGCTTCAAAAATAAGAAAAAATAAGGATAACAACATTCTCTCCGTCTACCCATACGGAGACTACGTCGACCCAGGATTCACTTCTGAGTTCGGTGATGGTGCCGTCCAAGTCTGGGAGACTCACTACAACCCACTTGTCCTCCGAGATGGTACTGCTCGAGATATAACTACTAGCAACATTGAGGTAAGAAATATTTCTAGAACTTCGAATAACCTCAATTTTAGGTTGTTCTTGATATCCGACACACCAAGGAAGCCGCTGATATCGATGATCTCCTTGTTTTCCGAATCGCTATGGTCCCCAAGACCTGGCGAGACGCTTACAATGATCTTCAGACTACTACTGGTATTTTTTGTACTCTATTTTATCTCTACCAAGTGTTTTAGTCGAGGGTCTTTCCAACTGCTTGAACCACATGCTCGACGACAAGGCTAAGTTCCACCCATCTCTTCGATCTCACCGAAAGCCAGTTTCTGCTCCAGTCAAGCCCGCCAAGCCCGCCAACAAGGGACCATCGGCCAAGCCACAGAAGAAGAAGAAGTGGCAGAAGAAGAAGAAGATGTCCAAGGGCGAATGGGCTGCCAAGCAGGCCAAGCGACAAGCTCGACTCAACGGACAATAATTTTATTTCTGTTCGAAGCAAAGAACTCTTTTCTTTTAAATATTAATAAATTGTTCTGGCCGATTCTTATCTCTTTGATTTTATATGAACATTATACGCAGATATTGAGGTTTCTGCTTCAACACGAGAAATTTACCAATCGAAATCAATAAGTCCTTCTAATCCAGTTTTTCCTGTCAATTAGACTCGGCAAATCCTGCACTTAAAATGTCAAAACTTGTTACTTTCTATCGGCATAATTGGCTCTTCTCGCTTCGGGAAAGTCATTTTGCCGGACTTGAAGATGGACTTTCAGAGATACAGCTCGATCCGTATTTTTTGGTACTTTTTCTACCTGCTAGGAATATGCTACACGATTTTTGCAATTATTGGAAGTCTTTCAGGAAGTTAAAATATCACAATTTTTATTCGCACTAAGGAAAATAATCAGTCAAAAATAGCAGTGGCAGATTTATAGTCAAGTTAAATTTATTAGTACTCAGCCGATTCTGCATCATTAAATGTGTCCACTTCTTCATGTTTTCATTTTACGTTCTTCTCATTATCTCCAGCCAGGATATTCGTATTTTTCATTTTTCATATTTTTATGCACATTTATCGGAGTCAAAGACGTCGTTTCCATAAGCCGTTGAGGTAAGATCTTCATAAAAAGTACCGTTATCTTCGCCGTCCATATCTTAGTCTTTTTTCTCGATTTTTTTTTTGAGTTCTGATGAGGAACATTCTCGCGAGGAGTATTTAAAGCTTTCGAAGGGAAAAGGATCTCTTTGTTCATCATCTTGATGGGCCGCGAAAAAAGACAAACATAAATGCGTAGCTAAGGCGCTCAGTTGAGCTCGGAGTCACTGAAAGATAGACTCAATGACGCATTTTTATGATTCGCAAACAAGGAATCCCAATGGTTTTCCTTTTGTTTGACGTTTATGTTTGTTATTGGAATTTCAAATTTATAGGATAAAAGAAATTTAAGGGAAAAAGGAAAACTATTTATTTTGCCAAGGAACTTAATGATTGTCAATGAATGATTCCAATGTTCAATGTGATTCTACTTCATCATACTGTTGAACACTCACTAAGAACTCTAGTCATCACATTACTATTTTCTAAGAAAAAGAAGAGTTTTATCTAGTCAGAAGATACGCAAATATAAAAAAGACAGTATTCATTTTTAAAATAAAAAGTTCCGCATTTCTCATGAATCATGACACTCATTTTTGTCAGAAGCGTCATTCAGAAACAGTTCTTACGCCCAATTCCGGAATATTTTTTCAGCGAAAATGGCAAAATTGTGCGGATTTTCGATAAAAAAATTTTTCTCCTCTCAAAAAATCTGTTTTTATGGGGTCAACCTCAAAATGGCTTTTTTGCACTGGTTTCTTTGACCCTTTTGTGATTCTTATAATACGATCACGTGATAAATAAGGTCTAATTCTAGTTCTCGATTCGTGTTCGAGGAAATTCTCTCAAAGTCTAACCACGGTCAATCGAAGTTGGGCGATTAGAAAGTCAATTTTATTATAAGGATGAGCTCTAAAATCGACGAATAATTAATGACGAATGTAAACAATAAATGTAGATTCCTTTATCTTGTTTCATTTTAGGTAAAAGTTAAAACCTTACCCTTATGCTTATCGGCGCCTAGAGCCTTAACCTAAAAACCGAGTTTTCGAGGTTTTCTCCTTTGAAAATGTCAAGAAAAAGTAACTCTTCTCGCGTTCAGCTCATTTTATTTCTTTTTATAACAAAAGCTTTTTTTTTGATTATTTACGAGTCAATTGTCTCTTCATAACGAAAAATGTTATTGCTTTGTTTTCCCCTGATCGAAGAAAGCCTCAATAATGTTTTTTTACAGTTTTATTAAGTTTAACTGGTCCAAAATGAGTTCGTTGAATTCAACAAACTCTTGAAATAAATAGATAAATAAATAATAATAAATAATAAAGAATGAACAGCAAAGAATCTACAGGACGAATGATTGAAGAGGCAGAAAAACGCAGAGAAAAAAACTGCCAGACCGGCGGTCTTCTAATTTTCGTGTTCTTTAGCTACATCTATCAGAGTTATCATAAATCTCATGATCATCGACGTACTCATTTATATCTCGGTAGAAGTCTTGGGAGTTTTCATCGGGATTTCCATCATCGTGATGCATGAGTTTTGCGTGTAATTTGTTAAAAATACTAAAGTAAATTTCTCAATAAGATATTCTTCTTTATCGAATCGAGTCTTGCGTTTATCTTTTTTACAAAAATATTCTCGAGTATTTTTTTCTCTAAACACGATATTTTCTGTGAATTTATGCAACCTATCATCGTTTATATAGGTCTTTGATTTTCCTTTTTTTGGGGAAATTTCTATAAGGAAAATCCCCTGATTAGATTCAAGCAAGGGAAAACAATAAAGAGATTAACATTATTTACGATCGTTAATAATCGCTGGAATTTGAGCGCGTGAATCTCTGTTCAAATGTATGATAAATAATTATCTTCTATGCGGATCTGAACACACTAATTTTTGCGAAAATCATCAAATAAAAGGTCATTCTAACTTGCATAATAAAATAAAATTTTAATTTCTTTTGTGATATCAACAAAGACTACAAAAGCTTCCCCTCGATGATTCGTCGGTCTCCTGGAACAACATCGATTTCTTTTCCGAAAATCAAACTTTGCTCACAATCCATGCATTCTAGGAATGACTCATACACTGGATAATTCAAATATATGTAAACCCGGTTCGAGGAGTCACTGCAAGGCGGTCTCTGGAAGCGAGATATCCAAATATCGACTTTAAAATACTCATCCAGCTTTATGGCATCTTCCGTTAGTTTAGTCATCCATTCTTCTGTAAGTCCGCTTTTAGATAAAATCGAGAATATGTCGGCAGAAGAATATGCAATGGCATATCTCCAAGATCCTCGTAAAATCCTCGAAATCGAGGAAAACCTTCAAGAACCCTGGACGACATTGAACAAAATTGACCTCGATGAATTCATGGCGAATACAAGGCCTGAATACATGTAAGAAAAGCTTCAATTTTCATTACATGAGCTTAATTAGATTGAGGACTTGTAAGTTAAACAGCTACGATTGCAAGCACTTTTGGCGATTCGAAAAGTCGCTGATTGGACATTGTCTAGCTTTCGGAAAGGATGATTAGTTATTTTCTGAAGAGAAGACACGTGACGGGAAAACTACCGGTATAAAAGGGAAACTAGTGTTTTGGCCATCTTGAGTTCCCTCTTTTGGAATATTTTCAGCTTGTCCCTTTTCTCAAAACCCTTTGCCCTTTCCTTTATCTGAAATTAATGTTATATTTCCTATCATCCTCCAAGATCCAAATCCACTCATCGCCTCGTCGAACATGCGAAAGGTCTCCCTCAGCCTCTCCGTCGTCCAAAACGAAAGCGACATCACTTACGGCTGGAATGGCTACGTTACTGGCTACGGAATCTATTACATGCACTTTGCAGATAACGTTGAAGATCAACTCCATGAAATACTTGTTTCGGAAAGTGTTACGCCAATTGTCACTTTTCAAAATGTCCAGAGAAAGTTTTTAAGTAAGCCTTTTTTTATTAATTTATTTGGAAAAATTCTAGATAAACCATTCACGGAGTGCAAGCCAAGTTTGGCGACTAACAATTTCAGCGACATGGAACATCATTTTGAGCATCGAGAACATCATGAGTTTTACTCCCAGGGAATCGTCATCAAACAACTATTTACTGAGTTAACATCGTTAATCCGCCTATCACTGAGAGCCCCCCTTTTTCGTCTCAAACTTGTAATGACAGGTTTAAAAGAACGAATGCGAAATGGAACATCTTCTGAAGGACATCTGCAGCGTTTGTGGATGCTTTCCGAACTACATCGCTATCGCCCGTGAAATGAAGCCGCTCAACTGGTCAATTAGTTTTTCCCATCATTTCTTTATCAAATTTCTAGCACGAAAAAATGCACCTTCTTCCGCCATGCAACTTGCGCCTCAAGAATGATCAACAATCGTGAGTGGATTACTGACTGTCTCCCGGCATGTGACAGTTTCTCCTTTTCTCAAGAGTCCATTCAGTACGCTCAGCTAAATACTAAGGTGATTCAATTCGCGCGCGGGTTTTCCCCTCAAACATGATTCGCGTTCAGATTTCCCAAGCAATAAAACGAAACGACCCAGACATGAGCATGAATTCCATTGTCATCAATTTGGCGGAGGAAACGAATGTTCTCGAAGAAGAACAAGGTACTCTTACGAAGAGTTATTCAAACAATATAAAGCTTACTTCATTCAATTTCAATTAGCAACTTATACCACTCCTCAATTTATCTCGGACGTTGGTGGTTCTGCTGGACTGGTTCTTGGAATCAATATGTTATCGGTAAGGTTGATCGTGAATCATTTATCAGTAAATTTCAGAAACCATAATTTTCTTTATAAAAATAAAACTTGTAAATTTTTGATTAACAATTTTGATTTTGACAATGATTTCAAATGCAAAATAATGCGCAGCTTAAAATTAAAGCAAATTATTAATAACAATCAATAACAAAATAAAGTCTTATGACTCATAAGTTATGAGACCAAGATACTAAAAAAAGGAAATAGATTCTGACATTCGGTCAACGCATCATCGAATTCTTCATCAAAGGAGGATTCAACAGCAAACGAGGAGATGGCGACTCTCCAGAGAAAATCTTCGGAGTCGGGACCGACAAGTAATACCTTCGTTTCTGTTTGTTCATTTTTTACCTTCTGATCGTTTCCGTCAAAATCTTATCAGACGACCCAGCCACGTGACGGACGAATTGCTGCTTATTTCTGAGCAGCGGCGGATTCGGGCAAATCAGCTGAAATGGAAGAAACAGGCGGAAATGATGGAGGAAGCGCGAAAAAATTTCCGCGATCGGCTTTTGGCAGAAGACGAAGAAGAGTATAGAATTCCAAAGCTCATTTTCGCCCCGCAAAATATCGGTAATCTCATTTTCTCTATTTCAGGGTCTTTTAAGGGCCATTTTAGCTTCATGTATTTTTGAAGGCGAAAGACAAATCGACGAGAGAATCGTCCTGACTCGAAGGGATGAAGAAATAACAATTGAGCCAAAGCCTCGAAGATCTCCATTTTCAATGAACCTTTGAAACTTATAAATGTCTTAAAAATTGGATTAAAAATGCGCTGTCAGAAATGCTCAAAGGTGTCACAAAAATTGACATGAAAAACATGTTTTGAAGAATTCTTTCTGGTCAAATTATGAGATCATCTTTACCGAGCTCGCCGACTTTTCAAAGAATTTTCTTCTTTTTCTATTAAATGTAAAATTGGAGCGAATGGAGCTTATCAGAGGTTAATGACCAAGAACCATACTATTTCGAGGGAAAACAGTTTCTTGAGATCGTTTATTTGAATAACAATCCTTCGAATTATAATTACCTACTTGGTCTAAACATAGAGTGCAAGGATACTTAAGCGACCGTCTCATTCCATTTTGCATCATAGAAGATAATTTCTTTGAGAAAAAATCATGCGATTTTTCAAGCTTCTGTCTTTTTCCGCGGTAGCGTCTGCTCAAGAGAGAGGGTATTATAAAGATCTGATTGTATCCGATCTTGATGATTTTTTGCTTCTCTGGGAGTATCACCGATTCGGAGAGAAAAATGGGGTTACAAGAAGGGGATACTTATTTTCAAGTGCGAAAATGCTGATTTTTTTTTTGTTAAAAAATATTTTCTAAATGCATCAAGATTATAAATTTGTGTAAAAGATTGCCAAAGTTGACCTCTCATGAATCGATGATTGAAATTATTTTTGGGACGCGTTTCGGCCTCAAGGGGCCTTCGTCAGCCCTAAGTACAGATTTAAATGAACGTTCAAAAACAGGAAAATTTAAATTTCTGTAATGGAGCATTTGTAATTCGCTTTCTTCTGGCGCTCCATTACATCTGCCCGCGAAAGCGAATTATGTTTTTATGTTTTCAATCTTTGCCTTCATTCGAAATTGTCCACTCTAGGTGAGAGACTGTTTTTTCCTGTTTTTGAACGTTCATTTAAATCTGTACTTAGGGCTGACGAAGGCCCCTTGAGGCCGAAACGCGTCCCAAAAATAAATTTCAATCATCGATTTGTGTGAAACTCGTTTTATTTTTTGTTTTCCATAAATAAAATCCCGTGATAATTCGTTTCCTCAAAATAGAAAAGATAAGAAAATGCGACAACGAGTTGCCGCAATCAAGAAACGAATGGATCGCTTCGACAGGCCTGATACTTGCGCAAAGCCATGGTTAATCGATCCTTCTACGGCCATGAACACATGGTTTTCCAATCTTGATGCTCATCCTTGCACCGTTGCGAGCAATTTGGTTGAAGGGACTGAACTCTGGCTTCAGAATTTTGGCTGCCAAGGTTTTTTTCTTGTTTTTTTTATGAAAAATATTTGGTTTTTAGACGCGATTATCGAGCGATTTGAAACGAATTATGGCGACAAAAACTGGAACAGTCGAAAAGACAGCCGAAAAATTGCTCGTCGAAAAAGGATGATTTACCGATACAATCTTGAAATCACCCGTGCTCCATGCAGACAAGACTTTCTCCATGGTCATGTTGAGGAAACAACTTCGCCTGAAACTTCGACCCAAGGATCAACTGAAGCTACAACAACTACTGTCTTTACGACTACCACGCAACCTTGGTGGACATCTGCCTGGTGGGCATCGGCAGTGACAGTTAATAATGGGCGCTGACTTGATTGCTAACAATAAATTTGCTTCGTTGTTTTGCGCAGCATTCATCGTCTAAGTGTTTTGTTGTTTTGTAATTACAGTTTGAGTAAATAGTTCAGTTCAGCGCACGGAATTTGGTCCACGTAGCCACGTGACCTCCTCGCAGCGATTAGAGGCTTTGAGATAACCCCGGTCCAGCCGAGGACTATCACCAAATATTTATCGCAAGCGGAATTCTCTAACTTGCGTACTCCGACTAAAAGAGCACTAGTGCCACTAGGACGAAGATAAGCCTGAAGTGCACCTGTCTCCCGTTCTTTTTTGTTAACACCTTCGTTTGGAAGTCTTTTTTCCGCAGTCACGCATACACGTTAAGGGGACCTGACAGTGATAAGGAACAGGAGAGAGAGGTTAAAATAATGTCAAATAAAGTCACTTAAAATACAGTTTTGTTCATAGACTATGAATCATAGTGTCCTTAGTGTTAAGATTATTCTTCTTTAAACTGATAATTCTTCCAGCAAGAGGGGTCCTCCAGGCAAAAAAAGAAAAAGTCAATTGCCCGCTTGGTGTCGCTTATTCGGGCTTCTGTTTCTGGGTTATCTTCAAAAATCATCTGAAATCGTCGCGAAAAATTAATTTTTCTGTCAAATCGAGAAAGCGATCCTCTTCCTTTTTGTCTCCGAAACCTTATTTCAGATAAAGTGGGTCAAAAAATCTGGTGTCTATAAGTTTCGTTAGTTTCTTTTGCAGCATGAAAAGCATGTTCCTTTCTGCATCATCATGTCTTCTCCACGTGTTTTTTGCTGAGTTTCAAACAACACTTTGTTTTGTTTTTTAAAAAAGAGCAGAACAGAAAGGCTTTATTCACGTTCGTTGTTCGACAGAAAAGAATCGTATGTACAGTTCTATCATTCGTCACCGTTGTTTTTTTCTTTGACTTTTCGCTTTTGGAGTTTTTACAATTCCTTTTTCGCTTTTATGAAAAAGGTAAAAATGCACATGGAACATTGAAATAAATTATTCGAAAATAAAATTTATAGCATCGTTCGATTTTCAAAGCGTTTGAGTCGAGCGCGAACGGACAGGTTGGAGACGTCATCGTCAGAGCTGAATATTTTTTGTTAAAGTTGTGCAAATGGTAATCGCCGATTATGCAAGGCGGTCAGGGAGGAGACAGCGGCTAAGGAAGCACGAAAAAGGGAGGAGATAGGCAATTATGGACAACGCACTAAGCACTAATGAGATTTTTAAGGGGCAAAAATGATAAGAAATAGAAAAACTTGAATATGATTTTGGTCAAATTATTGACCAATCAGATGGCCACATTCGGCTGGTGAGCCAATCAGATTTCAGAAAAAATAGCCTTGACCAATCAAAAACGGTCATTTTAAGGGAATTTTTAATCCTATTCGGAAAGTACGGAATCTTCATTGAGATTGATCTCAAGTGGTCAATTTTAAACCCACTTCGATTTTTATTTTTGCAGCGGAAACTCATCCCTTTGTAATCATAATCCAGCACGTGCCTCACTCAAATCTGCTCTGTTTGAAATCGAGCCTCGCTTCTTCTAGAGCTCTTATCATTTTAACCATTTTAGAAAGCGTGTCCCGAAATCAAGCCCAAACCGCTTTCACGGTCAAGTCTTAATCCTAATTGCTGATTATTCCATTTCAAATTTGCAGATTTTTCGCCTCTTCCGCAAAACATGACCTAATAGATCAGCACTCGATCTAGTTTCGTCCAGGTATTTTATCATTCTAGCGTTTGGAAGAGCGAAAAAGGGGGCAGGGATAGTTAGGTTAGAAAGAGCTTCTGAAGATGTTATCTGAGGTGTGGTGCGTGTAAACATGACCAGAGAGGAACAGATTTGCTTTTTGGTAAGTTATGGACCTCGAAGCTTTCAAGGCTTTTTTCCAAGAAGAAAGATATAGTCTATATCATATAGAATGCATGACTGTGACTTTTGAGCTGACAGAATCTGACAGTAAGTGCGTAAGGGAGAGACTTGCACTTCTTGAATTATTAAATCATCTATCAAGAATCGGTTTATAAGCTCCTTTTTCTTAGAAAGGGGGGATATCATGAGATTTTTATTTTCGTTGGTGAATGTTTTCCTTAAAGATATAACAGCCAGTTTTATTGCACATGGAAAGCTTTACCAAAGTGTAAGTCTCCAGGAAGCTACTCTTATTAAGGATCTCCTCCCGCTTATCTCGCAAATTTCAAACTGCGTTCACTGCATGTATACCCTTAGGGGTCCCAAGTTTAACCCTTAGGGGTATTGAAATGTATCTATAAAAGAATTCTAGAGCAAAAAGAAATAGGGGATACCCTTAAGAACCGCTCTATCAACTCATTTTAAGATGGAAGAGCACACACTTGATGACTTGTTCCCCTATCTATCCAATTACTGGAACTCTGCCGAAGAAGAGCATCATCATCTTGTGACGGAAATCAAACATCTCATCAAAAATGAACTTCCAGCCGAATAAAGAAATTCTCTCACCTATTTGAGCTCGGACTTTGCGAAGAAATGGCCGAGTCCGCCCAAGAAATCCGTTTATTTTGATCCTTAGCGCGTCTTTCAGCGCTCTGGAGGATCGGTTTTGGTTTGCTTATGCTTTTCAGTGGAACTGAAACTGGCTTCGAACTCGCGGCCGGAATCTGAATTTTGTTTTGATTAACGATACTACTCCCTGATTTCGGCAAGGCGGCGGCGACGCTAGTCGTTGTTGTTTTTGTTTGTGCTTGAGCTTGTGGTTTTGTTTGCGGCTGTTTGCCGACCACGACGGCTGGGGTTGACTTCAGGGGCGCACTCTGATTATTAACTTGTTTAGGTATTTCGGGAGAAGCGGGTTTCGGAGCTGGAGAAACATTTTGAACTGCGGCTTGTTTTTGAGAAACGAGCTTTTGCTTCGAGGACAGGTCGGATTCCAGCTTTTCGAGGCGTTTTAGCTCGGCGTTCAATTTATCATCCTTCGCCTGAAATAATTCAAGATAACTTCAGATAATCACCATAATTATTTTATGATTTTTCTTCGTAAAAATATTAAGCATCTTAAAAGATGGACAAGAAAATTAAACGACAATTAGGACAGATAGGTCGATGTTTATTAATAAATTGAAAATTTTCGTCATTATCAATTTTCTACCTTGATGGCCGCCATTTTTGTTTTGATCAAATTTTCTTTCTCCTGAACTGATTTTTCAAACTCCCTCAATTTTCGCTCTTTTTCTACTAAATTTTCCTTCTTCACTTTTAATTTTCCATGTAGCTCTTCAAGTTTTTCTTTTCTTTGAGTTAATTTTTGAGAGAAAGTTTGAAGCTTCATCCAGGTCAATTTTCAATTCAATTTTGAGAAAACGTTTTTGCGTGAGAAAAGATGACCCGTTCCTTAATCTCGGTGGAGGAGACCCGCGCCGCGGCCAGTTGATTCTTCGTAACGGCGGCGATCGACGTTGCTGAGCTCTAGAACAAATCCAATTAACAAAGAAGGCAAAAGAAGGTCCTGCAGACGGAAGTAGCTGAGCTCTTCCGAGAAAGCAATCAATTGAGACTTTTTTTTCGAAACTATCAAGAATAACTTCTTTTCCCTTTTTTCTTATATTCGAGTTTTTGAGCCGAAAAAGGAGACTTTTCGACTGATCTCAGCGTGGGGCGGAAATGCCAGGTGGTTTAGGGCTGGTTTAGTTGTCCTAAAGCGTCAGCGAACGCAAACGCTTTTGGGTGGAATTTTTGTCAATTTCGTATTCTACCAGCCAAGCCCATCTGGCCGCACCTTATTGAAAGACGGTATCTTCATCTGAATTTTGTTTCGAGCAACAAAGGGCGACCCAAATTTTGTTCAAAGAAAGAATATCGAAATTCAAAAAAAATAAATCCTTTTCGGAAGTTTAAAATATTTACTTTCAGCCACTCCCGTTTTAAATATTTTTAATCTGGCTTAATATTTTTGATTGAAATCGGGCCCGTTTATGCTGAGCCGACTGAATTAGCGACTGAATTAACCCGGCTTCAAAGATGACGGAAGAGAAAGCCAAACTCATTCCTGCCCTTCTAAGCCGCGGAAAATATTATCGTCACGTGGAGGGTTTTCCGATAAGGAGGCCTCTAGAAAAGGGTTATCTGGAACACGTTCGTTTTTCAAAAGGGTCGGTTTTTCATTATCGTCGTTTTTTGTTTATGTTTTTAGAAAATGGAAGAGACAAAAATGAACAAAAGCATTTGACAGATCGGACAGGAATTTTTGACCAATGAGATGTCTTCATTCGGCCCTTTGGCCAATCAAATTTAATAAAAATGAAAATTTTATCGAATAAACCAAAAAAAACTCGCATTTCCAGCACCGTTTTTTTTGGAATGATTTGGCGAAATTATTGTTGACACCCTTAACTCCTCGAAATAAATTTATCTTTACCTGTTCTTTTTTATCTTCATCCATCATCGACAGCTCCGAATCCGAGCTGGCCGTAAGTCCAATTGAATTCCACCTTGTCGTCAAATAGGAGTCATCACGAGTCGCCGATCTTGAGCGCAACTCTCTCTTCGCCCTCTAAAATTATTCATTAGAAAAAGAAGCAAGAAGCTCAAAGTAGCAATGATCTTAATTGAACACAGCTTGCTCGATTTGAAACTTCTAAATGACCAATTAATTGGAGAGCAAAAAGGAGGATTTGGCGGTTATAAAGAGTTTATTTTGAAAAGGTAATTTCCGACAGACGACGTAACGTTTCGCCCTTTCTCGTATGAGACGAGTTGAATAAATATTTTATGAAAATGAGCGGATTTTAAAATAAATGTCGTAGGGGTAATCAAACTTCTCTGAAAATCCGAGATTTCGTAAAATTATTTTTTATTAAAAAATTATCAATTTAATAATTTAATAGAATTAAAAAAAATGAAGAAATTTTTTTAGGTCAAATTTTGAATATTAAATATAAACTTTTATTTAAAAAAATAAATTTTACCGAAATCTTTGCTCCTCCTTCCGATCCAGAAGAAGAATTGCTCGTTGGAAGAGTGAGAGTAGCGGTCAGATTTCTCGCCCGTTTCGTTTTCTTTTTCTTCTTGACTGTTGTCAGCACGATTCTCCGATCGACCATTTCTTTGTGAAGAGCTTTGACAAGTTGAATCTGCTTTTCGGCGGGTTTTTCGTCGTCTGAGTCCATTTCCTGAAAAGCAATTTGAGAAAAGAAGTTGAACTTTTTGGCGCTTGAAAATTCGCTGATTCGTGGCCAGAAACCGACAGTTACGGATTTGATTAGAAAATTAGCGAAATTAGCCTCGTGGATTCACCGGTTCGATAATCCATCTGCGGTAATCGATCTGCCATGCTCTCAAGCTCAAGCCCACATTCGCGTTTTTACGCCTCCTCTAGAATCCACGGAGGAAGTCGTGTCTACCGTTTTAGTTCGACTTTATCTTATTTTTTTCCGATCTGGCTTAGAAATCGTGCAATTTTTTCTCATACCGAGAAAAACATCGATTTTCACGAAATTTTTCCAAACTAAAATTTTCTTTTTTTTTCCTTATTTTCGGAAAATTCCGAATTTCGTGAAAATCCACTTTGTTTTGAAGCTTTCGTAAACTCGGACTCGACGATCGAGTTTTGTAAATTTTCGTTAATTTCGTGCATTCAAAAAAGGGCACGTTTTTGATAAACAAAAGCGTCGTTTTTACGAAAGCGAAAGCGGCAATTTTTCAATTTGGGGGTTCTTCAAAGGAGCGGTTTCTTGAACATTGATAAAAAAACGAAGCGGGCGGTAACGACTTTCACGGGAGTTAGAAATACAACCGAGATATGATTCAAACAATGAATTTGAACATTGATGAATTCCGCGAGAGTTGGGAATGAATCTTTTTTTTTCCAAAGCGTTCTTTTAACAAAGTACTTATGCTCAAGATAGTTATGTGCGCATGTTCTAAATCTTGATTTAGAATTCGGCCCCGGACCTGGAATGTTGATCACGTGCCGGCCCTGCGACTGGGCGGAACCACGAATACGTTCTTATGAAATTTAAATGATCGTTGATTGCATTTCAAGATAATTAAAGAACTCTTCGATTTCGATTTACCGCGAATCAAAAAAAAAACTAAAAAAAAACTCGCTTCTTTAGTTCCTTCAAAATCCAACAGGAAATTGGTATGTCTCGCGAAAAACCGCAAGAACCACAAAATCAGCGTCCCAAAAAGTGCTCCTTTCTTTTTCTTATGACTCAAAACGCTGTGTCCTTATCAAAACGCTGGGAAAGCGCTCTTGTTAACCTTCCGTTGCGCGTTGTACTCTGTTCCGGTCAATCTCGAAAACAGGCGAAAATGCGGCTTCTTCTACTTGTTTTTCAAAATGGCGTTTCAAAGCGAGTTTAGAGTAGGAGCGAGTTCTCCCAGGCCAGTTGAGAAATACAAGTTTGAAACGCAAAAGAAACGCAAGAATGTCGAAAATCCAACCGAAAGTCAAAAAGATATTTTCACGAGAAGACTTGAGAGGCCATTTGTCTTGTTTGCTGAGCCAGAAAAAAATGCGGCTCCTGCAATTTATCAACCTCGAAAAAGGGAGGAGAAAAGGCTTTTGTGCCGTGGTTTTCGGCCAAAGAGCCGGATGGGCCGGTCATTAGCCTGTGACGGTGGGAGATTTGCGTCGCCGAAGTGCCAGCAGGCGACCCCAGAACACCATTAGTAGACATTTACCAGAACACCTCTAAAATAAAATCGACCCCGGCAACGGCGCTTTTGCCCCTCTTGGTTCCACCATATGTACATTTTGGAAATTCAATTTTTTCCAAGCCTCTGCTGAATAAACTGACATGGCTGAATGATTAGCGCTTACCGACTTTGCTGAAAAACTGTTCCATTTTTTATTTTAGAAAATACGATTTTTAAATTTAAAATGGCTCTTGGAGCCATGATTGTTTCTCTTCTTTTATTGGTCTACTGTTTTTTTCTCCACGACAAACTGTTCTTTGAGAGGGAAGGAAACTCGTTTCTTTCAAAACTGTTCGGGACTCGAGCTGTTTCAGATCATGACGAGGAATGTATGTTTAGAAGAAATTGATAAACGTAAGTTTTTATGGTTATTTCAGTCGTTATTGGCGTTTCATTAAATTTGGGATGCTTTTTCTTCAATATTGACGACAGTTCATACGAGCGACTTTCCAAGGACTTTTTTACTGATGACTCAAAGCTCACGGAAGGTAAATTATTAATTTTTTTCCGACAATTTTATTTTTTCGATTTTATTTTTAAGATTATTCATTGATCGATCCAAACTTTCAAAATTTTTCGATGAGCTTTTACGACGCCGCTGTCAAAAGCTTGCTTATGTTACCAAATACCGTCGATTTTAAAAATGCCACGAGCATTTTCGATCTAAAGTACAAAAAATACGAAGTATACGAATCAACAGAGAGATTTCGATGCTGCGTTGATCTCCAGGAAATGAACGAAATAATAAAGAGATATGATAAAGAACTCGAGTCGTTTTTCGTGCCGAATTGCACCGGCGACGAGTTGAAAGTCTTCATCAGCATCAAAACCACTCCTCTTATCTGGCAGTTACTCGGTGATATCAAATTTTACGACAAAGAAATTATGTCATTCTATTCGATCTTCAATGATATCCATCTGGCTCCCCGGTAAATTAAGGATCTTTATTGTTTCAGTCATGATGAATTCTAGTAACACTCTGCCAGAAAATTGTCCCGCGAGCTTTCTCCTCTGTAACACTTCTTTCATCGATGATTTTTTTGAAAAAGAGAAAAATTTCTTGTCAAATCATTATTCAAACCAATAAACCAAAATCGCTCAAAATTTTCGCCCGTTATGTTGTCATGAAAAATGTTTTAGGGAAGAGTATTTGATATAATAACACGAACCGAGTAAATCCGTGGAAAAATCTCGCTCGTGTCAACCGCTGAAATCTAATCCACGTTTGGGTAACTCCTATCGCCCCGGTACCGAGCAACGTGATTGACTTAGCACGCCTGTCATCCAGCGTAAAAATCATAACGGATTCTGCGTCCAAAAAATCAAGCCGCAGAAAGTCTACTACCTGGGGACATTTTTAGCCCTATGAGTCACCCATTATATTTCTGAGCGCTCCATGGGCCATGGACCATGGCCCATTGGCCGCTTGACTCGAGGCGTGCTATCGAAAATTCCTGTAGCCAACCACAAGACCGAGTCAAGCTAGTTATGAATCATCCAACAGGGCTAAAAATGTCCCCAGGGAGTAGTTTTTATCAATTAAGCCCTTTTTTTTTCTAAAAAATTGGCCTTGATTTTGGACAATTTCGAATCGAAATAACTTCAAAATTGACAAATAAGAATCTTGATAAAAGTGGCAAAAGTAAGTGCCCCTCGAATTTTCACTCGTCAAGACGGAAAAATATAGCCTTTTGAGTTTGAAGACACGTTAGGGTAAGACACAGGACGGAAGGAAAATTCCTTCCTTGCATTTTCAAAGCGGATATCTCAATGGAGCGCTTTAAGAGTCAATTTCCGATACTGACGATATCTCAAGCTTCCCGGATGTCTCTTAAAACGCGGTTAATACAGAAGCTTTATTTCAAAAAGGAAGAGCTTTTTGCCGCCAAGTTTAAAAAAAGACTTTCAAAGACTCGAAAAATTGGATAAAAAAACGTGGTCGAGGCTAATCGATCCGTCCAAATTTATAAAATAAAAAATTAATGTGGCATGAAATCTGAAGGGAGTCGATTTGAGCTTAGACAAAACCAGTGGCGGCTTTGTTGAACGGTCGAACCGGTCGCTTTGACGCCCCTCGTTTGTCGAAAAATGACCGCTTCGGTGGTCGCCGGTTTGCATAAACCGGATGGAGGGGTCTCAGGCTGAGATCATTAGATGTGAATTTTTACGCTCTCGAGGGGTACTTAAGATAACCGACTCAAATACAAGTTGTTCTTTGTTCAATCTTTTTATTCTTCCGTTTTAGCAACAGGAAAGATTTTCAGTTGATAACTCTCAATTGAAGTTAAAAAGCTGATAGACCAATCAACTTTAAAAAAAAAATTTCTTCAAGATTTTGTCAATTTTTGTAACTCAACAATATCAAGAGCCCCGTCCAGATTTGAAAATAGACAAACAAATTAAACTTATTCGTTTATCGTAAAAATCTGAAACTCCTTAAGTTTGAGTTTGAGTTGAGCATCTTCGGCCTCTATAGTGAGGCATAAAATCTGCGAATTTTGAGATAAGGAATGAAGAATAAGGAAAAAAAGCCGATCGTGTTTAAACATTCACGATAACAACGAAGCTCGAACCAAGTTAAGGCTATCAAGAGATAGTAGCTAGAAGAAGGTTTGAGCTGACTTATATTATGGAGGAAGACGAACGATGGTTTCATCAAAACAGATACCAAGTACAGTCATTTTCCTTTTAGAAAGAAAATATAACGAAGAAAAACCGCTTCACCTTTTTTTGGCGATTTGGAGATAACTTTTTTATGCGCAAGGCGGTTTTTCTTTCCTGTCATGTTTCTTTTCCAAACACACAGGCATACGTGGGTCGTCTCTCCTAATCTAGGAAACTGATAGTAATAACATCCTTTCTCTAAATAAAATGTCCCGTGCTTCCGAGATTAGACAATCAATACAACAAACAGAACATTTCCGAAAATATAGCTCGTAGAAGTCAATTAATTGATCAACTAAGAAGAAATCAAAAAAAGCGGTAGTTAGAGGGCTCAAGAAAAAAACGTTGCTGAGCGGAGGTAAAAATCGACATCTGTAGATTTTTGATGTGATGCTACGACAACATACCGCATCGTCACGTACTTTCTCATGCGTTTCTAACCGCTTTTGACTCGCTGTATTTGACCTTTATAAAGCCTGTTTGCTTCATAGGGCTGATCTCCCCTTTTCGCCATTTTCTGCTGTATGCCAACAGCTCTTGCTGGAGGAACAGTTGGTGGTTGAGGTGTCTCTACTTTGAGATCGACATTCCACCGGCGTATTACAATTTCCTTCCCCGAAGAGAGCCCACCACTAAGCCAGGAAGAAAGCAACCACGGTGCCTCGCCCTGGCGTCTCACTTTCTTCTTTTATTATTAATTCCGATCAGGCACACGATTCGAGTGCTACACACGTTCACGAAAAGGGACGAAAACGGAAAGACTGACAATTTTGATTTTGGAATACTTGACCATTCACGGAGCTAGCGCACGTGATCCTTATCAGACTAGCTGCTCAATTCAGAGTGCTCTTGAGAAAGAGATTCTCTAACGACGCTATCTGTAATTGAAAAGAAAACCAAACGTCCGGAATAGATAATTATCTTTCTTTTTTCTCTGTTTCAAACAGCAATTTGCTAAACCACAATAAGGGTGTCACAATGAAAAAGCAAGAAAATCACTAAAGCGATTTTTGCTCTGAGAAAAATGCTTGCCAAGAAATCGTTTCTAATCCAAACAACTGCCGCAACAAATAAAGAAAGCCACGTGACCGAAAAAGTGACCGAGTCAGAGAAGTCAGTGCCCTTTCAATCTGTGGTCAGTCAAAAACAATAAGGTCTACCGACAATCCTCTGTTTCAAAAATGCTCGTTTTTATAACTGTAATAATCAGCCTGTAAATTTCTGTATCTTTCCCTGCAAGTCACTCTCTAACAGACAGATGGCAAAAATGTGACGATGTCTTTCTTTTTGATATGATGTGATGAAAATACGAGTCGAGAAATCTGAAAAAAGCTGACAGCTTTCGAAAAGGGATTATGCCGTCCGTTTATCGCCGCAGTATTTTGGTTCGAGACCGAAATCCATTATTTTCGAGTAAGGTGAACACGGTGAACGCGAATTTGCGCGAAATTGGCTTCGCCCCGCGAGTCAAAAAAAAAGAGGACTGAAAAAAAATAAAGTGACTTGATTAAACTTTCCTCTCTCTCTCTGGAATGGGTCAATTCGATTTCTTTTCTTGGCGGAAGAATTGGCTAAATCTTCCAAAATCTGGCTAAAAATCTTCTCTTCGTTTGCTGATTATGAGTTTGATGCTAAGCAATGTTTCAACGTCACCATCAACTTTTTATAATTGCTTTGGAAACAGCTCCTATCTTGTTCGACCAAATTATTACTGCGGTCAATTTATTCTAGAGAGCATTATAAACATAATTCACATTTCAGCCAGGAGAAAGATACTTCGGTAAATTCGAGAGAAGTTCGTTTTTGACAGAATTTGTCTGATGCTTTTTTAACCCAAGTTATTTAATTTTAACATCTCCTCCGTGTGAGTTTCTGCATAAGACAGAGCGAGAAAATGCATCAGAGGGACTTGCGAAGCGCGACGGGGTCAGCCGACTTGCACTGCAATTATCATATTGTGAACATGTTCGCGTCATTTTCGCCAAAATCGTAATTTCGGCCATTCCCAAGATGCATCAATTTTTTCAAGTCACGTGTTTTCGACATTTCTCGTTTTGAAAATATTTTATATCGTGCATCAAAAAAACCATGACTAAAATAATCTAATGGTTTTAGCGAGATAGCGGGATTATTATTACGAGCTGGAGGTCGCGTTGTCGAATTGCTTATATCAACGTTTCCTAAGCTTATCAACAAGGATTCAAAAAATCGCTAAGCCTAGCGTCAAATATTAGAAGTGGACTGCGGGAAGTTTATCGGACCGTGTTTCATAAAAAATCCCCCTGCTTTTATGAAGGGCTTATCGAAAAGTAACTTTCTAGATTTTTAAGAACCAAAGCCATAAGACTGTAAAAATGAGTTTGCTCATGAACCTTAGGGTGTCAATTTTTAATACTTCTGATTTAGAGAAGTATATTCACAACATTTAAGGAATTTTTTACGCCCAAATGGGCTCGTTTTAAGAATTTCAAAGTCTAAATTTTCGACTCAAAAACTCCAGACACTAATATTAGTCTCAGGAACCAGTGTGGAAAACCTGAGTCAGGGTACTCAAAAGTCCTGATTCAGAAATTCCTCACAGGTAGCCGAGCCTAGCAGCTAAAAATGCCAAGAGAATTTGTTTTCCTTTTCTGATTTTAGAACGCTGTTGTGACCGATTTTTCGTGGCATTGTCAACTCTTAGCTGTCTTTTAAAATGTCACGTGAGCTGGTGGCAAACCTTTGCGCGTTAAATCGGCCGACCTTCAGAAAAAAATGTCTTTCCCCGAAGAGACGGCTTGAAAATTATAATTTAATCGTAAAAGACCACTTCTTGTAAAATATCTCGTCGGATCGATGGTAGCTCGAAGGTGGAGCCGGATGTCCGGATTCCAACGAAGAGCTTCCATGAATTTTTCTGCCCGGAAGAAAGGGACTGTAATTTTGTCCATGGGCTCGAGAGCCTGCGTAGAAACCTGAGTCAGGGTTTGGGAAAGGCTAAATTTTGAAGTTCTTTCAAAACCCTGACTCAGATGTCTACACAGGGTTCCGAACCGAGGTTGCCGAGTGTCTCCTCCTTTCGACTAGAAAATCGGTCCACTTCGGTAATAAGATTATACAATTTTAAACTGTCTAAAAGCGTGATAATCCCAAAGCCAGCTTACGAAATCCTCAAGAATCAATCCCGTCGTATCTTTTTTCATTACAACTTTTTCTGCATAAAGTAAAGGGTGCCCCTTACGCCGTCCATATTTCTCTTGAACGCCTCCGACAGTTTTGCCAAAAGCAGCTCGTCGAATTTTTAAAATGTTCAAAATCAATTAATTCCGCGTCGGAGCGTTTTCGGAGGATATTTACACCTTACTTAGACTGTTATTTTCAAAACTGTTCAATTTCGTTTTAGAGCGTTTTTTCGGGAAAGAGAGCATGTTCGTTTTCGAGTTATTCTGTGATTAGGCCCTAATCATTAGGGAGAAAAGGCCTCTGTTCGTAACAATAAACAATCCCAAGCCGATGATGTCAAGTTATTTTTACGGAAAACGGGCGCGGTTCCTCTTTTCCCGCTAAAGAAAAAGATCATCAACATGGCTCTGCTTTTTTCTTGTTTGAAATTTGATTATTTTGGGCAGCGACTTTTCATAAAAAATGATGATCAAAGCAGAAAAACTATGCTTTTCCAAAATAAAGGCAGTTTTATGGAAAAGATTAAATTTTATTCTTTTTGATTTGACACTAAAAATGATGAAAAAACCTGATTGGTTATGAAAAGAAAAAAAGAAGATAAGAAAATTAATCATTCAAAATGGTCGATTTCTGTGAATTTCTGTCAACAATCGCGCTGGAACTCAAAAATAAGGCTCCACCCTGTTTTTTGTATCCTAGCTAAGCTTCTTAGCCGTCACTTTTTTCACAATATACGTTTTGGAATCCGCTTTCCAATACGATTTTGAGCCAAACAAGAAGAACCACCGTCACTATTTCTCTAAAGTTCTTTCTCAACACGAATATTTGTGAAATAAATCCAAAGATTGATCATCTTGGCGGAGTTTATTTGAACCAGGCGGTTTCTGAATTGACCCTAAAAACCGCTCCCAATGAGAAAAAACGTCAATTACGTCGGCCACGAACCACGTGGTTAAAATCACTAACCACAGAAAATTTGATCAAAGACTCAAAAAACCTATCTTGCGTGTAAAATTACCAAATTCCAACGATTCACTTAATTCACACAGACTCGCCAGATCATCCTCTTCCACCAGACACTTGAAGGGGCTAAAGTGATGAGCAATCAAAATTATCCCGCCCACTTTGAATATATTTTCATAAATTATTGACCTGTCAAAAGGGACATTTCTTATGCTTTCTGAGAATCAGGCTGAAATTTTGCAAAAACACTTCAAAATTTAGGACCTTATGAGTGTTTCAGCCGTAAAGTTCTTTTCCTACATTTAACCCGTCAACGGATATAAGCCATTAATTTGGTTTCTCAAAAGTAAAATCATTTTGCTTAGTTTTCGATTCTCTTTTTTCATTTCATCCAGTTAAAAGCGAAATTTGAATAAATAAAATTCCTCATTTAATTATCAAAAAATATGGATTGAAAATAATTTTTTTTTTAGAAAAAGAAATTACCTGAATTCGTCTTCGCAAATATTCGGTCATGATGGTTTCGCAATCTCTGTGAATCAAATTAAATCTCTCTTGTAAAACAGTCTTTCGTTATTTTCTTATCGATGTTTCAAAAACTCAAAAAGTTTCCAGCTTGCTGATCGCGACAACGAAGAGCGCGCGCGGCTCTTTACCGCCATCGTTTCTCCGCGCGCTGCGCTGACTGCGTGAATACACTACAATCACTCTCATTATGGAAAACGTTCTATATTTGCTTCCATTTAAAAAGTTAATGATTGGTTTTTTTCTTTTGACGTGTGAATTTGTTAAACGCAAAAGCAATTTCTTCTTGTGTAAATATCATCGGCAAATTTGTGAGCGCATTTAGAATCTTATAATTTTTTTGGCTTTCGAAATGACTGAGCCAAATATTGAAGACGAGCAATTTTTACAGTCCTTAGACGAAAAGCTGACCGAAATCTTCGAAGAAAAAAGAGACAAACTGGAATCAACTTTGACCGATTCAAAAGCTGATCTGAAAACTCTTCGAGAAAATGATGATCATATCAGTCAAGATATTGAGAAAACAAAAAAGCCAAAAACATCATGGAACAAATTGCGACTCTTATGAGAGAGGGTTGCGAGTTCGTCGAAGAGAATCCCGATTTAATTGATAAACTTTTACGTGGAAGAGAGCACTTGCATTTTGTCAAGCGAGAAAATTTAAATTGGGCTAGAAACCGAGTTGATATGTGTGAAGAAAAACTGTCAATATTTGATGCAGAAAGGAATGAAAATCTTGATAGAATTAAAAACATCAAAGCGAAACTGTCATCCTTCGAAGATACTGACCATTTAAAGCGTGAACTCTTCGAAGATCTGCTTCCTTCCTGCGACATTTGTTTACGCATCTACAACACAACTAATCACCGGAAAGCATGCATTACAACATGTGGTCATATGTTCGGAAAGGCCTGTATTGAGGCAAACTTTGACATGAGCAACCGGTGCCCGAAATGTAATGGGATATTTCAAAAAGAAAACATCATTAATCTTTTCTGAATGATTATTTGAGCTTTTTGTGCAATCCGCTAAAATAAAATTAAGTTACACAGACGGTAACTAGGGACTCGCTTCTTTTCATAATTGAGTTTTACGGCGTGGCAAAAATTCAAATCCGTTCCAAGTGCCACGCTAGAGGCTCATCTTATTCAAAACCAGAAAGCAGCAAATTCTCAGGCTTCAATCTCTTTCTTTATTGGCAAAAATCATAAATTTTTCAAAGCCTAATTTTTCATATCGTGATCTTTTTCAATTCTAGTATCGCATCTTTCTAAAAAAGAAGTTTAAGGGGGTAGAACTAGGTTTTTCGAAAATAGCCGATTCTAGACCGGCGCTCAAAGCCAGGAGAGCTAAGATTTTCAAATTCTCTCTTCGGCTGAAGAAAGATCAAACCTAGATCTAACAACATTTTTCTTAAAATTTTTTTTCGTCAAGACAATTTGGCGTTAGAGAGCGAAACTTCAACCCACCTCTTCGAAAGTCGCAATTTTAGCGTATTCGCGTCCTCAAATTTCTCGAGTCACGTGACTAGCCAAAATTTTTAAATCTCATTTTAAGATAGTTTAACCCTTTATCTAGCAACATTTTTGAGGAAAATGCGATATCATAAGTAAAAACAGGTTTTACTTATTAAAGTGTGCCTCCCGAAAATCACGGAAATTCGAAAAATCTAGTTCTACCCCCTTAATATTCTTAAATTCTAGCGACTTTAAATTGCGCAAAATGCATGTCGAGGTTAATTCAGAGGATCGTGTGTTCATCTTAAAAATATTAGAACATACCCTGACGTTTTCGATCTGATCCCTGACGTCCTTATCCTGCGCCAGATCGTATTTCGGATCTTTGGGCCGCCATGCATCGCAATCTTCGCCGTCGCTTTCCCGCGGATAAGCGAAAAACATTTTCATATTTATGCTAACACCCCTTTTTTTGTTTAGCTTAGCCGACTCCTGTCACACTCTGACAACGGATTATTCCGAAAAACATTCGAGGCGTCATTTCCAAACGTGCACTAAATCTTCTTTTTTAACAAGAAAACGGGTTCAAAAAGGGGTTCAAGATGCTCACCGAAAGTGTCGCAAGAATTCCAAAGAAGCCCGTGAAAAACACTGCAGTGCAAATGAGAAACTTCCATATTGAATCGCAATTTTCACCAGACCAAAAAGGATCGCACAAACATTTGTGCCCGTTCCATTTTTCTATGCATTCTCCATGGATACAACTAAAAAACACCGTATTACTGTATCTATATTTTAAATGGGGGTTCTTCTTTTTTATCAGGAACTGTCAACAAATCCCGACAAATTTTGCATGGAAATTTTCAACGAATCAGAAGCCTGGATTCGGCTAACCGGCCAATCAGCAGCCGAGTAGCCGCCCACGCAAAATTTTTCGAGTTATTTGACAATCCGGGACACCGCCCCGGTATTTTTCAATCAAAGTAACGATACCTGTTTTATGAAAAAAATTAATAAAAAACTAACCTGATAGAGCAATTTACCATTAATTTGGTCTTTTCCGTTACCACTTCGACTTTCGCCGGTTTTCTCTTTCTTTTGAGTTAGAATTTTTTAACTTTGTGTTCACGTCATTTTTTTAATCGAGGTGGTAACAGAAGGGGGCCGATAATGAGCCACACGCAAATATTTAACCACTTCTCTCTTTTCAAAAAAAAGTAAGAAGGAATTGAAAATCAGAAAAATGCGGCCGTCGAGAGTGACCGCGAATCAATGAAAGTCTCTAAATGAAATGGTCCTGGTAAGCCCTTGCTTGTCAACTTGTCAAGCGATTACTTTTTTTCAGCTTCTTTTTCAGCAGATATAACTCTCCTTTGCCAGATTTTCGCGGTAAAGATGAATGCGTTTTTTGGCGATAGATTCATCTCTTGCTGGAAGATCTTGACTTTTCATTTTTCAAAAAGGGGGATTATTTCAAGGATCAACTTGTTATTTCTGGTCGATTGTCTTTTGCTTTACCAATCACTCTACTTAGAACGGCGGCCCCGGGTTCGGGCGATTGTAATTAAGTTTTCTTTATGTAAATCTGATTTTCTTTATCGAGAAACTTCTCATCATTAGTCCTTTTCTTCGCAAAAAAAAAACCGCTAGTCTAACCGATCTAGGACAAATGTAATCTCGCGCTTAGTGTGGTGGCTCAGCTTAAATTTTGAAAAGTCTAAAATCCCAACTACTTGTTGTTTATTATGGGCTGCCCGGGTCGCTGGAATTCCAGCTCAAGGGAGAAGAGTATAAACAGAAATAGAGAAGTCTTTATTGATCATGAATATAAGCTGCGAATTAGGGGAGAAATAAAGCTTGATATACTAGCAGGCACAGGATGAGGATTGTTCGGAGTCCGGTCCTTTTTGAGAGACGATCAGGATGTCCTTTTGTTGGGTTGTTGTATTGACCACTAGGAGAAGTTTGATATTATTCATTCTTTTGATAATACCTGTGATTGCCCTTGCGATGCGCTGAAACAGCGTATTCACATTGTAGCCACTTTTCGCACTTGTTTCAATAAAGTGAACCCCATGCTCAGCTGCTTTCTTCTCCGCCGTCGAAGTCTCTACCTTTCTCTTGTCTTCCAAATCTGTCTAAATAAATGCTCATATTTTCTTTTTTTCAGCTAAGGTACGAACCTTATTGCCTACGAGAAAAATAATGACGTCCTCGCCTCTTTGATCCTTGACGTCTTTTATCCACGTGTCAATTTTCGCGAAAGACTTTTCTTCCGAGACATTGTAGACAATGATGCCAACATTAGAATCTCTGATGTAGCTTGGGATGAGAGATCGGAATCTTTCTTGCCCAGCTGTGTCCCAGAGCTTAAAATAATCGATTTAGTTATTTTGTTTATGGCTTGAATTTAAGCTATTTTAACGACTTAGCAGTTTTATAGTACAAAAGTCGTAAAATGATATATGTCGTGTACAAAAAGAGGTATTCTTTTCAAAGACTTGAGCATGAAAATCAAAACGCAGACTTTTTACTGTGACAACTGCGATTACTACGAGCGCATGACAGGATATAACTACTACGAAATATTTTGCAAAAACTGCGAGCATAGACTCGTCTTTGTTGGAAATTCCTTCTCAAGCAGAAGCTATGACAGTCAGCGCCCAGCGAACAAGAGATATCATTCAGAAACAGATCAGAATAGTCACTTCAGAAAAGAGGACTCGCAGATTTGGATATGGGTAAAATTTCTTTTTAAAGAATTCATTAAATTTTATATTTACTTCGTATTTATCCTCATTATGATGGATCGTAGGTACTAGTCAAACAAGGTTACAAAAGTCGATTCATTTCTTCCAAATTATTTCTTTACCTGTAATCTAACTGTGTTATCATCAATCTGAAGTGTCTTTGAAAGAAAATCAATCCCAATCGTTGCCTGGTAATGCTGATCAAATAAGTCATACATAAATCTTAACACTGGTTGACCAGCAATAATTCTCTTCCTTGATTTCAATCATTCTAACTCAACCAATTCCTTGTGATCAAACTCGTTTTTCCGACCCCCTGCTCTCCTAAAAACACGAGCTTGTATTTCGTCAATGCTTGAACTGGCTGTATATTATCCATTTTTTCTCTTTCTTTGTAATAAAAAATTTCTTTCGGATTTTTCTGGCTTCGTGGCGAAATGAAGTGATTGTTTGTTTATTTTAGACAGTAAGAAGTGACGCGAGTTTGTTAGTCTCTAAGTACGCGCCCCGGGCTCTCTCCCGGGAGACTCCGTAGCTAAATGCGTTTTCATGTTTCGCCGAGGCCTGGGTTCTTTGCCAAATGCGCATTATGTGTATAATAATTTAATATAAGGAGATATCACACTGATTATAACTTTGGGTTTATTCATGTGAACATGTGAACAAAAGTATATTTTTGAACTTGAGGAGGTAAAAATGGGCTATTTAAATTGTTTAAAAGGCTAGTTTATAGTTGTTTCTTCTCGTCTGTAGTAATTTCCATGGAAGCTGATCGGGACTTTGAATCCTTGAGGAAAGTAGAACCGGGCAACTTCTTTCATCGCTAGAAATTTGAATGAGAAGGGTAGTTGAAAGATTCTGAAACTTACTGCTTGCGTTGAGAAAGACAATAAAAGCCCTGTCTTCCGGATTCAAAGGACTTGCTGTTGAAGCAATTACTCCTTGATTTTCAGAAAGGTCATCTTTTTCCGGCGTGAGAAAAACCGGTTCAGAGAAATGGTAGTTCGGAACTCGATAGATTTTTCTTTCTCCAGTTTCCATGTTGACGTAGTAAATTCTATCAGACAGCAATTCGCCGAAGCCGCACGTCCAGTAGTGCTTGTAGTCTTTACCATAATGCAACGGATTCAAAACTGGAAAGTCGATCTGAAAATTCAATGATGGTTTTATCTTCCTTGATTTCGATCCTTACCCCTCCGTTTTCGAAGCATGGAAAATTCAGTGATGGTGTTATTCCAGGACTCTGAACTACATCAGCCCATTGAAGAAACTCTTCTCTTCTCTTTCCGAGGATGAAGCGCACAGGCTTGCCAGAAGGAATGATACTTGACCAAATTTCAAGGTATTCATTTTTGGTGGTCTTGAGGTTGTCGAGTTCTAGAGCTTGCATGACGTTTGGATTTGCTTTTTCAGGGTTAAAAACGCGAAAATATTTACAGAAAACTTAGAATTGGTCGAATTTGTTTTAACCCTAACCTTCGATGATATCAATATTTAATTGATCTTGCTCATCAATGAAACTGTTTACCACGTGAAAATGCGAAAAAGCCTGCGCTAGAGGTTGAACACTCTCCCATTCCATCTTTTCGCGGTCAAAAATCAAGAATCTAGCAGGCGAGGTGTTCAAAAACATCAAACTTTCGATCATTGGTTTTTTCTTCCTTATGCCATTCTTGAGCATCGGAATCATGTCGAGGACGGTGCCGCCTACAGGAAGAATGAGATATTTCCCGGCGCGGGCGAGGGAGTGAAAATATGGCATTGCAGAGGGATGATCGGGCCATTTTGGGCTGTCAATTGCAGGACCGAATTCGATTGAAGACAAAATCTGCTCTTTGGTCCAAGGAGTGGGGTATTGAGATTTTGGATGTCCCACTCCACGCCAGACGATTGGGTGAATATGGATCTAGTAACTCTTTTATTCAAAGCAAAGGGAAATTAATACCTTTGGGATGTTATACTCGTTTGTCATGAAGTCGAGGCAACCAGCCATGTCCCACAAATCACCTGTTTCCTTGTCCAAGACCGGATGACTAGAAGTGGTCATGCAGAAAATACCGTGCGGAATATTTGGTGAGTAGTTGATGTCAATTCGATCTTTAGTTTCTAAGGTTTCGAAATCGTGTAGATGCCGGTAAGAAGAATCTGTGAGCGACATAAGATGACCAGCGACATGCATGACGTTAACGACTGTATTGTCGGTCGATAAACCTTCCTCAAAGAGAAATTTTCGTCTGTTTTTGAACACTTCGCGGCGGCCATAAGCATTTCTGAAATAATTTCTCAAAAACAGGAAATGATTGTCGACCGTACCCATTTTTATCCGTAGTAATATCATCAGGTTCGGCATAGGTTCCAACTTCTGGCTTAATTATCCGGCTGTTCTCCGTGTTGTTTTTGAAATTGGAAGATTGAACGAATCTCTGTCGGAAGAAAACCTTTCCATCCCGGATTCGTGTTGCTGAGAGAATGGCAGAAGGATCGAAGATGTGGCCAAAGGAGGTGTTGCCGAACTCGAACTTTCCAGGACCATTTCTGTAGATAACCCCATCGATGAGTTCAGCAAACAAGGCTTGAGTGGTTTCACTTTCGAATTCGCCCTCGAGTTCTTAATACAAATCTTTATCTTGGACTTTCTTCATAGAAAAGAATTTTCTCTAAAATTCTAAATAAATATGTGCTCACCGATTTCCTCAGAATCTTCAGTCGTTTTCAAGACATTCTCGAGTCCATACGGGGAAAACTCCATGAATCCTGTGATATCATCTTTGATCGCTTCTGGTTCAAACGCAAAAGTGTTGCCCTTGAAATCAAGGAAGACAAAAAGTAAAAATTTGAGAGCCATTTGACCTTTGAGCAACTAAGTTCTACACTACAGCGCCTTATAAAGTGATTGGTCTGTTTACTGAAGATGGCGCAATTTCAAACGCAAGAAAGTTACCTGCTTGGTAACCAGGACTCTATTCTTTTTGTGAACCCGGAGGAGAACCCAGACACGAGTATGATGAAATCGAGGGCGATTCTTATTTGAATTTCATAATCCTCGTCTTGGCGAGAAAAGTAAGGAGATCGCATAGTCAAAAATTGCCTTATTCAATCGAACATACTGTATGTTACATACACATTTTTGCCTCCTGAAGACGATGACAACTAAAAAACAGAAACGACGAAGAAAAATAATATAATGTAAGACTATAAATCTTTATTCGATTTAATATAGATATTCGATATAATTTTTATAGTCTTTAATCGATAGTTGGTGACCGTAGCAGTGTGTATCGAAAATGGTAGGATTGACGAAGATTGAAAAAATTCAAGAATAGCTTCTCATTCGACAGAGATAAGAGCGATATTTGAGCAATGAGACAGAGCAGAGCAATATTTTAAACTTGAGAGACCATTTGTTTTTCGAGAAACATCTTACACTGTTCTCGAAGCTTCTTTCGAAGCTTGAGCGAACCAATATTTGAGGGAAGTTTAAACTTGCCTGATATCAGCGAAAGTCTAGTAACTAGTAGTCTGCCTTCACTGAGATGGATTAGCAAGGTGGCAACAGCTGTGGCGGATAAGCTCCATTATTCCAACGGAAATATTCTCCCGCTTCTACGTCAATGCCTTCTACACCTTTCACAAGCACAGACGACCTAAGCTAATCTGTGATTTCTTCACCCCGGAGATTTCTAAAGTTTGAGCACTTCTATTCCCAGGAGGCTTCGACGCAATCCATTGAAAAACTGAGACAATGCGAGAGTCTGAAAAGAACAGGATACCGTCTCCCGATGTGTCCTTCCGGAGCCAGAGCTATTTGAAGTCAATGAAATTTTGTGACTAGCTAGATAGAAAATTGAACTCAAATGGCGGTGAAAAATTCCATCCGAATTGATACTCCCACTTAGCTTCGTTTTCCATATAAGGAATAGACCTTTTATTGGGCCATAAATCTGATCTATCAGGACGTAAAACTGATCAAATAGTTCGTCTGCTATTCAAGACGATCTTTACGTAATGGAAAATTATACGACATTCGGAGTGCAAACTCTTGACGAACCCTCCAACTTGTTGAGAAAAAATGCAATGTAATAGCAAGGTTGGCGTCGAAACGGAGCTTGAAAGATCAGACTTGTCAAAGTTCACTTTTTGGCATTTCCGAGGCGCCTTTTTTACGTTGCGTTCCGTACAAACCAAAACCAAATCTTATTTTCTTCGTTGAAATGAGGGATCAGGAGAAAATTCAGGTTGAGACTCTCTATTTTACTTTTCAAATATTCTTGTAGTGCATGGAATGCCATTGTACTGGCGTCTTGCGGAGGCTAGAAGGAAATGCAATCCTGGTTCCAGAGAAATCAAAACCACTCTACCGTTATCATGACGTCGCAAAATTCGAACTCAAACCTCAGTAAGATAACGATCCTTAGTCTCGTTCTTACTCTATTCTAGCGGATCATCAACAGACAAGCAGAAATATACCTACGTTTTTTTCGGATTTTTATTCTGGCAGACGATTATTCTCGCTACGAATTATGCCGGCCTTGAAAAGCTTGGGCCAACGCTGACGTTCAAAACGTTGAGTTGTGGGAGAAGCTACAAAGATTGTATGATTGACTTTTCATTCAATGAATGTTATCCGAGGTTCAAACGTTGCATGCAAGAATTTGGGGATTTTGACTTTCCTTCGGGAGAAATGATTGTTATCAAGGAGAAAGAGATTATTGATAATAGGACATATACCGAGGAAGAACAGAAAATAAATTTGAAGCGTTGCAAAAGGCTTGCTTTTTATGGTAAAGATTCAATTTGTTCACAAGTTGATTTTTTTAGATTCGAAAATTTGTGCTGATCTATGTCCGAAAATTCACGAAGAAGATGTTTTGAAATGTCAAACTTTGTGCAGAGCTTTGTTAAGTGATGGTGGAGAAATTGATGGAGTTTGCCCGTTTGAAAAGACCTGCCCTCATGGTTGTCCTTGTCCGTTTTTCGAATGTGAAAGTGTAGAAACACGAGAGATGACCTTTGGATGGTATTACAATGAAACAGATCCACTGTTTGAACTCAAAAAGAATGCTCCACTGACCAAGGAACCAGAAAGAGAAGCCGATCAGTTTACCCCAGTAGTACCAAAATATCGTCATCTATCTCGACTTGTTTCTTTTGATATGAAGTCGAAGCAGAAATTAAAAGTTTACAGAAGAGTTATACTTGTTGCGATGGGTTACCATGCGGTAGTAACAGATTTGATTCATTTGCCAAAGAATACTAATAATCTTATTATTTCGAGTAAATTCTTCTTCTCTTTGTATTATCTTCATTATTTTTAAGCTGATAATTTCGATTTACAAATGAAACCGCTATTCTATAACGGAGAAAACTATTTAATCGATGGTCATCTAAGAACATTTGTACTTCGTTCAGGTAGCACGGAATTTCAAGAATTCGGAACGGCGATTTAAAAAAATCTAAGAAAATATGAGAAATATTCCCTTTATATAATATAAGTTATAGTTCAGTCCGACTCAGTTGAATTTCTCAGAGTGATCGCTCTGCAAAGACACGGACCATAAATTGTTTCTTCGACGTAATGGCTTTTCCGGGGTTTTTAACTGGTATTCACATATGAGTCTAAGTGTCGCTGGTGTCTATGACGATAAATTTTGGTTTTGGTACGTAATGTCTGGGTAACCCTCATTCTCCCAGAACCTTCATCTGCCCAGACCCTCATTCTCCCAGGACCTTCATCTGCCCAGCCTGGGAGAATGAAGCTTCTGGGCAGATGAAGGTTCTGGGAGAATGAAGCTCATTTTTTAGATTTTTCATTTTTTCTGCAAAAATATTCTGAAAAAAATTTTAATCATGTTAATTAAAAATAAAGCTGAATAAAATGATAATTCATATGTTCTTTTCAATATGAATTCACGAGAATTATGAGTTGTCGAGCAGGTCTACTAGACTCAAGACTGCGAGGCGCAGTTTTCCGAAGGAGTTCTGCTGGACTTGCTCAGGCGATCGATTCCTAAGGTTTCAATTTATTAGTATAGAAAATTAATTGCCGAAAAAAATAAGGGTTTCGAGATTTTTGAGTTCTCAAAACTCAAATTATAAACTTGAGTTCTCAAGCTTTGTTTCCTTGAGGTTTAGCTTGAGCTCAAATTATCGGACACTGACCGAAACACGAACAAACACTTGAATAAGAACCAAGACCAGTGCCCATAAATTTTCCCCATATTTGTTGTCGTAGATTTACAGCCAAAAACTTCCAATTTGTAGCATTTTATGAAATTTTGACGAAGTCAGAATCCGAAGTAAAAACGGTTGTTTCTGACCTTGAAAAATATTTTTGACTCGAAAATCTACGCGGCCTGTCTCAGCCATTCAACGCTCAGCGTAATTCGCCCACGGAATTGAAAGCTTTATTCTCCCAGACCTTCATCTGCCCAGAACCTTCATTTTCCCAGGCTGGGCAGATGAAGGTCCTGGGAGAATGAGGGTCTGGGCAGATGACGGTTCTGGGAGAATGAGGGTTACCCAGTAGACATTACTGTCTACTCTGAAAAAAATTTATTTTTTTATTTTTTTTAATTTTTTTAATATAATAGGGGCCGACGCATAAGTACAAACTGTATTAGCCAAACACGTTATTGATGAGTACAACATGTATTAACCAAAACTGTTTGGCTAATAAAGTTTTGGTTGATCAATGTTCCCATAAAATCATATTTTCTTCTATTCTCTATATATAACGGGCGCGGAGCGCCCAATTTCTTACATTCTTGATCAATCAAAACTGCGTTAGCCAAACAGTTTTGGTGAATACATGTTGTACTCATCAATAACGTGTTTGGGTAATACAGTTAGTACTAATACGGGGTCCCCTAAAATATTTGTTTTCGAAGTGGAACGATGAAATATCCGTCAACATGCTATTTCATGGACTTAAAACAACGGGGACAAAAAAGTATTTTCGAAGCAAAGGGCAAAGCTCGTCGGGAACAATATACGACAATCGGACACGGTATGAGAAGACGTATGTTTATCATGGAGAAAAAGCTTACTATTTTGAACCTGAATCTCGTCTCAAGAAACATAGAGTTCACCACAATGGAGTCGCCAGATATAGACTGGAGCTCTTGGACATTCGAAGACCCCCAATGGGAGTACGAATTTAGAAACAAGACATTTGCGGAGCTTAAGGATTACGCTTATGGAGAATCATTATTTCTTGAGCATTTTGCTTATGATACTCATTTGAATGATTTCTATCCAATTCCAGGAATGGCAAATTCAGAAATTACATCAGTTAATGTACTACATAGTTTTATCTTCTACATTTTATAGCAAAAATTATGCCAAAAAAAGATCGTAAGGGTATTCTTTTTGTTGCAATTTTCCGACATCGAGAATTCGAAAGAGGATGTAAATTCCCGAGAAAAAAATGTGAATCTCTCAATGATCACTATGCAATTTGGACTCGAGCAAATTATTTCATTATTCTCTACAGATACAGCCACGGCCGCTTTCTTCAAGTCTCAAAAATGGAAACTGATTTCAGCTATGAATACAAACCTTACAAAAGTAATTTAAATCGACCAGTAATGAAAGATCTTACTGGTGTAGAAACGGGCTCATCATAAGTAGGAAAGCTATTTGATGAGAAAGAAATGAGCCAAAAATAGAATCAAACGGCGATATTATTCTTTTTTCCAACTCCGAGGAAGAATATTTCAAGCTTATTTTTGATGAGAAGGAGAATAACTACAGTAATACATTCCTTGAAGGATTCAACAAAACTGCAACAGTTAGCCTGATTCCCCCCATTTAATGCTTTGTAAAGAAAATGCTATTGACCCCGATTTCACGCTCCGTTATTTTCAGATTGGCGGTTGATTCCAATCGGATGCCATAAAAAAACAGTGACCTGGAACATGTCGGTCGCACCTTGCCTCCGCAAAAGCGCCAACTGGCCAATGAGATGGCGCACTTGACGGTTAGCCACGAAGCGCGGTGGTCCGCTGTTTGAGATCATTCAAATTTGCCAACTTTCACAAACAAAGTTTTTCGAATTTTTCAAGAGAAATCTATCAACAAAGGTAAATCAGCTTGCTATAACTTCAAATTTTGCTATTTACAGCCCGATTTTCTGCCTAGTTCCTTTCTAAAATTAAAGATTACCAGTGTCTATAATAGTGAAAACCTCTATTTGAAGAAACTTTTTATTGATATCATAGAGGACTTTTTTTTCCGAACCCATCAAAATTTTCAGACAAAATGGCTGGAGGAGCACGAATGCGAGTTGCAAATCAAATCAACGAAAAGAAGGTTCTCAAGCGCGGAAACGTCCCCACTAGCTTGGTAAGCCTTTCAACATCTTTCCTTCCCATAACCATTTCTTCTGCCCAGAAAGAGACGAACGAAAACAAAGCTCCCGTCGGACCCTACCTCCTCGCTCTCTTCATCTTCGTTGTCTGCGGCTCGGCAATTTTCGAAATCATTATGAAGGTTCAGGCTTTTGCTGGCCAGCAGTAAGAGCTACAGCTTTGTGACTGTATTAATACTATCTTCCGATTCATCTTCCAACTTTGATTTACTTTAAACTCTTAGAAAACGACTTACTTTACTAGTGCAATCTCCAGATTTTCTGTAACAATAAAATAGAAAAAACTTTCAAGCAATTTTGAATTTCTTATTATTTATTGGGGGTGTCAGGGTTTTCTACGAGTCCCAATTCAGGTTGGTAGCAGTAATGTTCATAAAAATCATAAAACCCATAAAGCAGAAAGTTTCGACAAAGTGACCTTTTCGTAGCGGCAAGCTTTACCCTCCTGTTGATGAGGAACTAAAAGGAGAAAGAATCAAAACAAGTGGAGGAAGTTACCATTCGAAATTTTCCTGGAAAGAGTTGACTGTAAAGATCAAGAGCCTGTAGATACTTTGGAATAGCTACAGGTGCATGGTTTTCGAGGGTACTGTTTTTCGCCGACTGCAAGAGGTTGTAGAATTGTTTGAGAGGTTTGTGGTAGAAAACTCTATCCGAAAAAGACCGTGAAAAGAAGAGAAAAAGAATGAGAAACATCTTCTTTGAATCAGGACGTGTAAGTTTAATTTATATCGAATCTTTCATTCAATATTTAAAAAAACTAACTGCGATCTCTCAATAATTTATGTGATTTTTCATCGGAGAGTATTGGAGCCGATCTTATTTTTTGATGGTCCACTTGAAACTGATAAGTTTGGGTATAGAACCAAAGTTCAAAATATATTGTTCTTACTTTCTCTGACTTGAAATCACGATAATTGATTCTATTCTATGAACATAAAGAAAATATTCTTGCGAAAATCTTTATTAAAAAAGAAGATAAAGAATGATTTGAACTCTCACGTATTTATTGTAGTTTATAATAATTTTGCGTGCTTAGGGGTTGCTTTTATTTTGCGTGTTGATGGTAACGCTTGCTGTGAAAGAATTGAGATTCGGCATTGCATTTCGTCTTTTTCTGCTAGCGCAGGTTATGCAATCGCTCTGGTCAGGATCGCAAATGACGATGTCGCACTCAATAATGATCGGATCGCTGCTGTCAACGAATTGAAAGCTTTCAAATTCGAAATCGGCTGAAATGAAATTAAAAATAAGTTTAAGCCTTCAACTCGGAGGCAGTTGTATTCTCTTACCAAAAGGGCCAGTATTGACAGCCAATATGTTCGTTGTTGGATCGACAGCGCAACCAGAAGCGATGAGATCGTATCCTGCTGATCTTGAAGTGTCAGACTCGACATAAGCCGTGCAAGTGTCAAGAGAGACTGCCAGAGAGTCGGAGTTGTCGAGAGAGATGCCGATGTAGACCATATCTGGAACGTTGAATGTATGGTTCATTCTAGATAAGAATAAGTTTTTGAGAAATATCTGAAAACTAATTTCAAAGCTACTTATTTGTACATACGAGATCGGAGTTGTAAACGTGTCGTCGGTAAAAACGCCCATTGATGTTTCAAACGTTCCCAGCTTCTCACCAAGATCGACGATGAAATGATTGACGTTGACTTCAATTCCATTTTCTATAGAAACTACCACTTCTCGCTCGATGGAGCAAGAAAAGTCCATTTCGAGTCCAAATCGTCGAGAAATGACGGAATTCGAAAAGCCGCCACCGGAAGTCATGATTGTCGATTCGAAGACAATGTGAGTATCATTGACAGTAGGCATGACATTACAGCCGTCGTTATCTGCGAGGAAGACGAGTGCGCCACCGACAATGGTTCCGGTACAGGTGTCCTCGCCCATGAACACAGCTGCTGGGTCGAAACCGCCCTTGACAATCGCGCAAACAGGGACAGCTACTTCGAGAATTCCCCCGTCGCAGACGACAATCGTGTCCGTGAACTGGTCCAAAACGCAATCATCAACGGCAGTAGTCGGTCCAGGCGTCGTAGTTGTCGCTGGTGGCTGAGTTGGATCTAATGGATCTTCAACTGGAGCAACTACTTCGACTTCCACAGTGGTTTCTGTTGTGACAGCGACAGTAGCGTCTCCGGCGTCGATGGATGATTGAAAGTCAGCAGTAGCGTTTGCGGCGACGTCTTGGACGAATGCGTCGATGTCGATTTCGGGGACAGCAAACCGCCGTTTTCGAGAAGAAGAATCGTCAAAATTCTCGAATCGCAAATGAAGCTCTCCGACAAACGCAATCCAAATCTCATAAGCTCCTGCTGGCTGAAGTCCAGTTGTATCTGTAGCTATTTCGAATGCAAATTTGTACGAGTCCGCGTATCCAACAGTTGTAAAAGTCGTCCAACCAGGGGGATTATTGCTATTGAGTGTTGCCAGGAAATCATCCGGAGTTTGGGAGGTCCCGAACAGACAATAAAACTCTAGTGAGACCGCGTAATCTGTCCACGCATATCCGGGATCGCATGATTTACCAGTAACCGCAAAATCATTAGCGCCTGAGAAAGTAATTTCATCACCGCGAAGCTCGCAAATGTTGTTGGCGACATCGTGATGAAGCTTTTATGGGACTCATTAATCTCTTCTCAAATTTCTGAAGACGCGTAATTAATAGAACTAAAGATTATTTTTAAGAGTCCGTCCCTTGTAACAGCCAGCGTAGTTTGCGCAATCTCGTTGGCAATCCTCAGTATCACCGGCAAAGTTGTTGATATCAAGCTCGAAATTTGACTCAGGTGTGGGTTTGTCCATTCCATTTTCGATTTCCCAGACGAAAACGTCACCAAAATTCGTATTTTCGAGACAGACTGGAGGTGGTCGTGTTGGTGCGGCGGTGGAAAATGCTGTTGTCTGAAATTTGGTTGTAGGAGCCTCGGTTGAGGGTGCATCTGTTGGAGCATCCGTTGGTGCCTCAGTTGGGGCCTCAGTCGGAGCTTCAGTAGGAGCTTCAGTCGGAGCCTCAGTTGGTGCCTCAGTTGGGGCTTCAGTTGGGGCTTCAGTCGGTGCTTCAGTTGGAGCCTCAGTTGGAGCTTCAGTTGGAGCCTCAGTCGGTGCCTCAGTTGGGGCTTCAGTTGGTGCCTCAGTCGGTGCTTCAGTTGGAGCCTCAGTCGGAGCCTCAGTCGGAGCTTCAGTTGGTGCCTCAGTCGGAGCTTCAGTAGGAGCTTCAGTCGGAGCCTCTGTTGGTGCCTCAGTTGGGGCTTCAGTCGGTGCTTCAGTTGGTGCCTCAGTTGGGGCTTCAGTCGGAGCCTCAGTTGGTGCCTCAGTTGGGGCTTCAGTCGGTGCTTCAGTTGGTGCCTCAGTCGGAGCCTCAGTTGATGAAGGTTCTGGTGTTGGAAATAATTTACAGGTTACACTTTCATAAAGTTCCAAAATTGCTTTTTTTGTTAAAACTACTGTAAAGTTCATCTAAATAAGTATAAATAATAATAAATAAATAAGTTCTGAACTCTTTTAATAAAGAAACTGTCCTTGTGCTAACGGGATCTTCTGTGTCGATACAATATCCATCTTGAGTCGCTGGAAACATATAATTGGGATAATAACTTCCTCCACTATCGAAGAGAGCAAATGGAGGGTTTAAGGATGGATGATATTTGAGGAAGAATTGGTTTCCCTCGCATTCCCATATTGGACGGTCATATTGTGTCTGAGTCTCGCTTTGTGTGCATTCGAGGGGGCCAGACCAGATAGTGACTGAAATTATATTTTCAAAGATATTTTTGTTCGAGCTTACTTTCGATGACTTCGCAACAAGTATCGTCTGGAACACATGATTTTCCTGGAGCGTCGCCCTTTAATAAATGGTAAGTCGAAAGATCTAAGCCAGAGAAATACCAGATCATCATTTATATATGTTCATATAGTCAAAAAAACCTGGTGACTATCTTTAAACCCATCAGCGCATTCACAAGTGAAGTCGATTCTTTCATCCGTACAAACCGCGTTGGGATCACACTCGTGAGTTCCATCAGAGCATTCATCGACCTCAGGGATAAGTGTGCAAGTCTCACCATCTCCCGTGTAAAACTCATTACATTCACATCTATAGTCTTCGTGCAAATCTGTACAGGTCGCATTTGGATCGCAAGGGTCCGGGTCGCATTCGTCTGAGGTATCCGCACCTGCCCAAACGCACGTAGCAATAGTGCCACTGTTCCACCCTTCGTTGATGGGAGGACATACATTGTCGTTTACTGCGTAATCCCAGTATGAGTATCCCCCTGCAAGAGGCCACGAATCAGCAGTAAAGACGTACCATGCTCCGTTGAAATAAGCGATCACACCATTGTTGGCGCACTCCCAGACATCTTTGCCGTTGTAAACCTCACCATTTGAAACACACTCTCCTCGTGCAGGGAAATTGATGGAGCCGCAGCAACCATTGCTTGTATTTGGCGTTTTTGGATTGCACTTATTCAGTTCCCCAGTTTCATCCTCTCCGCCACCGCAGTCAGGAACATTATCACACAGGCGATCGGTGAAAATTTCCCGGGTGAAACCGAGCTTGTCATTCGAAGTACAACTGATTGCTTCCTTGTAAGTGAAGCCGGGAAAGTTTTCTGGGTCCAGTTCGCAATATGCATGTTGCAACTGCTTCGCATCAGTTGTTGTCACTCTGTACTGATCATTGAAAGTTTCTCCAGTCGCTCTGATGGTCATAACTGGAGAGTTGCCATTTGCGCCGCAGAAAGAGCAATAAGTCATAACGGACTCGATTTCCAAGGGACTTCCCATGTCAAACCACTGATTGGACGAGATAAGATCAAACTGACTCGGCATGTTGGTTGCGGAAGGATCGAAGATGATATACGTATCTCTGTCAGGCCGCTGGTGCTCGTGGAGAACTCCCAGTGCGTGAAGCATTTCGTGCTGGACGGTCGACGGATTATCTGGAGTACAACCAGGGTCCAACGCAATGACTTGCCAAGTCGACGGAACGCCGAAAGAGGCGATGCTACTGACTCCCAGTGTTCCAAAATGCGCACCTGGGGCAAGACCAAGAGCAGAGTAGCAACCGTCATTGTGACCGACGAAAACGATTCCATTTTCGTAAGATGTTGAGCCGATTTCCCCGTCAGTGACTTCAGGCATCGAAAAACATGCAAGGTCATTGGCCAAGGACGCCAGAGAGGTCTTAAAAATATCAATTCACTATTCGAAGGGAGAAAAGCTGACAGCTTGGATAAAGCAAGCTGTAGAATCAAAAATTTAAAGATTAACAAACTCACCTGGATCAGACTATGAAAGTTAATTGCGGTGCTGTGAACATAATATGGGACTGTCACGGGTCCGCCTTGAACTAGAGGCCGCCATTTGTTTGAGTTTGTTAATCCTCGAGGAGCCGATCCGTTGTCTTCTGGTTCAGTGTATCCATCTTCGGGGGTCATAATTCGAGCATTCTCAGCTGTGAATCCGGCTTCAGCGAGGGCAACCGCCTACACAAAGGGATCAGTTTAAGAAGAAGGAAAGATGATACTAGAAAAAGGTACTTACATCAGATGGTCTCAGGTAGTAATCAGTAAGATAAGCTTGATTACCGATATTGACATCGTCAGATGGAGCGTTGACTTGTATTCCTGTCCATTCAGGAGCAGTTGCTTCCGTTAATTCTTGAGCCTTTTCTAGTTCGGAGAATGACTTGACTAAGATATCAATACTCTTCAAGAAAAAAAGTGTTCTATCTTTGGTCTCTTTCTTCAGAACTTTTCCTGTATCCCTCTTATGACTGCAAGCGAAGCTAGAATCTTCATCTCTTTACTGATCGACCCAGCTTTTTCAGGACAAGATCAGTTCTGAAGCTATTCCGACGCTCTGCCGTGGTTTTTATGCTGCCGTCGTTACTAAAGTTTTTGATCAAGACTTTTTAAAGAGCGCTATCATTGTCGTAAATGAGCTCACCTCTTCCGTAATTAGAGCTTAGGTATTATGACACTTTTTCTATTCTCTACTTAATTATTAATGATGTTTTGGCAACCAACGAATAAATCATCGAAAGCATACTAATTTAAAACATCATACTCTTGATTGATGATGATTTTTAGATTTTCAAGCGCTAATTAAAGCTTTTCCAATAAAATTATTGCCAATAATTTAAACAAAAAATGATTGACGGATCAAAAAGTCTCCAACGAGTTTCCTGGAAAAAATTGTCTTGCTATTTTCTTCGAGAAAAACATGTAATGGAAAAAAATGAACTATGCTCTCACATAAAATTGGACAAATAATAAATAGTAATTTGTCGGTCGCTTCATCTCTTTATTACCTCGATTAATCTCGTTCACGTCCTGCTTACGCAGACAAAAGCTGAGCTTTTTTTCAAAAATAAATTAGGGTTATTACGATTCCAATTGAAAGCTCTCTCGATTTTCAGTTGGACTGGTCATCATTGCTTTCATTCGTTTTTTTATATTCTGATCTTCTGACCTGTTAATTCAACCAAGCGAACGCTTTTCACCTGGAATCATTCCCGGTGAAAAATCGGTGAACCAGGTCAGCCGATTAAGTTCATGACCATCTGGAACTTCCTTAGGGAAGCGTAGTTTTGTGATGACGTGGATGTCTAAGCAGGAAGACGTTTTCATTTTCAGACTTATTCGATCACAGCCAATTTTATGAAGAAAATCATCCTATTTTGCCGCAAATTGGTTATTAAAAGATACTCAGTCGTCTTGATTCAGAGTGACGACATTAAGGCTCAAGAATCATTCTTCAAGATGTTAAAATTGATGTGGAAATTTAGGGTAAAGCGTTGAAGAAGATCAATTAAGGCAAATAAAGATCCGTGTGAAACAAATTATCATAATTATACTAACACGGCAAAATCATTCTTTCTCCATTTTTGCGGATCATTAATGATTTCACAGATAAGGAATTGGATTTTATTTTCTTCTTCTAAGTAAAATCTTATAATTTTGATAAATCGGCTTTGATTAAAGGCAATAAAGAGACTGCTGCGGACAGGGAGGCAAGCGGCTTATCTTGTGCTAGAAGAGAAAACCGCGTGAAAAATTCCCTTCTTTTAAAAAAATCCCCTTCCAGAGCACCGAAAGTAGCGTCGCGCCCAGCGGCAGTTTCATGCACTCCGGCAACAAGCGATATCCTCATCGAAGTCTTGAACTCCACTGCACGAAAATCCGAATTCCATGGTCCAGTGATCTCGGTTTTAAAAGCTAGAGATGCCCAAGAATGAGAAGAAGAAAAAGGCGAAGAAGGAAGGGTTTACGCGAACGTTGACCGTCGTCGTTGCACTTTGGATTGTCGTATTATACACCAGTGTGACGCGCTTCGCCAGAGAAGATAGTACTACCATCTCGTATGAGGGAAGGAGGTTGAAATCTTTGAAAAGAACCTTTTTGTTTTGTTATTATTGAAAAGCAAGATATGCATATTCCATTTATTTATGATTCATAAATTATGAATGACTTGTCAGATAAAATATCTCCAAGCTTATTTATTTTTTGTTGAAAATTCGACTGTTAAATAATATATTTTCAGCCGTAAAAATTTTTTTATGGAACAATTGTACAACTATTTCGAAAAATTATTCTTTGCAAATTTAGTTTGACAGTCAATTTGATCATGAAATATTTATTTTTCATACAAAGCATGTTTTCAATTCATACAGTTGTTTGAGATAGCACTTGATTCCAACCTTTACCAAGAAAGCATTCGAAAACCAAAACATCAACAAACAAAGCCTCTCTCTATCCAACCCACTGCCAGAACAGCTTCCAAGAGGTTTTCAGCCAGATGTACAGAACGATTACGACTACAAAAGTGAGGCTTCAAGCGAATACATTCAAGAAGACTTGAATCAAAAGCCATCAGGGCGAACATCGCCGAATAATAAATATGAAATTTACACTGGATCAAGGGATGATCGAGTTTGCATGAAGAAAATTGACCCAACAGTGGAAAGAAAGCATGTCAAAGAGGGAAAGATTCCCAAATTTGTGATCATAGGCATTGGTTCATTAATTTAGTTGAAATCGTACTCATGAGAAAATCATTTTTGAGTGATTAAAATATTTAAGCGGAAGTCTTTTAAAAGCTAGATTTAAGAAATTCTGCGGCTAATCGTTGAACCCAAAAAAGGAGCCGACAAGTGCGGCACCTCAGCTCTGGGAAAGTTCCTCTCAGATCATCCTGACGTTATGTATATCGGCGAGACGTATTTTTTCTCACGCGAATGGGCCAAAGGATCAGGTTTGGTCGACTTCATTCAAGGTTCTCCTTCATTATTTATGTTTAGATTGGATCAAGTCGAAATCAGCCGGCGTTTTTGAGGACCAATATGTTTTGGAAAAGAGTCCCACTTATTATCGAAGCCCTGCGGCGCCTAAAAGAATGTTACAGATTAATCCAGACATGAAGGTGGCACTCGTTGTCTGTCGAAATGTCAAGCGATTGCTGTCCAGATATCTTCACCTTTACAGACCAGGAAAGGGCTTTGAAAACACGAGATCATAAAAAGTAATCTGTCGATGAGCCCACGAAAGGCGAAACAAATGATCAGAAAAAGTCGCGCGTTACCAATTTCTTCGGAACAACTACATCATCATTTATGCGCGCTGCTCTTGAAAACATCAACATGTTTGACAGATACCTCGAGCGATTATACCCTGATTGGAAGAATCCCGAAAAATTACACCTTTTGATTGACGGCTTAGTAGACAAATTTGAAAAGGTCATCCCGCCATTCAGAAGAGGCCTTGAAAATAATATCCGAGGGGCGCCCGCTTCATCTATGATCGCAGACGGTCTTTGGCCGTAAGTTGACTTTTATAGAAATTCTAAATCAGCAAAATTCAGCGTCTTTTTAAAATACTGGCAGCGTGAACTCGGCAAAGACCGGATAATCACCATTGATGGATCGATGCTGAACGTAGATCCTGCAGGCCAAATCGAGCGGTTGCAAGATTTCTTTGGTCTCAGCAAAGAAATAAGCTACAAAAACTTCATTTTCCATCAAAATCGAGGAATTCTTTGTCTCCAAGGTTCAAATGGGCTTCCTTGTTGTCCAACGTAAGAACACCGACCGGCTAGGACTGATGATGAGTAATCTTTTTAGGGATGAAAAAGGAAGATCGCTTGGAATCGAAATAGACCCAGAAATTAAAACAAGGATATGTGAATTTTTCAAGCCTTTCGGAACGGGATCAATTCGATACAGCTCGATAAAGTATCGTTGATAACGAAATTAATCTCTAAATAAGACGACTACATGCTTGAAATGATGGACCTCGATTGGCCAAGTTGGCGGGACACCTGCGAATAGACAGATAAATAGAAATTATACTCAAAAGACTGTAAATACCTCTGTATAATACTAAACAGCCTTAGACTTTTCAAAACAAAGATACTTCAATACTACAATCTCTTCTACCAGTTCATGATTTCAATAAAAATAAATAAATACTCAAAAACTAATTGAATTCAAGTTTTTTTTTATGATAATTTCCGCGAGTTTATTTGAAGAAAAACAGTAACACTTGAAGAGAGAATTGCAAATAATTTCCCAATCCCAGGGACAAATGAGAGAGAGATAAGTGATTGTCCCGATTAATAACTCTAAATAATTTTGCGTCTTACAGTGTTTTTAATTCTTTTCTCGCCCAGGGCCGAAATAAAAGGCTCTTCCAAAATCGGGAAAAGAGGGTTGAAAAGTCGTAATTATTATTTTCAAATTTGAATCCCAAGCTATTGAAGATTTAGCCGAAGCTAGCACAAGGAGAAAACACGATCAAAATATAAAAATTACATTTAGCAAAAGGAAAAATAGTACGCACTAGAGCCTGGAACCCTCTTTGATAAGAAGATAGGTGAGGGCCAGGGCTTCAGGAATAAATAAAGAGAGGACAGTGGAGAATGATTAAATCTAATCCGTTTCGAAAACTGTTTAGTAGTAGGTTTCGTTTTCGACCCAACCGCCGGGGTTTCGTCGGATGAGCATCTTTCGGATTTCATCATAAGTGAAGATGATGAGGGAGAATGGCTAGAAATGACAGTTAATATCAAACAACAGGGCTAGATTGGCTTACCATTGGGATGAACCACCAAGTCCACTCGAGTGGGTACATTCTCAACATAGCGTCGGTTCCTGGGCAGTAAGCCAAGAAAGCGGCGAGGAGGGTTTCTTCCATGAGACCGGCGATGAGGATCTTGTTCTTCATGCCCTGCTGGAAGATCGACAATCGTCGGGTCTTGCAGATGAGGACATCGGCCCACTGGACAATGACGATAGCGGTGAAGAACATAGTGTGGCAAGTGAATTCGACGATCTTTCGCTGGGAGTAAGCCCACTGCTGTCCATAGGAATCCTCAAGAGCCATACCAGCCTTGTCGTCCCAGTTGACTCGGAGTCCCATGAGATCCTCGGGCAAGAAACCGTTCTGCATCATGATGACGGTGTAGCAGACGAAGCCGGCGAGGGCCTGGATCATACCGATCTGACCGTAAGCCATGGAGATCAATCGCTCGTTGACGAGTTTGTCGGCGAACTTGTCTCGTGGGTTTCGCTTCATGATGTCGGATTCGGCTTCTTCATAGGCGAGAGAGATGGCGGGGAGAAGATCAGTTCCCAAATCGATGCAGAGGATGGTGACGGTACCGAGAGGGAGGGGAACTGAGAAGCACATGAAGACGAGGAAAGGGGTGATTTCGGGGATGTTGGAGGTCAAGGTGTAAGCGATGGACTTCTTCAAGTTGTCGAAGATCAATCGACCTTCCTCAACACCAGTGACGATCGAGGCAAAGTTATCATCGAGCAAGATCATGTCAGCGGCCTGCTTGGAGACATCAGAACCAGCGATACCCATGGCAACACCAATATCAGCCTTCTTCAGGGCAGGGGAATCGTTGACACCATCACCAGTGACGGCGACGACCTGACCGGCTCGCTGGCAACCATCGACGATGATGAGTTTCTGCTGGGGCGAGGTTCGGGCGAAGACGATTTCAGAGTGGTGTCGGAGAATATCATCGATAGCAGCATCGTCAAGGTCTCGGAGGTCGGAACCGTGCACAACGGCGGCCTTGGCTTCTCGTGGGTTAACCTGGGAGACGGGGATGCCTCGTTCTTCAGCGATGTCATCGACGGTCTTGTTGCCTTCGGAGATGATACCGACGGATCGGGCGATGGCCTTGGCGGTGATAGGGTGATCACCAGTGACCATGATGACCTTGATACCAGCAGATCGGCACTTGGCGACGGCGTCGGGGACAGCAGCTCGGGGAGGATCAATCATGGACATAAGACCAACAAAGGTGAGGCCAGATTCGGGGTCGGCTTCGAGGTTACCATTGGGGAAATTCATTTCGTCAGTGTCGAAGTTGAATCCCTTGGGGTAAGCGGCAGCGTCGAGGTAAAGATGGGCAAAACCGAGGACTCGCTCTCCCATACCACCGAGAGTTTCGTAAGCAGTGGTGAACTTGGCCTCCCACTCCTTGGTCATTTCGATTTCTTCGCCGTTGATCATGATTCGGGAGCATCGAGCGAGAATACGCTCTGGGGCACCCTTCATGACAAGGAGGTATCGCTGGTCGGAGGTGTCTTCGGTCTCGTGGATGGAAAGCTGCCATTTGTTGGTGGAGTTGAAGGGGATTTCGCAAACCTATGAGAAGAATAAGTAAAAGCGAAGAGAGTCTTCTATGGTTTCAAGGTTGAATCGTTGTCTTTTTTACCTTGGGGTTCTTGGCTCGGATTCCTTCGACGGAGCCCATCATCATTTCGCAACACTTGAGGAGAGCAGATTCGGAGGCATCACCAGCGGTTTCTCGCTTGAGGATGGGTCCAGTTTCGCCAGCAAGGAAGACAGCTCGGTTGCAGAGGGCGGCAACTCGTCCAAGGTTTCGCCAGGTAGCATCGTCCTTGTAGGTGATGTTGGCACCGGTCTGATTCTCAGTGGTGTCAGCTTCCTGGATCTTGTCGTCGAACCACATGTGGGCGACGGTCATTCGGTTCTGGGTAAGAGTACCGGTCTTGTCGGAGCAAATGGTGGAGGTGGAACCGAGGGTTTCGACAGCTTCGAGGTTCTTGACGAGGCAGTTCTTCTTGGCCATTCGCTTGGCGGTAAGAGTGAGGCAGACAGTGACGGTGGCGAGGAGACCTTCTGGGACATTGGCGACGATGATACCAATGAGGAAGATGACAGCTTCGAGCCAGTAGTAGCCGAGGACGAAGGCGAGGATGAAGAAGGTAACACCGAGGAAAACAGCGACACCAGTAATGATGTGGATGAAATGCTCGATTTCTAAATAAGAAATTCATAAGAGACTGGCCCGTTCTATTTTAACACTAAAAGAGAAGAAGCACGTCATTACATTTCCGAATTGCATTTCATATTTGACAAATAGAGCCGCACCGGCAAACAGACAAAAATTCTTGGCTCGATATTTGCGCGTGATTTCGATTATTTTTCGCCGGCTCGCTGTTCAAATATTAACTCCACTCAAACTAAAACTGAAGCGCTTTTGCTTGTTCAATCGATTTCTTTTTCGCAAAGGTGGCGAAAATTATCGATCTGCCGATGAAAAACCGCAGCAATTTTGGTTAATTTTGGGGTGTTTTGATTACAAAAAAGGTTCATTACAGATGCGAAAAAACGCTTGCGGTTTTGAGACATATAATTTACATTAGACATCTCATAACAAAATAAATTTATAATTCTAACTTACCCTGAGCAATAGGAGAGTCACCAGAGTCGACGTTGGAGGCAAGAGCGGCAATTCGGCCCATGACAGTGTTATCACCGCATCGGACGACGACACCACGAGCGGATCCTTCGACGCAGTTGGTCGAGAAGAAGGCGATGTTGCGGGCTTCGAGGACTTCGACGGTGGACTGCTCGGCGTCTCGGGTCTGTGGCTCGGACTCACCGGTGAGGGAGGAGTTGTCGACCTTCATGGAGGAAGAGGAAATGACTCGGAGATCAGCAGGGATTCGATCGCCACCCTTGACTTCGACGATGTCACCGAGGACGAGTTCTCGAGCGGTGATGTTCTTCTTTTCGCCGTTTCGGAAGACGAGCGCTTGCTGGGGGACCATATTCTTGAAGGATTCCATGATGGCGTCGGACTTGGATTCTTGGTAGTACTGGAAGACACCAGTGACGATGACGACGGTGGCGAGGACGATACCGAGGTAGAGGTTGTCTTCGACTGGGTCCTCAGAGTTGATGCACTCGATGGAGTAAGCGAGGAAGCAGAGGATTGATCCAATCCACAAAAGGGTGGAGAAACCACCGAAGAGATTGCGGCAGAACTTGACCCACTCGGGAGTGGTCTTTGGTGGAGTCAACTCGTTGTAGCCGTCGCGCTCGAGTCGCTAGAAAATTTGATTTAGATTCACATAATTTATAAAAAGATGAACATTTGGGGCGATGAATGTTGCCAGATAGCCGCTTGCGGCTATCGAGTCTAACGATAAAATCGGCGAAAAAAACCCGCAAGCGAGCCGGTTGCGGATATCTCGGGTCATTTTCAACCCAAGTTCTTTTTCCCTAAAATAATTTTGGTCACACGCCCTTGACACTTATCACCCGCGCTTATCACTTCCGAAAAGAGACGCGAAAAGCTGCTGACAGCCAAGTTTCATCAACTGTGCTCTCTCTTTACCTTTTTAGCTTCGGCATCGCTGAGACCGGAGCTAAGGTTGAGGTCGTATTGACGGGCGAGCTCTTCAATTGTGATTTGATGCTCGTTCATCTCGACCTCCTTACGGAGATCGGCATCTTCACCCTTCCCCATGCTCTGTTACTTTTAAACCGATTTCTGAAGGAACGTTTTTGTTAATAAAAGGAAACAGGAAGTGGTAAAAGGAAAAGTTTAAAACAGACACACAGGTCTGGGCTCGGCAACATGTGAAGAGAATTGCCGGAGTACAGATTAGATTTTGTTATGTTGCTGTATTTGACTCGAAAGCCGCAAGCAGCTTCGTCGAAATTTGAAAATATATAGACGAGAAAATTATCAATTATCGCGCCATCGGCAAAAGAAAACTCGCCCTGCGGGCTCGAGTTATAATTTAATAAGATTTTCTCTTGATAATTTTTTAAAATTATAGAAGCGGCAGAAGTTTCTCTAATCACGAAAAAGTGGCAGTGATGCGTATCGAGCGATCGGCAAAAATGAGGAGCGCTGAGAAATGAGGGGAATCAGCTGCCGACGCCCACGCGCGGCGCTCTTATTCAATTTTTAATTTCGGCCAACAATTGGGAAATTTCCATATTTGCATAAGAATTTCGCTTCCTTTCTCGAGTGAAATTGATATACCCTACTCTTTCTTGATCTTTTCAAGGCATTTGGTTTGATCATTCGAGACTGTTTTTTTCAGCAAAAACTAGAAATTCCGATTCGAAATTTTTCCAAAATCAAGATCTTCTATCTTGCTCAAAAGCCGCGTGCGGCTTCTTGCTTCTATAAATATCGCATCTTGGAAGCCGCAAGGGCCTTTTTCGACCAAAATCTGGGCTAAAAAAACTCTTTTTTAAAGCCGCAAGGATCAGTAATCAATTAGGAATCGATTTTCGCCGTTCCCAAATCTCCGATGATCGGGGCCCGATCAGAAGCAACTGTTCTTTTCTGTCGATAAAAATAACGATCAATGCGATTATTTTCTTGCCAGGTTTGAAATTTTGTTTCATTCCAAATAGCCCGCGAGTTCAACTTGCTATTTGCCTTCTTTGAATCTACTGTCAATAAACTATTCAATATTCTATTCGCAAGAAGCGGTTTTGGTATTTTACGTCAATGACTTTTGGAAACGCAAACAAGATAGTATCTTTTTGGTAGGGTAGACAAGAACTGGGCTCGAGAACATGTGTAGAAAACCTGAGTCAGGGTCTCGTCCTCAGAGATATTTTAGACCCTGACTCAGATATTCCACACAGGTTCTCGAGCCAAGCCTGACTCAGGGGCTCTACGGCTTTTCTTTAAGGATCTATCAGACCCTGACTCAGGTTTTCTTTACAGATTGTCGAGCCAAATTGCTTTACCTGTTTTAGGCAACATTTGAACTTTTATATACAGTTTTTTCTGAGAAGAAACATCCATTAGATCCTCATTAAACTCGTCAAGCAAATTATTATTCTGAGCCGGTTTTTTTTCCAGGAGCTAATATCGAATCCACTTGTTTCAAATAAAATCGCATATTGCGGTATCTATAGCAGTATTCTTTTATCATACGAATCTGCCGCTAAAATATTAGCCTGTCTCAAAATCAGACATAATCTTGGTCGATACTACTTTGGTCTCAGTTGCAGCGAAGTAGAAATTCGCCCCGTTTTCACGCTCAGAGTAATCTTTCTCAATCTTTGGCTCCTTGTAAATTATAAATAACGTTCAATCAGAAAAACGGGCTACAATGTGACGGGCTAATATTCAGGGACATAAAAAAGAGGTGAAAAAGAAAGCGAGACAGAGAAAGAAGGCGAACCAGGCAAATGATGAAAAAAGTTCCAAGCACGACGAAAAAACTCGCTAACTCGGTAGGTAGATGAACTTTTAACGTGGTCACAAATAACTCCATCATTTATCCTGTTACGTCCCGAACGGTGGTCATTTTATTCCACGAGCTAAAAAAAGTGAAAATAGCTCCGGTTAAAAATAGAATCCGTGACGTTCGATCAATTACCACTTCATCGCGTCTTTCCGTAAAAGCCATCTTCTTCAGATCAAGAAAAACGGAAAAGAATCATGGAAGGGAATTCAACGTCAGATTTCTGGAGGAAAAAACAGAAGCGGCCTGAGTTTTGATTCAAAGATGAGAACGCTGCTGAGATCGCAACCGGCTTTGGACCAGGAAGAACTCTTTCAATCGCCGGTTATTGGGGCTAAATACAGGTATTTACTGTGTAGAAAACCTGTGTAGTAAACCTGTGTAGAAAACCTGTGTCAGGATTTAAAAAAGCTTCAACGAAAAGCCGCGTTTCGGCTTTTTTGAAGCAAAGCAGCAAAACAGCTCTTTTGGATCCAGACTCAGGTTTCTTACACAGGTTGCCAAGCCAAGAAACAAAGGAAAAAGAGTGCTCTTTTTAAATTTTTTTTAAGTCAGTGACTAAACAAAGCTTACTGAGAAACTTGTCAGGACTGATGAGTGTGTCTTTATTTGATCGATTTGAAATCAAGGAAGAAAACATAATGAGTAAGCAAGCAATAGGAATAAAAAAAATGCGTTGAGTCGGCTCAAATTCCAACAATTAAACAAAAGCCCCTCTCTCTATTTATCAAGAGCAGATAATCTACGAGTCTGACTCTTTTCCAAAACCTGCTTATTTTTTACCAAGAGACTTTCTTTTTTCTACTGCATATTCTTTTCTTGAAAACTGTGGATTCTGTGACGACTTCCATGACGCAGTTTTTGCAAAACATATATTTTTAATAGCATTTTAATTGATTTGAAAACGTCATTAATTGAAGTGCCAGATTCTTCTTAAAACGGCAAATCTTTATCGATCATTGGCGATTCTCAACCAAAAGAGATCTCAAAAACTTTCTGACCTTTCGATAAAATAATTTTAACGAGCGCGAGCTCACTAGTCAAAAAAGACTAGTGAAACTGGATATTTTAAAAATTCACCTCTCTACGAGAAAGTGGGTCGGGCGAGGCTGTAATTACCGCCATGACAATTTAGACTATCGGCAACAAACTATCATGACGTCGTGATTTGAGACTCGATTCAACTAAAAACCAGCTTCTTTTTTGACTTTTACAGAGACTGAGACGAAAACGGCGAGAGAAAGAAGGAAGACAAAGAAAATCGAAGCTAGCTCTCTTTGTTTCCATTGAGCAGAAAAACAGAAAATACGACAAATCATCAAATCGTCAAATTCACGAGAGTTTTAAATAGACGCCCAGCCACAGCAATAGCGAAAGAAAGAAAAAGGAATCGGGAAATATGGAGACGAAAATAATGCCAAGAAGAAATGCTATTCGGAGATCAAGAAGAAAATTAAGGTAATTTTCTTTTTGAAAAATTTTTATCGTGAAAACTTCAAATAAATTTTATTAAAACCTTTTTATTTGATGCAAAACTTTCAAATAAGGCTTCAGGCTTCGACCCCGTGATAGAAAGAATTCAGAAGATGAAGAATGGACGGATATCGTCGAAAAACGCCCCGCTGTAAAAGGGCTAACGATGACTGAAATCGTCCAAGTGGCAATTTTCAAAGAAAAGCTTCAAAGTTCTGTCAACAGGAGAAAAGAAGAGGAAAAGCGAAAAAGTCTGTCGATGAGCAGAAATTCCTCCAGGCCGAGCAGTGCAACTTTGAGGAGCTCAAGGAGAATCCGCTCAAGAGCGAGTAGAAGAAGTGGAAGTAGCAGTAGAAAAGGTAATGATTTTATTGCTGAATTCAAAATATTAAAAAATAAACAAAAAATCCGCTTGTGGCTTTGTGAAAAATCCCAAAACTCTTTATTTACTCATTTATAAACTTCCTTTTTTTCAATTATTTTCAAGGGCGAAATTCTCAATCGCGAAATCGTCGAAATTCTCAATCGAAGACTCGCCGGGAACTCACCCAAAATCGTCGATCTTCTTTTCTCAAAGCCGCCGACAATCCAGTTCTCCAATCTGCAGCGTTGTGGAGGAATTATGAGCTTAGGTACTTACCAACTAACGTCGCCACTAGGTCGGTCAGTTTATTAGTATGCTTGAAGAATACATAATTAATTCTTTCGCTTTCTTGATCTCAGAATAAGCGAGTTAAGGAATTAGCGCCAAAAGGCTAATCCAAGCCCGCCACAGATTTCCTTCAAGCGCGAATTTCGAAAAAAAAGAAAGAAAAAAGCCTTAGTTTTTTCATGAATTCTGAAAGAAGAAACTCAGATTCGACTGTTACAGTAATAACACAGTCAGAAAAAGCAGAGTACAGGCAGATAGAATTCAGAGAATCAGAATCATTACTAAGAAGAGCGAATGCGGTCAGAAGGGGGTAAATAAAATGTAATTACAGTTAATTTTTACAATCGAAAATGTTAATTTTGACAATATTTTTCTATGTTAATGTGATGGTACGTCAGAACATATGGCTTATCCTGACTCTTCCTTCTTCGATCTGAAAATTTTAGATCGTCATCAATATTTGATCGCACCGATTTTTTTTTTCAATCAAAAAAGAAAGATTTTTTTTTGAATTAATATTCTTAATTTCAAAGCGATGGATGCTTATTTTGTGAAACTTTTTGAATCGAAGTAATTTAAGCAACTACCGTAGAGACAAAAATCTGGATAGTAAATAACAGAAATCAAAAGGAAAACAAAGAATTTTCGACGAAGCGACAAAATTTCCGACAATTTTTGATTGGGCAGCTATTTGGTCAATTATTTGAGTCGAAAATTCGGGGAGGTGTCTGGAACCGACAAAAATATTTCGACAAATTTTACGTGGAAATTTTCAACCAATCAGAAGCCTGGATTCGGCAAACCGGCCAATCAGCAGCCGAGTAGCCGCCTACGCAAAATTTGTCGAAACTTTTTTGTCGGTTCCAGACACCATCCCCAAAATTCTCGTGAAAAACAGAAGTTTTGTCGCTTCGTCGTCCAAAAAATTCGGTATGGGTTGAGGTTTTTTGGACCATGATTCTTGGTGGAACAAACCCTAACATTTGCCCAAGAATAAATCTTTTCGAGACTTTTTATATCTCTGGGTTTAACTAAAGACTGATCGATATGAAGCGTTCTACAACTAATTAAACAGATCATTCTCAATTCCAGTAATTCAAAAAATATATATGCATCCATTCTCAAAAAGAAAGAACCATTTGCTGATAGGGTCTCTTCATGGTCTCTCAGAATGCGACAAAATGATTTAAAAAATTAATTCGACGTTTATTTATTTTTCGTTCTTTCTCTCGCTGAATTTTTCATAACGAGAAGACGAAATCTGACAGAGAGAAATCGAGAAAAAATATATAAAGAAGAAACCGAGCTCTTAGCAAATCTCATTTACAAATGAAGAGCAGTGAATAGAAGGCACGCAGGGCGGAGGAAATATCAACGCGTTCGAAAATGGACGAAATAAGCAATGACGTCGAAGATGGGCAAAGAGAGGAAAAAGAAGGAGTGGAAAAGAAGCCAAAGGAATTTATTGAAATAGTTTTTCGGAGAATGAAATCGGAAAAAAGTCATAAATCGGGAATCTGAGTCGAAACCCAGGGTGCTCAAAGTGAGCTGCTCAAAGTACCCTGACTCTGGTTCCTAACCTGTGTTCCAGAATAAGCCACTGAGCGACAGTATCTCTGTCGTAAATTTTATTGAAAACAGCCTTTTTCAATGAAAAATAGAATTTACCGCTCCACCACCCCCTTGCATCTGCAAAGAGTCTTCCATTATCTCCAATCGCGAAAATGCCAAAACCATCATTGTATCAAATCGGTCAGTCAAGGAAAGGATCATAATTTTAAAAAAAGTGGACGAGCATACAATAATTTTTTACTGTTAAATTGACATTTGATATGATTTGTAGTGGCGACGATTTTATTTCTTGCTAGTGAAAAGTCGATTTTGACGTGGCTTGGTTCTTTCGTCAAGTTGAAGATAAAATATGAACTGAATAAAAACTGCAGTCTCCCAATAAGCGCGCCTTTCACGAGTTTTTTTGCTTAAATTCAATCCTTTGAAAGATCTTTCGATGAAATAATTGAGGATACGCGAAAATGCCATGATGATGAAGATTCACGAGTTCTAGTGCGGGCAAGAAGCGATGATTCTTCATTTTCAATCTCTGCTGGAATGGAAATTTTCATCAGAAGCTCCGTTGTTTTGCTCGAGTCAACATGTGGTTTGTGAGTTTTCGCTTTTTGTCGCATTCTGAGAAAGTCAGATTTCGGAGCTGGTTATTTTCTTCCTTTATTTCATGAAGATTTTCTTTCCCCTAACGAATTCTATTTCCGACAGACTAATTTTCTTAGATTTTTTCTTCCTTTTTTATGTTCTATTCGTAAACAAGCCCTATAATTTATCTTCTTGTACATTTTAATGAGTCTGTGGTAACAGCTTCGATCGAAGTTAGTAGGTAAAAATCGTAATATTTGACTTTCCGATCTGAGTCACTTAATAATCAACGAAAGCCCCAATCGTCAGAAAAAGTGTTTGAAGAAACACGTAATTATGATTTGACATTTTTCGTGAAAACGTAAATAAGACGAGTTTACGAGAGACAAACATGGTTCCAAATTGCGTCTTTATAGCCCTCCCGTTTTTGTAAAAAAAAGAAGCAAGAACAAAGAGAATTTGAAAAGAGATGAGATTCACGAGAAATAGATTTCGAAGTGAAAGAAATTTCGAAGACCAAAGAAATTCTCAAAATCCAGAAAATCATAGGTCGAATGTCGGGAGAATTTTCTCCTGGCCAAGAGCGTAAGTCGTATCATTTTTCAAAGACTTTGTCTCTCGGAACAATTGCGACCAATCAGATTTCCGTATTCAATTGGTTAGCCAATCATATGCAGAATAAGAATTATTTATTGCATTTTTTTCGTAAACATTTTTTAAAAACAAAAAATCTGATTTATATAAATTCTCCAAAGTTATTTACATTATTCTGACCGCTCAAGCAGGACGGAAAATGACGTTCTCTTACAATTCGTGTAAAATGTAAAAATAATAATTTGGATAATCCTCAGTACATAAAGTAGTTTCATGACGTGAGGGAAAACGTCACAGTAAGCTCTACGAGCGCCATATAGCAAAATCAGCTTACTGAGGCCGCTAAGTCTTCCGATAGCCGAACTGATACGCATTATCTGGTGTGACATAGTTATACCCAGAATTACCACTCCTTTTTTTATTATTTTCTTTTGCGAAAAAAGCACAGAGAGTGAGAAAAAAGATGCCAAACCAGAGTTTAAAGACAAATCTGACCAGAAACAAAACTCAAGCTTATTTGACTTCTACTGTCAAAATAAAAGAAACTCTAAGGTAGGAAATTTTATAAAAAAAAACAAGAAGAATGAGCCGCGCGCGGCTTAAGAAATTTGAAAAGAACTAAATTTGTAACTCGAAAGAAAACATCAATTTTCAAAAACACGGCTTAAAGCCGCGGGCGGCTACCACACTTGAGTTTCAAAACATCAAGTAAGCCGCTCGCGGCTTTTGCCGACTCTTAAAATTGACTCGTTTTCTTTTGAATTTCCTTCTTTCTGGCGTTCCGTCGAAATATTAAATAAAGAATAGCCGCGTGCGGCTCCTTTTTGATAAAATGATGGTTTGTGTTTGAAAAAATAAGCCATTGGGTATTTGAAAAATATCAAAAACAACGTTTCATTCGCCGCCTTTGCCAGTAACCTTCTGTTGTTTATTCTTCAAAATGTATCTTCTTCCATCTAAGCTGCTCTGATCCCGCTTCACAGTCGCGCTAGATCCGAGAAAAAGGCGCTTTCGTGGGTCGAGGTCCATTTAAAAGCATTTGTCTTCTTGTCAATCTGTATCAGACTTTTATTCAAAAGAAGTATGAAGCCAGTTTTGACAAAAAGAGCGAAATTGCTGAGAAAACGAACTGTTTCGTTTTATGAAGATGATGATGACCAAAGCCTTCTTGTGTAAGATTAACTTTGTAAATACAGAATGAGTGAAGAAAAAGTGTGAAATGATAGCTCAAGGGCAAGTTTTCAGCCCTTTTTTCAGATTCTTCTATTCAAGGCAATTGCATTATCGAAAATCAAATTTATTTTCTTTCTAAATTTCTTTCTCTTCCTGAGTTTAGAGCGATTTCGCGGTGCTCCGAAACTCATGAGTATTTTAACATGGAACCGACCGGTGAATCATCCTCTTTTGACAATTTTCAAGTCCCAATACCGCCAAAACGAGATGATTTAGAGATTTTAAAATCCGAAAAAATGAAAAATGAAGAGTTTTTGATCGATTTTCTGGAGCAAATTTCAGAGAAATCAATCTTAGACTGCAGGTTTGACTTTTTATTGAAAACAAAATAAGGGTGTCACTATATAAAAACGTGAGAAAATATTATATTTTGACAACCAAAGGGTTGTTTTAAAATAATTTTTTTTTCAAGAATTAATTATTGAAAAAGGGAGTATTCTGTTGATAACAATATTTCTGCAGTTTTTTTTTCTGCGTTAAAAGTCTTTTGCGATCGATCGCAAGATTCGGATCTGCGGTCGCTTAGCGTGCAGCCGAGAGAAAGCCTTGTTTCTCATCTACGTATGGGCACGCACATTGGGTTTCGTCGCCGATTGCAGTGCCCAAATCTTTTTCTTCGTCCTCCGCTTCATTCGAGAGAAAAACGCCCCTCGGGGCGACACTCTTTTGTGCCCAAATGGAGAAAAAAGAAAAGTACCGCACTCTGTCGGCAGATGAACGAACCAATGCTCGTAAAAGCTCGCAAGAAAGCGCGGAATCGAATTTTTCCTGGGGGCGGATTTCACCTGACCCGAGGGCCACGCTGAAGAAATATCTACAGCAGGATCAGAATGCTGATGAAAGGTCAGTTTTTAGAATTGGCCGCGATTGAAAACGCTAAGGGTTTTACATCTGAGTGGTAATTAGATTGATTTGCCCCCAGGGCAAAGCAGGTCCGCCCTTGGGCGAGATCGAAGGGTAAATTCGAATTTGAGAGAAAATTCAATTTTGATTCAAAAAAAGGAACGAGCCAGAAATCAACATAACCTTTTTATATAAAAAAAAAAGATATTTATAATTCGCAAAATCGATCAAACTGACGCCACGTCAGAAAATATAATAACTCAGACGAGTTGATATCTTGCTGAAAAAAAGGCCAAGTGGCATTTCAATAGACTATATTTTTATAAATTATGTCGGGGGACGGGCGGCTACGTTACAAATTTGTAACGCCGTTACAATTTTGTAACGCCGTTACAAGAATTCAGATTTTTTTCGCAATACAAATTATTTTCCATTCCGTAATTCTTATTATTTTGGACAGAATAAGCGATAAGGTGTGCCAAAGTGTAGTTTCCTTTAATTCAGGCGCGAAGCGCCCACTCGTTCAATGATTTTGATTTTGAATTTTTGTAACGCTGTTACAATTTTAACTATTTGTAACGTAGCCGCCCTACACCCATTATGTCTGATTTTCTTAGCAATAGAATATAAATATTGATGAAATCTCTATATAATAAAGACTATATTTTTCAAAAAAAAAATGGAATAGAAGTTTCATTTTTTATATACATGGTTTATCTAAAATTTTTAAATTTAAAATAAGAAATTTATTAAATTGTCGGTCATCATTATTTATTATGACGTCAACTCAATCGTCTATTTTCTCCATGAAATTACTAGAATAATGACCATCTTGAGCAGAGTTGCAAATTTTGGTTTGTTTATGCTGAGCTGAGCTGAGCTGACCTGCGTGAAAAATTCTCTGAGCTGAGCTGACCTATTACGCAGCTCACTGAGCTGAGCTGCCCTTTTTCAGACGTCATTGAGCTGAGCAGAGCCGAATAAGAGCTGAGCTGAGCTGGATGAGCTGAACTGAGCTGTTTTTACTGTATTTTTAGTAGTAAAATTAAGTTCAAATCATTTAGCTGAGCTGAATGATACTTGTCTGAGCTGAGCAGAACTCATCATGTTCGAAAATCACTGAGCTGAGCGACTGCTCAGCTCCCTCAGCCAGCTCAGCTCACTCAGCTCAACAAATTTGCAACTCTGATCTTGAGTAATAATAAGTACGTATAAACGGTGCCATCCAAGTCGAATTTCAAGCTGCTGTCTTTTATTAAGGATTCATTATTACTCAATTTAATCGCCATTTTAATAAGTTCATGAAAAACGATATTCTTACTATAGAATCAGTTAAGCTTGGTACGCCCTTAATGTTTCTTTTCGATCGAGTCGCAGATTCTTCATTGTAGAATTCTTTCGGGCATATTTTTTAACGACGATGTGTAATCCTCTTATTTTACGTGCTTGTTTCAGAGCGATAAATATCGGTCTCGTTCATTGAATGACTGACCTCAGAGCGACGGTATCCGAAATTGAGTTTTTGGGCTCAATAAACAGCGAACATGATTTTTTGATTAAAAATGGCGAAACAGAGAATAAGATTTTTATCCTTGGCCGCTGAGAAACATGATGGTTTCGAAAGGTAAAAAGCTAAAAAAATAATCCTTCGGTCGAGCAGAAAAGCTTCTAAGAGAGCAATATCGAGAATGAATATGATCAAATCGGCTCGATTCGTTGCTCGTTCGTGATTTCATTATTCAAATGGTGAACCATTTTCTAATTTTCTTTTCTCCTCGTTTTCCAAACTCTTCATTGCAAACCTACCCATGGCAAGAGAAAGACGCTTCTCGCTTTTTTCCCTCACGGCGCCTATTTTTCATAATGAAAGGTTTTTGCTTAATTTTTTCGACCAAAACTAAGTCTAAACGTTACTTAAGACCCTAGCCCAAGCAACAACCCTAACCCCAATGGAAAGTTTTGATTCGAAAACCTTTTTCTTTGACATACTCTAACCCTTACTCTTAGCTTTGTATTTTTTGGATATTTCCGTCTACAGAGTTGATGGAACACCAACCGAGAGTAATCAAAAATTAAACCTTCTTCCCCTTCTACCCACTTTCTTTTTCCTTATTCTGTCGTCATCGAATACCCAGTAGAGTGACAATTACAGGGCGGGCTGAAAACAATCTTTCCGTTCTGAGCTATTTACACAAGGCAATAGAGAAAGGGCCATCTTTTGTGACGATTTTTTTTTCTTCTTTTTTTCTTTCTTTATCGGCCAAAAGTGATTATGTCCAGCAGTGCAAATATTCCCTTGCACAATTTGGCCTTGTTCATTCAAGCGGCCGATTGATTTTTTTTCCTGCTCATTTTCTTTTTTTCTTTCTGCAATTGGAGAGACGAAAGCATTTGCATAGAGAGTGAATGTGCATCTCCTGTCACTGGATTAAAAAAGTTTTGAGAAGATCGCTTGAAAATAAAAAGTAATGAGCAATTATTTTTCTTTTTTTTTGCTGAATTAAGCCCCCCCCCCTTCAGCTTTTTCCTTCGAAAAATGGAAATTTCTATAAACCCCATATTTTTTGTTCTCAATGCGTCCCAAGGTTAAACTTGCTGAGAAAAACTTATAAGGGGAAGTTTTGACCAAGAAAACTCAGTATTTTTGCCAAAATTAGGGCAAATTCGTCAATTTTCGGCGAAAAGTCCAATTTTCAAATGCGATTTTGGGGGTGAAGGAGTCCAGATAGACTCCCAAAAAATGAAGCCTCAAAATCGTCTTTTAACCCGTAGAATCCATTTCCGGGGTCAAAATTTCAAAATTCTAAAATTTTATTTTTCAAAAAAAGCTGACGGGGGGGTCCTTAAATAATCCTCTTAGTTCTTGCATGGGTCCCCTTATTCGACCTTCGGCCAAGTAGTCATTATTTTTCTTAAAAATGATTTTATTGAAAGTCTCTTATTGAGTGTAAGCCAAAATATAGCTGCTTTTTAAATGACTGAATCGAACATACTGTATTAATCATAATTTTTAGTCGACGACTTTCGACCGGCGACAACATCGGAAGATTCACAGAGCCCTCTCGCGTCGCGCCCGTACCTATTCAGCCATCACGTGATCCACTGCCAATTTGGAAGGTACACAAAGTTCGCTTTGTCTTAAGTTTTATTCAACTGTACCTGTAGCAATCTGCTGAGCCAGACGCGCACTTGTGGACAGACTGCGATTCGTCGAACGAAAGCTGCTATCTGAAATCGCAGCCAGATTGTAAATCTAAAAGCTCCTCCAGGGAACGGTGCAATGCTTGTAGAATTGCTGTCCATACGAATTGTAAGAAGAAAAATCAAGGTGAAATGGTATCATCATGTTATTCTGTTTACCAAATCTCCTAGCTCTCCCGAAATGCCGCGTTACATTCAACGACGGCCACCAGACCAGCAGCTTAGCGGAGCACAAGTGGGTAAAGCTCCCGCGTGCTTCTGGCCGCTGCTCTTATCCCGACTGCCGCGAGAAATTTGACAAGTCAAAGCTTCCGAAAATGCTCTCGACGGAAAAGAAACACTCGGAAGAAGAAGCGCCTGTAATGTGCTCCTGGTGCAAGCAAAGCTATCATTACAAATGCGCGATGAAATTGGCGAATGAGGACGTTTGCGACTTTGGAGAACATCGACAACTCGTTGTGCCGCCAAGTTGGATTCATAAAAAGAGGTAAAAAAAACGGTCACTAAATTCGGCAAGGCTTCAGATAAATTCTCATTCGCAAATTAAGTGATTCTGAAATGGAAGAACGCGACGACGTGGAAAGACGCTTGACAGATGATTTCGAAATAATACCCGAAGATGTTGGCGACAAAACGCCTTTATTGGTTTTCATCAATCCTAAATCTGGCGGCAATCAGGGCCATTACGTCCTCGCTGAAATGCAATATCTGTTGAATCCGAGGCAGATTTTCGACTTGACTAAAGGCAATTTTATTATACACAAATATATACAGTATATAAGCCTTTAATTTATTCATGAGGTATAGAAAACCAGCTTCTTATTATAATTTATAAAATTCATCGATGATTTTTTATGAATAAAAATTTATTTTTCAGGCGGTCCAAAGCAAGCACTGGAGCTCTTTCGAGACGTTCCGAATCTGCGCATCTTGTGTGCAGGTGGCGACGGCACTTGTGGCTGGGTGATGTCAACAATCGATGACGTCGGCTTTGCTGTGAAGCCGCCCGTCGCCATCCTCCCTCTTGGGACGGGCAACGATTTGAGTCGCTCGTTTGATTGGGGAGGCGGCTATACGGGCGGCGATCTATCGAAAATTCTCAAGGACCGGGTTTTTAAAATTATTTATAATTCATAAAATTTATTTTAAATTTTACCTTTTTTAACTTGTCAACGAAAGGAATTTACCCTTTCAAAGGCGGTTGAAAACGGCAAAGTGTCAGCTCTGGACCGCTGGAACATCGATGCCGATGAGGAAATTAACCTTCCGCTGAAAGTTCTGAATAATTACTTCACTGTTGGGGTTGATGCTGAAGCTTGCCTCAAATTTCATTCCGAGCGAGGTAAGAGGCCATGGCTTGTACGTTGATTACCATTTGCAGCTTTCGCCTTTTTAAAACTGTATAAAAGCAAAGAGCACTTACTGTCGTGGGGATTAAGAGCAACGTGTATGTTCAGAGCAAAATCCTGACAAATTCAACAGCCGCCTGGGGAACAAGATCCTCTACACGCACTACGGGGTGATGGAATTTCTCAAGTTCAATTGCGCCAGTCGCGAAATGTACAAACACGTCAATATTATTTGCGACGGCGAGGACATGACGGCCAAACTGGAAAGAATAAAGGAAAAGTGGTTTAAGATATTCAATTGAAAAGGCCAAAATTTTGGCCAAATTATAGGCCAATTATTAAACCATCGAAAAGGCCTGTTGCGTCATGCTTCTCAACATCAAAAGCTATTCCGGAGGGTTCAAGCCATGGGATGAATCGAAAGGAAAAGCATCAACGGCGGATGAGAAAATAGAAGTTTTAGCATTCAGTCATCATCAATTCGTGAATCTGTATCTTGCAAAGGGAACTGGAGAAAGTCTTGGCCAATTTTCAGAAGTTGAGCTTATTGTTAGCTGCCTTTTTATCTCTCTTTCCTGACATTATTTTCAGTTAAATCATACTCTGGCACTGCAAGTCGACGGAGAACCAGTTCAAATCAAAGTTAACCCGTCGGCGTCAGCTCGCTTCAAAATCTCCCATCGGAACCAGCACAGGCTCATGATGCGCCGCCGCGGGAAGGACAAAAAACGAGTTCCAGAACCAGACTTTTGAAAAATTAGCAAAAAGCCGAAAATCAGCCGAAAATAATTTATAAAAAAGAAGACAAAATGAAATATAAAACAAAACTACTGCCATAACTTTTTGTATAATTTCAGCGATATTACGGTATTAAAGCTCGATTCTAGAGAGTCAGAAATTTATCAAAACTTTTCTTAAATTGAATAATTATTTTTCATTTGACGAAAAGTGATGGATTTTTGCATCTTTTTTTTATGAGCTGAAATGATCTGTATATACTCACCGTAGAATCTTTTGCTTCTTGAATCTGTATTGTCCGCGATTTACTTCATAAATTCTAGCATCATCGCCACAACAATACTTTTTTTTATTGCAACAGTGTACATTAATTGCCACCACTCGATTCTGTGTAAATCATAAGTTCATTCAATAAACCAGTATCATCATTTAACACCAGTAAACGCAAAAGTATACTGTTTCCTGTCAGTCAATCTGACTAATTCATATATTCAATCAAAGAACAGCATGCAGACAGAACAGTACAGCAGGGACTCAAAGAAGTTTGAGCTTTTTTTGAGACCCCAGAATACAGCCACGGAAGGGGCGATTGTCCACACTAGAATGGCACGAGTTCCAGCAATGTTCCACCCGAGGACTTTCTACTCAAAGAAGTTGCATCGAAAATCAGTCCCGGTTGGATATTTTTGGATGTATTCCAACTCTTGGACTGGACAAATATCGAAAGCTGAAAATAGAGTTGATGCGTAAAAGACGACAAAACCAAAGATCCCATCCGTCAAGAGCGAAAAGTTTTGGCAGATACTTTGTCATTTTTTGAAAGTCAAGTCAGAGTATCACCCAGGCTCGTATTGTCAATACGGTATTGAAGTCTAAGCACAACTTAGTAGGTATAATAATTTTTTCAATGTTTGTCGCAACATGTGCAAATTGCGACTGCAACGGCAAACTTTATCAAAAGAAGAAGAAAATATGGCTTATTCCTTTTCGAGAAACCGCGAGAAAAAGCAAGAAAGTGGACGACAAAAAGACATTCAATTTGGCAGAGCATGGGTTCAGCACTAATACACAATTGAAAGTCTATCTTTCCACTGCATCTATTTTTTGGTTTATTGTGATTCTCTCGGCAAATTTTATCAATTTTGAAAGGACAAGATTCAAGCCCGGTGTTGGTTCTTTCTGTGTTCGGCAATTCAAGACATGTATATCTGATCGTTCTGGGCTCATATTTATTAAATAGAAATAATCGTTATTGATATATAATGAGAAAAGAGAATCCGATGCCTGCAAGAAGTTTTATGATGAACGCAATATTTTGAGAAAAATGAGCCCTGATTAGTGACTGGAATGCATGCGCCTCGGAGATGTACAATTGTGCTGATTTTTCGAACATAAATTATGGAAATTTCACCTTTCCTGATCAGCCAATCAAGCTCCGACACCCGAATATAGTACAAAAATCATTCGATGCTTCAAAAAACGCAGCAAATCGAAATATGTGTCTCCTTACTGCGCATCTATCAAAAAACTTGTGCGAAAACTTGGGGATTGATGACTAAGTTCGTAGGGACTAGGTTCGTGGGACTAGGTTCGTAGGGGGTTATGCCAAAGTATGCAAGATGGGGTATGGTTTCCTCTCTATAAGGAACAATGTGGTGCGACTAGGTTCGTGGGACTAGGTTCGTAGGGGTGCTAGGTTCGTGGGTTTTGAAATAAGAGATTTTTCTATAAGTATTACAAGTATTATAAAAATTATAAATTTTTTTTAATAAGGAACAATTGAGTGCGACAAGGTTCGTGGGATTAGGTTCGTGAGTTTTGAAATTTTTTTTTTATAAGGAACAATTGAGTGCGACTAGGTTCGTGGGACTAGGTTCGTGGGTTTTGAAATTTTTTTTTATAAGGAAAAGGGGGGTGCGACTAGGTTCGTGGGACTAGGTTCGTGAAGACTAGGTTCGTGAAGACTAGGTTCGTGGGACTAGGTTCGTGAAGACTAGGTTCGTGAAGACTAGGTTCGTGGGACTAGGTTCGTGAAGATTAGGTTCGTGAAGACTAGGTTCGTGAGACTAGGTTCGTGGGACTAGGTTCGCGGGTTGTAAAATTGGGTAAAGTTGAATGGTAAAAAAATGACTTTCCCACCCCCACCCCCAAAATAAGCCGCTAGGCTCTTTAACTGAATTTCTATGTTAGCGCTGAATAACAATGGTTGCCTTAGAAGAGTTGGTGATAACTATAACGGAATTATTTAGCAAGCTAACCTAGTCCCACGAACCTAGTCTTCACGAACCTAGTCCCACGAACCTAGTCGCACCCCCTTTTCCTTATAAAAAATTTCAAAACCCACGAACCTAGTCCCACGAACCTAGTCGCACATATTTTTTCCTTATAGAATAAAAATTCTAACCAATCAAAAACCCCCGAACCTTTATTTAGATAACAATATTATATTATATGATCATATAATTACAATACATATATACAATTATATATAAATAAATATATACATATAAATAACACTTACTCATTACAAATAAAAATATACATATAAAATCAAAAACTCACGAACCTAGTCCCACGAACCACGTTTTCCAGCCAGACACCCACGAACCTAGTCCCACGAACCTAGTCCCCACGAACTTAGTCATCCCACACAAAACTTGTGCTTCGAAAGCGATTTTTCTTATGCCGACGATCGCTTTAAATACACACCTGAATCAAAAGAAATAGACAGTTCCTGGAAGTCATACAATCACCAAGAAAATAAAGAATGCCTAGATATTTGCATGGTTGCAGCAGATATGGAAGTAAAAGATGACTGTCCCTTCGAGAGCAGGTGTCCAGATGGCTGTCCTTGTCCAGGATACGAGTGCGTTGAAGATATACCGGACTTTTCTTTGGGTGTTCTCGAAAAACTAAATGGGGAAAAGAACCTGTTAGATTTTTGTACAAGATGTCCGTCAATAAAACTTTTTTTTTCCAAGGACCGCTTTTAACTACAAACCTTTTTACCTTATTATTTATTTGAAAAAGCCAGGATTTAAGAAAAACAAATTTTGACAAATGCTCTCCAAAATTCTCGTTCAACAATGTCACATTGTCAATGTGTATTGTTTGGTTCAAAGGGGGCTTCTATCTAATTCAACAAGTAAGCGATAACGTGGTGGACCGTCACGTGATTATTTGGAAACTCACAAAAGACGAACAGCTGAAGAAGATCGCTGTCATAAAAATAAGAGACGATTTAGTTTTAGGCGATCTCTGTGGAAGTGGATTCTACCAGAGAGTGGTAAAAAATGAAGTCTTGCAGGATGAAGAGAGAATTATCTTCTGCTCAGTATATGACAGCCATGATATTTGTTACAGTCTGTTGGTTGAAGGAGAAAATGCAGCACTTGGAACGGTCTACAATCGACCTTTTCGGACAGTTCATCGGAATAACTTCTACTCGGAAAATGTTGCGCTTAAACTCAACAATCATTTTGTGAGTGTTTCCCTTTTTAATGAGTGATTGAGTGTGACTTTATTAAGAATATTTTTACGATAACAAAACGATACCCTTCAAGTGTTATTTATCTCTATTCCTTTGATGGAGTGGCTGGATATGCTGGTCATGCTTGGTCAGAAACAAGGAATTACTTTCCCTCTCATTTTCGTATGAATTATTTTTACGTGGTTTTTTAAATGCATTTATTTTAGGAGGAGATTTCGGGGCTGGTGGCTTTGATCATCTTATAACAGCATTTCCTGACATCGAAGGAATCATTTTTGCAACTCGTTCGGAATATTCTTTTAATGGCATTACCACTCATATGATTCAAATTCAGCGACTCTACAAAAATAATTGGTTCTATCTCGGCCATACTTCTTTTCGCCGAAAGAGTTTTAGTTACTTTCAATCCAGAACAACGGTGTTTGAAAATATGTTTCTCATTCAAGGGCAAATAATTCTTGGGGAAACAATTTCTGATAGTTGCATCTTACAAAATCCATGCCCAAAATCACCACCGAATTTCTTTCTCTTCGACCAAGAAACAAAAAAATTTAACCTTCAAGATATTATTGTCTATTTTGATGGCTTTTCTTCTTTCGATATAATTGCAAGTTTTTAGTTATTCAGTTAAATTTGCTGCGTTGTCTCTGCTCTGAAATGATTTCATGTCAAATTTTATGATCAAATAATAAAATAAGACTCTTCATGACTTTCTCTGCATATTTATACGATGCTCAAATCTTTTGTGGAACGTCTTTCGGGCCGGTTGTATTTGCGCAAATTCAGTTCCAAAAAGCTCTATTTGGTACAACTTTCTGCATCACAGATCAGAGAAAGAGATATGAAGATTTCAGGTCTTCTTTTATGCGGTTTAGCCGTGGCAAAAGAAGGCCATGAGGACTCCAAAATGCATCCGGAAACGAGAATTGATTCGACAAAGACTTGGCCTCAAGTTGAGGAAACATCTGGTCGTTTTCTTTGCGAGATGATTTTAAACATTATTTTCAGAATACTGGCGGTCTTTTACACAAAAAACTCTTCGTGAAAACGCTCGAAAGATTCAAAACAAGTCCAAGGCGAAAAATGCCATTCTCCTTATTGGCGACGGGATGGGAGTTCCATCCGTGACCGCCGGACGAATTTTGGACAACGGCGAGGCGCATGTTTCTCAAATGGACTCGTTGGACTATTCTGGTTTGATAAAAACGTACAATGTCGATCAGCAGACACCGGATTCTGCTGGAACTGCTACTGCGTATCTTTGCGGAGTCAAGGGAAGAGCGGGAACCCTTGGGGTGAATGCGGCCGTGGCGCGTAGGGACTGCAGTAATGTGAACGAAAATCAGCTCGAGAGCGTTCTCGAAAAGGCGAAGAGAGCAGGTAATGCTTCAGCTGACCTTTTCGTCGGAGTCCTTATTCAATCGACCTTGTAGGGAAATCAGTAGGAATCGTAACTACAACTTACATGCAGCATGCTTCTCCAGGAGCTGCTTATTCCAAAATCGCGCATCGAAGCTGGTACTCTGATAAGAAAATGGCTGAGGACTCAGATCTTATCAATGGAGACTGCGATGTAAGATGCTTTCGTTGAAAAAGATAATCGTATCTTCAGGATATCTCCTTGCAACTCTACAATGCATCACCAAATATCGACGTCATCTTTGGAGGAGGAAAGCGATACTTGGAGGACCGAAACGACGGTAGAAATTTCACGCAAGATTGGATTAATGATGAAAGCGTCAATATTGTTTTTGATAAAGATCAATTAGATCAAGTTGACCTCGATGACGGAAGGAAACTCATTGGCTTTTTTGCCAGCGGGCATTTGGAGTATGATCTTGACCGGTAAGAGTACGATTTCTCCCTTTTTACCATTTTTATAAGTGTTTCGAAAACAAATCAACCCTCTCTTGAAAAGATGACAGAAATTGCGATCAAGAAGCTGAGCAAGAACCCAAACGGATTCTATCTTTTCGTCGAGGGTGGAAAAATTGACCATGGTCATCATAAAGCCTCTCCATTTCTTGCGCTGCATGAATGGGTTGCCTTCGATAGAGGTTAAAATGAAAAAGTGATTCTGATAAATGATTGATTTAGCGGTCGGAAAAGCCATCGAGCTTACGAACAAAAATGAGACCCTGATATCAGGAAGAGTTTTTTTTTATCAAAGGTGTCTTGTACTCTTTTGAGAATGGTCCCCTTTTCATAGCAAGGGCCTTTTTTGATGTAAACTCCTCTCAGTCTCCGCTGATCATTCTCATGTCTTCTCTTTTGGAGGCTACGCTCCTCGTGGAGCCAGTCTCTTCGGCCTTGGAGCGGATTTTGTCGACACTTATGACAACGAATCTGTCTTTGTTATCGGCTACGGAAACGGTCCGGGATTTGACGACTACCTACAAACAAATTCCAGCAGCCAATGCGAACGGAAACCTCCTTCAACAATGACGGTAGCTTATTTTAGAATACCTATCTAAAGTAGACAAATTGCAGGCGGACTTCACTGTTGGAGTAGATGGAAGAATTCCAGATATTGAGCGAACATGGCCAACAGCTCAGGAGACCGATTCTGAAACGCATGGTGGAGAAGATGTGCCAATTTTCGCGGCTGGTCCTTGGGCTCATCTTCTTACAGGTTTGATTTTTTATATGATTTTTCTCGCTAAAAATGATTTGAAGGAGTAAACGAGCAGACTTTGGTTGCAGAGGTCGCTGAATTTGCCATGTGCGTCGGTAACTACCAGGAAGAAGAGCACTGTAAATCTGAAGGGCAAATTGCTCAAGCTTCCGTCCTTTGCTTCTTGATTTTATCTTATTTCTATTAATAAAAGCTTTTAATTTGAGTTGTTCTCTGCTTATTGGCTCTTTCGGTAAGAAAAAAATAATGTGTTTTTGTATTTATTTAGTTCTCGGGCCAGTAGCCCATCACATATTTTTGCATAAAAATCTGATGTTCTAACGATTCCAAGTAGTTCTCCATGATTGTAGAATCGAATATCCGCCACGGGTCGTAATCTTTCTCTAACTTATAATGAGAAATCAATAGTTCATGAGCGAAAGTCTGGTATAAAAGAGAAAATAATAGGCAGAACATTTTAATAATGAGAATTGATCAAAATTATGCGTTCTTTTTATGTCTTGTTTATCGATTAAACTGTCGTTTTTATCAGGAGAGCAGTCAATTGTTATTAGTTTCTGCATGCATTACCGTATTCGTCCAAAAAATTAATTTTAGGGGCACTCTTTATGATCTTCTCGAAAAACCTCTTGGAAAATTTTGAAATCGACGACCCTTCGCCGATTCATCTGGGAGGAGGACTTGTTGGAGTTTTCTTGACGCCGATTTTCAACCATGATTTGTAAGAAATCATTTTTTTCCAAAGAAAATAACACCTATAAAGCTATTTTGAACAAAGATTAGATGATCTTTCTAAAAAACCCAGATTTTCTAAAGTGAGTTAATCTGGTGCTGTCAAACCGCTGAATTCCAACTCTCCTGCATAGAGCATAGCGCGACCTTTTTCAAACCTAGGCATTTTTTCTCGCTGATTTCAATCAAACCAAGTAACACGAGCCAAAAATGAGACTCTCAACTTTTGGTGTTTTTGCTTCCCTGGCAGCGGGGCAGTACAATCCGTCGGCTCAGAACGGGCTAGAGAAAATTGTAGCGGATGTTAAGGAGAAGTGCTTCAGCTACATTGATACAGGTAGATACAGTACTTCAAGGCCAAAACATCGAATAAAAATCGATTATTTTAGCTCTTTCCTGTGAACCACCAAGCTCGAAGGCTTCGAAAATGAAGCATCGAATCGGAAAAGTCCTCGACGATGCCATTTGGCACCACTCGCGAGGGAAATGCGAGCCAGATGCTTCGAGAAAACGACGTTCTGATGATGCAGATTCCAGTTTTAGCGACTCTACTAGCAGCGAATCAAGCGATGTGGAGATTTATATCGATTATGAGGAGGATTTGGACGATTTGATGATGCTTGGTTTGCAACGAGCTGGAAGCTCAAATTTGAAGTAAGACTAAGAAAAGTACCCTCGGGCGTATGAAAGGCGCACTCGCCTCAGGGCAAGCCTGGTTAGCTCAGTCGGTAGAGCGTTGGACTCTTAATCCAACGGTCGCGGGTTCGAGCCCCGCATTAGGCTTACTTTTTCTCAACCTTTTTTTCAGGCTGATCAATAGACTTCAAGCTCAATGCAGTAAATTCGTCGAGAAATTCACTGAATCAGATGGTATGCATTTCTCTGTCATATTTGCAATAATTCTGCTCTAGAAATTGCTGATTGCGGTAAACAAGGAGCTTGGAAAAAGCGAATCGAGTGGTTGGTCGAAGTCGTTGGAATCATGAAGAATATTTGCTTGAAAGCTAGTTCTGACTCGATTGGGTATTAAAAAAGAATATTTATGTTTATTTCTCTGTCATTGTATCTGTTTTATTCAGTTTGCAAAAAATTGTTTCCTTCAGAAATGGGAATTTTTAGTGTTCCGAGATTTTTGAGCAGCGGGTTTGTGTATCGAAATCCATCAAACATATTTTGGACGATATTCTTTTGTTCAGCGCGTTTTCGATCTCCAGATTCGTAGAAATGGTCTTCTTTGAGAAGTTTGCCGATGACTTTCATGTTTTGCGATTGATGCTGAAGAGTTTCAGAGTAGGAGAGGATGAAGTTTTTGAAATCGAGAGTCGTTGGCGTTGTCTTCGAAATAGATTTTCAACTGATTTAATAGAAGCATTTTGCAAAAGTTATTGATTTTAAATCTTTCCTGATAATTGATATCCGAATCATTGTGCTTCTTTCGTATGTTTGAATCGATGGCGAATCTCGAAGCAATTGTTGTCTCATCGACATTTCTCTGAAAGACTCTTGCGTTCTCTAGCCTGTTTTTGGCCTCATTTCTTCTCTCCATTTCATCGGGAGTGATTTTCCTTTTCTTTGGAAAAAGTCTCTTTAAAAACAGCATGAATCAAAATTTCGCAGACAAGCTTGAAAAATGAATAGTGTATTATCAACAAGATTTTCAGACGGTCATAAATCTCGGAATTTGTCGGACAGATAGTGTCCTACTTTTTTCTGCTACTTACCTCAAACTTTTTAAAAATTAAAAAGACTTTCTATGGGCAAAGCCCAAAGAAATACGTTTTTTTTGCTCTCAAGAATCGTTTCTCTTAGAAACTACATTCTCTGAAAAGTCGGTTATATATGTAAATATACAGCGACATCTACAAGACAATGATGTTTCATCAAGAAGAATCTAGAATAAGCCAAATAAGTCGTCCTTCCGACTCTTTCATCATAAACGATCAAATCGAGCCGATGTTTGCCCTGAGTCAGACTGACTAAACAATGTTATGAGCTTTTTCTTTGTTCGAGTTTTATGATCTAATCGTATATCAAATCATCAAAAACATGTGAAGACTTGAAATCAAAGAATTTTGTTGTAAAGCCTTCTGCGTCAGGAGCATCTCAAATATATTTTTGTAAATTTTGAACAGGCAGTATAAATAATCTTGATTCTGCATCTCCAGCTCCATACGTGATCCAAAGCTCATCATCAACCCTTGTCATATCGGACACAAAAACAATCTTATTCTTCGACAGATAGTTGTCTCTGTACTGCTTTTTCTCTTGATTTAATTTTTCAAATTTTTCATCGATTTCGTATACGAGCGGGAGGGGTTTGAAGCCCGAGCTGGTTATTTGGAAGGATTCGTAGTCGGTGGAAATCCTCATTTTGAAGAAATAATTGATATAAACACGCGAATCGTCATTTTCTGGTGCAAAGTGACAGTGTAAGATTCCCAGAAATTCTTCGTTGTTCAATCTTAAAAAGATTTTATTCCTACTTTTGCCTCATACAATCGGCTAACCTAATCAAAGGAGAAGAACCATGTAGAGAAATCTTCTTATTCGCTTCCTCAGCGTCGATTTTTGCGATTTCGGCGACGCTTCTGAAAGTGTCTTCGAATTTCCCAACGGTTGGAAATATTTTGAAGTCAACCTCTGAGGCTGTTGTGTTCACAACAATCAGTTCTGGATAAAAACTGTAAATAAAAATCTCTTCCTCTGCGTTTTCATCATCAATTGGCGTCCAATTTCTTTCAATATCCCATTTTCCCAAGCTGATTTCGCTTAATTTTCTAGCTGCATTCATGATTTCAAGGTTTTTGGATAGTTCTGCCATCCAAAGCCCCCGTTTGATATCGCCAAAGCACGGTTGAAAAGGTTCTTTGTTCTGATTTCGAGCATTGAAGAGTATTTTCAGCGTATTTTTCTGAGAAATAATTCTTGGATCCTGAAGACCGTGGCCTCCATCAATCCAATCAGGATCCATTTCGCAGTCGTAGGAATCCTCGAAGGGCTGGAAGGGGACAAGTTTCGTGACAAGCCCATTTCTGTCTAGCTGCGCTAGAATGAGGGAGTTGTTCTTGCGCCATTCGGAACGGCCGTTTTTAAAATTTGGGTTCGAATCTTTGAACAACCAGTTGACTCGTAAAACGGTGAGAACTGAGAAATAGAGTCTTTATCAAAATTTCAAAGGCTTTCTACCTGATCCGTTGATATATTTAATTCCAGGATTGAAAACCCTGAACTCGTCTTTAATCAAATCATTCTCTTCATATTGAAATTTAACATCAATTTCTTCTTTATATTGGTCTCTTATTTCGTCGTGTTTTCGTCGCCAAATGATGAATAAAATAATGAATAAAGGAACAAGAATGCTGATTCTTATGATTCTATTCATTCGAAGTCAATGAACTCCAAACTACGCTAGAATCAACATGACTGAAAATTGTAATCATTGCCGAAGCGCATCGCCTTCGGGCAAAAATTGTTCAGTTTCAAAATTAAAGGAAGTTTAAGGCATCGAAAAGAACTTGTTCAAGATGCTCTTGAATATCTTTTCCGGGGCAAAAGAGAAACAATGAAATTTTACGATCATGAGTGGCGACTTTGTTTGAGAAAAAGAGATAAATACAAATAAGCTGCGTTTCTTTTAAAACCACTTTATCAGTAGAGATAATCGGACAAAATGACGAAATATTTTGAAGGAAATTATCCAATTGACACATCAATCGGACTTTTAGGTAATTTTTTTCTAAATTTTCCGGTAACAAAAATCATCAAGCATGTCATAATGGTACAAACGATCTTGCTCTTCCTAAAGATATAAGAAACTCGACAACATGTAAACCATCCGAGCTTCCAGGGTTCGTGAATGGATTCTTGATATTTCTATGGATAATGATGGCAGCGTGCTTATTGATGCTACTGTTTGTTATTTATTATTTGGTCTTTATGAAAAGAGGGAAAGAGAAAGTTTTGAAGATCAAAAGCCAGGTACTTATCCTCCTCCAGTTTGACACAAAAAAATCTAGCGGGAAGAAGAAACAGCCGCAAGCACTCGTTTTTCGTACATTTTTATGGGAATCCGAGTTTATGGATCGCTTCTCTTTCCCCTCATCTCTCTCATCATCGACTACATCTCCGACTTTGCCTACATCAATGCTCTTCTCATCGACTTTCCACTCGATTCGACATATATTCATCTTCAAAAACCCGCGATAGCAGCAATGGTTGTCTATGAAATCTTCGCGATCATAGCATTTCCTTTGACAGCTGCAACGATGCTGATCTGGTTGAATACTAGAGAAGGCTTTTACGAAGATATTCAGCAGAAAATGCTGGTTTCTTCTATTGCATATTTGCTCGACGATGGTCCAGAGACAATTTTACAGTACTATTTCATCGACAAATTCAGTGGAACTGACTATTTCTACCCCGACGGCTTTGAGACGACGAAAAATTCAGCGATCTTGATGAGCTCAATCGTTACTTTTTCCCTCGCGCTTTTCAGCTTCATCAGATTGACGCTTCGATACAAGGATTTGATCAAAGAGCAGCGAGAAAGTAAAGTGAAATTTGGAAAGGATGAAATGAAGATGCTGGGACAGTACTTTTTCATCACTGTTCTACCACTTGTCATAAGCTGCTTGAGAGTTGCAGCTACGAAATATCAACTCGATGATAGAAAAAGTTATGTCGACGGCTGCTTGGAATATTCTATCGAAGAAATCGATGACAGGTTGATCATTCTAGCAATATGAATATGTCAGTGACTTTTTTGTTAAGTTCTCACGTTGCAACAGTTCTTCAACCTCAACTCTTCAAATTTGACTGCTGGATAGGAATCGACTATTTTCTTATTTTCGGTGGACTCATTGGAATTTTTGCAAATCTTGGCTTTGTAGCTTGGTACTTTCTTTCATGAGATTTCCGTGAAGAAATAAATTTTCAAACCATGGACGTTTTTGTTGCTATATGTTTATCTCAATTTATTTGCGATAAAGCTCAAGCGAGGGAAATTCAGATACTGGCAGTTCGATAGAATTCTCTTGATTACTTTTCATTTCCGTGCAGCGATAGTAGACCCAATCTTTAGTACAGGCTTTCAAAATACGAGCGCTAGAAATGAAGTTTGTAAGTGGCAAATTTTAATAATTCGAAAGCCGGTCCTAGTTGTCGACCATTTTTCTCCAGCGAAAAAATAATCTTCGTATATTCAACTTTTGAGAGCAACTCTTCTGAAACATCGATTTCGATCCTCTTCTCAGTTGGAAAATAATGCCATCGGCCGTATTTAACTCCTGCTAGTTTTCGAACATCTTTCTTTTGGATACAGACCTGTCTAAGAGATGGTAAATTTGTGATAATGCGTTTGTATCCCGTGTCATTAGAGAAAATCTTGCGCATAATGAATTTGGGTTCTTCCGCAGAGCAGACGACAATGACAAGATTGTCCGGATAGAATCGTAAATATCTCCGGTAGGTCACGTGTTGAGCGATATTTGTCCATCCTCGCTGCTCTCCCTCACGCCAATAGCTTTGTTTCCCGACGTACACTCCATCTGATAGATTTGGCTGAAGATGAATCATGAACATTGTTTTTTTTCAATCTGTCTTTACGGTACCTTAGGAGTATTCAGATAGCATGTCTTATAGTTCCCATGAATTTTGAAAAGTTCAGTAAGCGTTTCTTCATCAAAAAAGTTCCTACAGGCGACTTTCCAAAGCTTTTCATCCTCAGCTTGGTTGTACAGAAATTTACAGACAAGGGAGAGCTTCCCAATCGAAATCAAATGCCCACTCGATGCCAAACATCGCATGACTTTTTCAATCACTTCTGTCGGAAAATCGACGAGGCTTGGTCGACTTGGAACTTGTGCCAAGAAATCTGGATTGTCGAAAAATGCACCAGTGTTTTTTGTCCCGCCGGTGGAGATTTTTAGCGATTCGAGGTTTTTGTTGAGGTCCTCTTCGAGATTTGTTTTTGAAACTTTTTCGTAATCGCCGCCAAAGACGGGCTTGACTCGTTCAGGTCGGAACTGACGGACTTTCGAAAAAACGTCAGGGTCGAGTTTTTCTGCGCGGCTGTAGAAATTGATAGCTTTCCCGAGATCACCATCTGCTTCGTATGCTTCCGCCTGAATTACAGTTAGAAATTGACCTGTTTACAGATAAACTGAAATGATAAAGGGTGGAAGAAGGGTCTGATCTCTAGAATTTACTTTGTTTTTTGGTACTCTATTTCTGTACGAAGTTAAAAATAGTGTTTTTCTTGGTTAAAGCCATCAATCAACCTGGACCTAACGAATGGTTAACCTTCATAAATAGGTTAAAAACGAGTTGATATTTACCTGTAGCCATAAATCTATCGCATTTGTCTGTTTCTTCTCGCTCAATTCTTTCTTCCACTCGTTTCTGAAGCTCTCTAACGAAGTCATTCTTCAATTTTCTGACAAATTATTAGATTTTTCGATTTTGAAATTATAGCGACCTTGCGCAATGTAAAAATAAACAGCGCTTATTGGCTAAGGCGAGGGAGGCGCTGTTTTCGAAAAGTTAGATCGTTCCGGCGGAGGCTTTCTTCCTTGATTTCAGCGATTTAAGATTTCTCGAATGCGAAATTAATAGAAAATCAACATCATCTCTAGATTCTAGAGTCTAGAATTGTGTTGTCAACAGTAGAAGGTTGTTTCTTCCTTAACTTCACTTTTTTGGCGCTATTTTGAGGGTGTTTTCGAGTAAAATCTCTCGAATGCAAAAATTCCAAGAAAAAAAACATCAGCTCTAGAATTGTTGTTCACTTCTGCAAAAATCCTATTTTGACTCTCAGTTGCATTTCTTCTCACCTACAGGTAAGACGAAAAATAATTCTTTACTTTTTCTTCATTGAAATTTAAAGTCATGACCGTCGTAACCGAACAACCAACTGTCTCTGCTCAGGGAGGTCAGTGGAAATCCCCCGTCACTGGATGAACGGATAGAAATTCAAATTTGAATTTACATAATTTTTAACTATTATTTTTTTATGAATTATGTCGACGATTTTTATCCGAAAAAAGATGCTTTGACGATTGCGGTCTTTTGGTTAAATCCTATTTCTGTGGACTTTGTCTTTTCGACAAGATCGAAACCGCCTCTGGAGGAAGCAATGGTTTCTTGAAGCTCATTTGCTGCCCTTGCCTCATCGAGTTCTGGTTGTGCCAGCAGCGAAAGCGAGTTCGAGAATCGCAAGGAATCGAAGGCACCCCAGCAAAGTAAGAATCAAGCTTTATATTCTCGAACTAATTCTTTTCCAGCGATTTCTTGATGTCAATGTTCTGCGGCGCCTGCGTCATGCTCCAGCTCGCCAAGCAGTTGGATGTCCAGCCTTGCTAAAAGAAGACCCAAGAGAAGAATTTTCGCAATTCTTGTTCACTCAATAAATACTCTTTCTTTCTAAAATCACTGTATTCGATCAAGATCTACGGCAATTGCTGATCTTGAGAACGTTTTTGTTTGTTTATTTGTCAGGAGTAGCAGTAGAAGGTGTTCTAGAAGATTTCGAGTTTCGGTTGCCTGAGTTTTGAACGTCTTTGAGATTGGGAAGGCAGCAGTAGAGGATTTTCTTCAGAAATTTGCCTATCAACTAGGGTCGGCAAAAGATCTCGAAATTTTTTTTGTTCAAATTTCCTCATCTTTGAATTTCAATAAGGACTTTGCCCACCCTAGAGCAGTAGAAAAATGACGCTCACAAGAATCTAAACTCATTTCTCAATGAAAAAATTGCTCAAATCTTTCAAATTCGCCGGTGAAACTCGTCTCAACCAACGTCAAGTCGGATACTTACGAAGGTGCCGCAAATTTTCATGATTTCAAGAAAAGAATTCTCTTTTTCATTCACATACACTCCTGGCATCTTCCTTCTTCGAACTTCGAACAAGCAAAAATGAGGGGATCATTTTTAGACACCGCAACTCAGCAGCCCTGGCGATGTCCAAGTTGCTAGTTCCGGTCGAATTCTAGAGGCAAGGACACGTTAAACTTTGACACTTTCAATCCATGATTTATTGTTTTGATTTATTAGTAATACCAACTCTTCTAAAAAGCAAAAATTGTGTAAGAAAGAGGGTGGAGTATCATTATCTAACATTGCGGTTTCCTTTAAGTCAGTAGTGTTTGGTGTAATCTTGGACAGGTGGTGTCCACGTGCCGTTGATTGAGCACGTCTTTCCAACGTGTTGAACTGATTATGTAAGCTGACAGCGTCTTGACATTTCGCGAGCGTCCAAAGACTTCCAACTCGAGCGTCTTCCGTCAGTTCAATCAACTCGAAGACAAAATAATAATCAAAAGGACAAAAAGTCTTGGTCCAAAATTATTAATTCGCTGAGCAAATGTATGCATAAAGGTCGGACATCACGTGACCAGAAGAATCCATGAACTTTATAGCGGTTAAATATTGAATTGACCTTTTTTAGATGTTCTTTCAATCAGAAGAACGAATTTAAGACCGAAAATGAGGTTACTTTTCTTGAGAATAAAACCTGAATCAGGTTCTGAAGAGCTCAAATGAAAAGTCGCTACACTAAAAGCTCTTCAGAACCTGACTCAGGTTTTCCGCAGAGTCTGAGGCTCAAACGTCAGGAGCAAAGGCTGAGGATTTTGAGCCTCAAACTATGCGTAAAAATTGAGTTTCGAAATATTTATATATTTCAAAAGCCTGTTGAAACAGTGTCCAAAATCGAATTCCAGAAAAGTGGGACAAGTTCCAAAACTGATAGAATGAGTCACATGTTCGCATTGGCGGGTCAGTGTTTGGCGCGCTGACCCGTGCTGCCATTGGCGGTGTTTTGGCGATTTTCGTTTTATTTCGCGTTTTCTTTTGGTTCGATCGAATCTGGCGGTGGCGGGTTTGGTCCCTCTAGGGCTTTGGTGTGGTGCAATCGGCTTCGCGGTGCGGTGCCCGCCGGTGTGGTAATCCCTGGCTTGTCATTGGCCAGTGGCTCACCCGAGCTCGCTCAGTTAATCGCAGTCGTCAGGTAGATCCGTAATCACACCGTAAACGAACCGGTTCTACCTCTTTGTCAGGCTCTAGCGAGAAAAGTAGGTGGAAATTTGGGAAACAAAAAGCATCATTCGATGAGGAATTTTAACAGCTTTTTCAGTGTCGAAAATGGGAGGATTTGGGCGGGAGGAAGGGGGTGTAAATTGAAAAAAAGTGTTAAAATGGTGGCGGGCGGGTGGATCGGGGTGCTAATCAATAGCGTCGAGTCACGGCGGGCGAGGGGCCACCACACCCCACTGTCAGGCAGCAGCAAAACGCTCCGCCGAGTAGAAATCGTCTCCCGAGCATTTTCGCGCCCCTACCCCATCCCCAATCGTTTGGCTAACCCCAACGAGGGGCTGTCAGCTCTCCGGCCGACCCTGCCAGCAGCATCGTGCTTTTTCCGCGGGCGAAAATGGCCCGCGCGGGCGGGAACGCGGATTTGCGCGGCCGCGGAGCCGCCTCGATTCGCCGCGGTGCGACTTGAGCGGCCAGCGACGGAGTAGCGCGTTTTGGCTTTTTCTTTTGAGAAAGAAATTTGCGAGAAGAAAAAGTCCTCCAAAAGAGCGCAACTCCCGCTTATTGAAAAACGGGCCCTACCCCCTTAAGTTTTTCCATACGATTTTGGGCTCAACGGAAAGATCAAATCTCAGCGAATATTTTTAACGAAGAAAAATTAAGAAGAAAAGGCTTTAAATAGCGAAAAAACGCATAAAATAAATTTCGAAAAGAGAAAAAACTGAGAAAAATTGGAAAAGAATGGAACGAGGAGTACCCTAGAGTGATTTTGAGAGATAGAAAAAAAGAAAAATTTACGAAAAAATGGCAGAAACTCAAAAGGTGAGCGTTTTTGTTCGAAAAATTCGAAGGCGTTTTTTCGCGAAAATCTTTGTTTTTTCTTTTCTTTCTTTTGATTATATTAAAATGTAAAATAAAAACATTTATTATACCGAAAATCAGATAATTTTATCAATAAGAAGTGGTCGAAAATTGAACTTAAAGTTTTGACCTAAAAACGCTCTCACACTCTTTAATTTTTTTTCTGATAGAGAAAATTTCTAAAGGAAAATTTCTCAAGATTTTCTGTTGTTTTCTTATTTTAATGTTTTCTCAGCGAAAAATGGTTTTTTGAGGTTTTAAAAATATTTTGAAGCTTTTTTGTTTTTAAGTTTTGTTCTTCAAAAATAAAAATAACTTTTTACTTTTTATTTATGAACTTGATAAGTTTTTGATTCACCGAAATTTTCTGTTTATTTTCTTTTTATCGAAATTAAAAGACAAATCCGCTTATCAGTATTTGGCTGTGCATTTAACAATCCCTTTATTTCAAAATGGGGGCAGTGGGTTAGCCTGGAAAAGTGCACTTGTCTGGCCCAAGGTCGGAATTTCGGTCGTGCATTCCGTAAGATGCAATCGTAATAGACGCGACGCTGCCATTAACGTGTAATCGCAGGTTCCATCAACCCCTTTTTCAAGACTTTCGTTTGCGTCAAAAAGTTAAAGAGTCAAGTTTTCCGGATTTCTCGGAAAATCGATTTTTGGCTCGAAAATCAATCTTGGAAGATTCATTCTTCGAAGTATACTTTTTTTTTGCTAAGGGTATCAAATCGTTACAATATTTTTAAAGGAAAAAAGATTAATTGTCATCTTTTATCATGACACTCCAAAATAAGGGTGTCAATATGTTAATTCTTCGAAAAATGAAATGCTTTGAAACGATTTTTTTTTTGTTAAGGACCCCCCCATCAAGATGAAAAAAGTCAAAATTTTCAATATTTTTTTGCATTTTTGGGTAGTTTAGACCACGAGGAACAACTTTTATTCAGAAAATTTTTTTGATCTTACAGAAAATTTTGGCAGAAATTGGCTTAAAAAATTGAAAATTAACATTGTACATTTCATGAAAATCTTTAGTTTGCTATTTTTTAATGGTAATTAAGGGTATACCAACCATAAAAACTATTTCTATCATAAATACGAGTATAAAAACGTAATTCATGGCAATTTAGGCAATAATTACTGAAAATTTAAATCTGGAAATTCGACTTAGATTCGACTTATAAAATTTAAAAGGGGCTGTCCTCCTTAAGTTCGTAGATAAAAAACTCTCAAAAAGCAAACGGTCGTAGCTTAGGGCCTTTACTTCACCATGAAAAAAAATTAAGGGTATACCCCAACGAAAACCCAAAAAAAACGTTCACTAAGCAACTTTACCTTTAACGGCCTGTATAACCTTAAATTTGGCATCGAGAGATCATCTTAAGGGGAACGGTTGCAGTAGAGGGTTCGATCTAAAGGATGCAATTAAAATTAAGGGTCTAGCTAAGATAGTTTTGGAGAAAAACTTTCACTAAGATGCCCTATTTTCGCGATTCTTGATGGGGGGGTCCTTAAAGCTCAAAAATAAGGGGGTCTCCCTTATTTCTATTTTTAGCAATCGAATTTTCTTTCAAGCTGGATGCCCTTAAACATTATTATTGCCCAATCCGGAAAAGCGGCCGGAAGTGATGGCTCGAAAGATCATTTAAACTTCACATTTCTTTTCTTGTTTCGGTTGGATCATTATCCGGGATTAACTTTTAAACTTGTGGCTTTGTTGAACTGCGATAATTGATAATTTCCAGACTGATTTTGTCCCAAGATGAGCGTCTGCGGCGGATAATGTGGGTCAATGTTTTTCAATGACCTTTTCTCAACGTAAGCATCTGGCTTAATTGATCTATTTTCTCAATTCACCGCGTTTTTTCGCAGCTCAATAAAATCAGCTCTTTAGCGAAAAGATTATCGAGAATCTGGTTTTAAAAAATTTTTGATTTTTCATACTGTCGCAGAATGTCAGTAGACAAAGCTACTGTATTTCGAGTAAAATGACTTCGAAAAGCCTTGGCCAAACAACTGAGTAATAGGAGCATTACTTTTTAACCTCCTTGTGAACGAGAACCAATTCTTTGGTTCTTCTTTTCTGAGTCATTTTGAAGTTCTTTTTTGCGGCTTTAAATTTGATTTGAGCTGCCTTTCCGCGGCTTTTCTTTTTTGACAAATCAAATTTAAGACCGTTTAGCTAAAAATGAGTCACAAAAAGAATGCCAAAGAATTGGTAGCCTCTCGTAAACAGGTTAGAGAAGACGTCTCCTCCGGAAAAGTCTTTGTCAAATAAACGTGTAGATATCTGACGTACTTAAACGCTCAGAAATTGGTGATAGCATGTATTTGGATTTCAGCACTTCCGAAGTTTGAAGTGGAAGCTCTCTTATCGCGCCGATAAGCTCACTTTTCGACAGCCGAAATGAACTTGAATACTGCTTGATTCTTTCAGTTTTCCCACAGCTTTTTTATGACGCAACAACAAGAAAAGGAGGCCATAAATGATGTTAATTATCGATAAATTATCATACGTTTACTATCATTAGTATATATTCTTTTCTGTGAAATATGATAATTTTTCGTTATACAGTATGAATTTTACCCCTGAATGGAAACAAGAAACATTGGTTCTTACCAAAAATACAATGTCGCTTCTTTTCAGGGCCATAAAAACGCCAATCGGGAGCATTAATCGTTACCTGCTAAGCAAAGATTTTGACACTTGACCTTATCCGCTACCCTCACAACTGTCAAGAATCTGGGCAGCTTTAATTGGTAAGGAACACTTTCAATGCCACTTGTGTCATTTTAATTCCGTGTCAGAGAGCACTTGAGACGACAGCAAGAACACGAGAACATGAGCTCTTGATTTATTGAGTTATATAATTCAAGCAGAATTGGGTCAAACAAGTCGTTAATTCGATACAACGCAAGTTTGTTCATTGAACGCAAATGAACCCAGCCTCTTTTGGCTCACTAATCCAGCCATCAATTATCCAGACGAGTCAGAGAGGGGATAAAAATTAAGTGCTCAAACGTGAACTATAAATTGTACATTATTTAACTCGCCTAGCAGATGATTGATGCAGCGAACGAAGACAGAACATTTGTTCTTTGAATGTTGAGTTGTTTTATTAGATCATCTCTTTGTTGCTGGTACACATTTTTCTGGATAAATTTGCTCTAATTAAGTTGGTCGAGAATCGTTTTGTCAATAAAGAAGGCTCAAATTAAGTTAATTTTCAAGTAAAAAGAACTCATATTAAATAGATTATTGAGAAAACTAACAAGATATTAATGGAGCATGAATTTTATCATCATTATTAATAAAATCGTGTTCTATTATTGTTAAGGACCCCCCGTCAACAATTTCCCTAAAAAAACGAAAATTTCAAAACAGCTATATTTTGACTTCTAAGTGTGCCTGGAACTTTCATTCATCATATAAACTTGTTCGAAGCCCTTTTTGACCAATAAAAATCTAAAATTTAACCAAAATTTGGTCATTTTCGTCATTTTTCGTCAAAAAGTCCGATTTTCAAACGCGATTTTGAGGGTGTTAGAGTCGAGATAGACCCCCAAAAAATGAAGCCTCAAAATCGTTTTTTGACCCGTAGAATCCATTTCCGGGGTCAAAATTTTGAAGTTCCGAAAATAGATTTTTAGAAAATTGTTGACGGGGGTCCTTAAATGAATTTCTTTGTTGTTGGTATTACCAACTTGATACACATTTTAACAGAATTAATTGACCATAAATTATGATTCATAATCATTAAGGTTTTAATTGTTAATCCTAATTTATGGTCAAATTTATTCTTTTAAAATGTGTACCAAGTTGTTACTTCTAACAACAAAGAAATACGTTTAACAGTAATAGAACAGTGTTTTCATCCTTATTCATTGATGGATGTAATTAGTGAGCATAAATTATTGGATAACTGAATTTCTCCAATAAAAGCATCGAGTACTTTGTTTCTTCATAATAAATTTTGAGCTGTTTAAAAGCCAAATACAAGAGGAATACGATTGGGCTTTCAAATGATTACAAATTTATAGAGTTGATATTTTCCATTGGAGCAAAAGTTTGAGGCATAATATTGTAAAATTGATGCCAAAACTGAGGGGCCCTTGAGCAATTTTGCTCCGCAGAGGGCTCCTATTTTGGGAAAGTATTTAGACGCTTTACTGAGTTATTTTTACGAGGGCAAGACCAATCTCAAATCGTTTGAAAGCTCCTTCGTTGGTGGATCTTTCCCATATTCTTCCTGAAAACTCGTCCAGTTATACTAAAGTCTTATGATTGAATTAAAAGCGCGTCTAGTTCATCGTTCGCTATTAGATGAATCATCTATCTCGCTCGATTTACGTCGATTTTTGTTAATAAATGACCATTTTATTGGTTAATTTTGAAAAGCTAGGGTCAAAACCAAATTTTCAACCTCATTTCAACTCAAGAACAAAGTGACCTACTTATTTGTTTTCAAATATTCGCTCATATTGAAGAAACGTTCTAGTTAGGAATTATGACGATATTGATAGTTTTCTTTTTGTTTCAGCAGTTTGTTATTTTGTCCTAAAACAGCACAATTCCAATCGTTACTTCACCATAATTCGTCTTTGCATAAACTTGGCCCCTTGAGCGAAAGAATGATGTTAGTCTAATTGCATAAATTCCGGGTTGAACGGGCCTCGGTTAAATAAATTAGCTCTGTGCAGCTTGGCCAACACGGCGCAACGTGCGACGGCGGAATTTTTACATAATCCGCCCCTCAGAGAGCCCTCTTATCGCTTAACCAAAACAACACCCACTTCACGTTCATTTAAAGAAGCGTCACAAAATCTGCTACTAGAAACACGTCGATTACATAATCCACTTTTAACGTTGATCCTTTTTTAGAGCGCCCAGTTTCCGCCAGGTGGAAAAGAACATGCGCCAACACTCAATAATCTGCTCCAGCAGCCCGCAAATGGTTACCCTCGACGTAAGTGCCCTTCCTCCCGCTCTTTTAAGAAACGTATCTAACTCTTTCCTAAACTTCCTTTAGCTCCGTATCCTGGACAGCCATGGACGGCCGGAAACAGACCCGCCTATCCCGCTCACCCAGGAATGCCTTATCCGCCACATCAAGGTCACATGATGGGCGCACACATGTTCAACTCGCCACGAATGAGCCGACCGGTCCCAATGAGTTACAATCACGGCGCATCCCACCACGAGCAAATGCAAAGTCGCCCAGCTCATCCGGGCTACCCTGGTCATCCTGGTCAACCTGGAGCTCCTCATCCCGGTCAATCTGGAGCTCCGATCGGTCATCCCCAGCATGGACAACAAGCCCAGCAGCCCGGGCAGCCTCGACCACAGTCTCCAGCGACATCCAGTCCTGCTTCTGCGGCTCAGAACGGCTCGCCCACTATAAACCCTCCACCGCCGCCTGCTCAGTCGCCGAAAACAGTTTCTATGCCTCCCAATCACATGATGCAGTCGCCGATGGCGCGTCCGGCCACGCCGCAAGCAGCCTCCTCTCCTGCTCCGCCACAGAGTCCGATGAGTAACGGTCATCCGCCGCAGTCGCCTTCGCCCGCGCAACCGCCCGCATCGCAACAGGCAGCGGCTACGCCACCGATGAGTTTTGCCCAGCCGAGCCCAGGAGCTCCAGCGCAGCCTTCATCTTCTGCTCCCGGTCCCGGACAGCCAGGAGCTGCTCAGCACGGATTCATGCGCCATCCGACCACTGGCCAGCCAATGCCCTATCCTCACGGTCACCCGGCCTATCGCAACGGCTATCCCGGTCCTTACCCTCCTCGCCCTGGCTACCCACCTCAGGGATACCCCGGCTATCATCCTCAAGTTCAAGCCGGACACCCTTACGCTGGCCACCAAGCTTACCGTCAACCGTACCCCGGAGCAGGAATGCCAGGCGCCGCGCAGGGTAATCCTCCTTCGTCGTCTTCGCAGCAAAGTGCCGCTGGCTCAAGCGATCCAGCCACACAAGCCGCCGCACAGGCCGCCGCGCAAGCCGCAGTGCGCGAGGCACAGGCCCAAGGGATGAACCCGAGGCCTCCTTTTTACCGCGGACCGCCAGGGATGTTTCCTTCGCGCCCAGGCTTCCCCGCGCAGAATGGCTTTCCTCCAGCAAGTCATCCTTCTCAACGCCCTGGAATGCCGATGCAACACGGTCCTCCGATGAGCTCACCTTTGGCAAGAATGGGCACTCCAAGTAAAAACACGGAACCAAAGGAGAATGGACCCATGTCGCCCGCCAGTTCTTTAGGTAAGATTCAGAAGCAAAATACTTGTAGCTGCTCAAATAATCAGTAGCGTGTTTGATCAATAACGACCAGGGTGTCTAAATTGGACAAAATTTCCGGGTCTGGCCGGCCATTTTCCGGCCAATAATTTTTTCTCGGGTTTGATCCGGCCAAAATCCAATCCAATTCCAATTTAGCCCAATATTCCAATAATTTGCTAATTATGAAATTCCCCAATTTAGCCAACTTTCCAATTATTTTCCGATTCCAATAAAAATCCGGATCCGATAAAAATCCGACAAAGTTTACTCTCCAAAAATATTTCCGGTTTATATTATCTTATTTCTTCTCTAACAAACTAAAAAATGACTTTAAGAATTGCTCTTTGGACCCAAAAGTACACATATTCCACTAATTGTAGTCATTACTCGGGTTAATTTAGGAGTATTTCTGGTAAAAATTTGATCAAAAGGGCTAATTCGTCTGGTTGCCCTACAATTTTCCAGTATTCAAATATATTTTGGCCGCCAATTTGCCCCTTTTAGCCCCGATTTCCAATTTATCCCAACTATCCAATAATGCCCAATAATCCGAAATATCCAACAAAAACCGGGGCCAGATCCAACCAATTTCCAGCTATTTTCCAAAATAGGCCAATCCAACTATCCAATCCGATTTTGTCCGTCCAAATTAGACACCCTGATAACGACGATAGATCTCAGATTTACTGTAGTGACACTGTACATTTTAGGCGATGACTCTGTAAATAACGTAAATTCGCCGCAACCGCCGCGTCCTCCAAGCGTCGCCAGCTCACACGGATCAGAAACGCCCGTGGCGCGTAAATCAACGGCCAAGGCCACGATGAAACTCGCCGTTCTCTATCAACCCGAGTCGCCGGAGCGTCGTGAATTCATCGACTTTGTCATTAAGTTTCATGAAGATAAGGGTCAGCCACTCAAGGGCCCGCCAATGTTCAATCAGCAACCCCTCGATCTTTTCGAACTCTACAACCTCGTCAAGAAACGAGGAGGAATGAATGAGGTAAGACATGCTTCTCTGTCTCTCTATTAACATCACGCTCTCCATAGATAACGAAAAAGAAGGAATGGACTGATGTCGTCCGAGGGTTGAATTTCCAAGTGTCTCCTTCCGCTGGCTTCACGCTGAAAAAACAATACGTCAAATACCTTTTCGAGGTGAGTTCCTAAACTATCTTGAAATGAAGAATTTGAAACGAGAAACGCAAAGAACTAAAGGAAACCGAGAAAGAAAGAAAAAGCGTTCGATTAGAAATGACGTATCAAAAGAGAGAAAAGCCAAAGATAGATTTTCATTTGAATTTCAGGTTGAATGCCGCCGAGAGCACAGACAAATTGATGAGGCAGAAATTCGAAAGATCGTTGAATCGACAACGCGAAAGCGCGACAAGCGAAGGAGCAAGAAGGCGGATGAAAATGCGCTTGAACGGAACACGGCCTCGCCTGGCTCGAATCCGGGAATGACCCCGCCGCCGCAAGTGATGTCCACTGGGCAGCCAACGCAGCAGGGAGGCTTTCCGCCGAGATTTCCGTATCCAAGGCCGCCTGGAATGCCTGGACAGGTAATTTTGAAATCATCATCTCTAGAATCTTTGTTTCCATGCCAAAGAACCAGTTTCTCTATCAAAAAAATGTCGAAAAACGCGGGTCGTATCACAAGTTTGCTCGTCCCTTTTTCTCACCTGACGATAAGCGAAACTATTATCATCAGTAGCGACTCTGAGGAGTCAGATGAAGATTCTGAGATCGCGATTCTTGATTTTCAACCGATTTTTAAGTACCCTGGCTGGGGAGGACAACCTGGTTATCCTCAAGTGTCTCAGCATGGCGCGCAAATGGGCCAACGTCCGCCTCATATGGGCGGTTTTCCACCTGGAATGAGGCCTGGCTTTCCTTCCGGTCCGTTTCCCAGACCTGGTTACGGGCAGGGACCTTATCCAATGCCTCCTGGAGGTTATCGACCACCAATGCGTCCTGCTGGTCCTCCAACTGGTGCTTCTCCAAGGTATTTTCTATACAATTTCGATCCCATAAAGCTCTCTTCTCTCTAGTGCTCCACACCGTCGACCAAGCGCTCATCCCCAAGCGATGCCGCCCCAGCAAGGAGCCGGTTCTCAACCTCATGCCACGCCAACTCGACAAAACCCCCATCAGGTTCATTCTTTTGCAGCCAATTCCGAACTTGAACAGGTTAAATATGATTCCTCATGAAAATCGGTGTCATTTGTACAACTTTCAATTTACAAATGAAAAAACATAAGGTGTTGTCATCTTTACCATTTCTTCTTCCTTCATGTTGGTGATTATATTTAAAAATCAAGTCATTTAATTTTCAAATCATCTTTCTATTCCCCCCTTTCCGCATTCTATGGAAAAATTTAGGCACTACGCCCTGGGCGAAGAAAGGTTAATCTGCCAGCCGGATGCATCGAGCGAACGGAAGCGCAGCCCTTTTACAGGGTCACGTCTAGCCGCAGCCAGATGGAAGTCGACTTCTGGAGGCATATTATGATGCCGCTCAAATCTGGCTTACCCGCTGAGGTATTTTCCTTCCAATGTAACAGTGGGTTAACAAGTGTTTTCAGACATCATCTGCTCTTAATTTATTACTCGTCCTATCACGGGATGACTGTACACTGCCACAATTGCGTCTACACACTCTTCAAGGCCTGCTAAACCTACTCACCAGTCACTTGCGCGTCGTCCTCAACGCTATTTTCCCCGAAAAGGCGGCTCAAGCTGGCGTCAAACGTGCCAGAGCCCAGCCTAAACAGAAGCCCTTAACTCCCGAGGAGGAGCAGCTCTACAAAATCAACTTCAAAGAGGTTTGGGAAATGCAATTAATTATCCATTTTCACGCGTTTTGTCTAGGTTCAACAATCCAAATTGGGCTCCAAATTCTCCAAGAAGCAGGTCCGCGTTAAAAAGAAAAAGTTCGGGCGACATCTTCTCCCGGACGAGGAAGATCAAGGGATCAAAGACGGAGATGATGACGATTCCTTCGACAGGAGCATTATTCTACCTCTTGATACAGAAGTCGCCGCCGATTTTCTTCCAAAATGGACCAAGCCCGCCTATCAATTGGAAAAAGCGACACACTACATGCTCGGAACAGGTAAAAAGTAGACAGAGAATCATCATTTTCATTCCATTTCCAGACGGCGAAAAACGCATCCCAGTTACTTCTGAGCAAGAAGAAGATTTCAAGAAACTTGAAAAACTTGGAGGCTGGGGATATGCGGCTGCAGATCTAAAGCGTCGAAAGATCTCGCTCTCTCAAGAAACTCTGACGGCAGTTGATGACGACGATACTGAGGCGGACTTCTTCGAGATTGACGAAGACCCGGTGCTTAATCTCGCCCAGCCACCGATTATGCTTACCTCCAGACTGGTAAGAATTTGACGAAAAATTCAGAATGATGAATAAAATATCATAGAACTGCCTTTTCGCCATCCTGCGGAACCTATCCTTCAACCCTCAAAACTGGAAGACCCTGGCTCGGAGCGAAGAGATCATCTCACTCGTCTCCTGTTTCCTTGAGCGAGAACGCACCCTCCGTGGACGATGCAAACGCCACGCTGAATTCGTCCTTCCAGAAAGATACTTCTGGGACGAAAGCGTTCTCGATCGAGAGACTCAAACTCAGTCGGAGACGAAAACTTACGACACCAAGAGTACCGAGGAGACTACAGAGACTCCGTCTTCTCCAGCGAAATGCGAAAACTTGAATTACTTGACCGAAAAAGAAGAATTGAAGAAACAAATCAAAGAAGAACCTGCCGAGAAACTTAAAACTGATACTAATGATAATGAGCTCAGCAAAATAGACGAAAAAGAAGCCAACTTAAAAACAGAAAACGAAAATGATAATGATGAAAACATATCTAAAAGTTCAAAAAGTGCGAAACTCGAAGTCAAGAAGAAAGACCAAGAAAAATCGACTCCTGAGGATCCACGAGAGTGGTTGGTAGAAACGGACGAGTACTGGTCGCGTTTCTTCGGCGATTTTACGCTAATTGAGAGCACCCACGTGACGCCGATCGAAGTGTCGTGGAAGAAAGAACTGATGAAGGAGCTGACTGATGACGCGCTCGTGTTCATCTCGAATGTTGCGCTAGAACTCAATCTCAGCGAGCTCGACGCGCCAGAGCCGATCATCACCTGTTTCCTCAACTGCGCGGCGTACAAGGCGATGGATAATGATATTCCATCGCTGACGGATTATGTCACGGAGCCTGTGTCGACTTATAGGTAGGGAGAGAACGACTCGGATAAGAAATAAACTTCCTTTAGACTTGCGCTGGAAACACTGCTCAAATTCGGCATGAACGAGGACAACGTCGGGATGATTCTATCAACCCGCCCGTTCGACCGGCTCGAGAGAATCGTCGAGTTGCTCTTTGAAAACCTCAATCAGGTAAATCAACAGCCTTAATTTATCAATCAAGTCGTTACAATTTTCTTCAAGGATTTCAATTTGATCCTGGCGGAAATGTCGATAGCGCTGCTCCACAAGCTCCTGGTGCCAGAAACGGAGCTGACGACTTTTGTCCTAAAACTGCCAAACGCGATCGCTTCATTGGTCAATTTCATCGACACTCTTTCTCCGGTAATGGTTCATCCTTTTTCAAGAATTTATTCGCCTTTTAGGACGTTTCGAGCCACACGAAAGGAATGGCGAGTGAAATCGTCGCCGAGATCTCGAAAGACGAGGCCTCTCATCCAACCCTTCTCCTCTTCGAGTGCAAGCTTGCGCAGCTCTTTTCCAGCTCAATCATGCAGCCTACCATTCACAACCGAATCGCTGACGTTCTCTTCCATGTCTCCACCACCACCTCCAATCCGCACGGACTCGAGAAGATGAAATCTTAAGCCCCTTTTTCTGGCGCTCTTGATCTCCTTTTGATTTCTAGAGCTTTCGAAAAACAAAAGTTTCAACACTTTTTTGCTAGTCCTAAATGTCCTCTAATTCAACTCAAAGTTCAAAGTTCTATCCCTTTTGTAATTCTTTAAAAACACTTTAAAAAGTTTCTTATTTTTTCCTTATTTTCTTTTCTTATATATTTTTCACGATGTATTTATTTAAACGAAAAAAACTGTTATGGTAAAAAAACAATCTTTCAGGGAAACTCTGTTAGTATTAGCGGGGTTCAAACATTTGTGCTAAAACGAAGTCGAAAATGATGCTAATTAGTAGTCACCGCTAATCATAAAGGTTACTTATTGAATGCTGCAACTTGAACAAGTCAATAAACTGCCTCTAAAATATTAAAATCGTGTCTTTTATGCGTGTTTTTAAGTTTAGCAGGAAAAATGAACGATATTTATTTGTCAAAAAGCATGAAAACGAGTAAAAATCTTGAAAATTTGAACCAAAAAATGCAGGAAACAAGATTCTTCCAGAATTTCTCCGTTTTGTCAGTTTCCCGGCGGCGGTATGCACTGGAAAACGCTCCGATTTCGATTTCATAACAATTTTACTATGAAAAAGTCTCATGAGAATGCAAGCTTTTTTCCTTCTTTTACTTCAATTCGCAAAAGCAGAATGGCAAGAATGGGAAAGTTGGTCAACTTGTTCGGCTGTGTTTTGCGGAAAAGGAGTGAGAACTAGAACTAGAGATTGCAGGCGAGATATTTTTGGCTTGAACAGTTGCTCGAGAGATGGAAAAATTCAGGAGGAACCGTGTAATACGCGCTTGAAAGACTGTACTCATAACTGGGCGCAGTGGGAGTACTGGTCGCAATGCGATGTAACTTGCGGAAAAGGAGTGCATCTTGCTGTGCGTGTTTGCAAAGATTTGAAGACGAATGAAATTGCGAAAAATCCAAGAAACTTGTGCGAAGGCAAATCTAGTCGGACAAAAGAATGCACCAATCTGAGGCCTTGTCCAGAATGGGCACATTGGCAGGACTGGACAAATTGCCCCGTTACTTGCAGAGATCCGATGGGATTGAGAGCTTCACAAGGAATGTTCTTTATGATTTGGCTTTATTTTCTTTAGCGTTGAATGTTCTGATGACAGTTAAAAAATGCGGGTAGGTCAACGATTTTAATGAGGAATTTCACCGCTATAAAAACAGAATTTTCATTTTATTGAATAAAGAATTTCGAAAGTAAGAAGAAGAGAATGTCTTCACGGTCCTGTAGGAAGGTTTCAGTTTGATAAGAATCAGAACAAGAGTTGCTTAAAACGCACCGATTTTCCTCACTAACCTAAGTGTTCTCATTTCATAATCAAGAAATCTAATAAAGGAAGTGGAACTTGTTCTCGCGGCGAAGAGGTTGAAGATCAATTCTGCTCGACGAATCCATGTCCAAGGTTGAGGTTACAAATCTCCCAGATAACGAAATTTTGATAATTTATCATATATATTTGTTTAACAAAATAAACGAAAAAAAAGATTTTTCATTTTAAAAAACTCAAAAATACAAGTAGAAAGTTTTGAAAGTTCGTTTTATTTAAATTTCTCTTTGATCACGCATGAAAGAACCTCAAAACAGGTGGAATTTCTGGACGCAATGGACCGATTGTTCCGTGACCTGCGGGAATGGCGTCAAAACTCGCTCCCGCTCATGCGAGCATGGTGAAATTGGGCAAAATGGATGTACCGGAGATGTTGAATCTGAAATGTTCTGCGCTACAAATATACGATGCCCATATTTTACCGAGTGGTCTCAGTGGTCAATTTGCTCCCAATCATGTCTTGGTGGAACTCGATCGAGAAGCAGGGAGTGTTCTTCGCCAGATGATATGACTCTTGAATGCGACGGAGAAAAGAACGAAGAAGAGCCTTGCGCGACAGGACCTTGTCCTTATTGGGCGGAATGGGGAGAGTGGGGAGCTTGCTCGAACCTTTGCGGTGGAGGGGATATGAAACGAAATCGAGAATGCATCGATGGAAAAGTTGGTGACATTGGTTGTAGCTCATTGAGTCTTGAAGAGTATCAAAAACAGCTCGACAATGCAAAAGCAAATGGAGAAGTGAGCATGAGAGGGCAGTACGCAAACTCCTTTATGTCTTCAATCCAAGCAAATCAAGTCGCAAAACAGATTATGACTCCTCAAGGCGAAGAAGATAGTGATGCGCAGCCAACTCAACCCCCTCAGCCCATCCAACCGACTCCCCCACCCCTTGCGGATGAAGACGCAAAACACTGTAATACCCAGTTATGTCCAGGAGAAGAACCGAAGCAGTGGGCTCCTTGGGGCCAATGGGCCAAGTGGTCATTTTGTTCGAAAAGTTGCGGTGGTGGGCAGAAATATCGGTATCGCGCTTGCCAGGCTTTCACTAGCGATCCGGAGAACTGGAAAAGAAAAATAATTGACAAAAATATGTGTAAAGAAGAAGATGCTGAAGAACTAGCGAGTTGTAATACGCAAAGCTGTCCGACTTGGTCGAGTTGGAATCAGTGGTCTGTTTGCGAAGCAGCACAATGTCTTGGAAAGGGAAAACAGTTCAGAGAGAAGACATGTGTTGGAGGGAATCCGGGAGATGATGGTTGTGATATCAAGGAGGAGTACGAGGAAACGAGGGAGTGTGTTTTTAACGGCTGCCCGCATCCAGCTGAGTGGTACGAATGGTCGGAATGCTCAAAGACTTGTGGAGGAGGTAAGTTTATCACAGTTCTTTTTGGTTATTTTCGAAGGTCTAAGATTTCGCGAACGACCCTGTTTGAATGGAGAGCCTGGTGATAAAGGATGTGAGCAAGAAAAACTAGAAGAGCGAGACTCATGCAAAAATCAATCTTGCCCAAAATGGTCTAGCTGGACAAGATGGACATCTTGTGATGCAGAATGTGGGAAAGGCCACAGAAGAACCAGGCGAATTTGTATGGATGGACATGTCGGTCTTGATGGCTGCTTGGGGCCGGTTGAGAAGAGAAAGAGTTGCTTCCCCCTTTGCGAGAAGGGAGGAACTTGTGTTCCGGACAAGACGTGTTCATGTGATAAATCACTTGGCTGGACGGAAAGGGATGAAAGAGGCTTCTGCAAGAGAAATCAATCTTGCAAAGATTGCTCAAAAAATGCAGTTTGTCTTGAAAATGGGGCCATCTGCAAATGCCTCCCTGGATTCTCTGGAAATGGTCAAAACTGTCGCAATATTGACGAATGCACAAAAGGAACGCATTTTTGCGAGGCACCGGCACAGTGTGTTGATACTGAAGGAAGTTATTTTTGTATTTGCCCCAGAGGCTTCCGGCTTCATCAGAAAAAGGATGAAATCTGTGTTGACATTGATGAATGCGGAGAAGATCTAGCGGATTGTCCCGAGCCAGAATTGTGGAAACTAGCAGGAAAGAACATCCGAGACGAGTTGAATCTCTACACTTCAAAGTGCAAAAATACACTCGGGTCATACGAATGCGCTTGTAACACAAACTACCATCATGTTTCCGGCTCTGACATCTGTCAGCCTTCAGCTCCAGCACTCATCGGATTTGGAAGCAAAAAGGCTTCGATAGAAATTGATGCTTGTTTTGCGAACATTTTCAAAAGCGACATTTCGTGGCAAGTTCCTTTTACTGCCAGAGGGAATCCGACAGTTCAGTTCTTCAAGAAACCGACTTTGTCCATCAAAGCAGAATTGAGAAATGTGAAAAAAGAGGAACCAAAATTCTTGTTTTTCTATCTCTCAGAGTTGCTCGTTGATGAAATACCTCTGAATAATGAATGGAATATGACCGTTGGAGAAATTGAAATAGAAGATTCTCATATCAGTCTAACCACTCTTGCGCCAGAGCCGATGAAGAAATCATTTAACATTTTGTTGAGCAACAAGAAATGTCTAAAGACAATAAACCCATTTTCCTCAAATTTTCAGCATTACTCGATTGTCATCGGAAATGAGAAGAGTAGAAACAGAACCGAACTGATCAAGATGGCTGTGAATCTTCTTTCAATAAGTTATGCGTCAGAAAATATCACACAAGCTTTTCTCCTTGATATCCGCGATTTTCGACCTGATTGGGTCAAGGAGCAAAAAGAAAATTTCGCCCAAAACATCTTCACTTCTCCTGGAAAGATGAAATTCTCTTCTTTTGAAATTCTTTTCCAAGCAAAAACCAAGAATATCACAGAGGAAGTTCAAGAGCTTCTCGACTTCTCAATCCCGCACGAAGATGAAGCCTTTTTCTTAACTTACGAAAGAGAATCGAAAATTGGAGCTCTTGTTGGCCTATTGTTTGTTTCTGTCATGATTATTCTTGGAACAGTTGTGTTCACCATAGTTTCAGTCTGCGAAAGATTTCAAGAAAATCTTTCTCAAATGGTTAATCAGCGGCGAGTTTATGATTCTAAGCAGATTTTCTGGCTACTTCTTCCGATCATTCAATGCTTTTTGAGCCTGGTTATAACTTTCATAATCAACCTGAAAATTCATTCTGCAGACTTAATCGGAATGCAAAAAAGTCTTAGCTGGATGTATCCGTTTCAGTGTATCTTACTCGGGGCTATTTCCGGGTCAGTTTATTTCACGACAATTTACAAACTTGAAGTAAGCAACAAAACAATCACGTCAATCCTTGATTTTTTGATCTTCCTCGGCAGTTCGTTGGTTACAAGAGTTCCAGCAGCCTTCTTACTGTATTTATCCTACACAAGGGCCCTTCCTCCTGTTACCATCTTCCCCAATATCTGCATTGCTGTCTACCTGCTATATACATTGCAAAATATTGTCGTGCTGATCATGGAAAGAGAAAGACTAGAAGAGTTCTTTTATGAACCAGTGGCGGAGATTAAGAAGTTTTGGCGAATATATCTTCTTGCATCCCTTTCTTTCTTACTCATCATTTGCTTCGATACAGTCACTCTCGTCCTCTCAATCGCTGACTGGTGGTTCGCCGGATCATACGAAAGCTTCAACCCGAAAATCACTCGATTCGATTTCACGAAAAATTCGACAATTCTTTCTGATCAACTTGTTCCTTCACGAACCATTTATCAAGACTACTTGCAAGAACTTCATCCCTCAGCTCTACAAGAACTCAGTTCAACAAACAGTGACAGATTTGGGAGGAGATTTGAAGGATGTTTCGATTATGACTATCAGGGGAATGCAATTCTAGCGCCTTTTCGATGCATGAATCGATTTGAAATCGGCTTTCTTGGATATATGATGGTTCAGCTGATAACTCTGACGGTTCTTTTTTGGCTTGTTATCAAGCAACTTCAGTATGAAATGAAAAAAGAGAAGACACCCTTATCGAATGTGCTCCAGAACATTTGGAAGAATAGAACCTCAAACTATCGAAAAAGCTAAACTCTTGTGATTTAATAAACACTATCTAAATAAAACACATAAATGAGAAATTAAAAACAATACGCTGAGATCAGTTCTTGAAGCAGAGAAATGAAATGTGAAGAGCTTCCAGCAGCGCGAGTCTTCCAAAAAGGCGCGCCAATTAGATGTGACTTAAAATTCTATCTCAAGGAAAACAAATGAAAAAAAATAATTGATGAATTAGAGATGAAATGAAGAAACTTTACTTCTAGCTCCCTTTAGCACGATGGAGGTCACGATTTATCTCCGCAAAAGTCATTTATATCTATCATCCGACTGTTTATGAATCATGAGAGTCTATTATTGAATTCTTCTGAAAAATAATTAGAATGACTACTAGTTATATTTTATAACTAGTTAATATGAGTATATTAATATAATATATTATGATAATAATATTAATATATTTTATATAACTTAGATGAAATTAAAAAACTTTTTGCAGCAGAAAAAATCACACTATCCGTTTTTATGCTCATCAGAAAGAGCGTGAAAAACTGAGTAGAAAATTCCTTATTTATGTGGGTATTTTCTAGAGCATGACGTCACAAATGACGTCAGAAGGTTCTAAAAAGGCTAAACCTTGAGTCGACTTTTAACAGGCTTTCCGTTAGAAATTTTCAGTGTTCAATAGCTCAAATAAAAGCTCAGGAAAAATTGAAGGTACATTTTGACGAATTTTTTAAAAAAATAATAAAAAGTTGGCTCTAGAATTTTTCGAAAAAAAAATTTCATCGAAAATGAAAACCCTCAAAAATGAACCTTCAGTTTTTGATAAGCTTTCGTTTGAGCTATCTAACATCGAAAAATTCCATCAGAAAGTCGCTCAAAAAGTGACTCAAAGTTTGCCCAAAATGGCCATTTTCGCCATCTTCTAGCGTCACCTGTGACGTGATCGACTTATATTTCTGAGCCAAATCTTGACCACTCGACTCAAAATTTTACGGGCTTTTTTATGAGCCCAAAAAAGGAGGAAGTCATTTTTTTCCCTGCAAAAAGTTTTTTAATTTCATCTTACATAATACTGAAGTCTTCAGTCTGAAGATTCATAATAACTGAATTTCCTTAAAAATTGTAATTTCTTGAATAAAAATCTCACAAAGGGTTTCTGGTAGACAGTAAAAATACTTTTTAACATTCAGAAATGCCGTATTGGGGAGAACTACCACCCTCTGACGAGCGCGTTCCCGTCCCAATAATCCTCATTCCTGCGAAGTTCCGCGAAGTCTCTCCACAAAAAGAAACCATCATTTCTACCCGTTCTCCTCAGACCTCTTCTTTTCCACCGGTCTCCTGCCGCTTCATGAGAAAACAACTTAGATTCCCAAAGAAAGAAAAAGACGATGAAGAAGACGAAGAAAACACTGTTCCAAATTTGTCGAAAGAAAGTTCATTGGATCAGTACTTTCAGCGATTCAGCCGTGATGAGATTTTTCAGAATCAGAAGAAAAATGACACCGAAGAAAAGTCTGAATTAGAAGAAATTGTCCAAGAGTTAGGGATACAAAAGTCTCGTACAAGCGGCATCTGCGCTCGGCAAACTGTATAGAAAACCTGAATCACAGTCTGAAAGTAAAAGCGCGTAGGCCTAGCCAAGAGCATCAATTAGGGCTTTTTTTGTCTTTTTCATTTGAAAATTATGTAATCAGTCATTTTCATCCCCTAAAAGAGCCTTTATCTCGACGAAAAAAGCTCTGACGCTGCCCTTTTCTACTCGATCAAGCTTCTCGCCCGCGCGCAGGGCTTTGAAGAAGTCCACAAAGACGCAGTTGACCTTCTTGTCGATCTTACGAAGCTCTTTCTCAACAACTTCGGCGAAAGTGCCAAAAGAATTCGTGAAAAAATCGCTAGAATACGCAAAAGTCCGCTGGAGAAAGAAGATTTCATGACGATTTTGGACAAGACTGTTGAAAAGATAGGTATTGTGCCAGAAAAAGGGAAGGGAGTCGAGGGACTGTATGATTGGTACAGAGAAGAACTCGTGACCGGCCAAGAGGAGGAGAGTGAGAAGCCAGGGTCGCCGATTTTCAGGGACGAATCAGCGTTGTGGGACGAAATTCACGCCGAGCACAGCATTCATCGAATTCATCTTGAAGGAAGTCCCATGCGAAAATCAAAGGTTCGTCCGGTCTCTTCAAATTGCAATTTTAACCCAATTTTAAGAAGCAGAAGATCGAGAAAAAAGGCTCAGTGGAAGTAGAAGATGAATTTTCCGCAGAACTTGCCTCTCCTCTCGTTGGAGATCTCGGCCAGGGCGATTCTTTGGGCGCGATTGTGAACGCTGCTCTAGTTTCTGTCGAATCTGATGATTGTCGAAGAGTAGATTCACTTTTATGCACTTACAATGAGGATAGTTCTGATTGCTTACCCCCTCCTGCGCCTTTTTGATAGAATCATCCTTTTAAATAAATCCCAACTGCCTGTTCCTGAAAAACAAACAAATGGAGAATTTAAGAAATCGGCAGTAAAAATCGAGTTGTAAAATGATAATCAGCTTTTTGCGCAACAAAGCAGTTCAAACGTTCGGCGCCTCCGACGTCGCCAATTCCTTTCTACGGGTGACGAGTCAGTATAGAATGAGTCGTCGAAGCAGTACAGATATGATCAAGGGTCACTCGAAAGTCAAGACTGTCGATCATGGCGACTTTACTGTCACTATTGTTCCCTCACTCAGGTTCTTTCCTATAAGAAGGAAGGGCCTAATCAATCTTTCTAGCGACAACTTCATGTACCTCGTGAAGCCAGTCAATTCGAAACGAGCCTTCGCCATCGACCCCGTCGATCACAAACGAATCGCCCACGAAACCATCGGCCTCGGAACTTCTCTTGAGACAATCCTCTGCACCCACCATCACGCTGATCACGATGGAGGGAACATTCCACTGAAGCGACTTTATCCACAGCTAGAAGTTTTTGGCTTGGACGAAAGAATTCACGGAATAACTAATCAATTGGAGAAGAAAGCGGTTCAGGACTTGTCCGTTTGTGGATTGGATGTTAAAGTTCTTCATACTCCCTGTCATACAACGGGCCATAGGTAAATAACTACTCCGCATAGAAGATAGAAAAAGAATTTAGTACGTACATTGTCCAGTCAAGCAGTGGTGAAGCGGCTGTTTTTGTCGGAGATACGTTGTTTAATGCTGGTTGTGGACGATTATTTGAAGGTGAGCGGATTTGAAAAACAGGTTTACTTCAGTAACTTCAGTAAACTCAAGTTTTTGGGTATCAATAATCCTTTTTGACCATGATTAACTACGAAATAAGTGGAATCATCTCCTCTATCTACGTGAAAAATCTTGAACCATTCTTTTAGGAACGCCCGAAGAACTGTTAACTACAGTCGAACATATACTCTCCTCTGTTTCCGATGATGACAAAATGTACTTTGCGCATGAATATTCCGCCTCAAACATCCGATTCGCTCTATCTGTCGATCCATCAAACGAAGATCTCAAGGCGCGACAGAAGGAAGTGTCCGATCTTCGAGAAATCTCAGGCAATCGGTTAAAAATTTGATGTTTTATTCTTATTTGTTTTGAACAGAGAGAAATACCAGAATCCCATCAGAGGAGAATATTTTAAGCACAGGTCTGCTGGAACCAGAGTTGAACCTTGGACTGGAAGAATCGTCGACCATTGGGTTTGAGTTTTTGAACACCACCGGGTCCTTTTCGGGTGCATTTGATCATTGGTGATTGCTAGTAAACAGTTGTTAGTAGAAGCTAGGTGTTTACTGAAAGAACCTTTCGAACGGGCCAGGATCCAAGAGGTTCAGAATTGTAGCCTCGTCGAGCTTGAGCACCGCATCGGACCTTGACGACGTCTCTGTAATGAGCAGGGGTTTTTGGTCGTTGTTGGACCTTTTCGGGGTCTCTGTTTGCCCAGGTCTTTCTTTTGGACATGCTAAGAGGATTTTATTTAGGAAAACGCTCATAGTTGGAGATATTCTGCTTTCAGACTTACTAGTACTCAATATCGAGTCCTGTTGTGTTGTAATATGCGTTCAAATCATCTTCTCCGCACCAGGAAGTGATGACTTCAGCAGCCTGAAATTAAGAATATCAGCCATATCTTTGCCTGTTTTTAAAGACTTACGGAAAATGCAAAAAGACCAAAAGCAAGTTTCATTTTTTTTTTGATATTTCTCTGTCCTGAATATTTCCCGGACTGATGATGATTTAGTTCCTGAAACCGCCGCGTATGGCTTTTTATATTCCCGTTGGAAAACCGAGAGGTTCTGGGGATTAGTCTAAATTAGAAGTGCTTTCACCTGCATTTTCCCTGAGCTCTTAAATTACGGTGTCACTGGATTAGCAAAGACCAGTTAACTATTCCGGCTCACGTGTTCCTTTTTGAGTTTTACAACTGACTTCACGAGAATAAAGAGCACTTTTTGAGGGCTATATTTATTAGGTAGAAAGTAAAAGGATGAGTTACAAGCAGTTTTTCTGATACCAGTCGACGATTTTGTTTCCTCTCCATCTTCGAGCGTTGGGCTTGAGCTTCTGGGTGCCGTTTGGCCCCTTTCGGGTGCACTTGACCATTGGGGCGATCTTTTGGGTTGGGTAACCACCAAGTGGAGTGAAGTTCTCGTGGTTGCTGCCGCCACGGGTGTTGACAGCGCAGTTGACTCGGACGACGTCTCGGTAGTGGGATGGCCCTCGTGGTCGCTTGGCGATCTTCTCCTCGTCTCGGTTTTCCCAGGTCTTTCGGGGCTTCACTCTTAATACGATAGGTTCAAAGGGGGGTCTCAATATCGAGCAAGATCTCGAAGTTTCGTTCAAGAGTTTTCAAAGTTTTCCCTCATTTTCCTTGTTGGAAATTTAAATATCATATGTCATTCCTTTTCCTATAAAATCATAACAAAAATGTTCTCTTTTGGCGGAATTCTCTAGTTTCCCCTTACCGGTATTCAAGAGCAAGTCCTGTAGTCTCGTAAAAATCGTGGAGGTCGAATCCGCACCAGTTGTCAACAAGCGTGCCAAGTGCAATATTGGTACTTGCTTGCGCAGCAAGAACGAGTCCTGCGAAAAACTTCATCGCTTTCTTTTTTCGAAGACAAGTTTCTTCGTTTACCGAAAATGTGTATATGCAAGCGGTTTTATACTCTGATTAGCTAATCGGTGGGGGATTAACCCGTTAGTGATACGACTTCGACTCTCATTTGAACGCGAGAGGGGGTAAGAGGTTAACTCCGGTAACTCTGCCTTGATGCGTCTTTTATCTGAATCTACTCTTTAATTTGAGTTCAAGAGGTTTAATTTCCTGCTGAAGGCAATGAAGAATGTACATATGGGTTGTATTTTTCTGAAAGAAAGGAGTGGTTTTTGTTTTGTATTCAATTTATTTTTTATGAAACATCAATATACGTATATATAATTTTTCATTTGGTCATTTGGTTATATTGTTGTTTTCTTTCATCTTGACATTTTACATACAGGTTGCCTGGTACCACTGGAGGATCTTTGATCGGGCGTATCGTCGGGAGTTGGGCTTGAGCTTTTGCGATCCGCTTGGTCCTTTTCGGGTGCATTTGACCATTGGAGCAGCCTTCAGAAAATAGTTAGTGAGTGAAAATATAAGGTAGTTGTTTTACCTTTTGGACTGGATAACCACCCTGGGGATTGAGGTTCTGTGGTCGAGCTCGGCCCTGAGCGGCACACTCAACTCGGACGACATCTCGCCAGTGAGAGGGTCCTCGTGGCTTCTTTTGGATCTTCTCAGGGTCTCGGTTGTCCCAGGTCTTTCTCTTTGTCAAACTGAAATGGATCTTTTAAAATTTCTATCAATATCAAAGGATCTTATCAGTAGCCATAATTTCGAAGGAAAAAATCCCATAGAAAGTTCACATTACTGAGAACTACTCCCTTAAATAAAGGGTTTTAGACTTACACATAGTTGATTTCGAGACCAGTTGTGTCGTAGGCGGCGTTAAGGTCAGCCCCGCAGAACTCGGTGACAACTTCTTTGGCCGACTAAAGAAAATTTATTATTCGAAAGTCCGGGTATCTTTATTTTGCTTCTCGAATCAATCTTCTCTGAAAAATCACTTACAGCCAAGGCGACGAGACCAGCAACAAGTTTCATTTTCTAGCTTTTTTTTATAAAACTCGAATTTGTTGGTTCGAGTAGTATGATTTCTGAGCGGCGTATTCTGCGTTAAATACGGCATCGTGAAAGGAGAGAGGGCGCTCGGATTACGCTGGGATCTTTCGAGAGCCAAGGCACTAGGTGGAGTTAATGTCAAGACCAGCGGATTCGCACGAATGCTCGCGCGAAAACGTTTTCAATGATCATGAAATTTCACGAGTATTAATCGTAGATTTAGGCAAGCATAAACAGCAGTGGATCAATTTACATTTTTTTTATTGATAGGGGTCCCAGCCTGGGGATCGACGACAATTGGCCTGCTTTCATCGGGTTTCATCAATTTACCTCGATCGAGGAGACTCCTAATTGCCAACCCTTGACTTGGACGAGATTCGTTCTGATCAAATATCTTCGAAATAATATGGAACCAAAGCAGATTAATTTTCCCTTTTCAAAGTAACCATACAAAATTATAAATACAGCGAGATGTTGGGTCCATTCCATATTCTGTTCAAAATCCGGGTATGGCAAGTCGAATGAAAATATATTAACACTGTTATAGCAATGTTATGATAGCCAATTTTATAGAAAACTATTAATGCTTGTATCTATTTAAATTTGATTAATATATTTTCATTCGACTTGCCATACCCGGATTTTGAACAGAATATGGAATGGACCCAACATCTCGCTGTATTTATAATTTTGTAGGGTTACTTTGAAAAGGGAAAATTCATCAGCTTTGGTTCCATATTATTTCAAAGATATTTGATCAGAACAAATCGTCATGAGCAGATTAGCCTCGCCGTGTCTTGCCTTAGAAGGCGAGATTGTTAACTATTTCGTGTTTCTTCTAGTTGTATTGTATTCAATTTCAAACATCAAATATTGAAAAAGATGCTGATGAAAGTTGCCAAGGCTTGAATTCTGACTACTCAATTTCGAATAGAAAGAACGTGAATTGCTAAGCCCCGCTAAGGCTGAGTTCAAGCCGCCGCTGGCCTAGGTCAATCCGAAACACTATCGTCAAGGGCTTAACCCAAGAGCGCGAGACAGAAAGTAAAATCGGATACACTTGATTCCCCGATTCGACGTTTGTCATTTTTTGCAATTCAAAATAAATCGACTTTGGAGTATTTTCCAACCGATGAAATAGAACCAACGACCCCATCGACATTCGGGGATGAAAAGAAAATCAATCCATTTTTGAGATATCGCGAGGAAGCCCTTAAAACTGCTACTGGAGGAAAAACAGACGTCGAAGTGATTGGAAAGACGCGACAAATGAAGGATAACTTTTAATTCCGTTTCTGCAAAAAAACCAATTAATTTTTTTGCTTCTTGATTACTTGTTATTAAAATGATCGTTTAGGTTCAGATTAAAAATATACAGTAATGGTTCTCTCTCTGTCTCAGGTTGACAATTTTGTGTCAAGAGTAATTGCATCTGTGTTTTGCATGAAATCTGACTGTGAATTGATTTGCTGCATTTATGTGTCTAGCATTTTTTAGTTTTTTTTAACTAAAACAGTAGATCTAAATTAAAACAGGAAGCGTTTTTTTTGTATTATGAGTGAGTCCTCTTCTTTTGACGTTTGTGTTAGTTTTTGAAATGTTAAGTCGCTATCTTTTTCCAAAGAAATTTCAGATAAAAACAGTGATTTTCGATTGCGATGGGGTTTTATGGAAATCGTCTACTGTTCTCCCGGGAGCCATCGATACCGTGGCCGAATTAAGGAGGCGCGGAGTCAGGCACCGTTCGACGATCGATTTGAAACTCTACTATTGAGAAAATTCTTCAATTCTATCCTCTTTTTGAGAGAAAGATTTGAGAACGAGAAACGAAAGAATCATTTTCTTCACGAACAATGCTTTGAAAACGCGAGCGGAATATGCTGGCAAGTTGAAATCTCTTGGCTTTAGGGACCGGCTCATGACATTTTTAAGAAACTTGAAGGAGAAAGAGAAACTTCTCATTTCTCCTGCATAATTTTAGAGCCGCATAAGAGTGCTGAAGAATCAGAAGTGATATGTCCAAGTTTTCTAGCGCAAAAGTTCTTTGAGAAGAATCTGAAGAGGGGGAAGAAAGTTTATTTTCTTGGACCAAAATGTTTGAAGGAAGAATTGGAGGCAGTCAATATCAGGCTCGTTTTTTGAAAATAAGGGTATCCAAGCGAGAAAAATGTGGATTGTGCAAGTTGTTTCTTGTCGTATTTCGAAATATACAACTTCCTGTAATAAAAATAGCTTCAATTTGAAAATGGACTTCGACCCCGGGCCACTAATTATGGCCCCATTTTAGAATAATTTATTTTTTTTTTAATTTTCTCTTTTTGAGAAACGAGAAAAGCGTTCTTTTCGATGATCGAGCCTTCCAGCTGCCCAGCTTTGACGAATTAGAAAGAATAGAAATTGACGAAGATGTCAGTCACGTGCTCGTCAGTTTCGATAGAGATGTGACGCTAGACAAGATTGTCAAAGCGGCGGAATATGTCAAAAGAGGAGCCGTTTTTATGGCGACGAACTTGGACTCGGTTTTGCATCTCAAAGAAAAGGTTCAAAGACTCGTTAATAGGGTGTTTTTTACGAGTAGTTATACGCATTTTCTCACAACTTAGAATTTATATCTTCCTATGATGGCGGTTTTATCGCTATCAGTTAATCTCTAAGAAAAGAAAAGATAGAGAAAAATCAGGAAAAAAGGTTTTTTGAAAATTTTGAATTCAAATTTTTAGCCAATCAAAATGTTAACTTTTTGGTTCGAAATTTAGCCGATTTCGGCGTAAAAAAAGGTTTGAATACCGACTTTAAGTCCAGTATCCACGACTGGTAGCTGTAACATCAGACCAAGAAAGTGCGACCGCTCCCTTTTCTTTCCCAAAAAAGCGCTAAATTGAACCTGCTTTGTAAGTAACCTGCTGATCCCCGACGTCGGGCCCTGTGTAGCGATGATCGGGACCTGTTCTGCATCGAAATGTGAGATAACACTTGGGAAACCGAACACTTTCGGCTGCGACTTTGAGCCGCTAAAGTCCCTCGCCCCCGAATCGACTCTGATGATCGGCGATAATCTTGAAACTGATATTAAATTCGGCAAAAACGCAAACTTTTATACCGCGCTCGTGCTCACCGGCCACTCGCAGAGAGAAGGAATCGGGTTTTTCGGCTCTCATTTTTGATCTTTCTAAAAGGCGATCTGCCGCGGATCAGACCAGTTAATCGCCGTTTTAGAAGAATTCTGAGTAGTAGTACTACTGCTTATTTTCTTCGCAAAACGACGAAATCTTTTTTTTTTATAAATTACCAGGAGACACCCTTTTTTTATTCTATCAAAGTAAAGTTAGGGCAATCCAGAGTGTCTTAACTATCTTTTGATACGATCAAATAAGGGCGTCACTATGAACATGTTGAAAAAAAGCTGCTTTGAAATTGTGCTTTTTTGCCGGGAAAAACCCCATTTTTTGACCTTGATAACTCAACAGTTCAACCAGATATTGTACTCAATTCAGTTCACGACCTTTTCCAACACTAGAATCTTTCAATTTTACTTCAACTCAGTTTCCCTCCTTGAACTCAAGCAACTGTTACTCATCTCCATATTCTTTCAGAGGACAATGAGTCCAAACCGGCCCCTGAAACGGGGGTCGCAAAATGAGACTCCCTCGGAAAAGAAGGTCCAGGACATCACCATCAACGCATTCTACGAGCCGCACACTGTCACATTTCTTCTGCTTATCGCTGTAAGTAAATGGTGATCAAAAATGAGGCCATAATTCCTGTTTCGACCAGACGATCTCACAAAACTGTCAAAGGTCAACTTGTAAAAAATGCAAAACTAGACAATCAAAGATCGAAATCGAAGGTCTCTAGAATCACTTTCACTTTCGATCTTATTTTTTCATCTCAGACAGACCCATATTTTGACAGTTGTCGCATTTTCTCCTCATAAGCGAAAAGCTGCCTCTCCCAGGGCGCTTTCTTCTGATCAGCTCATAGTTTGATCAGCAAGCGCTCATATGAAAGATAATTGACCATATATATAATTAATCAATTAATTCCTGTCTAAACTTCTTCTCATATGGAAGAAGCAGAGTCGAGAGAAAGTAAAAATGATGTGGCAGAGATTATTTCTGCGCAAAGCACCGTTTTGTCAACCCTTTTAATTGGCGTAAGTTCGGATAAGGCTATTATAAGCTTCTAGCTCGGCTCTGTCTGTGTGCAAATTTGAGTCAGGGTCGAAATTCGGACTCCGAAGAATGAAAAGCCGCGTTGCGGCTTCGAGAAATAATCCTCCCAAGAAGCTGTTCCTTGTGAATAAAAATTGTTCTTTAGGTGAGCCTTGGGTACATCTGCCTTACCCGTTCGGACGAGAATGAAGAATCGAACATCTTCCACGGGCTGATAACATGCGCTTTGGTCGTTGGAGTACCGATTTCGATCATGCTCTTCCCAAACGGGCCCTTTACCCGGCCGCATCCGATTCTTTGGCGAATCGTCTTTGGGGCGCTATTTTGCTATATGCTGGCGCTTGTTTTTATGCTCTTCTGCAGCATGTCTCAAAGTAAGAAAATTTAGTATTACATGTTAATAAAAGAATTCTAGTTCGCCGAGCAATGATCTTCATCGACCCCTCGTTAAAAGATGCCAAGCGGGAAATCGACATGGTCGAAGCTTACGCTGAGGACTGCTCAAACGTTACTTTGGAGACGATTTGGGCCTCATTAGACATTTTCGCTTTCGCTCATTTCTGGGGATGGGGAATGAAGGCGCTTATGATTCGGTAGTATTTTGGTTGGGGCGATCGTTCACGCTTGTTTTAGGAACTATGGAATTTGTTGGACTATTTCAGTTACGTGGGAGATTACCGAAGTTATGTTTCAGCATATTTTGCCAAATTTTAAGGTAAATTGCTATGTAGCAATAAATGTATTTATTACGATTTTATGTAGATCCATGTTTTTAGTAATCAGCAATGAAATCGTCCAAAGTTTAGATTTGTTCTAGATGCGCATGAAAATTGGTTGAAATGATAGTAACACAGATGAAGAGCATAAACTTGATCTTACGAGACTCTTTGTAGTTTTTCTTAGCCATTTTCAATGGATGCATTTATCCATGCAACAGTCGTAGCGGGGCCAACGGTCGGGTCGTTTTAGCTTCTTTTGATTATTAGTCAACATCCTTCAAAGAGTAAAATTTAGGAATGCTGGTGGGATCACTGGATCCTCGACGTCGTTGTCTGCAACGGCGGAGGCATTTGGCTCGGCATGATAGTCGGCCAATTCCTCGAACTACGCCGTTACCGATGGGAGAGCGTGCTCGAAATCGACTCGCGGAAGAAAAAGTTCAAACGCTGCTTGCTTCAATTCACGCCCGAATCGTGGGGAAGAATGGACTGGATCCATGGAAATTATCGCCACCCGATCGGCAGAACACTTGCCTTGTTTATCATCATGATGCTCTGGCAGATTGTAGAGCTCAACACCTTCTTTTCGAAGCACTTTTTCAGATATCCAGGTTCGACAACTGTTTTCTAACACGAAATAATGTCTTTATTTACTCTTTCAACCTCAAAAACCTCGATGACCAGAGCCCATCAAAGCCTAAAAACGATCAGAAACCTCTTAACCGTTTATTTTCAGGACACAATTGGATGTGTTGGGGTCGAATTCTCTTCATGGGCCTCTGCTCAATGCCTGCCATCAAGCAGTGGTACATCTACGTCACGGATCCTCGATGCAAACGGCTTGGGAATCACTGCTGGGTAAGATCTCCTTACAACTCTCCATTTCATCGTGTTCTCTAGCTGTACATCATGACTGTCCTTGTTGAAACGCTCGTCCAAATCAAATTCGGCTTCGAAGAGTTCTCCCGCGCCAACATCAGCTACATCATCCAATGGGTTGTCATCATGTTCATCGGGGCTTTCGTTGGTCTCATGCTGAACGTCTACTCTGGCGTCTACTACCATCCAAAGGGCTACCCAGCTAATGAGGACGAAATCGAGCTCGATGTGAATATCAACAAGCAGCAAAGTTCAAAGAGAAGCGCGAAAATTGACTAAATTTCGGACTAAAAATCTGTCTTTACCTTTTGAAGCTCCATCAAAATCTTCTCGTTACAGTTGCGCTATTATAATATTAATTTCAGATCATTAAATAATCATTTAGACTTTTCCAATAATTAAAAAAACCAAAAACAAGGTCCACTAGAGTTCAAAAATTTATCTCAAACGCTTCTTCAAAATTAAAAGTTTAAAACTTCTTAAATTCGCACCAAAATCGAAGGCACTGGTTTGCCAAATTTACAAGTTTTAGTTGATTTTCTTCTCACTACTTTTGAGTGAGTATTTCTCAGACTGCTTGACAGGGTTGTTTCTTTCTTTTCTCTGCCACAAAGGTTCTTTTTGAAAAACCTGTTGATAGAATTGCAAGTTAATAAATATTGTATTTATCCGTTGAAACAATCTAGTGTCTATTTCAATTTAGCCATTTTTCATGAGCAAATATTGATCCTCAGACAACAATAGGTCTACTTGACTGAAAAAACTCGTGTTCTGAAATTATCACAGCACGATAGTATTTTTCAATTATATTTGCAAAAATCAGTTTGACAAACTCTTCGCTAAAACTTGTAAGAGAGGATGATTCATACGTTTTCTAGCTCTCATTTTTGCATCAGAAATTACTCCTTCTGAATCATCAACGACTTGAGCCACGAGGCCTGGAGCTTTAGGCCACGTCGCCTTTTCTTTTTAACCCGCCATTTTTCGTCTAAAATCATCAAACCAAAAATCCTCTTTTCAGATTCTAAATTACAAGTACCAAAAGAAATAAATAGAGAAGTTATGCTTGCGGAAATTCTAACAGTCGCCCTCCTTGGGTTTGCAGACGCGCAGCAACGGGTTAAACTTAAAAATGTGGATGTTTTAACCCTCTACGCTGGTAAAATGACCACCGGGCGAAGATCTTCTCCTGTTCCTCAGCTTCAGGTGAGTCTGAGTCCCTAAAAATGCTTTATCAATGAATTTTTACAGTGTATGGGAGGCTCTGCAGGCTGCTCAGCGTTCGTTCCCTCCGTCGTTCAATGTTACAATCGCGGTACAGATGGCCAGGACATTCAATGGGAGTGCAAAGCTGACATGGAAATGAAGTACAAATTTGGCCAGATTCGAGTCACCGGCGAAGGCTTCGATTACCCCGATGACCCGTACATTCTCGCCGGTAGTTGTGGCTTAGAGTACACTATTGATCGCGTTGGCGGATCGACTTCTAGCTCGAGCTTTGGAGGAACGAGCTTTTGGAGCAGCAGCTCTGAAGATTCTGAAGAAGGTTTGTACCCGAACTTATTCTGACTGCGCCCCTAAGTGACTGCAATAAAAACGGAAGATTATCAATTTATTCAGGTTCTTGGGCTCTCTTCATAATAATCGCATTTGTTCTTTACCTCCTCGTGACCAGCTTCAATAACGCCAATTCTGATGACCGACCCCCTCCTTACAATCCCGATTTCATCCCTCCCGCAGGCACCAATCCTGGAACGAACAACACTGGCTACTTTTCTGGCCCTGGTCGTGGCTCCTCGTCTTCTTCTTCTGATGGCCCTGGGTTCGGAACAGGTTTTGCCGCTGGAGCAGCGACCGGTTTTGCAGCAGGAACTGCGAGTGCGAATAGGAGAAGAAATAGAGGCTGGTTCGGCGGAGGAAACAGCTGGTTTGGCGGAAACAATTGGGGAACGAATAACAGCTATTCTCAAGGATTTCATGATGGTAGACGGTAAGAATCTGACGTTTTATTTATTTCTGACTACTTCTTTCTTAGATCAAGTCCTTCTCCACGACGAAGCTCATCTCCTGTCTCGACAAAAACAGCTTCTGGATTTGGCGGAACAAAGCGCCGTTGAGTTAAAAGTAAAGCCAATAGTCACTTCTATCTCTGTACATAACCCTTACTGTCGATGTGAATCAAAATGCGTTCAACATGTTCCATTATTTTAAAATTAAGAAATTGGCAATCAGACCTTCAGGGGTACGGATTGTTAAAGCAAGTTGTTGATGGTTTTTTATTCAATACAAAAAGTCGCAGAATCAATTTTGGCGGTTTTTTCTTTATAAATACAATCGAATCTGAAGCAGCGCATCTTTTACTCATCCCTTCTACATCAGCTAAATCCAGAAGTTAGAATATAAGAACAAAGAATGCCTCACCTTGGTTGTGTATTGAATAGGGAACCAGCCGCGGAGGCCGCTCTTTTCGTTCTCTCCATAGTGCCAGCCGTCACGTGGTTGGGGGATGAGAAGTTGGACGGTGTCTCCGACATCCAGTTGGAGCTTAGTTTGACCATCCCCGGCGTAAGGGTGGGTAGCCTTTACTCTCTTTTTAGAAGGAGCTAGAATAGAATTGTAAGAATGAAGATTTCAAAAAATAATTGAAAAAACACACGCTCGGGGCTAAAAACGCTGATCCGACACTACTTTTCAGCCCCGGTTAAAAAAAAGCGAAAAAAAGCAAATCAAGAATTGTGATGCCACGGCAAAAACCTGGTGAGTTATCAGGAGAGTTACCGCTCGGCGAGACAGCTGAAAGATTTCATGAGACTACTGGTACTTGAAAAATGATGAAACGATAAAAAATGATTGTGGAGATATTTTGTCAAAAGCGTTTTAACCTTCTTTTGCTCTTGGAATCAAAAACGTATCTGAACAAGTCGAGAATCAGTTCAACTATTAGTTCCATACCTCGCGTGACTGTAGCTGCAGTAGAAGCTGCGACAACAGGGGCTGGTGGAATCGATGGTTCGGACATGTTGTGAATGTCTTCGGACATGTCTGGCATCTGATAAATTGACTTTCGAGGAGTTGGAGCAGTTTCTTCAACAGCCTAGCAGACAGATGATGTATCCTTTCTTTACTTCTGGTACTTACCGCATCCGCAGCAGCTTGCCAATCAGTATTTCCAAGATTCAGCTCATCCAAGTGCTCTGCAATAATCTTCTGATTCTGCGCGTGGAATAGTGACAGCTTCGTCATCGATTTCTTTAGCGATTCAACCGCGAACCTAAAAGTCTTTATCAACCAGACACAAATAGAATGTAAAGTACCCGTAGCGTTTGTTCTGTTCCAAGACTGATTTCTTCAAGCTTTCCCTGGCGTAGTTGTCGAGATTCTTGGTGATTTGCTTCAGCTCCTGTTCTTTTTGCATCCGCTTTTGGTCGTCTTTCTTTGACTTGCCTTTCTTTGCCAGCTTGGAGATTTCCTTTTCTAAATAAACCAGCTGAGCAGAGCATTTAAGCGCTCAATTACCTTTTGCTTCTTTAGCATCAACCCCATCATTCCACTTCTTTCTCAACTTTTGCAGTTCCGAGTTCAGGTACTCTCCATCCTTTGAAATCTTCAAGTCTCAAGGAAAGCTTAGGATTAATATTTGCTAAAAGCCAACTCAGACACGCGGCTTGTAAAATTTCATATGCGAAGAAAAATACGAAGCTCAACTCGTTTCCTAGTTCAACGATGTTTGCCTGTGCGGCTTCTTGGTATTGCTCGAGCTCGGCCTTGAGTTTTCGGATGATTTCTTCGGCGGCGGAAATTCCGTCTGGGAGATCGGAGCGGGCAGAGGAATCTTCTGCGTGTTTGAGCAGGACTGCAAGGCTCTAGAACACCTTCGAATCGTTTCTTTTGCTTTGAAAACTGACCTTTGCAATTTCATTTTGCGCCTCAATCATCTGCGCGCCTGCAGTCTCATACTGCCGGAACGCCGAGTTGAGCTGCTCCAACGCAGGATGATACCCATTCAGCAAGTTGTTATAATTGTCCTTTGCAGTGGCTTATTGAGGATCAAATTCTGAAGCTTTTGAGCCGCTTTTGCAAATAATTACGCGTGTCCTAAGCAGACAAAATGAAAGTTTAGGCAAACAGAAAACGTCGACCGGGTCATTTTTTCATTCAAACAAAATTATTTTCATGCTTCGTTCTGACTAGACCAAACAAATAAATGAAAAATCATAGATTTGGAAATTTTTCAATTAGGGAATTTTTATCTTTTGTGAAAATAAGCCTAATAATTTCAAGATGAGCCTATTTTGGGATTGCTTTTTTAGTCTGATATCAACAAGGACTAGCGTCTTTCTATTTCTAAATTGTTAGACTAAAGTTATGAAGTCATTGAGAACTAAGTCTATTTACAAATCATAAACTGCTCGCATAATTTATATGCGCTCTAAATCTATCTCCTCACTTATCAATTCGCCACCTTCCTTAGTCTTCGAAGCATTGTGACTCATTTGACTTACAGGAGCAGCCATAATTCTAGCGTTCTCTTTTTACGTTCGGAATTTGCAGCGCGGCGCAACTGCAACTTGCAGAGGAAGAAAAATAGCGCAAAAACGAGTTCGCTAAAAGTCAACAGGACTCGCCGTTTATATGGACAAATATTTGATTGATGTCGTCGATACACTGACTATTTGCAGTTATTACAAGCCCAGAAGGAGCGTTTATCTCATGTCTAGTTACTCTCTCCCGCAAAAATTAAGTTCTTGACTCATCAAGTGAAAGAAAAGCATGGAATCATTCTCCTTATTTTCCTGCGAGAGTGTGTTTGGATTCGGAACACTTTTCACAATGGTTAAATCAACAATGACAGGCACAAAGGGGCAACTTCTCAGCTTTGACAAGACTTTGATCAACACTTGAAAAGAACCACAGTTTTTCCATCATTTATTCAAGATCTAAAAAAATCAAGGAGAAATTTAATTATTGAAGCGTCTGATGATTCGCTCTTTTGTGAATTCTTTTCGGCAGATCGGGCAGAGCTTCTCAGGAAGACCAGTCAAGCACTTGAAGCAGGAAAGATGGCCACAGTGAAGGGTACATTCTTGACGATCAGCGCTATTGTATACTTCGAAGCAAATTTTGCAAGAGGGTACATTGATTCCGGCAAAAAATAATTGAAATGAAAATGAATAAAATCAATGTTGAATACCAGTTATTCCGAGATCATCTGAAATTTCGGCAAGTGCAGATGTGAGCGAGTCTTTCATACTGTCACGAACTTCAGTTGCGCGCTGTAGATTCGCAGTTGCTATCTTAATTTCTTCAGTAAATTTTTCCACATCCGTTTTTGCTTCTTCGTAATGGTCCAACACCAGTGAAAAATGACGAGGCTTATCTGCAAATAATTGAAAAGAATATTTGATCTGTATCTATTGCATTACCTGCTGATTGATTTTTCTTGCCGGCGTCGCAACATTTAGGAACTCACGATGCGAAAGATTCGAAACATCACATTTCATACCAGGACATCCAAATTTTGCGTCAGAGAAGACAAAATAATGCTGTTTTTTAGAAAATTCCTTTTCAAAACATTGAAAGGATTTAGTAAGATTTAATTTATTATCGGAAGGAATAGAATAAATAAATAAAGAATAATTGAGTATATTTTATACTTTACATTTCAAAATCCTTGTCAGTCAAGACAAACAGTTTTTCCTTCCTGCGGAAGAATTGCCATTTTCTCTGTTATACCAGCGCAATAACGACCGCAATTATACACATCCCGACCAGTTATTTTTTTACATGACCCAACCGCTCCTTTCTGAACCGGAGTCACGTGTATTTTCATAATTTCTCGTTTCAAACTCCCTGTCGAAATTTCAAATTATCGGGTTGCCCAAGTTTTAGAGCAAAAATGAATTTGATTTAAAAAAAGATGAATCACAATTTTTGTTCAAGATCTCTCAAATTGAGAGTCTCAATTGGTGATTTTCCTCAAGTTGAGACAAAATACTACGTTTTGACAAATCGGTGATTTGAAGTCGCTTTTATAGTTGTCTATTTTTTATCTTTGATCACATTTCTTTAAATTCACAAAATCGTTGATTCAATGAACAAATTTATTTTCAATATTCAGTAACAACTACAGATTCACTATCACTATCTCCGACGAAAGTTGAAAAAGTCGGTTTCCGTTCCAATATCTTCGGCAATTTTTCTGTACAACTATTATTCTTCCTTTCTAGTGAAAGAGTTTGGGCAATATGAACAGCTCTAGAATTTGAGTTTTGATTTTCGTTTTCGATGATGATTGAGTCGGGCACGCCAGAGTCGCGGGAGTAGCTTTCTTTGGAGTTGTAAGAGTTGTCTGAGCGGTTTGTGTGGAGTTCTGGGTAGGGTTGAGAATCGGGATGATGTTTGCAAGCTAGAAGTAGGAGGTAAGAAGGATGAAAATTGAAATTTTCTTACTAGGGAGTGAAATAAACAGCTCATCTTTGGAGTTTGACGGAGGAATCGTCGGACCTCGTTTTTCGTTTCTTGTCTTGTAGAATCTATCAAAAGGTAAGCAAAGAAATGATTTTGAGAAAGCTACCTGACGCAAATAAAAATCGTTATTGTTATCAAAATCATCACTGCACCAGCAAAAATGCCAACAAGAACCACCGCCGCTTTTGAAGCATCATCAATATTTTCCAAGCTCCTGAAGCTTTCGGAGACATAGACGACTACCTCAGCTACATCGCCATCTTTGATCAACCCCTCGCTGTCGGACACAACCACTTGGAATTGATAGTAAACGGGGACGTCCGAAAGATTCCAGAGGGACTTTGATAGGGAGATTTCACCAGTACGGTCGTTGATTGAAAATGGCAGGTCGGCTCTTGCAGGAGAAATGGTAAAGATCATTTTTGAACTTTTATCTGCATCTATTGCCTCGACGTATCCGATCGAAGTGGCTATTTTGGCGTTCTTTGCGATCGAGAAATTAGAATTTCGAGATGAAAACATTGGTGCGAACTCGTTAACATCATTGATGAATATTTTCACTTGCGTAGATCCGGATAGGCTGGGTCGACCATGGTCAGACGCAATTATTTCGAAGCTGAGGAAATCAGAATCTGACTCGTTGAATCTTTCTGCGTTGATTGATTCTAGTACAATAATGTTTCCACTTTCACTGTCGATGTCAAAGATTCCCAAAGGATCGTTGATACTGTAGGAAATTTCAGCGTTGGGACCCTCATCAAGATCCTCTGCTAAAATCTGCGCGACGGTGACTCCCGGCGAATTGTTTTCATCAATTTGAAGATTGTACTGCCCGTGGCGGAAAAATGGAGCATTGTCGTTGATGTCCGTGATCAAGATTTTGACGTTCTTGACCGTCTCTCTCGCTGGGAAGCCAGAATCGCGAGCAATGAGCTTCAAATTGTATTCGTCGATTCTTTCTCGATCCAGAAAACTTTTTGTCTTGAGCAAGTATCGGTTCTTCGAATTGCTCTCAAGCTCAAAATCGGATGAATTCTGAACTTCTAGGTGAACATCGTCATTGTCCTTGTCCTGCACATTGATCAGCGCAACAAAATCCCCGATTTTCGCATCTTCAGGCATTGACCCGGGCGCGTTGGAAAGCCAGGAGATGCGTATTTCTGGAGAATTGTCATTCTCGTCAATAAGATTGACAACTACTGTTGTGTACGCAGGAGAAGAGCCGACGCCTTTATCGTCTGCCTTGATATGGAGGTTGTAAACGGCTGCGGATTCGAAATCCAGAGGCTTGGCGATTTTCAACTCTCCTGTTGAGCTATTGAGGCTGAATTTGTCCATCGTGGATTGAGAATTTATGTTTTCTTGGAAGGAATAAACGATTTCCCCGTTGATGCCCTTATCAGCGTCGGTAGCATGGAGAGTGGTGATGATTGTTCCAACTTCTGCGTTTTCAGAAATGCTCACTTCAATTTCAGTCGACTCAAATTTCGGGCTGTGGTCGTTTATGTCTTCAATCTCAATAATCACTTCTGCCTCTCCTCTTCTGCCACCACCATCTTCTGCAATTATTTTTAACACGTGTCTTGATCGCTTGTTGACATCCAATTCTCTCGTCAATTGAATCTGAGGAATTCGGATCGACGACCCTTTTTCTTCTTTAATTTCGAAATACTTTGGTTTTTGTTCGCTTTCCAAAAAGTACTTTTTCACTTGATAAGGAAAGGTATCCGCGTCGGAAGCTGGAGAAAGCCGAAGAATTGTGCCGATTTCGGCGCTTTCTGGAAGAGTGAGGAAAAATTGAGATTCTGGGAATTTCGGGGAATTGTCGTTTAGGTCGAGAATGAGGAGTTTGATGTTGAAGACGTTGAAGAATTCTTGAGGAGTAGACAGCACTTCGATTTCGAGGGAACAGTCTTCCTTGATTCCACAAATCGATTCGCGGTCAATTTCCTTTTTCGTATACAGATCGCCGGAAGAAGCATCAATGTCCAGATACTCCTCTCCTTCGATTATTTTAAACACCCGCTGAGCAACATTCAGCGGCGAACCGAGCTGCGCATCCTGGGGCAAGTTGCCAATGTATGAACCGCGAGTGGTGCCATCGTTAATTGTATATTGGAGCTCTGCCGCGGAATTGAGCGTGGCGAGGAATGTTACTATGTTGAGAAGCATTTTTCGGCGGATTTTAGCGCATTCCCTGAAAAGACAAAGGGTTAATTTCAATTCTAGCGCTCGTAAGGGAAGGCCGTTAAAAATTTTTTAAAAAGAACTCGAGTTCCATCATAGACATTCTTCCTTTTTTTTCACTTGACAAGTCTCAAGAGCTCTCCACAAATTACTTTGCCAGGCCTCAAGGGTATCCTCTTGATATTGTCATCATGAAAAGACAGATTTTTTATTTAACATCCAATTTGAGCCACAAACATCGAGTGGCAACGGTGGGAGAGAGCGCGGGGTACACGATACTTGAGTTACAAATTGTCCGGGAAATAACCCGATAGCCGACAAATCGTTGTTTGGCAAATAGGGGAAAAGTGACAAGATTTGATGGATACCCTCGATTTGTTCTCATAAAATAAGGGAGTCAGCGTCTTGTTCTTTCAATTTTTTCTTATAAAAATGGACTACCGGATTTTGCTTATTAAAAATAATCGATTTCAAAAGCACCCCTTTCAATGCAATAAAAGGAACCACTTTCTGACACTACGGCATTTCGACTTTCGAGGATATTAAAAGAATTATTAATTGGCGCTGCTCCCCGCCTCGACTCATAAAAATTGCAGCCAAGGAGCCGCTAATGATCGCTGCGCCCAAAACTACCTTGTTCTGCTTCTGGCGTCGTGCCCAGAAGCATGTGCACCAATTCTGCATTATTGTCACCTTGCGGTCAGCCAGGGCGAAAATAATTGGAATAAATGAGACCTGAAAAATGCGCAATTTATTCTTATTTTTTGAAAACCGATATGTTCATGTATGCAGGGGGCGGTTTTATGAATTTTGAATGAGGATCCGATCCGCTTTTTTCGTTTTTACTCGAAAAAAGAGGGAAACTCTTGAAAAAAAAACGAAGTTGGAGCACTCAATTTCTACTCAAGGGTCGGACCGGATGTCTTAAAAACGGACTTTTTGCTCACTCACTCACTCACTCATGCATATTTACCATAAAACATATGAGTACTAAAGTATTAGTAAGTTATGAAAAGTATTATTTTGGTGTTTATTTTGACGATTTTCCGGGCGGATAATGCGGAAGTATGAGTGTGTTTGCACCTGGAAATTGATGTCTATCGTAGCGTGTCCGCAACTGGTACTGTAACACCACCTTAATCTTGTATTGATAAGCGCCTTTGCATACACAAATACAGGGCAGGGTGATTTCCCGGCGGCGCTTACCCGGGATTACCGGTTGTCCGATGTTTTTCCGAAAGCGGAGCTTGAAAGAGCTACTACCGGCTGAGATAATAGATCGAGGGAAGGTGCGCCGGGTGTAATTAAAGCTTTCTAGAGATAACATGAAGTAAAAAAAGAACGAGAAAGGAGATATTCGCGGGAAACTACGGGTTGACGCTATCTTGTCAAAATTTAAATTGCTTTAATTCATCCCCTCCCTTTTGATCTCCAACAAATGTTATTCCGTTGACTCCACCCTTATGTAATTTGGATTCACCACGGAAGCGGCTAAAAGGTATAGAACTATGTCAAAAATCGCTGTTTTGAATCTTTTGGAGCACGTTTTTCTGCTCTATTTATGCAGCAGGCGATTTTCTTTGAGAGCGTGCGGGGCGAACTTAAAAACTTAGAAATTTTGATCTGGCATCAATCATCTTTTGCTGTGGAGAACGCGTGACATGTGAAAATTGCAATAGCCATGAAATTTGACCCAGACTGACTTGATGATCTGATCGCTCAATTTTCGAGTCGAAGAAAAAAAAACTTGATCAGGTTTTTTAATATGGAAGTTTTTACTAGTACCCCCCTCTTTTCCGCTTGAAATCAAAAGGTGGGTATATCCTTAAGAATTTTGAAAATAAGCACTTGAAATTTGAAATTCTCAATTTCGTTCTCTTGCTTTTGATTTGTATCAATCTCAATCCCTCAAGAGAGCCCCTGTTTTTCCCCTGCTATCATTTTTAATCTGCAGCCTAACTTCATAATCCCGTCCTCTTTTGTACCCCCTTTCTTGGCCGTTTTCGAGGAGCTACGAGAAAAAGTGAAGAGTATCACTTGATGTCACTTCACTGCGAAATTAACTTCCACTGTTTTTGTTAATTTTCGTCAAGGAAGACAAAAACTCTCCTTGAAGGAGTTTCCCAGCAAGGATTAATTGAATCCTAGCGGGTTATCTTATCAAATAATGCGCTTTTTATTACTACGAAAATCGATGTGGATTGAACAACTTTTTGTAAGTTGAAAGTGGAGTGTTGATCATTATTGGATAATGAATTTTTGATACGGCGGGAAGTGATACTTTTCAATGCTTGGGAAAGATCTATCTCAAAGGTCAAGACAAAAGATAATGTGGCAGCAATATACAAAAATGGTCGAAAATCAAGCTCTAGAAATTTTCAGTAACAACATTCATATACGGCCTGAAAGACCCTTTTCCAATACTTTTCTGATATTTCCGATGTCTACTTCTATTAAAAAATGGTCAAAACTAATTTAATAACAGTACCTTTATACTGTATAAATTATACAGAAGTATGAAAATGAAGAGCGATTTCTTCGTGAATCTCTGTTTTTTCGTGATTTTTCGACGTTTCAAAAACAGGAAGATCTGGTTCTGTTCATGCTCTTTCTGACCGCATGCGTTATTTAAACAAAATTACCCAAAATAAGTATTTTGGTGTTTTTTCGTGCTCCGAGAAGGCTTGGTGGAAAATTGGTGCCCCAGGGCTGCGCGCACGGAGGCGCTGCGCTCGCACTTACTAAAACACACACAAAACCACACAATTACGGGATGAAGATTATTGACACGGCTGGGGTTTGATACTTCAGCACCACCCGCCGCCGAGGAAACCCGGTTATTGAGAATACACATGTTGTTTGTTTTTACACGGTAGATTTCTTTCCTGAAGGTTATTATTAAGGGTGTCCTCAACGATTTACCCAAAACATGGTTGACTTTTAGTTAATAGAATCTCAATAAAAGTCATCAGTTTTAAATATATACTTATTTTAAAAATCTTCGTTATGGTTTTTGCTAGAATGCTCGCTTGATATCCTTTTTTGATTTTTCTTTTCTTTTATTTCATTTTTGAGCATGCAAGAGTTTTCATAAAGTTAGGCTTCAAGAAGCTTTTCTGCCATCATGTTGGCCTTGAGCAGTTTTTGCTTTCTTTTTCGTTTTTGGATTCTTTTTCAGAGTTATATCACTAGCTCAAATTTACTTGTCGAAACAAAAATAACAGTAAGAAACTCTGTCTTTCATACTGCATGACGAACATGACGATGATCAGCCCAATCAAGAGGGCAGCAAATGTTCCAACGATGGAGGGAATCCAGACGTTCTTGGCCTCATCGGAGAGGGTGGATTCGGCTGAAAATTTGATTGTTATTTTTGGATAAAAATATTGATAACTTGTTGTAGTCGTTCGTGGTTTCGTGAATTTGTCCCAGATGTATGGAGGAGTCGGTTCTTGGAATGGCTATCTCGAGTTTTTTATGCTCTGTAAGTGAATGAGAGAAACAAACTAAGTGGTCATCTTTTTTGATGAAAAACTCTTCACAAAATTTTCCCAAGAATTTTCGGAAGGAGAGTCGGCTCAGTATTTATTGTTATTGTTATATTTCCATCAAGAGGAGATTCAGTAAAATAGGCCATCTCGATTTTTTTCTACTCTATTTTCTCAACTGAAAACTAGAAGCGTTTCTCGTGAGGAAGAAAAGGTCAGAAGGAATTTGAAGAGCTTTGGGATAGTCGGATATTTTCATTGTTTCTGCCAATTTGTCAGCAACCGTTAATACTGGTATCTTACCAGTGACCTTTTGAGAAGACTTTGTAGTAGTTTTCTTCGTTTGAAATCATGGAAGACCACTTTTATTTCATTTTCACATAATCTTTCCTCATCAGTTACTCCGCCGTAACATAATGTGAGACAAAAGCATCTGCAAACTCAAATAAAAGTTCATATTTAACTGACTCTTCTGAACCATCTAAAGAACACACAGAAAAAAATGAAATTTTTATTCGCCCTTCCCGCTTTTCTCCAGGCTTGTACCAATTGCAAAGAAGTTGGCACTAGAAATCTTCCGCAGCCAATTTCGCAAGAGCAAAGAGCTGAATTGGTGAGAAATGGATGGGAATTGGCTGTTGATGGTCGAGATTCAGGTACAGAAAAGAAAGAAATCACCTCTAAAAAGCGATTTCAGCATTCAAAAAACACGAATTCGCGGATTTCAACGAAGCTTTTGGCTGCATGACCCGCGCTGCATTGAAAGCCGAAGCTATTGTCCACCACCCAGAATGGTTCAACGTCTGGAACAAGCTCGAAGTCATTCTAACCACTCACGACATTGGAGGACTATCGGACTTGGACTACGAAATGGCGCTTTTCATTGATTCCTGCTGAGAAATAAATATGAATTGTTAAAAAAAAGCTGACTTTATTCTTCTACCACTTTCATGGTTTCAATATCAAAAGACATTAATAAATAATCATCGTTTTATTGAGAATTTTTGAATTTTTGAAAAGGCCAAAAAAGCCTTGTTCGTTTCAACTTCTTCACACAACCTCTAAATAATTGAACAATTATCACTCTTCCGTTCACATTTTCTTTTGTTTGCTGCCATAGATATATTTTACGAGTTATTTTGCTGACTCTGAGGATTGAAGCTAGGTGCAATAAACAAGAGAACCATAAAATGAAAAGCCTTTGTCTTATTTATATGTCGGTTCTTGCTTTGAAAATGGTAAGTGAACATATTTGAAAAAAATTAAAAGATAAAATCAGCCTGCGAATTACGACTCAGATGAAGAAACAGGCGTAACCGACTTGAGTGTGACTGCTTTATTGGAATGGATAAATGACATTTTACCATCAGAAAACTCCTTCAAAGGATCTGTTCAGATCTATTTTTACTGGAGGAAACAGTTTAAGTTTAGTTTGTTAGAAAAAAGTCCCTTTTCTCTTGAAATTTCAATTTGAAAAACTGACTTAGAGACAATCGCTTAGCAAATATCACGACAAAACCTATTGATATAAGAAGTGATAGAATCTGGTTTCCTAATGCAAATTTGATCAATTTTGACGGAAGTTCTTATGATTTTAATCCGTCGAAAATACGATTGATGCCGAGTGGTGACATCATGGCCTGGAAGAGATTTACGATCGAAAGTTATTGCGTCATCCGCTCTCAGTTTTATCCAATGGATGATAATATTTGCACCATCATATTAGAATTGCGGGGCAACAGGTAGAAAAAAGGTTTCTTCGTGGTTTTAATCATCATCATTCGAGCGTTCCTCTTACTGGAAATCAAACGATTTTGAACAAAGCAGCTATTAATACTCTTCACAACAAGTGGTGGGTTCATTCTCCTCTGTCTTTTGCGCGACCTAATTATCCTATAACTGAGGAGCAAATGAATTTCGTCGGCTCAACAGATTACTTTCTCGAGTTCGGGTTTTCCGCCGCGCGTTTATACGACCATGAAATGAAAAACGTCGTTTTCCCGCTATACTTATTGGGCTTTATCGCTGCAGTTTCGATTATGATTCCAGGAAAAGGATCGATATAAGAAAGTTCTAGAACAAAATGTCTTGCTTGCAAACGGGCGGACCATAAATGGCGAGAAAAGACATTTTACACCGAGTTTTTTCTGATAAACATACACATCTCTTGTTCGATTTTTATGCGAGCATAAGTCATTAAAACATCTCATTTTTAATTTTTTCGGCCCCAAGGCTCCTTCTTCTCAAATAAATCCAATCGAAGCAACTTATGGGGAGCGACTAGGAGTTGTCGTCACTATTCAACTTGCTTTGCTTGTTCTTCTGAGCGTGATTGAGCAGGTAACGAGCTGATTCAACTTTTGAAATCAACAAGGACAATTTTAGAGAGTGGCTCCATCTGGAACTGGAAAACAACCGATTCTGTTTGGTTTCTTTGTTTATGCTACGATAATTTGCCTTTGGTCATTTCTGGAAGCGATTTTCTACCTCTACCTCAGTGACGGAAATGGGTCAGTGAGAATACCAAGGTTCTTGAAACCACTTTATCGCCGGATCATGCCCGTGTCATGTCCAGAAGTTGAAGGTATGATTTTTATGTAATAATGGCCAAGAAAATTAATGATTGTTTTTGAAGAAAGTTACAACATGTGCGATACTGGCGTCAAGAAGATGCATTGCTTTACCGGCGGAATATTTGTTGGAGTAACAACGATCTACATCATCATTCAGATAATTGCACTCTATGCAAATAGGCCCGATCAAAGTCTGAAGCTCGCGGATCAGATTTTAATGGAATCTGGAGTGCTTCAAAATTGACCTTACCATTGTCAAATTCCTCCTTCATTTTGCCCTTCTTTTGAGATAAAATTAGTCCTGACAATAAAACATATCATGCGCTGTCCATCTTTTTCCTCTTTCAGCATGCTCCGATTACATAATTACGCACAAGCAACTTGTTTCACCTAATCTTTTTAACGATCAGCCGGACTATATAATTAAATCTAGTTGTTTATTTTCGTAAATAATTATTTTCATTTGACAAGAGATTTTTCATATCCAACAAAGATTTTTACCAATTAAGAGATGTAATATGTCATTTTGTTTAGAATGGACGACTTGATCGCTTTGAATAAGGAGTTATCCGCGCTTATCACTGAGCTCGGTGGCAATCCTTTTTCTCTCACTATAGTTGGAGACCGAGTGGTTCTTCCGGAAGCTCTACGGCCAAAAGAAGCCAACCCGAATCCCTACCCAACAACCCCTGTTACAGAACCAACCGCTCCACAAACAAATCCTTCCCCTTCATCTCCTACAACAATTCCCTCTTCTTCCGTTAACAACTCTGTTCCTTCCTCTGCAAGTTCTTCGACAAACAACTCTGACCCTATTTGTCCTCCTCCTTCTCAAGATACAAGCTCATCTTCACCCTCTCAAACCAACAATAAGTCCCCTGAAAACCCAAGTTCTCCTCCCGTAGTTCCAGAAAACTCTGTAATCCCTTCTTCGTCTTTACAAAATCCTCAAGATACCCAAGAAGCTCCTAAGGCCTCAAAATGTAAGTCGTTATAAATTAAAGAGACACAATTTCTAATTAAGCTGTTCCTGACCGATTTGGCTTTGTTACCCTCGCCACAACTGACAGCTATGCCTCCGGCGCTTTGGTTCTTGCTAGATCTCTTCGAAATGTCGAAACCGCTGCAGAGCTTGTTTGCTTGGTTAGCAACAATCTTACTGCTTCATCAAGAGCCCAACTCGAAGAAGAATTCGATGAAGTCATTATTGTCGATGTCTTGAACTCAAATGATGATGCAATGCTCGCACTTCTCAAGCGTCCAGAACTTGGAGTTACTCTAACAAAGGTTTGTCTTGATTGTTTTTACGATTGTACTTACCCATTCTTTCATGATAGCTCCACTGCTGGAAATTAACTCAATTCACGAAAATGGTCTTTCTCGACGCTGACACCCTCGTTCTTCAAAACATCGACGATCTTTTCCAGCGAAATGAGCTCTCTGCTGTCGCTGATTGTGGCTGGCCAAGTTGCTTCAACTCTGGCGTTTTTGTCTTCAAACCATCGATCGACACGTTCACCGCTCTTCTTGACTTCGCAAACAACCAGGGAAGCTTTGACGGGGGCGATCAAGGCCTCTTGAATGATTTTTTCTCCGACTGGTCTACCGCTTCTACTTCCAAAATCCTCCCTTTTGGTTACAACGTCCATGCCGCAGCAACTTATGCCTATGCACCAGCTTTTCAGAAGTTCAAAGACCAAGTCAAAGTTGTTCACTTTCTTGGATCGACTAAGCCGTGGACTTCTAGAGTCGCACCACAAAGCGAATTTGCTAGCTACTGGCAATTATGGTGGTCGCTTTTTGAAACAACAGACTCAACTGAAATCTCGATCACTCAAATTTCTGAAGATGAAGCCCAGACTCCTGTAGATGGATCTATTAAATCCGGTTTCGCCCTTGTCCAGGTAAATTTTCGCCTCGAAAACGGCTCGAGATCAGTTTTTAGGATGCTCTTGATGCTCAGATGGCGCTGGGGAGTTCTGAACCTGCTCCAAAATTTGATATAAGAATCTAATTTTTGTACGATTTTTAATAAATAAAGACCTTCTGATATTTGTCTTTTCTATGAAACTTTTGTTCATGATCTTCAAATTTGTGCTTCAAAATGTGTCAAAATAAACGAAAAAACTCTTCTCAATTCAAGAGAGCCAAATATGGACGAGAAACTTAAAAATATAATATGGTTGTCGATAAGTGCCATGGTTATGTTTACCGGGTACTTTACCATGGCTGGTACGAGCGAGACGATTATCAGAGCATATAATGAGAGGACGGGAGATAATGTGAGCAGCTTCTTGAGTTTTGGAATTCTCAGCGTGGCGAATGCAATTGGCTGCTTTTTCGTTTCTCCTGTTGTAGGAACCAGGATTTTAAAATGAAAAATTTAAGTTCAACAAATCAGGGAAACCATAATGCTTTTTCAAATTAAAGATAATGGCAAAATAACAATAACCGCCTAACGAGTCACAAATCAAAGTTGCACTAGCTGTCATTCCCAGACAAGGCATTCGTCCTATAATCCTAAAATCCTCGAAAAGCAATGATAGGTCGAAAAAACACTTATTTCATCGGTGGTCTTCTTCAAACTGCGTACATTGCCACCTACATCAGTCCTCAACCCATCCTCCTTTACATCATGTCTGTCATTGGCGGATTCGGAGCCGCATTCATCTGGGTCGTGACTGGAATCACCCTCGGCGTCAATTCCACCGAAACAACCGGCCATCGAAACACCTGCTTTTTCTGGATCGGGCTTCAGTCTGGAAATCTCTTTGGCAACTTCTACGTCTTCTTTGCTTGGGGAGGAGCGGATGAGATTTCCAAGTCGATGCAAATCTCTACAATTGCGATCGCCGCTGGAATCAGTCTTCTTGGCTCATTTTTGACGCTGATGATAAAAGAGATTCAATCGGACGAGGATGAAATGAAACCAATGGAAAAAATTAAAGCAGCTTTCAAAACCGGGAAAGATATTCGAGCCCAGCTGATCATTCCTGCAGCGATTTTCGGCGGAATCGAGCAAGGCTTTGTAACGAATATTTACCCCACTTGTGTTGGCGCTTCAAAATCACTCGGTTCTGATTCTCCTCATTTCATCGGCATTTCTTCCATCATCGTCGGCGTCGGAGAAGTAACCGGTGCTTTCTTCCAACTCAGCCATCGAGTGCAGAATCTAAGGGCGTACCTGTATCTCGTCGCTGGAGGACTGTTCTTTTTGGGCAACACTTTGATATTCTTGTTCATGCCAAATGATTGCACGAATTCTAGCGCTTATGAAAATCCGCTGGTTGATCCGACAATTGGAATAATTTTAACTTGCTCGTTTTTGTTTGGAATCACAGACAGCATTTTCAGTATGCTCCCCGAAGCTGCTATTGGTAATATTATTGAAAAGGGTTATTTTTGCTAATTCAACTATTTTTTCTAGCGACGATGTTTTCTACCGGCTCTGAAACAACTGGTGGTATGACTGTTTGGAATGTTAACTATGGTCTTGCACAGGTAAAACTTTATTCACAACAAGTGGGAATATTTTTTAAGACTGCGATGTTCTACTACACTGGTTACGTAACACTCTACAATCAACTTTTGATACAGTTGTCGATGATGGTTCTGGCGTTACTGGCCTTTTCAAAACTTGATCTTAGACTTCTACGATTTTCAAAAACTCCTGAAACCTAATAGTATTCAAATAAATCCGCTTTTAAGAAAACGCGTAAACGAAGCTTTTTGATGTATTGTGCGCAGTTTTTTGGCAACTTCAATCAACTTTCTTTAAAATTAAAAACATGCATCGCGCAGATTGAGCCGCTAATGCATTGGATTTTTGTTGGATCTACATTATTTACCCTCGATCGATATCGAGTTCATTGTTCAACTTAAAATTGGCTTTTTCATATTTCACTTTTTTGATGAGAGAAGAAATTATACAGTTTCAAAAAGTTTTGTTTTTGGTTTGTTTGATCGCGCCTCTCGTTCTGTATCTCTTGTTTCAAGAGCGAAAGCAGTACAGTAAGGTGCAGGAGCGAAAAAGTAAGGAGATAAAAAAATCTTTATATATTTTGATAACTTTAGTGATCGGAAGTATTCTAAAACAAGTGTGGAGCTCTCACCATGATCATTTACAGCAGCATGCCACTCGAGAACATCAAGCAAATGGAATAGAGGACTACCAAAAGCAAGAAATCTCTAAGCAAAAAGCTCTTTAAGTTTTTTCTGTAAATACAGGACATATTTTTGAGATAATATCAATCGTCGAATATTATCTGGCTATCTTCATATTTTACCCTAACCGACGCTTAAGGCAAGCTGGGATAGAGGTAGCTAAAAGCACCTGCAGCCGTCATTAGTGACATATGTTTTGAAAGTTGAACATCTTGCATGACTCTTATATAAATGAATGAGGGATGTGCTCGAAATTATTTTTTAAATGAAGCAAATAGTATAGAGATTTTTCCCGAATGATTAAGAGAAAAATAATTATATTTGAATAAAAAGTTTATTTTTTATCAGCCTATCCTTCGTGAATGAAACCTGTTTTCTGATGATTTTATGAAATGAAACGAAAAACCCTGATTTTTTTGCCTTTGAATGTCGTTTATAATAAAAGAAATTTCATTGACTGTACTTTAAAGAATTTTATGGGATATTTTTCCTTATTTAAATCAAGGAAGAATGCTCGTTTGAAGATCGATTCAACTTCTTATTAAAAACTTTTGATTTTAAATTTTTTCTTCTGCTTTTTTTCATTAAAATGACTCACTTCGGCCAAAGTTCATTATCTTTGAATCTTGATTGTCGTAAAAAATGCAAACCCGACCTATTATCCAAAAGAGTTGAGAGAAATGAAAGTAATCGGAGGTGGTCTTTGCAGAACTGGAACTCTATCGACTCGCAAATTTTTCGAAGACAACGGTCTTTCTCCCAGGCAGGGATGTACATTCGCAGCGCAAAATCCGCAAAACAGCGCAAAATGCGGGATTTTTCATTCTGCAGCGCAAAATCCGCAAATTTCCGCAAAATGCGCGAAAATCCAGCAAAATTCGCAAAATTACGCAAATTGCGTGTTTTTGCGCAATCCGCAATTCCACAAAAAGCGCAAAATCCGCAAAATTTCCGCAAAATCAAGAAATTACCATTTTCCGCAAAACAGCGCAAAATTTTGCAATTTGCGCGATTTTCGGATTCCGCAGCGCAAAACAGCGCAAAATCGCCCACAAAAAAATCCGCAATCGCAGCGCAGCGCAAAGCAAAAATTTCTGCGAATGTACATCCCTGCTCCCAGGTAAGAGATATTCTTCAAATTTTTTAAAAATCTTTTAGCTATCATGGCTCGCAATGCTACACCTCAAATGACCAGGGTTTCTGGGTCGATTGCCTTGATCGCAACGATGTTGACTCGATAATTTCATTCGTAAAAGATCGAGGGTATATTTCTAGCACGGATATCCCGACTTGCTTCATGGTGAAAGAGCTGGCCGATGCATTTCCAGATGCAAGCGTGATTCTCGGAATCCGCGACAGTCCGAAAAAATGGGTTGAGTCTTTTGAAAATACAGTTATGCAGCATTATAGAGAGGTAAGATCAAAAACAAAGTGTTTGATCATTTTGTCGGCGTAAAGGCTTGTCTACCCCATTTTAGGGCTTCTAGACGAATATCTTCTACCTTACCGCTCATCCTGCCTCTGTCTTCGCCGTCTCTTATCAGCGAAAAATGGCAAGATCTTGGCTTGGCAAAGGCATCGAAAAGGGAAATTCCACCGCCCCTGAAAATCAGCAGCTGACTTCCGATCTCGACAATTTCTGGGCATGGCCGTCTTCTGACTGGGAACAGTTCTACATCAACTGGGTCAGATACGTTCAGACTGTTATTCCAAAAGAACGGTTGTTGGTTTTTAATGTGAAGGAAGGAGTCAAGCCGTTGGAAAAGTTCCTTGGCCTCGATTTACCTGAAGGTGAACTTTTCAAAGTTTCTTTCTTGAACTCTATTAAATAGACTACGTGATGCCATTTGTTCACGAAACCGCACAATATGCCATTCTACTAAAAGAATATAGGATTCGGATAATCAGTGCAAGCGCTAGTAGACTCGGATAAGCAGCCAGGGAAACGACAGCGCCATGACCCAGAAAAGAAGTGGGAGGTGATACGGGCGTAAGAGAGCGAGTCATTTAAGCGGCTGTCCGGTACTCACGCAAACCAGTTCCGAAAATTATAGCCAAGGGCTATAATATTCTTAGGGGAAAAGTTAAGAGAATTTTGAGAGTATCCAAACTCGCGAAGCCGAGAATTATGCAACTCTCAAAACACTCTTAGGTAGACCATCATTTGGATTTACCGCTTATTCTACCCCTAGTCTCTTCAAGACTATAAACTGAACAGTCTCTTGACTCTAAACCTAAGTCTTCTTGACTTTAAACTATACAGTCTCTTGACTGGAAAGCGAAGTCTTTTGCAGACTAAAAAGAAAGTCTTTGGGACAATAATTAAAAGGCCTCGTTTCAAATATTCGAAGGCAAAAAGTAAAAACTTCAGGTCTTCCTGAACAAGGTGCAAAAGAGAATTTAAAAATCTCATTCTAAAACACCTTCAGAACCGCTTCACCAAGTTCATTCTTTCAGACTGTGTAAAATAAATCTTGACCCACTTGCCTGATTCCGGCCGGTTAAGATACTCGTAGAAAGAAGTTCTCAACGAGGAACGAGAAAAATAAGACTCGCAATACAAAGCGACTCTCGCTAGAAGTCGTGAAGTACAAAAAAAAAGAGTCGCGCGTTAAATTTGCGCAGACTTTAACTAAAAATCCGAGTTCAAGGTTTTTACAACCGATTGAAAATATTTTTCTCGAAATTCGGAGGTACAAAGCCTCTCCATATGGCATTTAGTTCCATTTTGGCTCAGTCATCACACGCCGAAAGCTCCATGATTTGCCACCAGTTCACTCGAGTTTGGCCCTGCAGCTGTCTTAGCAGGAGTTAACTCCTGGCGGTGGGCGTGTTGCATCTCCCTGCACTCGGCTTGACGCATTTCTCACCGAGTATCATGCTTCGATCAAATTATAAGATCTGTGACATTGAAGACGAGAACTCTTTGCTAACTAGCGCCCATCATCTAGGCAGGTTCAAAAAGCGCACGCAGTGCAAACTTTAGAAAATCGCCTAAAAATTTTGATTTCCGTTTTCCGGAAGCCAGAGCTGGCAAGATGGCGAAGCCAAAGAATTTTCAACTAAGGAAAAAAGGACTATGCTCTGCACTAGAAACGATTCCTTAGATGCAGATTTATTAAAAAAAAAATAATAAATCTAGCATCTTGATAAACAAAACATTCTCACCTTTTTCTTAAAAGTTAAACTGGTAAATTCCTTTTTATAAAAAGGCTAGAAAATTTCTCCAAATGATGAGAATAACAAAAATGGTAGGGGAGGGAATATTCCTCTTACCACATCTGTTTATGCGTGATTACTATACGAATATAGGATTCGGATAATCAGTGCAAGCGCTAGTAGACTCGGATAAGCAGCCAGGGAAACGACAGCGCCATGACCCAGAAAAGAAGTGGGAGGTGATACGGGCGTAAGAGAGCGAGTCATTTAAGCGGCTGTCCGGTACTCACGCAAACCAGTTCCGAAAATTATAGCCAAGGGCTATAATATTCTTAGGGGAAAAGTTAAGAGAATTTTGAGAGTATCCAAACTCGCGAAGCCGAGAATTATGCAACTCTCAAAATTCTCACCCGCCCTCCATCCCTAGAATAAGCTCATTTATATTTCCCCTAGGTAGTGTGTAGGTGATGAGCACTTGCTTACATACTACCCAAACCATAACCTTGACTCTAAGGCTGCTAAGAGTCATCCATAGTATAAGTTATCGCGCGTGCTCGGGAATATTCCTCTTACCACATCTGTTTATGCGTGATTACTATACACAATACGATTTTTTGCTGTTTTGACGATATTCTCGATTGGCTCGATGATTGCAGGATTGCTCTTTGGATGCATGAAGCTATTTTTGACTGGCATAGCTTTTTACTGTCTCCAGGTAAGCGAGCTTCCGTCAAGAGTGGGTTAAATGATGTTTCAAAGACGCTGATGTTGATTTTTTCTCGAAGAAACATGGAGAACGCTACAAATGGATTTTCTGTCTCCGATCTTTTCCCAAAAAGATCCTGAACGAATGAGAAAGCGGCAAATTAACAGATTTACCTGACGACTGAGTGAACTCCTTGTTGATTGCTGGATAATATTGTAAAACAAAGATTCTCCAATAAACAAATCCCAACTTGCCGGCTATGATCAATCCCTATTATCGAACACATGTAAAAAGCAAATCATGTCCATAAAAAAGGATCAACCAGAAGGAGTTTGAGCCGATTATGGGTGTGAACATATGATTGTAAGGATACGATGGCATTTGACATTGCCCTAATCTTTGAGAATTTTCGGTACAAAGCAAGCTAGTTTCAGGTTAAAAAATATCGTTAAAATTGTCTATTCATGTTCGATTCGACGACTCGGCGCCTTGAATCGACATTATTCTAATATTCTATATTTCTTACAATCATTAATTTTCAAAAAAGGAGGAAGATGGTAATGCATTTCTGATTGATTTATCTGGTTTTATACTTAATGAATCATTAAGTTAATGATATCTTAGGCATCAAAGATCATGTTTTTTGGAGATTGCATAGTAAGGTCCATTAATATTGTTTTTATTAACAAAAATTTGCGTCATTTTCTGCCGAACTAATTCCTTTATCGAGACTTATTTGCACTAATGGATTATTCTTTATTGCTGACGTTTCGAACTCGTCGGCCTCCACGAGTGGACTATGCCTCTTATACGCTCTTATGTCACCAATGCCGCAAATTGAGCTTCTACAGTCTTATTCTGAATAAGCAAAGACAAGCCCATCCCTACTTATGCCTACTGATCAGCGAAAGTCAGCGCGGAACACTTGCCAAACCACTTCATTTCCTCGAGTTTGAGCTGAATTAGTAACGCTACGAAAACTACAGCTTCGAAAAACAATGGAAAAATCCATTGCACTCGTCTTCTGTAGAATTCAGAATTATTGACAAGAAAAAAATAGAAGTTATCTGATGATGAAGTTCATTCTGAAAAAACATCAGCGTTCGCTCATACCATAGGGGTTGAATATTCATAACCAATGATGAGATAACAAGCTGATAACAAAAAGGCTCCTCTGTGAAAACTAGGTCAAGTCTTGAGTCAACTTCTTGTGAATTTCGGACTTAAGGGTGTCAACAACGATTCTGGCCATATTTGTAACAATAGTTTGAGTTACTTCCCGATTCGCTTTTGATTCATTTTTCCTCTCATTTTTTCAATTGAACCCTAATTTACAAAGAAAATTTGACGAAATTTTGAAATACTAATCCCATAATCCCCACCGCGGCTTCAAAGAAACTCCAAATGCAGGATTTCGCCAAACTTGTAACAATAGTTTAGGTACTTTCCCGTAATTCAATTTCAATTATTTTTTCACGATATGAAAGCTCAAACACTTTTGTACAAAGTAAATTTGAGGGATTTCTGAAAACTTCACTGCATGCATCTTTTTTCATGCATTATCTTGAAGTAAGATTTATCCAAATTTTGAAGTCGATTCTAGTGCAGTTTCTGCAGATCGATTTTTTTCATTTTCGCAGCGATCATTGTTTGATCCCTTCACAATCCCCCGGTGCGCAAAGATTGAGTACTGATTAATCCCTTAATCCCCTTTTCCGGCGCTAAAGTGCAGCTGTTTGCGACTTTTGTAGCGCTGTTTGACCTTGAAAAACTTGCCTGATCCTATCGATATGGGTATCATTGAAAAGGAAATTTTTTAAGCTTTCAGAAAATATACTGGTTAATATATAAAAACGAAAGTTGAAAAATGGCATTTCTAATAGTGCATTTCTACTGAGCGCTAGTGCATTAGCGCGCCTATAGAATGGTGCGTATCTCCTGACCCAGATGAGATATTTCAGATCTGAAAAAGATTTGGAATCCTAAAAGGCTGAATAAAAAGATATTAATTGGTCGAATCATTAGACAGACCCTTATTGGATCGTTGTTGACACCCTTAACCTTAGCCCGCCAAGGTACACCACAACTCGGGAATCGGTCAAGTATTTGTTCACTGCGCTGGACGTTGATTTTTTTTTTCGAAAACTAAGGATACGCTGAGGATGCTTGATCGATTATCTATCGTTTAAGGGATTTTGGGCCTGTTTCTGATAGACCTTAGCGTTGGTAGACCCTTATTTTTGCGAAAAGCCCATGCACCATATATGGTGTCGAGCTACAATTGTTGCTACACCATATATGGTGTTTTTGGCGGGTACCCCAGCTTTTTCCCAGCGATTTTGACGAAAGTTTACCTTGGTCAGCTTCTCTGATCCTCAATTTATGAACTTCTCTGAGAGAATTTTCGATTAAATGAACTTTGGTATCATGATTGGAACACCAATATTGATTAAAAAATTATTTTCCAGCAAAGATTTTTAATAAAATCATGATAAACCAAATATGGTGCAGAGATTTAATAGAGGATGCACCATATATGGTGTTCTTGGCGGGTACCCCAGAAAATCCACTTTTGGCGGGCTAAGGTTAAGCCTTTATGAAAGTTACCATTTTACCAATTTATGAAGTGCATTTTTGGATAATCAATAAGATTGATGTATTAAGCCTACCGGCCAATCAAAACCCTGATCCATAACATCAGTTCCATAAATCGGCTGAACCCTGAATTTGATTGTCGAAAGAATAAGAATAATAATAAAACGGGTTAAGATGTACCTTTTCTATCAATTCTCTCACCTCAAGACGGTCTCCTTCCCGTAAGAACACTGTAGCGGTCTGTTTTTTAAGACCACAGGGGAGAAATTACTGTCTCACAGCAGCCGACAGTATTTCATTACATGATATTGCCATATCTCCGCCCATATTTAAATTTTTAACAAATAAAATAGGGATTGATGGACGAGAGACAGCTCTTACAAATTCAATCTACCAATGATCGGTGAATAATACATCTCCGCGGTTGCAAAAACGTACCTCCTCGGCGGCTCCTCCTCTTGTACGCCCCCAGGCGCGTGGAAAAGCTATAAAAGTGAGGAAAGCACAGGCTGGAATCATCATTTGATTCGCATAAATAAGAAAAGGAAAAAAATTATAATATGCAATTTTTGAAATTTTTGAGCTGCTTCGTCGCTGTTTCCGCACATTTTGGAACCATGCAGGTAATATTTTTTTTTAAATTTCATTTTCAATTTTTTTAAAGATGAGATCGAGTGGTCTTGCAGACAGAGAAGCTGACGAGGACTTCCGAGATTACATCGGCGCTCTTGTTGCTCAAGCTGCTGCTGCCAAACCTGCACCTTCCAAACGACTCTTTCCTCTTGAAGCTATCTTGGCAAAAGCAGCCAACAAATATTGAGGAAAAACAATACTGAAATAAAAATTTTATAATTGAAATAATTTTTGCTTTCTTTCTCTTCTCAAAGATAGTCAGCAGCGGCAAATTATTGTGGTCAAATTCAATCCTCAACATTTGAGTTATTTCCAGCGTTGAATTTTAACATGATGCTGGAACGTTACTAAAACCATAAGAATCCGTGGTTTAACCAACTGTTTGTTTTGGACATTATCAGCTTTGAGTTGCTTTAGTTAATCTTATTATATTTAGAAAACGTGCTTCTTACGAGAATCTGGAGTCGCGTTATTTTGATACTAAACTTTTAAAGGCGTTGCCATTCGTTTTACAAAAGCTATTAAAAGATGGCTTCTTTCTTCAATTTGAATTTATTTTCGCTGACATAACCTTTTCAGGGCACTAAACGGGTACGTCCGGAGGGTTGTTTTGGTGTACTTACAAAAATTGCAAGCGGTATTTCGGATACTTATAGTTGAGAGCTCAAAAATTAACCGTCACGTGTTCGCGTTGAGCTGGAAGATACTTTCGTGCATAAATTACTTATATTTTCTGTTAAGAATAAAGGGCGCTATCGCCTTAAATATCGACTATAATGGAATCAACGATATCTTCCTCCGTTTCGTAACCCTTTCCGGTTTTCGAAAGTGCTTCCGATGACCGGGGCAGAATCTATTTTTGGACTGCGGTTGAAGCATAACTTCCGATAAAAACAACTTGGTAAGTTGTTGAGTGATTCGTCTCCAGTTTATCTAAAAGCCTTCTCTGGCTCTTAAACATTTATTGAATAATAATGAAGTTGAACTAAAAATATGATTAGAAAATGGTTGATATCGTTACACCGGATAGTTTACGAACGGCACTCGCGTTAGTTGTATAATAACAGGCTCGTTAGAGAGTCAAACTATGGATCCTACTAGACACGTGATGCTGGGTTCAAAATGCCAGGATATGCAAAAACAAGCGCTTTGGACCTCGAGAACCGACCTCTTGGCGTAATTCGAGGCTCAAAGCAACGAAGGGTTTTTCTTGGAAAATGCAGCAAGTGCTGAATAGTGCTTTCAAAAGCTACTTGAAAGCAATAAACGTAAACTCATATGAGTTCGTTACGTCTTATTTTCGGAAAAAAGTCATTTCTTATGAACATTTTTTTCAATACATGATTTAAAAATGATAAAACCAAACCTCTATTCCGTCAATTTTAGGCATTTTCGACAGATATTTTTTATCTAAAATATTTCAGTATCCTCTATCTGTCAAGAATGACCAAGATAGAGGTGTGGCGTCGCCTTTATCAGGTATTTTCTGACACTTGTATTTGATAAAATGACGTGGACGAAAGTATATTGGGAGTGCAGGCTCTCTTATACAATATTTTAAGCCTTATCCAAGCCAATATTTTCTAAACTTATAAAGTCCGTTAGCGTATTTTGGCTTAAAACATTCATTTTTTAAGAGACACCGTTTTAGTTTTTTGATAATTGGTCACTTTTTCGGTAATTTTAAACATTTGAGCGATGATTTTTGAAATATAAAATTAATTGCTCTCTTAAAATCAGAATTTTTGATTCTCTCATCGAATTATTCTTGGACATTTTTGCTCTCCAAATTATCAAACGCGGCTCGATTAAGAAATTCGCATTTTTTATTTCGAAAAATGTCCTTTTTTCGATCATTTTTGTGGCTTATTTTTCAACTTGTGCTCGGCGAAAGAGTTTCAGAAAATAATGAACGTTTTGCAGGCAGTTTTGCAGACCCATGTACTTATCTAGAGCTAGAATCATGTACGATGTTTCTCAACAAGTTTCCGTCATATCCGATTCCAAATCGGCATTTGAAGACTATTAATGCATCTCCGCATTATAAATTTTCAATCGACGTATTTTGTAATCATACAATGGATGTTCCTCTTGCCGACTATGTGAATATTTTTCACGTCACACCTGGCGGCAACTGGGGAAAACCGGGTGGATTTGGCTTCATTATATCCAGAAGCTTCATTTTATCCAAAGCTTCATTGTATCCAAATACTTCATTTGATCCAAATATTTTTTTGGATATAATGAAGCAATTGGATCAAATGATGCTTTTGGATAAAATGAAGCCCAATTTTCAAAAAATTCGGAAATTGGATAAAATGAAGTCATTGGATTAAATGAAGCTTTGTATAAGATGAAGCTTTTGGATAAAATGATGCTTTGGATAGAATGATGCCTCGGATAAAATGAAGCCTCTGGATAAAATGAAGACAATTTTTTTCTCATGTGCTTATTTGGATGAAATGAAGCTTCGGAAGCATTATTTCTGAGAATATGAATTTCGATAAACTGTCTCAGAGACCGATCAAATAAATGGCTTTTTCAAAGAAACACCCCATGATTAAAAATTATTTTTGCAGCAAATTTTTTGAATTTTCGTGATAAACAATCTCAAACCGACCAAGCGAACATAAACCAACCGACCCCGACCTGGGAAAATTATTTACAGTGTCGATTCTAACATGAAGTTGACCACTTTCGGGGAATGACGACTAAGTTTGTGAGGACTAGGTTCGTGTGACTAGGTTCGTGGTGGGTTCTGCCAGAGTATTGAAATCGGGCTATATTTTGGGGCAGTAAGGAAAATGGGTTGATGACTCGGTTCGTGATGACTAGGCTGGTGAGTTTTTAAATAGTAAAAATTTTGGGGCAGTAAAGAAAAAGGGTTGATGACTAGGTTCGTGGGTTTTTGAACAAGCAAAATGTAGGATTTTATATCCTACTTATAAATATCCTTCTTACAAAAATGGCCGACTCCACAAGACCCGACCCGACCATAATTCTAGCCATTTTAAAGTGACCCGACCCGAGCTTTAAAAAGGGCGGCCGACGCCTCTTGGTAAATTCTTAATAATGAACTCATGATGGATGATTCATTATTATTGTTCAAAATGAATCTCAAAAGAATTTACAAAGAAAAATTTTCGAAAAAATTTCTGAGAGGGGGGTCGAGAAGTATTTCAAAGCAAAGACCAGTCGAGCTTTGTTATTTACTCTTTGAAAAACACGGCTTCATTTTATCCATTTGATTCATTTTATCCACTTTTTTGATTCGAAAAACAGTGGCTTCATCCTATCCAATGACTTCATTTTATACAAAGGCTTCATTTTATCCAATTTCTGAAGTTTTTGGAAATCGGGCTTCATTATATCCAAAAGCATCATTTGACCCAATTGCTTCATTTTATCCAAAAAAAATTTTGGATCAAATGAAGTATTTGGATACAATGAAGCTTTGGATAAAATGAAGCTTTTGGATATAATGAAGCCGAATCATTTTGTAATCATACAATGGATGTTCCTCTTGCCGACTATGTGAATATTTTTCACGTCACACCTGGCGGCAACTGGGGAAAACCGGGTGATAGGACTTTTGCCATGCTCCGACATCCACACAGGCTAGGGTGGGCAAATCAAAGAGATTAACGAGACTTTTTTTAACTCAGTTTTTTTTTCAACCCTTTAACAGAAATACATTTCTTATCAACATCGATGATCCAAGCAACCCTGGTTGGCATGCAAAAGACATTAATCATATGTGCACTGAAGGACAATGGAGCACATATGTTCTTGAAGTCACGCCAGTTAATGAAACTCTACATTATGAAGTAACAATTGATGGAATTCAAAAAGCAGTGGGCTCGTATCCAGCAAGCGTATACCTCTGGCCCGCTGAAAGTTTATGTGTCGAATCCGTTTCATGATGCAGCAAAATACCAGCTTAAAAATTTCTACTACCAAGACTTCAGTCCTCAAACAACAACGACGTCAACAACAACCACGACAACGACCACAACAACTACATTTTATGATTCTTGGGATAACATAACGATGCCGCTGCATACCTGCAACTATGACAGTATCCATATTTCAAGCAATGGCGACTATGACGCCTACGATTGGACTGGAGAATATCATAAAATTCCTCACCAAAACGGAACATACCCGAAAACGCTTACAATTTCTACATACGACGGTTATGCTCATTCAGGCTTTAGGTTCCAAACCTTTGTCGCCAAATATCACTCAACAGTGGACTGGGGTAATCCTGAATTTTGCTGGGATTCTCACGTCCTAGGAATACCAAGCTACGAGAGCATTTTCAATGATCGCAATTTTATCTATCCGGTGTAAGACGATGATGAGTTACAAAATTCGGCGTTTGGTCCGAAGCTTTGCGCGTTTGGATATGAAGATGAGGTTCAATACGCTTACTGGGGATACAATAATCAGCCTGACAATTTTTGGGATGTGGAGCGGCCAATGATGACTCGGTACAATGATCAGGTCCCGTATCGAGAGTACTTGCAGAATCAATTCTTCGAACCGGGACCGGACGCTTATGTTCGTCATGGAGAGGAGGGCGACTGGTACTTCAGCTTTCAAATCGAGACTGGAAGGTGGATGCTTTTGAAGGACAAGATGACTTCTGATGAAGTTTATATGGATCCATCTTCGCCTTTTCCCTCAATTTACGGACCTTGCTTTAATGGTTTTTACAGGACAGGGAATTCAGTTTTTTCATTTTTAAGCTCAAATTATACAAGACTTTCTGGCAATCATCCCTCCTCTAGAACACACGATCGAAGCCTTTTTTGGGAAATTCAGCCAGAAAATTTGAACACAATGGAATATCCTCCAACCCCGAATTACAAGACAACAACTAATGGATACGATTGCTATCCAGATAACTGTGGGTCACTGAAAATAACTGTTTGGATGAGAGCAATTTTACTGGAATTTACAATCAATTGCCGGAAGGAGATTGGCCGAGGACTTTGACTATCGGACTCGATCAGGGCGATGACGAAGCTGGCTTTGGCTCTGGATTTTTTATTCGTTGAGTTGATAATAATGAAACCGGTGTTGATGTTACTTCTTGTCACCAGTCATATCCAATCTACCAGCGATCTTGCTCAGGAAACTGTAATAGAAATCAGTTTATATATGGAGCGATTATTGATAGCACTTTCAAATGGGCAATGTCGAATCAATACTGTAGCAGCTCTAACCTCTCATATATTTACGATCCTGCAGAAAATGATAATGTCCAAAAATTTTGGGAGCTAGAAGTACCAATTTTTAGGGAAAGAGTTGAATTTAAGTACTTATTATTGCCTTGAAGGAAATTATTCAATCTTGATACGACGCAATCGAAATGGAACATGGATCGAATCCCAAAATCAACGATTCGAGGCAGGCCCTGAAGGATGGGCCTGGGTTAACAATAATTTTTAAGAAGATGATGCATACGAAAACTCGACAATTTTTCCGACGATATACGGAAGTTGGAAAGTGCGCTATAAAGCCAAACTTTAGCCAAATGATGGAATTACTCTGTTTACTTCTACAAGCGCATCATGGTTACTATTTTTTTGTAATTAAGAACAACATTAACGGAGCAATTTAGGACAGCGTCTACAAATGAGTGCGTAACAGAAAATAACAATCATCCCTTAAAAATTTTTGGTAAAAAGAAATCATGGCAGAATTGGTGCTATTCGACACCAACATCAACAACACCATCAACAACAAAAACATCAACGGCCTCAACGACAATTTCCTCAACGACCTCAACGACAACTGATGGCGGTTAGTGACATTATGTTACTCATATACATGATCGGTTTCATTTCCAATTTATTCTAACACTTACTTTTCATGCTCTACGGATATCTTCTAGTACGTGAATAGATGCAATACTTAAAATAAAGTTGTCCACGAACAGCTAAATCTGAGACAAAATTTAAAGCCTAAATCGCATATTTTCGAACCGCTTAAACGAGCTCCAGCGGTTAACCCAGTGCCCGCGCTAACGAGGTCACAACAATGCAAAATCGTGAAAAGTAGAGTACTAGCGCCCTCATCGCCCGGGCGCTTGTTATCTCCTGGCCACATCCCCAGCACCACCTCGCGTTCGCGAAGTTGACCTCTTTCCCTTAAAAAGAACGCGAATCCGAGGTTATTCATCTAATCGTGAATACAACGATAAAAAATATAATAAAAAGAATGAAGCTTTTTACTTCCCTCCTCGTCGCTGCTTCCGCTGACCAAGCTGTCGAGCGATTCATGACTCAGTCATTCATCAACTGCGAGCACAACCACCTCGCCACCACCGGTACCAACGAAGGCGGCGCCTCCTGCCCCAAGAACAAAGTCATCAGGGTCATGGGCGCAACATACGGTCGAAACGACGCTGATACCTGTCACGGTGGCAACGCCTACGGAAACTGGCCAGAATGCTCCTTGGATGTGACCGAGCACGCTGCTGCTGATTGCGATGGCAAACGATCTTGCAACTACAATGCCAACAACAGAGAAAGTAAGTGAAATTCTTCCAGCACCAATATTAAGAATACGGATTTTTTGATAAGAGACATGGCTTACGGTAATTTTCAGTCAAGGATCCCTGCGTCGGAACCACCAAGTTCACCGAGGTCCTCTACAAATGCGAATCCTCTGAGGGAGTCGAAGATGCAGTCAAAGAATCCATCTCTTGCGAGCACTCCCACCAAGGAAACAATGACCGACGAATCAGCTGCGACGCCGGCAAGGTCCTCGAAATCGTTGACGCCTGGTACGGTCGAGAAGAGCAGGACGTTTGCAACCCCAACGGCTCTTCTCACAAACACTACCTCGTTCCCGATGGAGGCTGCAACCGAGATGCGACTGATTTCATGTCCGACCGATGCAACGGCAAACGAGCCTGCTCTATCAAACTCAACAACGGAATGGTCGGCGATCCCTGCCGAGGAACCACCAAATACTCCACCGTCCAGTTCAAATGCAAGAACGAGTGCGACCACCTCGATGCCCAGCCAGTTTTCCAAGCAGGCTCTGAAGTCGAATGCCGAACCAAAGCCAATGGAAACAAGAAGTGCATTGCCACTTGCACAAGCGGAAACCGAACTGGAAACCGACGAAACATTTGGACTTGCGACCGATCTGATCCAGTTTGGGTTGAAAACAAACCATGTGCTTAATTCGTTTTTTATTTCTGTTCGCAGCTCTGTTTTGTAAAAATACTTCAAAAATCAATAAATATTCATAAAAAAACTTGCCGTTTACTTTATTTATAAAAAAAATAATGATGACAATAATAATTATGATAAAATAAGAATTTCTAAACAGAGGGCAGGCGAAGACAAGTCCTAAATGATTACGATTTACATATTTTTGAAGAATTTTGATGAGAAGAAACATATTTAAAAACATCCGGGTTTTCATGCGGGAGTTTTTGCATCTGTCGAAATTGTCAGAATTCATAGGTCTTCTTTCTCAATCACACAGAGTTTTCTTCTCAACATGAAAGTAAGTATACCATCTTATATTTATTTTACATGAGTTTTTAGCTCTTGAACGGCCTTTTGGCCACCAGTGCGTACGCACTTGTAGATGAAAACAACGATACCCTCAACGAGGCCGAATACGGAAATCTCGATGAGTTCCAGCTCAACGAGCTTCTCGGGCTGGATCTTTTCGAGGGAGACATCATCACAGATGAGCCCGGTACGCTCAACAAAGACCGCAACGCCCAGCTCGATCTTTCCTACCGATGGCCCAATCGGCTCATTTCCATCGGAGTCGAACCCCAAGTCGCGATGAATGTCGTCGGCTCCCTACACCAGGCGATTCGAGAGATGGAAGCCAAATCCCTGGTTTCATTCCGCGCTGCGGATGAAACAATTGATGATTGGATCAGAATCTATCTTGGTGGAGGATGCTCTTCGTCAGTTGGAAGAATCGGTGGAAGACAAAGTCTCTCCCTCGCCGATGGTTGCTCTGCCATGGCTACAATTATGCATGAATTCACTCATGCTCTTGGAATCAAACACGCCCAGGTAACACTTGATTATGATGGTAAAGCCTTATTTTCATTCCCAATTCTAGTCCCGCCCAGATCGAGATGACTACGTAGAAATCATGTGGGACAACATCGACCCAACTAAGTACAACAACTTCGAAAAAGTGTCCGACGACCAGTGGACCACCTTCGGCATCCCTTACCCATACATGTCCGTGATGCACTACTCTCAGGGAGGATTTGCGATTGACAAGAGCAAGCCAACCATTGTCACAAAAGATCCTTTCTACCAAGATCTCATTGGCCAGCGAGCGAGTTACACTAAGGCGGATAATGATTTGCTCAATAACCTCTACTCTTACTCCGATGCCGACTTAGACCTAGCCAATTGCGGGTGCAACAAAATCGAAATGAAAGGCTTGACCTACCAGAGCGGCAGAAACGGTGTCTACGTCAAGGACGCGAATGGATCTCTTTCCGGTGATAGATACGGATACGGCCATGAGACTCGTGGCGACTGGCTTTACTACCGACGAGGCAGCTATTCGTGGTTCATTGGATCGACTAAGGGAGGCAGCTCAAGAGGTGTTGAAGCACCAGACGTCGCCTTTTGCCCGGAGAATATTGAGAAAACATGGAGAGAATACAGTGGTGGTGACTGGTATGAAACTGGAAGTGTCGTCAGCAGATGCGTTGATAGCGTAAAATGCTGCCCCTCTCTCACCTTGATGCACCGCAACTCTCGCTACCCAGAAATCAACGGCGACTATTTCGCCGCCGGAGAAGTCCACCACCGACCCTACTATCTCCACGCCTCCGAGGACTATGCGATCTTTTTCAACGGCGAGAGCTGGGAAATCTCAGCTAGCGCAGGTCTTAATACCAAAATGCACGAAGGATTCATTCTCCACACATCTGATTTCTGCATTTCCGACTTGACTTCTGCCAAGTTCGTCAGTACCTTTGACGATACAGTTCTCGACTCAAGATTGACTTGTGGTTCGAACAGTTTTAATGTCAACCCGCGATTTGAAGCGAGCATGAAAGCTCATGCCCCCCATGTTCAGGACGAACCAGCTGTTGAAACTTCTGTTGTGTAAGATTAACTATCAATCTTATATTCGGTATATCACTATCGTACATTTCGCTTCTTTTTTCTAACCCTTTTCCCAGCGAAATGGATACCTCCGGCTATTGTCCTTCTGATGAAGCGATGTTCTCCTGGAAAATCGACGATTGGCAGTCCTTCTTCGACGCTGGCAACTCCCGACGATCCCCTACTTTCGTCGACAAGGACGGTTACACTTGGCAAATCAGTGTCTACCCTAACTCAAAGCCATCAAGCTCCAACTACGGACATCTTTCCATTTATGCTTACTTGGTTGCCGGTGATTATGACAGGTTAGAAACCCCCTGTTACCTGAATTATACAAGATTCAAAAATTCTAGCTCCTTGGCCTTCCCAGCTCATGGAAAGCAAATCACAATGGGAATTCTGGAGCAGGGTAAACCATGCAAGGACCGACTGACTCAGCGACGAATGATCACGACCGTACCCTCTCATGGCGGCTGGGAGAATCCTTCTGAGAATGGCTCAACTAACCGAGGATACAGCAAGTTCATCAGCCATGGACTTCTCTTCTACCGAGTAAGATCGTCGAAAAAGGGGTGTTCTCATCGTTGATTTCAGGACTGGAACTACGTATACGATAACTCGATGATCTTCACTGTCGGCATTTCCGAAGCCACTGGAACATGGCTTGAGTGCGACATGGCCGAGGTCGGCGAGTACGACCGATGCATGATGAAACAAGAATACGACGACGACCTCAACATCGAGTCTGACGGCTCTATCACTGGACGTGGTACTGCCAAGGTCACTTCAATCCCCCACTCGCAATACGGTGAGCGATGCTTGTCCGTGACCATTTCAACCGCTACCTCTATCACTTTTGCGATTACCGGAGAGATTTTGAGCGGAACTGAGTTCAAGGCTGGTACCGTCTTCCCCTGGTACAGGTATGACGAAGCATTTCCTAAAGATTTTGAATGAGAAATTTATCATAAAATTATTCTAGAGAACGAGTCTACCCAAGCGGCGAAACCGAGTACAACTTCCTCGTTGACATCGGATTCGACGACTACTACAGTCGAGTTCAACAGTACATCACCATGGAAATCGTGAACCACGAAGATGCCACCGCTAGATTTATCCGATCCGAAATGACCTTTGGCCGATGTCCCGAAGCTCGAACTATCAAGGCAGGGTTACAGAGAGACATAGAGAGCTACCGCTTTTATCGATAGGGCTAACCCTTACTCAGGGCGACAATGTTGTGGGCATTAATAATTCAAATGAAATCTCTCGCGTCACGGAGTTACTTATGATTATCGAAAGCTACGTCGATCAGGGAAATGACAGTTTGATCATTCTCTGGAGTTGCTTGATTACTGCTTCTGTAATTGGTGTTATAATCGCGCTTATTTACCTTTCTTGTGCTATCAGGCTTGGGCAAAAACGAAATGATTCTTGAGTTATATTAGAGAATTGTTACTGTAGCCCGTTGAAAGGAAACAAAGAACTGAGATGAAAACGAAGCGGGAAAGCAAAAAAGAACTAGTTCCTGATGATTATTGATTTTTTTTTTCTGAAAGCTCAATTTTGAAATAATAACTTGATTCGAATTTAATTTATTTATTTTCTAAAGAGTCATTTCCGCTTCAAATCAGAGTTGTTAAAAGAGAAAAATCATGATCGTAGGAGTTCTTGGAGCCACTGGAGCTACAGGGAGAAATGTCATCGACCAGCTTCTAGAGTCGAAGCATACAGTTATCGCTTTTGTCCGGCATGGGAGAATCACTAATTTTGACAGACGAGTAGAAGTCAGAGCGGTCGATATCTTCAATACAGCAAGTCTGTCAGCTGGTTTTGCAGATCTCGAGATCTTGATAAGTACTTTGGGCGGCTTTCCCGGATCTTTCAGGTGCGTCTGATCTTATCGATAGCATTTCGTCCAAATGGCCATCTAAGGGTATATAAGGGACAGACCGAGATTTTATTCATCAAATATGAAATGAATTATTTTTCTCATAAAATGAGTCATAACTACAGGTATCTCGAATAGTTTGCCGTTGGTTGCTTGCAATTTAAAACGTTGTAAAATGAATCATTAGCATTCTTTCCTTTTTCATAAACATTTTGTGTTAACATTCATGACATTAAAAATGAATCCGTTTCTTTTCATGTTGCTACTGCTACTTTTCTCGCGTCTTTGTTGATTTATGTATCGAATAAAATTTCTTCACTCCTAGTTTTATCGGTTTTCGTTCAGTCCTTGTGGTGGAATAAAGGAAGGTTACGCGAAAGTCATCCCTCATATAATCCAAGCCGCGGATTTCAACAACATCAGTCGACTTCTCATCCTTGGAGCCTGGTTCATGACCGACAACGCTTCTTCTGTAGAGCCCTTTTTCACGCGCCTTGGTCTCTCCCTCCTCACCAATATTTTCGAAGATATGGAGGAGATGCGCCAGATTTTGCTTCAAACAGATACGGCAGTCAACTGGACCATTTGCTGCGCAGCTCGACTGAATGATGGCGAAAAAACAGGGGGAGACTTTTTGGTCGAACCAGGAGATAGAATTGAAGCCTTCAAGAATGAGCCCAAAGGAATCAGCAGGAAAGACGTCGCGAGGTGAGAAAATGCGACAGAGAAATGGGTCAAGGAGCTTTTTTAGATTTCTAGTTCGAGCAGCAGAAGATAAAGAATTGACGAAGAGCAATCACTTGATCTCATTTTGTACAAGCGAATGATTAAAGTTTTGTTATAAAAAGATAAGAGAAAAAACTGCAAGGTCTTTGGCCCACAGAGATAGTCTTCCTTGATTTCAGAGCTTGAACTTTCTTATGCGTTGGAAAATAGAAATCTAAGCCGATAAAGCCAGGCTGTTGCCGGAAGAACTCAATTTTTCATAGAAAGCCAGGACCTGTCACATCCCAATTTCGCGGTGAAAAAGTGACGTAAACGCGGTTGCCGCCCCACGCTAACGAGCAAGTTGAAGGAATTTGAGAATGAAAGGACGGAATTCTGAAGGTCGGGGGAATATTTTTCGCGAAAAAGTAACGTTAATATTTTTTACCAACGAACAATTTTTTCGTCATTATTTCGTTCACGCTAGAATTTTCAACCAAAAAAACAAAATAACCAAACTTTGAAATGAACTCGGATTCATGTGATTTTTGGCTGATTTTTACCAAAGAATTGATAATATCTAGCCGAATTTTAATCTTAGCTCGATGAAGACCAGGTTCTCTCGCTTCGGGGCAAGTCCCGAATGGTCTAGGGGTTAGGATTCCGGATTCTCACTCCGGCGGCCCGGGTTCGATTCCCGGTTCGGGAGGGTTTTTTCTTATTTTTCTCCATTTTTGGCTTCGAATTCTGAAGAAAATGATTACCGTTTTGCTTGTTTAGACGAGCGGTAATTTCACGATCGGAAATATTTGCGAGTTGATATGTAGCTGGAGTTATACAGAACAGGAAACGGCTGCTGAATAATCGCGTCTTTTGCATAATGGGTGCTCTCGGCGATACCGCTTTCTGGATGGTTTTAAGAGTCTTTAGAACCAGACAAGAGGCACGTTGTTTGTTTTCGGTAGCAATTGTAGCTGCTTCTGCTTTTTCCGGAGACCGCAAAGTTGCGGAAGGAAACATAAGTAATTGCATATAATCAGCCGAATGCCTCTGACATTCTTGTTATTTTTAGTACCGTATACGTAAAGTTGATGATGAAAGCTGACTGTTACTTACGTATATTCAGTACAAAATGATCTTTCTTGGAGTTTTTATCAAAAAATTAATGGAGAGACAACCTTATTAGAGCTCGAAATCTGAGTTGATAAGGGTAGTCGAACAAGTCTTGTCTCAAAAGAGTCGGCATTTGATATGTCACTTGCTTGAATCTGGCAATCCGCCAGGGCAATAAGCAGAAGTTGTCAAATAAATATCTATTAAAACTATTTTCTCATGAAAACAATTTCTGATTCAATTACCGACTATTTTCTTTGAACATCAACGAAATAAAATTGACCGCAGTGAAGTTATAGAGGAAAAAGCTCCTTTATGACCTAGAAAGGAGACCCTCAATTTGTAAAAGTACAACGTATGCACTTGTCAAAAGAGTCGCAAGGGACAGACATGGCAAGGGGTACTTGAGCGGGGGACACTTCTTCTCTGAGTATTTTCTCAGACGATTATGAGAAAAGATGTACCGCAACAAGCATTCTCATAATGAAACTTAAACTACCGACGATGTTTCTTCACCCTCTTTATCATGATAACTCATGATGCTCGTTAAAGGCAGTCAACCCTTTCTAGCTGAATTTATTGATATCTGGGCCAATCGTCAAACAGGTAAAGTTCGCTCTCTTATTTCTGCTGAGCTGTTAAATTCTAAAATCAAAAAACTCATCCTTGCATCCGATTTAAAAAATTTGTCGAACACGGCCATCATCATCAGCATCGCGCTAGAAAAACGTGTGCTCAACCTAACACGACTCCTCGCCATGTCGAAAATATCATCGGCTTGTTTAGAAACTCATTTGCCAAGATGGACGATGATTTCTTCCAAGCTTGCAGAAAATGGAAGAAACTAGAAACGAGCTGTCAAAAAAACGAGTTTATGGAAGGTGAGGAGTCCAAATAGGTACAGATTTGAAAATGAGATAACAGCTGTGAGCTAGCGCGGCGGTTCAAGAGTAGCTTGGGGGTAGAAGTGATGGTAATCTAGGTCGTAATCGAGACGGATCTCTTCGGTGCAAGCGTTATTCGCAAAAAATATGGCGGCTAAGCATAAATTTAATTTTCCTACTTACGAAGAAGTGAAAGAGAAAATCAAAAAACTGGCCAGAGAACTCAAACCAGGTCTCTCACTCCCCCTTGTCTATCTTATAACCGCGGGTCAAAGGATAAATAGCAGCATTTTCTGGATATTTGAAGGGTCTCACACCCGAAATTTTGCAATGAATCTCTACTTGTCAAAAACGTACAAAGACACTTTCGTCTTACAATGTTCTGTAAAATTGTGTGGAACTATAAAGTGGAAAATTTAAACAAATTCGCGAACGGAAAATATCGACGACGAAAGTCAATCGTCAGAGTTAAGCATTTCGAATCAGCCTGAAGATTGGCAACGAAGGTTAATTTTATTAAAAAATTCTTTTTCTAATGAACTCCTAGAAATATCCGAGAAATTTGCCAGTTTATTTCGAATTATAATTTGTACAAACTCATATTCATTATGTATTCATTGTATATTTCTCAAAATCTTGTACATTTTGTATTTCATCGTCGAAATATATTATTCAAAATTCCAGTTTGCGTCAAATTATCTCTCTAAGGGGGCTACCGGATGTTGATTTTATCTGCGATGCAGGGCAGTTTACGCTATTGATCCGCCGCACTTGCTCGCATCTGCATGGTCCCGAGACAACGAGGTGAGACCACCTGCATATTTGGACTCCTCACCTTCCATGACCCCAAAAAAACAACTGGCAATTTGCCTAGAGTGGTGTTCTTTGATAGCGGGTATCCACAAACGAGCGTCCTAAATGAACAAATGACCCTGGGTAATTATGTGCTCAACACTTTTCTGGCAGCCGAAATCTTTTGACAATTATCGCCAAATTATATTTTTCTTGTATACAATGTCAACTTTTATTACGAGCAATTTTTCAAAAAGCCATTTTTGATTTATTAAGGGCCTGACCTAATCAACCCTTTTCTCCCAAGTTAGCTAGGGACACTAAAAATATATTTTTTGAGAAAACTGAAAAGTTCTTGTTTCAAGGAACGAGTATGCTCAGCTGAAAGAGCATCCTCGATTACGTATGCTGGCTCAATCCGGTGGGGGGCTGAAAACGGAAATTTTCGAAAAAATGGGGTCGAAATCTCGAAAATGGTGGTTCTTATGACGCAAGTTTTGGGTACTTTTACTTTCCCGTTTTAAAAGGTCAATAACTCATTTTGTAGCTCAGAGCCTGCGCTTCGCTGCAAGGTATAGATGAGCCGGTCAGTATCAGCCAAAGATTTTTATCAGGACCTGAGAAGGTAGGGTACTTTTTCGCGATAAACATGTCCCTTTCTTCTTTGATTTTGGCTAATTTCGTTCTATGTCAGGGTTGGCTGAATAATAATTGTTATTATTGCCACTTATTGCCACTTTCTGCCGGAGGACCTCCCGGAGGACCCTCTTACTGGAAGACCAACTGCTGGAAGACCAATATAAAAAAAAATAAATAAATAGCCTTGCTTGGCCACCTATTGCCACATTTGGCCAATTGTGGTCGCTTTCTGCCGGAGGACCTCCCGGAGGACTCCTTTACTGGAAGACCAACTGCTGGAAGACCAATATAAAAAAAATGAATAAATAACCTCGCTTGGCCACAAGTTGCCACCTTTGGACAATTTCGGCCGCTTATTGCCGGAGGACCTCCCGGATGACTCCTTCACTGGAGGACCAACTGCTGGAAAACTTGTGGGGAATAAATCTGCCTCAGTGGGAGGAAGACACTCAAGCACATTAAACTCAGTCAGGGAGGGGGCCAAGCCGACCCGTAGGGGAGGCCATTCAAGCTCATTCGATTCAGTAAGGTAGGGGCGAAGCCGACCCGAAGGGGAGGCCATTCAAGCTCATTCGATTCAGTAAGGCAGGGGGCGAAGCCGACCCGAAGGGGAGGCCACGCCCGTTCATATTATTCAATCAGAGTCAGGGCGAAGCCGACCCGATGGGGAGGCCGCGCCCGTCGACTTTATTCAGTCAGAGTCAGGGCGAAGCCGACCCAAAGGGGAGGCCACGCCCGTTCATATAATTCAATCAGAGTCAGGGCGAAGCCGACCCGAAGAGGAGGCCACGCCCGTTTATTTGATAAAGTCTGAGTCCGCGAAAGGGTTGTCTCTTTCAAAATTTCAAGATACCGAATATTTCGAGATTTTTCAAATCTTACAGTCTCCCGAATAATCTGGGAGGTTTTCAACAGATTCAACGTTCGAGATTCCAAAAGGAACAGAAATTTAAAAAGACGAAAGCCAACCAGAAAAGACTTGCTAATTTCTCTGATTGAATAAAATAAACGGGCGTTGCCTCCCTTTTGGGTCGGCTTCGCCCTGACTCTGACTGAATAAAGTCGACGGGCGCGGCCTCCCCATCGGGTCGGCTTCGCCCCCTGCCTTACTGAATCGAATGAGCTTGAATGGCCTCCCCTACGGGTCGGCTTGGCCCCCTCCCTGACTGAGTTTAATGTGCTTGAGTGTCTTCCTCCCACTGAGGCAGATTCATTCCCCACAAGTTTTCCAGCAGTTGGTCCTCCAGTGAGGGAGTCCTCCGGGAGGTCCTCCGGCAGAAAGCGACCACAATTGGCCAAATGTGGCAATAGGTGGCCAAGCAAGGCTATTTATTTATTTTTTTTTATATTGGTCTTCCAGCAGTTGGTCTTCCAGTAAGAGGGTCCTCCGGGAGGTCCTCCGGCAGAAAGTGGCAATAAGTGGCAATAATAGCAATTATTATTCAGCCAACCCTGACATAGAACGAAATTAGCCAAAATCAAAGAAGAAAGGGACATGTTTATCGCGAAAAAGTACCCTACCTTCTCAGGTCCTGATAAAAATCTTTGGCTGATACTGACCGGCTCATCTATACCTTGCAGCGAAGCGCAGGCTCTGAGCTACAAAATGAGTTATTGACCTTTTAAAACGGGATAGTAAAAGTACCCAAAACTGGCGTCATAAGAACCACCATTTTCGAGATTTCGACCCCATT